AGTACTTCTCCTACTCTTGTCCTTCTATCCTTCTACTCCTCTTATCCTACTCTTGTCCTTCTACCCTTCTACTCCTCTTATCCTTCTACTCCTCTAATACTTCTCCTGCTCTTGTCCCTCTATCCTTCTACTCCTCTTATCCTACTCTTGTCCTTCTATCCGTCTACTCCTCTAATTCCTATTCTACTCCTACTCTTACTCTACTATTATCTAATTCCTATTCTACTCCTACTCCTACTACTATCTAATTCCTATTCTACTCCTACTCTACTATTATCTTATTATATCCCTCTCCTACCCTTACTATGACCCCTCTAATATTTCTCTCCTCTAATACCTCTCTCCTACTCCTACTCCTACTCCTACTCCTACTCTTACCCTTCTTCTCCTACTCCTACTCTTCTCCTATCCTACCGCTACTCCTACTATTTATCTAACTTCCCTCCTACTCTTCTCCTCTCCTTCTCTTATTCTCCTACTCCTTCTCTACTCTATATAAATATCATCTACCCACTGTATATCCTTCCCTCACATCCTACTTCTATCCCCATCTCATATCCTACTTCTATCCCCATCTTATATCCCCATCTCATATCCTACTTATATCCCCATCTTATATCCTCATCTCTTATTCTACCCCTATCATCATCTCTTACCCTACTCATACCCTATTTCTATTCCCATCTCATAGCCTACTTCTATCCCCATCTTATATCCCCATCTCTTATCCCATTCTCTAACCTCGTTTCTTATTCTACTCTCTTACCCTCATCTCATATCCTATTCATATCCTCATCTCTTATTCTACTCTCTTACTCTTACCCTCAGCTCTTATCCTACTCTTATATCCTACTCTCATATCTTACTCTCCTACTCTTATATCCCACTATTATATCCCACTCTCCTACTCTTATATCCCACTATTATATCCCACTCTCATATCTTACTCTCCTACTCATCTACTCCTATAACATTCTTCTCCTATTCTTCTTCTACTACTCCTCTAATATTCCTCTCCTACTCTTCTCCTATCCTACTCTTCTACTCTCATTCTACTCTTATGCCTCTACTCCTTCTCTACTATATATATCTACTTTCTATCCACTGTCAATACTTACTCTCTATACTTACTCTGAGATACTCTGTATTTACTCTCTGTACTTACTTTATATATCTACTCTCCGTAATTACTCTCTATCTACTCTCTATACATCCCCTCTAGCCACTCTCTATGCTTACTCTCTAGCCACTCTCTAGCCACTCTCTAGCCACTCTCTAGCCACTCTCTATGCTTGCTCTCTGTAGCTATTCTCCACCTACTCTCTATACTTATTCTCTATAGCTATTCTCTACCTACTCCCTATACTTACTCTCCATAACTATTCTCTACCTCCTCTTATACTACTCTTACTCTGGCCCCTCTAATACTCCCCCCATTCTTACTCCCCCCTACTCTTACTCCCCCTACTCTTATTCTATACTTACTCTATACCTACTTCATATTCCTACTATCCATACCTACTCTATACCTACTCTGTATACCTACTCTATATCTACTCTGTGTAGTCGCCATCCGTACCTACTCCCTATAGTTACTCTCTATAACCACTCTCTACTGTTACTCTCTGGTTACTCTCTGTACCTACTCCTTATACCTACTATCTGTACCTACTCTTTGTGTCTACTCTTTATCTAATGCATAGATGTAACATACGTTGAAATCTTCTGGTGTTTGTCTTTAGAATGATATATCGAAATACATACTTTGGCTCATTTCTGTTTAGTATATACTTTTCCATATTTTGAAAAGTATCAGTGTATAAATATCATGCTGAATATATATATTTGTATATATATATATGTATGTATTTATATATATGTATGTATTTATTCGCATATGTATTTATTCGCATGTATTCGTATATGTTTATTTTTTTGTATATATGTTTGTAAATACTTGTATACACTCTTTACTGTATATTTATATTATTGCATATATATTTGTGTATATACATATATATCTCCACCACTATTGCTTCACCCACTTCTATAGTTGCTTTTCACAATACTACTCACTCTAATATATTGTCGTATACCTCTCTCTTCATATTATACTTCTCTTGTCCTACTCATCTACTACTTTCTTATCCTACTCCTACTCTACTACTTTCTTACCTGATTCTCTTATCCTACTCTCTCACCTTCATCTCTTATCCTACTCTCTCACCTTCATCTCTTATTCTACTCTTACTCTAACTCGTCTCTTATTCTATTATTACTCTAGTCTGCCCCTCATTCTTATTCTACTCTAACTATATTCTTACTCTAAACCTTCTCTTATTCTATTCTCACTTTAACTCTTCTCTTATCCTAATCATCTCCATCTCTTACCCTACTCTTATTCTAATCACCTCCACCTCTTACCCTACACTCACTCTACCTTCTTATCTTACTCTCTTATCCTAGTCTCTTACCCTTACTTCTGATAAGCGGACACCCTGGCATCCTAACCGCCTCAGTATATAAGGCTACTGACTGACCTTTTCTTGTGGATATCTTACATTGATAGTATTCTCTTTTAGCCAACTAACAGTATCCACTATTACCTACTAGATATACCACAGATATCCTATTTTATGCACTACACCCATAAACTCTCAGATGCTAATAGATACCACTAACTAGTCAAAAGAATATTTTTCATTCACAAGATATAAAACTGAAATTCCCAACACTCGGTAGCTGTACGGAATATAGCCTAATCTGAGCTAAGAAGAGATCGCCCAATGACACTTATCTGCCTCAATCGTACCTTTAGTACATTATTCGTGAAACAAACTACTCATACAGACGACCAGCTAGGTGGATCCCACCGTCGATTGGTAACACAACACCGTTGAGGTAGTCACTACCAACACCACCACACATGAACTGAACGATCCCCATAAAGTCCTGCGAGCTGCCCACTCTCCTTCTTGGGTTGTTCGCCACATAGGCCTTTCCCATAACGTCCAACAAACCGTCGGTCATTTCGGTAGGGAAGAAACCTGGCGCGAGCACATTGACGGTGATATTACGTGGTCCCAACTCTAATGCAAGAACTCTGCCCAAGTGGTTCACGCCAGCCTTGGAGGCGACATACCCGTAGCCACCGCCAACGCCCACATCGGCGCCAATGCCAGCGATAGAACCGGTGATCAAAATTCTGGCAGGGTCGGAAGGAGTGCCGTCCTTCTCCAACAACGACAAGTGCTTTTGAATGGAAGCAAAAACTGCGGTAATGTTCACGTCTAAAACTTCGCGAATGGCCGAGACAGGGTGGGCCTCAATCGCTCCGCCCTTGAAAACACCAGCGTTGGCGATCAAGACGTGGAGCTTATCCACCTTGGCTACAACAGCCTTATAAAGAGTATCCAAGCCCAGATCGCTGCTTATATCGGCAGCGACTCCAACGATCTGGCACTTTGGATTGTGCTCGGCGGCAATAGATTCAAGGTATTTCTTGGCCTTTTGGACTGCCTCATCACTTCTGGACGTGATAAAGACAGTGGAGATCTGAGCGCGAACTAAGCCCTCGGCAGCGTCAAGGCCCAACCCCCTAGAGGAGCCGGTAATGAGGGCATTTTTGCCAGTAAAGTTGATTGGTGCAGACATGGTGTGTGAATAGTTTTTATGAGTGAATAGTTATGCTTGGATGGGAGATACTCAGGGAGGGCACGATGGCTTTATATAGCAATGAAAAACCTCCACATCCTTGTCGTAATTTCAGTACACGAAATATTTTGCCTATAAACTAGGATAATAAGTATACGGATAGTGGCAAACCATGGGTGATGACAAATTCATGGGTGATGACAAATTCATAGGTGATGACAAATCCCGATCAGGGTTGCTATCAGCCGGATCATGCACGTGCACTTGTGAATATCCTGTACAAATCGAGAATTGGTTTATTAAAGGTAGAACTTCACATATCAACACGCAAGAAAAGGAAGAAAGTGATCAATTATTATCAATGTATTTATAGCTAGAGCATTTTACGAATTAATGTCGTGAAAATGCTAATCCTTCGGTAGTGTAATGTATGCATAACATGCAGCACTAAATAAGATCGTCCAAAACAGTGTTCATAACCTCCAAGATAGGCCTTGGGATTATTCAGTGTGCACATATCTATTTTGACCCTTACTTATGTGTCGAATACCACAGATGGATCAGATTCGATGGTTATCCAAGGTTGCTTTTCATCTTATGTATTTTCCAACGGATAATATGGTCCAGGATATAGACAGGAATGGAGATATGCTATCTGTGCATTCATTCTCGTAGAGGTTAAGGAGTGCCGAGTATTTAAGGTTAATCCAGAAATTTTATTAGGTTCATATAATATTCGATTCTCTATTAATGATGGATATTAGTGTCATACCTCAATTAAGATTAGATACTACGTTTGGAGATGCTTCCCAGCAGGAAGAAAGGCTCAACAGTATTTATATCGAATATTATATAAAGGAAAAGGTGCTTTCATCAACAAGAATTTACCCAAGTGGTTTCTGCGACCCACATGGTGTTCATGGATGAGATTCTTTGTGGCGGAATATTATCAGTAGTGGAAGGGGTTGAAGTAGATGAGGACGCAACAGAAGAGCTTACTGCGGCAAGAGACGATGACAGGAAGGAACTTGAAGCAGCAGGCGAGTTCAGAGTAACAGAAGAACTTGGAGTAACAGATACAGGATCAGAAGAATATGAAGCAGGGGAGACTGGATCGGAAGAGCTTGAAGGAACTGATGATATAACAGTAGAGCTCGGGACAATAAAGGGACTTGATGCAATAGGTACCGGATCATACGGGCTTAAAGCAGTAGATATTGGAACAGAGGAAGATAACGTAGTAGATATTGTACTAGAAGAGCTTGGTACAGCAGACGCTGGATTTGGGGAGCTGGAAGAATCTGTCGTTGAAACAGAGGAGTTAGAGACACCAGACTCTGGAGTGGAGGAACCAGAATTGCCGGGAATTATAATAGAGTTAGAAGCACTCAATTCTGGAGCGGATGAGGAACTAGAAAAATCAGACGTTGGAGTGTAGGAGCTGGAAGTACTTGACACTGGAGAAGAGGAGCTAGAAACACCCGACACTGGAACGGAATAGATAGAAGTACTTGATTCAGGAGAGAGAGAGAGAGCTTGAAGCACTCAAAACTGGAGCAGAAAAACTGGAAGTACTTGACACTCTGCCTGAGCCAGGTATTGGTGGAGCAAGTGCTAATCCAGACTCTTGTTTTTGGCTTGTTGGTATGTAATAGCTATTTGTTGGAAAAGCATGAGTCGGCCTCAGCTTTCAAGCTACACTATGTAGTTATGCCTTAAGTGAATTACTGTATTTTCCAATACTCGACTCCTCTAACGAGCTCATTGAGTCGCTTTAAGGTCCCATACCATTAAACGAGGTATACGTCTCTTCCATTAAGATCCTAACTAGTCGATCTATCCTAATTCTTTAGCTTTGATTTTTGTATTAGTTCCTGCTCAAACCGCCAAATGCATAATTTGGACCTTTACAGGAAATAACCGGAATTCCATTACGTGGCAGCTTTTTTTTCCGCTCCTGTACTACGCAAGTTCCTCAGGCTCGCTCAATACCGTATTCTTATTCACCTCTTCGCCACAAGCTTAGGCCGGGAAAACAAAGGGTTTAGTTTTGCATTCTAGTGAAATATATAAATATACATGATTGATATTAACTTCTTTCATACAAATTCATGATTGAACGTTTCGTTTGAACCATTTATGGCTGCATACCAGTCGATTAAGACATGTGATTTCAGTCACTAGACAGGTGCATGCATGTAAACACATATACATGTACATCTGCATGTGAATTCTCAATTCATGTCGAACGCTAATGGGGATATGATAGAGCTGTGGTCCGTCAGAAGATGCTTCATATAAATTTAGTTCCCTGAAGCTTGATTAGTGACTGATCTCATATATGCGGTAAGTAGCTGTTTTTACAATTGGTACAAATGAAATACATAACGATCTAGACGAACAGAATCGTAACAAAATAAGTTGTGTAAGCTATGAGAATCCTAAATAACTTGAGCCATGACCTTTAGCAGGTACCAAGGGTAAAATATGAGTATAGATTGCATGACTGTGGCGGGATAAGCATGCATAGACCCGCCTGTTAATAGACTTGTTTGGTCTAAAATTCTGAGATCTAACCTAAAATCTTTATTAATACTATATAAAGTGCTCTTTTTAGCTCGTTAAATCGGTAGTGTCACCTACATTCTCTCTACATAACCTATTCGGAAGCTCTGGGAACCTGGGGTACGCATGCATCTCTGCATGCTAATATTAATCATCAACTCTGCTATTTAGTCTATTCCATGAAACCGGTACCACAATAGGTCTAATAGCACCTCTGTTACTTATGTGTTACTCTGTGTATATGCTCAAGATGTCCAAAAAAAAAAAACTCCTTGAAAAGATGTGTGTAGACAGCCATATCCCTTTGAAGTAAGCACATAAGGATGAACGAGGCTGGTGGGCTACTCTCATTTTACCACACCTTCAAAGGTAGAAGATGAAACAAAATTATATAACTCACTGGCAATAGTAGAGATCTGCCCCTCAATGAAATAGAAAGATAAAACCGAGATTACCCAACAAGGTGTAGAGGGTGGTTGTAATTATTAAGTGGTATACCTAGGTTGACATAATTAGCTAGGGGAGAATAGTGATAACCACCATATATACTAGATATACCAGATATACCAGAGAGAGAGATAAGGAGATTCTCTCAAACTGCAATTATAACCATATTACACCATTTTAAGTGATGAGGAATAATCAGGGAGAGCCCCAGATCACTGGTGATACTCATATGTGAACACTTTTGTTGCAAAATATATCCACTATGGTTCCAATATAGAAAGGCTGAATAAAGAATAATTAGTACCGCTTACATGGTGGGTTTTTTGGGGCCAAAATTCTAATATTAACTTCATTACTCTTCATCGTGGCATACCAAAGAGGCAATTCAGAGGTATTACACCTCGGGATACAACCTGTTCTTTATATGGCTTGAATTCTGTTAGGATTCTAGGTAAAAATCCTGGAGACACCACTGCAAGCCCTTGGTATTTTTATTCAACACTGAATTTCTGAGTATGAATTATATCAATTATGCAATATTATAAATATTTGATTTGTTTGTCTTTTAAACATTGTCCCCTTTACCAGGTTATATCTCTTTCTAGTAATTTGACAGAACTAAAAATAAAATAAATAAAGGGCATATATATAACAAGGGGGAATCTAAACTAAGTGAACGTGAAATAGCAAGCAATTGGAATAACTAAAAGAGAAGAGAAAAGCGAACTTAGGCGGCTTCAGCAATCAATTCTTAAACGGCCAAAACCGGCTTGAAGAAACGGTCGGTATCCGGGGTGTTTGCATCCTTTTGCAAGACGTTTTGGGTCTGTGGAAGCATAAACCTTGCAAAAAACTGTTGAATCTCCTTAATGCCTTCCGCACCAACTGGGACAATATGGGAAACGTAACCATCCGGCCTCAAGATAATATAGCAACCCTTGTTGGTATTAATTCCAAAGAACTCGTAGATATCGCATGGACCTTTGTGAAAGGAAGTACCAATACCCGCGTAGATCTTCCAGTAATCATTACGACCGTGGGAATCCTTTGGCCACAATCCTTGTGGGAAGTCCGTCCCTTCACACTCGTAACGTGGAGTGGCGTGGATTGTCAACACCTCAACAACGGAGTCAGTGCGAGCGTTGACAGGAGTATACTGTGCAAAACCATCCCCGGACAACAAGAAGCACGACAATTCTTTGTTGGCTGCAGCAAGCTCTGGGTTCTTGATATCACCACAGAAATTAAGAACTCTCCAACGGCCATCTGATGGGATACGGTCAGCCAAGTGCCATGGTCTGCCTTCAGCTTGAGACTGGATGAGAGACGAGTCGAGTCTTCTGCCAACACCAACCTTGGTGGCATACTTGGTGTAGTACTGGACTTCCACGTTGGGAGTAGGCTCCTTTACCTCCAAGATGGATGGAGCATAGTCGACAATAGTACCGGAGGCGAATTCGGCACCCTTCTTGAAAGCAGCCTGGAACTCGGCCATGTCAACGCCGTCTGAAGAACCTTCGGAGTTTGGAACCATCGGTCTTCCCGAAAACATACGGGAGAGCTTGTGGTCAAAAGCAATGAGATCTCTGGCAATCTGGATTCTCTCGGCCTCGTAGGTCTCCAAAATCTCGGGCTTGGCCAACCCCTTGCACACGTGCGCCAACTTCCAGCCCAAGTTGTACGTGTCCATCATGGAAACATTCATACCCTGTCCAGCCTTTGGCGAGTGGGTGTGGCACGCGTCACCGGCAATAAAGATTCGGTTGTAGGCCTGGAACTGAGGGGAGACACGTTGACCGATTTGGTAGCCGGTGAACCAGTCTAAGTCTGTGATGTCAAAGGTGTATGGCTTGAAGATTTCCTGGGCTTGCTTTACAATAAATTCGGTGGTGATTTTTGACCGGTCAACACGGCCGGTAGTGCTACCCTTGGCCGAGACAGCGGCATCACCACCGCCGAACTCAGACTTGGTGGTATCTTCAAGACGTGGAACCTCGTGCAACTGAATGTACAAACGGACCAAGTCACGCTCTCTTGGGATGACCATGATGGATCCGGCATCCTTGGAATGGATAGCACAACGGTTTCTGATGTCCGGAAAGTCGGTCAACGGAACCATATCCAAGACACCCCAGACAAAGTCAGTGGTATCACCAATCATGTCAATCCCCAATTGCTTACGTACCCAGGAGTGGGCACCGTCAGATCCAACAACATACTTGCACTTGATCAACTCGTGAGTGTCGTCGAGTAGTCCGTCCTGCAAGTCACTGTAGAACTTGTCCTGGTCGCCGTCAAATTGACGATAAAGACCGTTCGTAACCTTTGCACCGTACTGCTCCGGAACAGCCTCGTCGTCTTCGTTCAACTTCTTTACCAAGACAGAGACGGGATAGGCAGAGGTGTCGTTGATGAGAGATTCGTCAACACTCATCTTTAATGGCAAGGTGGCTCTCTCAACCTTCCCTTGGCCCTGTGACCATTTGGTAATAGAGTCGGTGATCCACTGCTCGATGTTGCCTTGGTGGATAACACACTCAGTAAAACGCGAGATCCCTTGGACCGAATCTGGGTTTCTACCTTTTCTTATAATGTCACCTTTTTCATTTGGCGACCAGAAACACATGTCCTCGAAGTGGTTGGCAGCCTTCTCAGCACGGTCACCGAACCCGAACGACTGGAAAACCTCCAAGGTTCGGGATTGCAAGCCATCGGCCTGACCGGCAAAGATCTTGGCCGAGCGTTTATCAACAATTCTGAATGGAACGCCGGTACGAGCCAACCAGCAGGCGGCCATAAGACCAGCTGGGCCAGCTCCAATAATGAGGACATCGGTTTCTGAGGTATTAATCGAATGGGTCATTGGAATAAAGTTGAGAATAAGAAAAGATGAAAGGATATAGAGGATTTGTCAGTCTTATATACAACTGGATCACAGGTGGGCTTGTCTCTGTCAATCCCCCAGGTAGATCCCGGACGCATAAATGTATACCCGATGCACAAGCAGTCATGCATTCTTTGAGCCGTTTCCCCGCAGACAGGCATACAGCTCCAATTATTCATTTGTACGTAATACGCCTGCGTAAACTCTAAAGAAAGCAGCTCCGATGGATGTGTCTAACTGAAAACCCCCGGGGTACGGCTGAATAATAGGAGAAATAGTGACAAGCGTGCGAGATTTCGCCGTCAGGAGTCCCTGGTGACAAAATCTTACCTGCATAAATCCGGCGCTATATCCGATTGCGTTAAGTGAGTTTTTGATAAACATATGATTTCGCTGTTCCCACTGTATCGGGAAAGATACAAATCCACCGAGAGTGAGCATCCACCCAGATATGTCCTCACGGTTTATGTGGTGGACCAGGAGGTGGAATTGTGAAATGACACGGTATCCAAGAGTAGTCATGCCTCATACCGTTATGCATTTAGTTCGTGCTTTATGTAGATAACGGGTCACCTGCACTACGGCAAAAAGGTGTACAAGTATAGCATTCATTGGGTAAACTTTCTGAATTTCGCTAAAAGTTGTTATAACACTGCATTTCTCGCTCTGGCGGTTCAATTAGGTCGTGATTTGTCAGATTATGCCTCGAACCTTATCCAATTGTGGGGTAATCCTGCATCATATGATTTGTGAATTAAAAATGTACCAGAACCACTAGTTATAATGAATTTGGCATTCCTTGTGGAGATCTTTATGACCTTGAAGCAAGTTTCAACCCCGAGTGACGATCTTGAATCCGAGCTTGATCTTTGAAACCCAATCAATGCCTACATGACTCGTGAGCTATCTTCAACTATATTTGCATGTCCCCTTACTCGTTTTTCGATACTGCCTATATCCGAAGAATTGGAAAGTTACTCCAGCTAGAGAAATTGAGTCAACCAGGAATATTTTGGTTACAATAATTCTTCTATGGGGTTATAAACGAGGCTTAGAAAGCCGACATCTACTTTCTCTGGATGCCCATATAACTTTATATCAAATGCATGGTTGGTAATGATTACCGGAATATTTGCAACCATTGACCAACGAAATAGTCAGTGAAATTTTCCTGCTTACGTTTTAGTTAATATAAAAGTACATACCGACCCCGGAGTTTGGCAGTCTCTGATCTGGAAAGCGCGGTACTGCGGCCCACTCTAAGTCATTTAGTCCCTGACCATAACCTCCAGAATGCGAGCAAATCTAAAACATCTTCTCAGATATGTTGCTAAAGTCGTGCTCGTTGGAGGTTTAAAGTTGTAAACCCCGGAGATTTTAACTCAGTGATACTATTTTGCTCCCTCGCGAAAAACATCCTTCACGAACGCTCGGACAAATATCCGACGCGTCACGCACGTGTATATCTATCCGTAAGCTTTTATTCTGAATAAACTTCGCTGGCTGTGGAGGAAGTTATTTCTCAGAGAGTAAAGATTATTTGTGTTTAAGCCACTTTTTAAATGCTGTTTTCGAATTTTAGCCTCCATGAATGCACCGAGCTGAGTCAATCTTGAGTTCTTGGGTTCATCCCCCAACCCGTAGGGACTCTATACACTAGTGCATGTTGCCACACCCTTATCTATGTGCTATAAATAAAATGAGACATAACCATTATCCTGGGCATAGATCAATACAAAATCGATATAAATAAATAATTTTTGGATATAAAGTTGGTATGGGGCGCTAGCGATTGTAGATACGGCATATTACTTTGTAGTACTGTTGAGACGAGACTTCTCATGCAAGTGGTCTTCCAAGGCCTTCTGCTGCGCGTAGATCTTTTTACGGTCCTGTTGCACAAACTCCTCCAACTCTAATGCAACCGAGAACCGCAACTCTTTCTCAACCTGGTGCTCTTCTGCAATCTTGCCGTCTGCCTTGATGAAGTCCACCACGCAGTCCTCCTTGACCGCGAATACAGAGTCGTCTTCGGTATATGGGTCCTCGCGGTTGTAGATCTGCGTGATCAACGAGTGGTAGCTCGGGTGTGTCACTCTCCAATGAATATGCGATGGTCTCATAGGGTGTCTGTCCATGAACTGCAACAAGCCACCGGCCGGACCATCATAAGGAATAGGGTACGCAGTTGGCTCCAAGCAGACAAACGAATAGAATCCATCCTTGTCAGTGTAGAATGTGCCTCTCAAGTTAAAGTCTGGTTGTTCGGGGTCCTGCTGCTCGTACAACCCGTTCGGAGCACAGTGCCATACCTCAACCATAGCTCCGGCCAAGGCCTCACCTTGGGTGTTGGTGATCTTACCAGAAACATAGGCCTTGACACCCCCAACTTCTTTGATGATGATGGACTCGCCGTTTTTGTACACCGGAGAGTTCTCTCTGTAAAATGGTCCGAGAATGGCGGAGGATGTTGCCGCGGTGCTAGAGCCGTGTCTCTCTGCAACCGCATGGGTCTGAGTGTCAACAAGAGCCTCTAACCCCAAGACATCCGACACCAAGATACCTTCGTTTCTGGTGCTGTCGGACATCTGGCCGATTTTGTTGATAAACTCTACGCCGTACATCCATTCGTCGACAGTGATGTAGTTTTCACGGGTAAAGTCGTGGATGTGCTGGATCAACGAACCAATAATTCTGCGAGATCTTGGGGTGGCTTTTGGGCCGAATGAGTTGATGACAAAGTCGGTGTATTCTTGAGACATTGTGATGGTAAGAGGCTGGATGTGAATAGATCTGAAAAAGTCCTGGAAAATGAGGAGTTTCTGCGCACTTTATAGTCCCCAAATTAGTTACCGAGTTGTGAGGAAGTAAACCAGGCAGTTTTCATTTCTAAATACCCGTGAGATTCATCAAGTTACGGAAAAGAGGAGAAATTTATTTATTTGTAATATAGTTAAGGTTTATTGTAAGCAGGTCTGTAGGGTCAGCGGTTCAGATGCGGAATTATGGCCCTGGACAGTTTTCCCCACCGTCGTGCAGGAAATTTCCCGAGCAAAATGTTGATCTCGGAGTTTTCATTGCGCTCATACTACAGTATAGTTATCGTTTTCGTTCTCTATAAATAAGTAGGTTAGTCAGAATCGAGTAAGCACATGCGTGACTTCGAGAGCTAACTCTTGGACTTCACACTTTGGCAGAATAAATTTCAGGTCTCTTGATTACCTAACCAAGAGCTAAGAATACTCACAGCGCAAAACAATTAGCTCCGCAACGTATATACATCTATTTAGGTTATGCGGCTGAGCTAAAAACATACGTACAGATTGTTTTCAGGCGGCTGTCCATTTTTTGATATCGATCATGTGCTCTTAGCTTTCTACTCTACATGTACTTAACACCTCTCTGTATATCCCCAGACTATGCGGAGTCCTAGATAGCTATATGAGCCACGGTTCCGTTCCAAATCTGCAATACCACACCACTGTTCTTTTCCGACGCTACAATACAACTCCACTGTTCCGTTTCGAACCCGCAATACTATTCCATTTTTCCGTTTCAAATCTACAATGCTACTCCACTTTTCCGTTCTTGACTTGCACGCCTATTCCACTTTTCCGTCGCCACGCCTCTGGAATATTCAGTCAGTTTCGCGAAAAGTAAAAAAGCTTGGCTCCTTCCGCTTGCCTGCTTTTCCGTTTTATGCACATCGCGGAAGTGTGCCACAATGCACCAGGGATAGAAAAAGAAACATCGGAAGCCAACCGGAAGATTGTACCGCTAATGACTAGGGGGTATATTACGGCCGTGTACCGCTATTATACATACCTGGCTCTTTCCTCACTCAATCACGATGACAAAGTATACCCAGCTCGAAGAGTCCAAGAGAATCTTTGCGTCCCTTCTCGCGGACAAATCGCTTCCTATCCCCGAAGAAATCAAGAGGTTTGCGGCACAGGTGGAGTTCTACAATGACCAGACCGACAAGATGATCTTGCCTTGTCCGCTCAAAGAGTGCGAGGTTTCCACCGCTTTGAAGGGTGTCGAGGCATCTGTGGCGCTTGCTATCGCGCAGTTGCGTTTCCAGTTCCCGGAGGGTGAAAACCACGTAAAGATCGACATGCAACACGCGTTGCTCTTCCTCTTCATGACCTACATCGCCTCTGTGGATGGGATGACCAAGTTTGACAAGAACGTCGTATCGAAGTTGAAGGCCACCGATTTGAACAGGGCACAGTCTGACTTGTACAGAAGAATGTCTGCCAACTTATACAAGACCAAGGATGACAAGTTCTATCATATTCACGGCTCGTTGGAGGCCACCACCACTTTGAACATGATTGGGTTACCAGCGTTCATGCCTGAGTTAAATAGCGACTATGAAAAGATCGTGGACGTGATCCAGGGTGCCGTTGCAAAGTACACCGCCGCTGAGTTAGAAGCCATGAACAACGAGAGAAGACAGGCCGGTGTTGAGGCATTAAAGCCAGAACAGTTCTTGGAATCCCCACATGGTAAGGCTCTCTCTGCCAAACCATCGTGGGAAATCAAGACCCTTGAAACCTCCACTCCTCCGGCCCCATTTTCCCCAGTTTCCCTCGCTTCTGGCGAAAAGCCGCAGATTTTGAAGGGTATCAAAGTGTTGGAGTTGTGCCGTATCATTGCTGGTCCAACCGTTGGCCGTATTTTGGCAGAATACGGTGCCGAAGTTATCAAGGTCTCTGCTTCCGACATCCTCCCAGATGTGCCATTCTTCCAAGTTGACGGTAACGTCGGAAAGCACACCACTGACTTAAACTTGAAAGACCCAAATGACCGTACCATCTTCGAGGGCTTATTGGCAGACGCTGATATCGTTCTCGATGGGTTTAGGACCGGTGCCATCGACAGGTTGGGGTACGGCGCTGAACATTTGGCCGGGTTGGGCCAAAAGAGAGGCAAAGGCTACATCTATGGTGCCGAAAACTGTTTTGGTTTCGAGGGCGAGTGGAGCCATCGACCAGGCTGGCAACAAATCGCTGACTGTGTTACTGGTGTCGCTTGGATCCAAGGTCAGGCCTTGGGCTTGCAAGAGCCAATGATCCCACCGTTTCCAAAGGCTGACTACGGTACAGGATGCATGGTTGCCATTGCCGTTTTGACGGCTGTCTACGAGAGAGCCACCAAGGGTGGTTCTTACCTGTGTACCTCTTCGTTGTCCCAGTATGATTTGTTCTTGTTGAAGCAGAAGCAGTACCCTGCCGAAATCTGGGAGGAAATCTTGGCCAAGCAAGACCCAACGGTCCGCAAGTTGAGGTACTTTGACTCTGTCGATATGATCTCCAGAACTGTGCTGCAGTCCATGAAAAACGTCGACCCAAATTTATTCAGTAACGAAAAGTATCTCGATTCCGAGTACTCTGAGGGGTTCCAGGGCCAGTGTAAGGTGTTGAAAGGGGTTGTGGAGATGAAATTATGTAGAAACGGCTTCAACTGTCCAACCAGGCCAAACGGGTATGACAAGCCAGAGTGGTGGATGTAATCTATAGCTAATTAGAGGTATGAATCTGTGTAGGCGTGGAAAGTATCCTTTTCGCAAGATGAAATGGGACGGAGTTGAGCCTTTTGACAGGTATCAGCTCATTGTTTTCTACGCTTGTTACGTGTATTGGGTACAAGTATCAGGGGCTAGTGATTTTTCCCAAATAGATTACATTGAATTATACACTGATACTTACTTGAGGGCATCTTTCATTTGGGTGGAGTCGAGATAGACCTGGTAGAACTTCATAGTCCTACCAACCTGCCCAACCTCACCAAAGTCGATATATCCGGCCCATTCGGAGGTCAATTGCTTTCCGTTGGTCAAGGTGTAATCGACGTAGCCATTGACAAAGTATTCCACATCGGAGACCGGAGCGACATTGAGCACGACATGGTGTCTCTGAGTGACAAATTTCCACATTCCCTGGCGTAACTGGCCGATTTTCTCAGTCCCCTCAGCTGTGATGAGACCAATTTTCAAGATGGAATCCGGGCGGAAGGACTGAACGTAGAGGTCCTCCATTAGGTCTGCTGGTGGCTTGGTGTCGGAGAGCTTGTAGAATTTGACAATAAAGTCCTTCAAGGCTGGGAGGTGGGAAGAGTTGGCCAAGGATGCAGCATACTTGGTACTCATGTTTGTTAATATGGCTGTTCCAGTTGTAAAGAAATTTCCATGGCGAGTACTTGCTGTATATAACCCGCTCACAAGGCCAATGGCAATCAAAAGGCACGGTTCCTACCTGCATGCAAGGTACTGGGGGGAGAATGTCTGGGGCGGAAAAATGGCAGCTTGCCGCACAAACTTCCGGTCATTTAGCTGTACAGTATGCCTCTCCAATAGGTCTATGCCAGAACAGACACTGAACGGAAACTCCAGGATTAGTAATCACCGCCAGATATACATAGATATGTCTAATGTGAAGAGATTAATGGTCATTGACGTACTTCCAGATCAGGAAACTAGTATGCCATCGTGTAACGGTAGGACACCTGTAACATGTTATAGCTCGGGTTGATATGAATTTGGAAATCCCTTACACTTCCTCACGATGAATGAGCCAAATGCTGCGACATCTGCTGTTTATCCATGCTTGTGAAATTCGAAAACGCTGCCGTACGGAGGTCAACATACCCTTATCTGCTATTGTACGAGCTCCCCCCGGATACATGAAATATAAAACAAGAAATAGCAACTAAAGAAATGTCTATGCGTAGACATCAATAAAGCAGCAAGAACCTATGGTATAAACTCAGGTAATCATTTCATGGCCTAGTTAAACAGGTTGAGTGCGCCCTTGAACCCCAAGTCATGAAGAAACGAATCCAAGAAATCCGTGTTGGTGTCCGGAATAGCCTCCTCGAGTAACTGGTTATTCTGCATGAAGAGCGATGCACGGGGATTTGTCTCTGTTTCTGACATGTGTATATTTCCAAGGGAATTCATATTTCCATTTCCTGGTGCACCTCCTGTTACATTCCCTGCTGCATTTCCTATTTCATTTTCTGGTGCCTTTCCTGATGCATCTCCTGGAGTCTTTCCGTCCTCAGTTACAGAGATATTTTCATTTCCATCAACAGGGGAAACCTCTTCGGGAGGGGTATGGTTGCTGTTGTGGGGAATGGGCACGTCATAGGTGGTCAACTCAAACTGAAAGTCGACCAAGTCGTGGAGACTTTCGGCCAAGCCGGTGGTTGGAAGCACACTCTGGGCGGCTGGAGCTGGGCGGCTGGAGGAGGAGACACTGCCACTGCGTGCACACGACTTGGCGGGGATTTCGCGAGCGCTCTGCTCATTCGCACCGCGCGCACCAGCCTTGCGCACCGCGTCAGTCATCTCCCGCATGATATGCGCGTACCGTTTTGCCTTTAAGTCACGCTTCAGAAATACCTCCAACACGCGCACACACGTATCCATCGTCGCAATCAGCACGCGCGGAAGACTGTCATACATGCGTGGCTTTCCCTGCGCACGCACCTGCACCAACACCATGACACCCACCATGAGCCCCGCGTTGAGTAAGTGGTTCAGCCAGTGGTTGGAGCCAACCAAATTGACATTGTTATCAACGGAAAACTCGGCCAACTTAATGGTGAGCAAGCTCGCGCGTAATAGGGCCGCGGAAAAGCTCTCGAGGAGCTCAACTGGGAGCGTCGTGGGGCTCGTATTGGCCATGAGCCCGAGTTCAAGAAGGATTACGTAGTGGTAGAACGGACGGGTCAACAAAATGATGCCGTAGAGATGAGTAAAGTGGAGTAATTGGAGCGGCGTCCCGTTGGTGTAATAGCCGTAGCGGTCCTTTTCCGGCTCCAAGATATTCTGCACCAGCAACTCCGGACGGAGGTTTGTGTACCAGAGCTTCAACTCCATGGCACACGCCTTCGCTAGCTCGATGTCAACGCGTTTGGCAGTATACACCCGTTGCATGATCTTTCCATTGATGACTGAAACGCAAAAAAGCTCGTGCTCAAAAAGCGCCTGGAGTAGAAGGCGGTTGGTTTCAACTGGGTTCCGGTAATGGTCAACAGGGTGGAGTGGAATGCTATGTATGTCGTCCCACTCGTGGTCGTTGATTCCGAGGGAGCGGCCAAGAAGATTGGACAGAATGCGGTCATTGATGTAGATGGAGCGCCAGAGCTTGCGGCGATGGAGCGTGTAGTCGGCGTTGACGAAGGAGTCGTTGATGTCCCGCTTATTGAGGCCAAGCGAGAGTGCGTAGCGGATGGAAATGCCGAGATTGATCCATGCATTGTTGCGGCGGGTGAGTGCATCGTGGTAGAAGTAGAGGAGATAGTAGGCTTCGACGAGCCAAAGGTTACCATCTTCGATACAGTTAGTAAGGAGGCATGTACCGCTGTCAAAAAGGTCGGTAGAGGACGGCGAGCGCGCATTATCAGTATCACCCGTGCTCACTCTGTCTTTAAACATCGCCCCCAATGCCAAAACCAAGTGTAACAAACACAACTTGCGACTTGGAAAGTTCAACGGGTCCTCGTATGCCGCCGCCACCACCTTCTCCCGAAAATGCTTCATGTTAAACACGTAGTGTAGTTGGTTGAAGTTCAGCTCGTACAAGTCCACAAGCAAGTCTGTGCACGTGCGTGCGGGGAGCTGGAGCGGGATCCGCGTCAGGCGCATGCCCGGCGCGTCCACGATCACAAACCGCTGTGGATCTTCCGTGAAGTTCGACTTGCCAATCACGGCACTGTATATGTACCGGCACTGCGAAATCACCGTCAACACGCTGCTCTCGCCGATGTAGCGAAGGTTACCCGCCGAGTCATAGAGCATGCGGCTGGTGGTATCACGCTCCAAGGTATTCTTTGGAGACTTTCCCCAATCGGCGATAGTTGTGTGGTGACTGATGCTCTGTTTAATTGGCTGGTGAGAGCTGTCGCCCGAACAGAGCGAGGTTTCGGTTCTGGAAGAGTCACGTGGCGAACGTGACTTGATTAGTGGTGAGGAGTGGAACTTGGGTGACTGTGTCAATAGCTGCGGCAATGGATAGTTCGCGGGTGAGAGAATGAGGTGGAGGTTGAATGGGTGGGGTGATTGGGAGTTATCTTCGGGGAGGGACAGAGTGCTGGAGACAGAATTAGGGAGGCCAAAAGGTTGCACAAGACTGGTCATACGCGCGTTAAGCTTTGTGTCGGGGGAAGAATATTGGGTGCCTGTTGGGATGTAATGGGGATTGGGCGAGTGAATTGATGGGGTGGGAGGGGATACAGACTGGGAGTGAGAGCTATCCGCTTGAAAAGTTGCCGAAAGCTGCGAGCTTGCATGAATGGCCGTCTGGGTGTTTTCTGCGAGCAGTGCATTCACGAGCGGCGAATTCACAGATTGTATATTTGGGAACAGCATCTTTGCGAAAGATTTACTCATAGGTTGTGCATTTGAATTCGCAGACTTTGTCTTGTTCGTGCTTGTCTGCAGATGTACACTGGCTTTGGAGTTGGGATTGGGCACCGTGGGATTCAGCTTAGGTGCTCGGGAACCAAGACGCGGAGCTGTGCCACTTTTGTATACTCTGCCCGCTTGGGGTGACGTTGGTCCTGTAAGAAAACTATCGAGATCCGCATTCAGGGGTCTCAGGGGGGTCTCATCATCGGAATCTACATTTCTAAAGCCCTTCAACGATCGCTTGTCAATCTCCGAAATGGTGCAGCTGATGCCGCGGTTGACACATCCCAAACACGGAAGGATACCGTTACACTAAAGGTTAGTTGCTGAGAAAGAAAAGAGCATCGGAATACGTACCTTGATTTTGCGCTTTTTGCAGTGGTTACACGCACGCGACACCTTCTTTCGCTGGTCGTCCGCGACAATCCGTCTCTTGCGCTTTTTGGCAGGTGCCCCTCGCTGGTACACAGGATCTGGCATAGGGTAGTGAAAGTGGTATTGGGTACTGTATGTGTCAGTCTGGGCATGCAACGGGTATTGGAGAGTTGTTGCAAGTTTCTCTTGATTTTGCACGATCCTGGTTCAGCTCCACTGAAGGTGGTACCCGCGGATATATACAGGATACCCCGCACCACAATTCCGCCTGACCATACATGGCAGCATTCTACGGTTAGGCTCAGTGTTGGCAGGAAATGGTAATCCCACGATAATTAGTGATTTATTACTATTGAAAATACTCTGTATATCTTGACACATCAACGACGATCATAACTCAATTACCTGGTTTGATCTTCCCGTTCGATCCTCTTTTCTGTATAGCATTCCAGGGGATGCGTATCCTCGACCCGAGTAATTCTCAGAGAAGGACACTGTAACCTATCCTCCGTTGAAAAACTATGAATCGCCTTCTATTTACCGAGATTTGCTAAACCACTTCCTGGAAGCAGAGTTTACGAGTGGATTCAATGTTGAATACCCAGCATTACGACTAATAGAAGGTTTTCATTTGGCGAGTGCATGTCGTGCATCAACATTAAGGGTTATGCAAGCCGCTCGCCAGTGGGAACAATACATCATGACTCGTGTACTATAGTATAGAGCAGACGTTAAATAGCTTGCTTGGTATGACAGATTTGGTGCTCAGGGCAGGCGGTAAAGTGGTAGACGGCAGAGTTAAGCAGGTTTTTTCAAACCACTTTCCTGGTCAGTCACGTGGGGCAATCATCTCATTCTGGGTCTCGCTATATTTAGAGACGAATCCTGAAAATAGATTTACTGGTCCCAAGACATGCCCCAGAGAAGTCGAATTACGGGGAAAGATAGCTTCAAAGTCTATCCAAAGATATGCTTGGTCAAAAACATCCCATTCGGTATTGTTGGGCTTACAATTCGATGCGCATCTATCTTCTTTACTTTGATGTGGATCCAGTAGCTCACGTTAGATTTTTGAAAGAATTGTCTCTAAAGGTTGAAGCTCCTTTTACCCGATTACCAGAGAAAATGGTATATCATACATTGAGGTATATGAGTATCTGTATAGGGGAATATAAAACCTATAAATGAAAAGCAAGAGACAACTAGAAGTAAATCTGCCAATAAGCTGTTACACAGCCAAGACTGGCTTGCTGAAACGACCGGTATCATTAGCAGTGATATCAATGTCCAAGACCTTGGTCTGTGGGATCATGAAAGTGGCAAAGAACTGCTCAATCTCCTTGATGCCCTCAGCACCAAGTGGAACAATGTGGGAAACGTGACCATCTGGCCTCAAGACAATCTGACAACCCTTGTTAGTGTCAATACCAAAGAACTTGTAGATATCACAGTCACCATTGTGAAAAGTAGAGCCGATACCCGCCCAGATCTTCCAGTAGTCACTACGACCATGGGAGTCCTTTGGCCACAAGGCCTGTGGAAAGTCGTGCATCTCAAGGCTGTGGCGGTCAGAGGCGTGGACAGTCAAAACCTCAATAACAGAGTCCACACGGGCATTAACTGGAGTGTAATTGCTAACGAAGTTAACCTTGGATTCCAAGTATTTGGCAAAATCCGCATTGGCGGCAGCCAATTCAGCGTTTTTGGCTACGTCACCGCAAAAGTTGAGAACCCTCCAACGACCATCGGATGGAATACGGTCTGCCAAGTGGTATGGCCTGGCATCGGCCTGTGACATGACTTGGGAAGAGTCGAGTCGTCTACCGATACCGATGTTAGAGGCTAGCTTGGTATAGTACTGAATTTCAACATCCGGGGTAGCTTCTTTGATCTCCAAAATGGATGGAATGTAGTCGACAATAGTACCGGAGGCAAATTCAGCACCCTTCTTGAAAGCCTCCTTGAACTCAAGCATGTCCACGCCATCCTTGTTTACTTCGTCCTTTGGTTTACCAGAAAACATACGGGAGAGCTTGTGGTCGAATGCAATGAGATCTCTGGCGACTTGGATTCTCTCGGCCTCGTAGGTCTCCAAAATCTCGGGCTTGGCCAACCCCTTGCACACGTGCGCTAACTTCCAGCCCAAGTTGTACGTGTCCATCATGGAAACATTCATACCCTGTCCAGCCTTTGGCGAGTGGGTGTGGCACGCGTCACCAGCAATAAAGATTCGGTTGTAGGCCTGGAACTGAGGGGAGACACGTTGACCGATTTGGTAGCCGGTGAACCAATCCAAATCCGTAATGTCGAAGGTGTATGGCTTGAAGATTTCCTGGGCATTCTTGACAATCAACTCTGGGGTGATTTTGGAACGGTCAACACGGCCGGTAGTGCTACCCTTGGCCGAGACAGCGGCATCACCACCGCCAAACTCAGACTTGGAGGTGTCCTTCATGCGAGGAACTTCTTTCAACTGAATGTACAAACGGACCAAGTCACGCTCTCTTGGGATGATCATGATGGACCCAGCATCCTTGGAATGGATAGCGGAGCGATTTCTAATATCTGGAAAGTTGGTCAATGGAACCATGTCTAAGACACCCCAGACAAGATCGGTGGTGTCACCAATCATGTCAATCCCCAATTGCTTACGTACCCAGGAGTGGGCACCATCACAGCCAATAACATACTTGCACTTGATCAACTCGTGAGTGTCGTCAAGTAGTCCGTCCTGCAAGTCACTGTAGAACTGATCTTGGTCGCCGTCAAATTGACGGTAAAGACCATTAGTAACCTTTGCACCGTACTGCTCTGGAACTGCCTCGTCGTCTTCGTTCAACTTCTTCACCAAGACGGAGACGGGATAGGCAGAGGTGTCGTTGATGAGAGATTCGTCAACGCTCATCTTTAATGGCAAGGTGGCTCTCTCAACCTTCCCTTGGCCCTGTGACCATTTGGTAATGGAGTCTGTGATCCACTCTTCAATGTTTCCCTGGTGCATGACAATTTGCTGGAACCGAGAGATGCCTGGGACAGAGTCCGGAATGCGACCGTTTCTGACAATATCACCACTCTCGTTTGGCGACCAAAAGCACATTTCCTGGAAGTGGTTGGCATTCTTGCGCGCACGGTCGCCGAACCCGAACGACTGGAAAACTTCCAAGGTTCGGGACTGCAAGCCGTCAGCCTGACCAGCAAAGATCTTGGTCGAGCGTTTATCAACGATTCTGAACAGAACTCCGGTACGGGCCAACCAGCAGGCGGCCATGAGACCGGCGGGGCCGGCTCCAATAATAAGGACATCGGTTTCAGAAGTCTTGAGGTTGCTTTGTTGGGTCATTTTATGACTAGCGTTTAGGGATAAAAGTTGCTGTCTCAAGGAAAGAAGTGTTTTGTAACCCGGGGAGAGTCTGTCCGATTTTATACTCTGGTGGATGGTTGAGAGCTGGACGAAAATGCATGTGGAAATCTGGTATTTTGCAATGGATATTTGGCACTCACAAATGAAATGGCTGACCGGTTGAGAGAATGGAGCATAAGGAGAATTGCACCCTCGCACTTTTCTAGGGTGGTCAAGATTCTTCCTCACCTATGATGAAAGTGTAGGCACAGACACATAAAGGCTGGATTAATGGCGAGTCACGTACGAAAGGTTAAATGAGTAGGTCCTTCATGCGGATCCTCGGAAGCCAGGTTCGGGCTCCTGTAGAGCGTCATCTGAGATTTTAATCAATCTCCAAGTTGGAGATGCAGGTTTTCATATTGCCTGCGCGGATCTACAGACATGGCCCATTGTGCAACGTGATTCTTTTTCATGCGTCAAATACCCCACGGCCAACTGGAGGATGCATGTGGTATATTTCCGACCCCGCAGAAGGACGTTGGTGCTCAGACTTCCGCGGTGCCATATTTCCCGCACCCAACTTCCGCAATCTGAAATGTGTACGCTAGCAAACTTGATCCGTTCATGTATATCACATATCCATGATTTTTTGAGCCAATCCTCAACTCAGGCTGTCTCTATACAATTACATAACCATGACGGTTATTGTCAAATCCTCCATCCTGGCTGCCAAAAAGCTAAACTACACCATGTTCGCCAGTGCTACCGCCAATACCCTTACCCCAGTAGTGTTTATCCATGGGTTGGGCTCATCCCAGAACTTTTACCATCACATTGCCTCCAAATTGACCAGTGAGACCGGCCGATCCTGCCTTTTATTCGATAATGAAGGCGCAGCCAGGTCTCCATTAACTGAGGCAAAATTAGACGTCGCCGGCATGGCCAGCAACGCCTTGGGTCTTCTCCGAGAGTTGGCTATTGAGCAGTGTATCTTGGTGGGTCACTCCATGGGAGGTATGCTTGTCAACTACCTCTTGGCCCACGAACCAGCCTTATTCCGGGGTGCTGTCTTGGTCGGTCCTGTCCACCCAACCAAGACTGTTGGTGGTATTTTTGGTGCCAGAATCGCCTCTGTTCTCGAGGCCAATTCCATGTTCACCATGGCCAACACCGTTCCATTCAAGGCTTTGGGCAACCGTGCCACCAGTTTACACCGGTCGTTTGTTCGCGAATTGCTCTTGGCGCAGCCTATCGAGGGCTACGCTGCCAATTGCAGGGTCATCCAGCACGCCGGTGAAAATTTGGAAGAGAAGTTTGTCGAGTGGTACAAGTGCATCAAGCACCCAGTTTTGATCCTTCAGGGTGAGCAGGACTTGAGTGCCCCATGGGCCAACTGTGTTGAGATTATTGCCCAAAACGTTGAAAACGTGGCTGTCACCAAGATGCCCCGTATTGGCCATTGGCATTGTATCGAAGCTTGTGACGAGGTCTACACCGCTATTTCAGCCTTTGTTCAAAAGCTATAGAACCTACTTTACCTATAAGTCTATCTCTTATAGTAGAGGACTAACACACGCTGTGCTTTTCTATTATATTGGAAATTTGTGAATAGTTTTACCTACGGATACGCTCAAATTTTGATATATAAAAGGCTAATATCACTAGATATTTCACTAAAAATAATTTCCATAAGACTAAGTTTCTCTCAAATAGTGTCGAAACGGGATTTCTTGTGCAAGTGGTCTTCCAAGGCCTTCTGCTGCGCGTAGATCTTTTCACGCTCCTGTTGTACATCCTCCAACTCTAATGCAACCGAGAACTGCAACTCTTTCTCAACCTGGTGCTCTTCTGCAATCTTGTCGTCTGCCTTTATGAAGTCCACCACGCAGTCCTCCTTGACTGTAAATACGGAATCATCTTCGGTGTATGGATCCTCACGGTTATAGATCTGTATGGTCAACGAGTAGTAGCTCGGATGTGTCACTCTCCGGTGAATGAGTGATAGTCTCATAGGGTATCTGTCCATGAACTGCAACATGTCATCGGCCGGGCCATCATAAGGAATAGGATACGCGGTTGACTCCAAGCAGATAAACGAATAGAATCCATCCTTGTCAGTGTAGAACGTGCCTCTCAAGTTAAAGTCTGGTTGTTCGGAGTCCTGCTGCTTGTACAACCCGTTCGGAGAACAGCACCGAGGCACAGGAATGTCAAGAGGTAAAATTTGGTGAGTTTGGCACGTCGATGGAAATGTATATAGCTCATCTAACAGTTGGACACTACATTGTGCCTTGGATGTTAAAAGTCTAAATTTTATTATGCATCTATAGAATTGTTAGATTTTCATAAATACACACAAATATTAATTATATTTAAATCCATACATATATAATTAATTCAAAACTATATAGTATCTACCGCTCTCCGCAGCAAACCAATACTATTTGTATTCAATCAAATTGAGACATATATATAGGTTGTATAATAGATACACAAAATATGCACGTAAACACACCTAAATACAAAGCAACCCAGTGACCATTGTATATGACATTGCTTATACTCTCCATATGGGGTGATTTCGATGCAGGACTAGTAAATTCAACAAAATAAATGCAAAACCAGTAGAAATGATATCAGCGATAGGAAGGGTTCATATACTAGGAGGCAAAGCCCGAAAGGTGACATTCTCAGTACTACTAGATGTTGACCGCTCACCATTTTTAATTTTCGTATTTGGACATGCATTATAGAGACATGATTGAGTTAGAGATCTGATTGAGCTTGAGATATGATTGGGTAATAGTAACCCGATATATCGCTTTAACCAATACCGGCTCAATGTCCCACCGTTATATTCCTATCCTCCCGCCTTTTCTTAATTCACTATTTTGTATATTACATCACTTTACTCAGCCTCTCCCTTACTGTTGCTTCTAGTCAACTTCGGCTGCTCAGCCTCTTCGTCAGACGAACTGTCGAACTCTTCATCACTGCTCTCGGCGCGCGGCGCGTACAACGGATGGTCCTTCTTGGCGTAGCTGTTGCCATCGTCGTTGGGGTCCTCGTAGTCGTCCTCGTACATCTGGGCGTCGCCGCTGGCGTTGAACTTGGAGTACTCGGTGGAGCTCCAGCCCGTCACCTCATCGTCCTCATCGTCCTCATCGCTAGACCCGAACGCCGTCGGGAAGTCATTACTCAATTCCTGCGACATGTAGCGCGAGAACTGGTCGCCGTTTTCCTCAGGTTCCTCCGCCTCGGGCTCCTCCACCACACTGTCCTCGTCGAACCCGGCGCTGCCACCCAAGATCGCGTTGTAGCGCTCACGCGTGTCGTACAATGTCTTGGACACGTAGTTCTCCCATTCTGGCTGGCTCACACTGTCGTCAATGACCCCGGAGAGGGTGCCCGGCGGATACATCTGGGTGAACTTGACCACCTCCTCCGCTATCAATGTCAAATGGCCCATATAACCAAGACGCAACCCGGACTCCTGCTCGTACGTCTCGCACTTGGCCTGGCCGTCGATGATCATCTTGTGCACGGAACCGCGTCCGAACAAGTCAATCGCAAGGTACTTGTTGTAGCCAATGTCCATACTGCCGTTGAGGATCTGCTGCACGATGTCAAACACCACGTTGTGTAAGAAGTTGTTCCACGGGAAGCGGAAGAACATGTTGAGGATTGAGATGACGACGCTGTTGTCGGCTAACGCAATCTTCAACTGGTCGCCCACCACGGGCTCGCGGCGCAATGCGCTCTCTTGCATATCGTGCTCGATCACGAGCGACTCGTCAAACGACTCATCGAACGTAGCATCCGCGTCGGTATCAATTTCCGCGTGAATGTCCGGGGTCCCAAAAACGGGAGCGGGGTCCGGCGGAGGCGTCTCGAGCTCCTCAAGCACATTGTGGGGCAATTCATCATCCTGGATGTCTAATGTGGTGAAGCTGGTTGAGAGGTTTTCGTGGAGTTCGACCGACTCGCTGCTGCCGAAGCCGTGGTTCGTGGCGAGCGAATCGCCCAATATCGAGTCGTCGGCGGGCTCGTCCTCATTCAAGTACGGTGGGTACATTTCATTAAACTTGAACGCGATGCGGTACAAGTTTTTGAGCCGGGTGCGCTCCGTATCGCGCTCTTGCACCTTCTCCTTTCCGGAAACCTCATTGAGCAACGCCATATTTGAGCAGTGCAACAACTCGGCGATCAACTCGCAGATTTTGAAGCGCTCGAAGCCCAAGGGCTCGATGGCGCCGAACGGCGTTTCCAAGAGCTTGGCAGACGTGACCGTCAACATGTCGATGAAACGGTGGAGATTCTTGCTGAAGATCTCCACCAACGTCCCGAGGTAGATAGGGTCACGTGGTGACGGCGGGTGGCTCTCGACCGTCACGTTCAACACCTGGAGGTAATCGTAGTCGCTGTTGTTCTTGCGGATGATCTCGATCACGATGCCCACCCCGTTGGCCAACCCGGTGCCTCCGAATAACATCAAGCGCACAAGCTCGTTCACGATGGGCTCGCTGACCAACTCGCGCGTCAACTCGTTCGGCCCGATGGTGGAGTTGTCGGCGTTGGAGTTGGCGCTGATGGTGACAAACGCTTTGAGAAAGTCGCCGGCAGCGGATTGCGTCGCGGTGGCGACTTCTGGCGCCAAAAATGCAATCAAGCACGGAATCAAGCCCTGTTCCTGTAACACATCGATGATTCCGGTGGAGTTTTCTGGCTTGTCGGTGGAAATAACCTTCAACAAAAAGTCCATCAAGGGAGGGTTGTCGATGTGTTTGGTGAAGCGCGCAACAAGGTTGGTCTGCTGGAGGATGAACTGAATCATCTCGTCCATCTTCATGTCGAGGAGGTGCTCGTTGATCTTCATAAAGTAGGTGGATTGGGTCATGCTCAAAGGAGAATTGTCGAGAATACCCCACAAGTGCTCGAGCAAGTCGACGTTTTCCATGAATGCGTCGGTGAGCGACCAGACATCTGCGCTGAGGACCTCGGCGGCAATTTGCGCACGTCTGGTTTGTGCTTCCTGGGGGGTTTCAGTGGATTCGTCATCCGAAGCCGAGCCTGTAGCTTCTGCATCCTCTGTATCAGAGACAATTGCCGAGGAATCAGTATTGGCATTAGCATTGGCATTAGCATTGGCATTAGCATTGGCATTAGCATTGGCATCAGCATCAACATCAGCATCAGCATCAGCATCAGCATCAACATCAGCATCAACATCAGCATCAGAATCAGAATCAGAATCAGCATTAGCATCAGCATCAGTCTTAGCACCAGCATCAGTCTTAGCACCAGCATCAATCTTAGCACCAGCATCAATCTTAGCATCAGTCTTAGCACTAGCATCCATATCTGTGTTGGAATCCGCGCTAGTATTGACGTCATCAATTACACCAGTTTTGCTCTCTTCTCGTGTTTCATTCTGCATTTCACGCTCTTGTGGTTCAAACTCTGTTTCATGATCCTCGGTATCTTCCACCTCATCCTGTGTCGTGTCATTCACGATGAGCTCGACCAAGCGCTGCAACACGCTGGCATCGCGCAAATACTCGATCAAGGCGGAGTTGGAGGACATCAACTCCTGAAGGAGCTCAGACTCGTCTAGCAAGTCTTCCAACCGCAAGTCCTCCGCGTCGTCCGGGTTATTCGCCTTTTCGAGCAATGTGGTGATGGGCGAGATGGCGTTGTAGCCGTTGCCGTAGCGCCAAAATGAGCCGGACATGGCGGCGGGATGCAGAAAAAGAGTGAAGGGGGGTTTGGGGGTCCTAGTGTACTGCTAGGAGGAGACGATGTAAAGTGTCTTGTCTGGTGTGGTGGGGAGGGCGTAAGTAGGTACAGTGCGGCCGTTTTCAATACAAATTTGCGTCGGGCGAAATTCGTCGGGTCGTGTACGACCAAACCCAAAGCAACAGCAGCGCCAGCTGTTGATCAGTAATATTACGAGCCATATAATCCCAGTTGATGGCTTAAAGAGTATTTCTCTACATAACGCTTCTAATTCTTCTCTGTTGAAGGGCTTGAATTAGCTAGCCCGGACGAACACTACAGTGATTACTTGACAGCATCTGCCATCCTGTGGTTTTTCATTCACGTGAGAGACTAGCAGCCGAGGTGGAATAAATTTGAGCGATACAGAGAAAATTCTCATGGAATGTAAGACAAGCTTCGTGAATCCATGTAACAGGGAATTTCCGGCTCGGCCAGTTAAAAGGAGCTCCGTCTGTATGCCGGCTTTATCGTTTTGAAACGCGTTGCTTGGCATCATAGCATGGCCATGTGTCCCCTCAGCCCCGCTCTCTCAAGGTTATAAATATCTCTACCCGTACTTTCAGCTCTGGGTTCAAGATGATTAACCAAGAGAAGAAGGCTATGTGGCGAGATATAGACCTGGCGAGATTGCAAGGGCTGGGGTTACCCGACATGCGCCGCACCGCTAGTCTCAGTTATTTGATCCCCGTTTTCGCGGTGTCTGCGCTGGGCCTCGAACAAAATGCGGTGACAAGAACCAACCAGCACAGGTCTTTGGACTGCCTTTGGCGACCATATCACGGGAGGTGGGATTGGACGTTTAATAGCTGAGAATTTTTCTGTGCCGCTATCGTACTGTGGGAGAAGCAACATCCTTAGGGTGTGCCCGTGTAATCTCAATTCTAAATTAAATTAATGAGGAGATTATCCATTTCGTCAACGCCCTTACGGCGCGAGTCAAAGATAACTTCAGAGGTTAAACGGGAGAGCCAGCAGCAAACTCCTTCCGCGTTGGAAATAAGCGAAGGAAGGTATTTTTATCAATATCCATGAACCAGTTGGTTTAGACAGGACAGGATTCAGTAACCGGCCAAGGTATCCAAACAAAGGAATTTGAGTGTCAGACCGTGCGATAGTATACCATACACTCCTAGATCTGTTTTCGTAAACGGTGAGCCCTCTGCAGCCTCCCAGCCTTACCTGATGGTCACACATAGGCTGGTCTCTGTCCCAGAGTAGATAACGTTTTGATTAAACTTTGTGAAACACTCGAGTATATGAAACAGACTCTAAAATTGTCTTTTAAAGCTCGGGACCTAATTTCCCAGACACCATAGAATTAGCTATGTAAGTCTGACCCACTTGACCATACCCAATATTCCACCGATCTCGCCAGTTTGTGCCCTAACCTCACTGTCTACGCCCCAGGCCCTTAATACATTTTATGATTCAATCCAGTGAAGATATATATACATGAAATCGGTGCCACTTGCCACCGAAATACGATTCTGTGCTAATGCGATCCTATTTCTCCCTCTCTTAGTTCAACTTCAACTCGTTTACCCTGACCACAGTGTATGGAGACTTGTTAAAGGCTCTTCTGTACTCTCTGGTTCTCTTCTGCTTGATGATTCTCTTCGACAATTGCTTCTTGGTCTTTTCGATGACAGTGCAGCTGATCTTGTACAAGTCCTGACTAATCCCCTCGCTCTGGTGGTAGGTAAAGTCTCTGTTACCAATGGTGACAACGTCGTTCAAATGCAACTTGTCACCGATGTCGGCTTCCTTCACGTTGTATGGCAAATTGATGATGTCACCCTCGGTGACCAAAAACTGTCTGCCGTGAACCTTGATAGTGGCGTATAAGGAGGCTGATGGGGATAACTTCAACGGGGTTAAATCTGTGACGGTCTTGGCCTCGGGTTCAGCGGCAGCCTGTTGTGAAATGGTGGAGGTGCTGAATAGTCTTGGGATTGAGGCAAAGGCCGGACGTGGAGTAAGTAACTTGCTCACTGGAGCCCTCAAACTAGCAAATCTTTGCATCATGGTGTGGGTGATGGTGACTAATTCTAATATTTTCTGTTTGTGTCTAAGTTTCTATAGTGAGAATTTTGATGGAAAAACTTTAACCAGATTCGGTGGGCGCACAACAATTGTGACGTCTGCATGAGATGTAAACTGTGGATAAAGGCAAGGGATGTGCCACACTTTGAAATATGAAAATCTAAATTGCTTATATTAATACTCCTCTCGTAAGAAATGTCAGTAATGTCTTTAACTACGGAAAAATACGGTCTGGAACATGGATCTGGAACATTGTTTTGAGCTGAAACAGCGATGTTATGGGTAGCCCTCTATAATACATCCTGTTTTCTAGGAATAGCGTAAAATCTTGAGTATATAAGCTCTAGCGGTGGTAAGATACATAAAATAGCTATTTAATAAAACCGTCAGGCAATTTTACAAATCTTATCCTCCTTCTGCTGGGCCAATCTGAGGTAGGTCGCCGCCGGAATCACCACCTCGACTATAAACAAAAAGAAAAAACAGCTGCTTCAGCTCAGACCAAATTCTCGGGATTGGTCTCGTGTTTAGACAAGCTTGGCGTAACGACCTTCGGAGTCCTTGCTTTCGGACTTCATTCTGATGTAGATGGCAGCAGGAATTGCGAGAACCAAAAACATGACCCCACCGACGATCCAGATCCAGTTGTCTAACTGCTCAGGAATGTGCTTTTGCCTGAAATCCTCGACCGTCGCGTCGGTGGTGTTGAGATATTCGATCTTGATATCCACCACTTTAATCGGCTTGATGGGCCTATCATTCTTGGTCTTGACGTTTTCAATCTTGTGCAAGACATCCATGCCGTCGATCAACTGGCCAAACACAACGTGTCTGTTGTTAAGGTGAGGGGTGGGCACGGTAGTGATGAAAAACTGCGAGCCGTTCGTGTCTCGGCCACTGTTGGCCATGGACAATCTGCCCACACGGTCATGTTTTAAACGGAAATTTTCGTCCGGGAACTTTTTCCCGTAAATAGAATAGCCCCCCGTCCCGTTTTCGTTCTCAAAGTCACCTCCCTGAATCATGAATTTAGAAATGATACGGTGGAAAACGGAGTTGAGGTACCCATGGCCATGTTCATCGGAAGCCAACCCCACAAAATTCAACACTGTCTGGGGGACATAAGACTCGTATAACGCTAATGATAAGGTTCCGAGGACGTTCTGTGTGTTGCCTTCCATTTCCGCCACGGTAAAGCGCACAACGTGCGATGCGGGCGGGTCTGCGGGTGGCGGTACCTCGCCAGGTGGTGCCACTGCAAAAACTGCAAAGGTACAGAAGAAAAGTATGGTCAATTGTTTGAACAACATTGTATGAGGGGGGGCAAGATAGAGGTTGGATGAGAGGGATTGGTATTGCGCTTTATCGATACGCGTCTCCTCCGTGCGCCCCGTGAATACCAGGCATAATACAGGTCACGTGATCGCGTCAACTGGAATCATGGGTACACCGCGGATCACCAACGGTGGTTAACAGGCATGAAACACCCAATCCAGAAACTATACTGAAAACTAGTCTTAACATCAACACCCAAATCATTTCGCCTGGATAACCGTTATACACTCCATGTCCTTTCCAAAGCTTCTCGTTCAACTGCCCACAGCATGCACGACTTCCATTACCTTAACTATATAGTATACATTCCGTCTACTCCCCGTCAGATGCTTCGCTACCAGTCTCACTATCAGTTTCCTCACTATCAGTCTCATCACTGTCAATATCCTCGCTGTCAGTCTCTTCATCTCCAGTTTCTTCCTCTCCAGTCTCTTCCCCACTCTCTTCGTGGTCCGCTTCCAAGGTCTCCACAGACACCTGGTAGCCCAACCTGGTCAAGGTCTCGGTGAAGGCGGCCTCCTTGCTTGGACTGACACACCCAAAGATGCTCGATTTACCGGCATCAAACAAGTTGACAAAGTACTTGTTAGTGGTATCCTGCAAGTCCTGCACCGTGAGCTTTTGGACCTGGCCCAAGAATTTGGTGGTAAAGTCACCACCACGGTTTTTGAACACAACGTCGAGGATTTTACCGTTACCAGTGCTCAAGGAATTGCTCTGGCCATTCACCACGGTGTTAACCAAGGAGGCCACGGCACCCTCCATCGCGGACTGGACGAAGGGGGTCTCACCGGTGGCAAAGCCCTGGATGATGGTGTGGGCCACCTTGAGCGCCTCCTCACCATCGCTGCCTCTGTAGATGTCAAACATCAAGTTCCCAAACTCCAAATCGCGGTGAATATTGGCACCGTAGGCCAACCCCGTCCCACGGATCCCGCGCCAGAACGGACCTTCCACCGCTTGTAAGTACTCGGAAACCAAAGCAATCTTCGGCATATCCGGGTGTAAGTAGTCTGTCGGGATCTTGGTAGCGGCAATTAAGTATGCGGAGTCTGAGGCCGGAGCACTGATCAAGAAAGCCTTCCCCCTGACGTCGCTTTCTGGCTTCAACGCCGCCAAAGTGCGCGGAATCGCACTCACGGCGGTGGTGTTGCCGATAACAAGCACATCAAACACCGAAACCGGCTTTTCAATGCTCAAAATGTCCCCGGCAACCACCAAACGCATGTTGCCGTTGGTGAACAACTGAGATCTGACCTCGTTCAACGTTGCAAGCACGGTGGCAAGACCCTCGTCGGACTCCAAAAGCGCGGAAGTATCCTTAAGGAACGCTTCCAACGTCAAACAGTCCTTCGCAACCCTCATCGAGCGCGCGGACAAGCTGCTGCGGTTGTACACAGAGTTCAACATAGTACTGCCGTCGCGCTTCTTTTCCGGGAGTGACAACGCCAACTTATCCACGGCGTTCTTCACACGCGCCTTGGTAAAGACGGAATCAAAGAGTGACTTCCGGATCCACTCCACGGCCTTCGCTACCTTGTGCTTCTCAACCTGGACGGTCACATTCACCACCTCGTCGAACTGACCCTGGAAGGACGAGTGGAACCACGCTTCCACGGTGTCCTGTTTCAACGCCGCGATGGCATCTTGGTACGGCGTCTCGGATCCGTCCGCATTCTGAATTGGTAACGCAAACATCAATTCCTCAAAGAGCTCCATGTACGGAAGCAGCGCCTCTGGAACCGCGAAGGAGCCGAACATGGCGTTCACCGTGATAAACTGCGATTCGTAGTGCTCAAAGTGGAAGAAAAGCGGCAACTGGGCATCTGCTGCCACATGCCGGGCAACTTCCAGAGAGGCACCGCTGGTGTACGCGCTGTCGACAAGCGTATTGGTACCGGCCTTGACGGAAACCGTGTTGATGAACTCAATCTTGGCTGGATCCGGTCTGCCAAACTCCACAAGCAACGCCTCCGGAATCGGTGTGTCGTTCAACGCGGTGGCGTCCTCGAGTTTCTTGCGCAACTTCTCCAACCCCTCTTTACCAAAGGCACCCTTGCGCTTCTTCAACAACGCCTTGTCCACCTTCTTGTGCTCTTCGTACAACGTGGCAGACGGCCGGGCAATGACCGTCACGTGGGGGCTGGACACAAACACCAGACGCAACATGGCTGTCCATTGCTCCTCCGTCCACTCGAGTAACTCGTCGTACTCGTCCAAGTTCTGTGTCCATTTGGCCAAGTCCGTCCCGTCGACGTTCCCGTACATGAACTCCTCGATGGCGATGGTGGAGAGCAGCTCCGGCGACTTTTCGGTCGCAAACACAAACTTTAACCTCTGCTGTTCCAACACCTGACGCACGCGCACGACATCCACCGTGTGAGCGGTGAGAAGCTCCAACACCTTCGCAGCGACGGTGTCGAGCTGCGCGTACGGAACTCCCGACACGTTCATCACCAACCGCGTGCGCAACAAGTCCGAGGTGTAGTACTCGACCTCAGTGGCGAGCGGCTCATCGATCTCGACCAACGCCTGCTGGAGGTATGCTGCAGGAGAGTCCGTGAGGTAGGTACCCAAGATGTCCAATGCAACGTTGGCCGTGACGTTGCCGTGGGCCGGTCCGAGCCAGTTAAACTGAATCTCCCCCGATGATTCGTCGTCATCGGGGAACTCGATGGTCTTGAGGACAGACAGCTGGAGATGGGTATCGACAGGGGAGTCGACGAACGGACGCTTGTGTGGGGGTAAATCTGCCAACGTGGGCAACGCAGCATCGAACTTCTCGATGGTGGCCAAGAGCTCAGTCTCGTCAACAGAGCCGGTGATGATCACGCACAAGTTGTCGGAGCGGTAGTTGTCGCGGTGAAACTTACTAATGCGTTCATTTGTCAACTCGCGCAAGCTCGGCAACAACCCGCCGGTTTCGGACGAATAGCCGGATTCCGGGCTATACAACGCGCGGGAGCTCTCCAAGTCAGATAAGAACCAACTCTGATTCGCAATGCCCTGCATCTCGGAGAACACAACCCCCTTTTCTTTCGCCTTTCCGTCAATGTGGTACACCTCGGTGTAGCACGCCTCATCAGTCAAGGTGGGGCGGAATAAGTGGTCGAGGTAGATTGGCAACAACATCTGGAAGCCCTCCCACCCGGCTGTCGTGAGTGTGTACACTGTCTGGTCGACCGCGGTCCACGCGTTTGTCGACGAGAAACAGCGGTTACCGAGCGTATCCAACAATCCCTTGTACTTGTAGTTGTCAGATCCCATGAAGATCAAGTGTTCAAGTGTGTGGGGCGAGCCGCTGTCGTCGGTGCATTCGGTGGCGACCGCGAAGTAGCCGTTGACGACTGGTGTGGACTGGTTGATGTAGGTCAACTGGAGACCGGTCCGGCTGGAACGCCATTTCTTGATGTGCGCCGGCGCATAATCCACCTTGAAGCTGGATTGGAGTTGCAAGTTAGTCATACGGAGTAGTCTGAGCAGCGTGAGGGGAGTAGAGAGATAACCGAGAAAAGGTGGCAGTTTGTGTCAAAAAAAAAAAAAAAAAAAAAAAAGGTATAGATATGCGGCGCAAAGTATGCTGGTAAGGGCACGATAAATAAGGCTTGGTGCGCGACGCAGCTAGGTAAGAATTAAAAAGTTGAGTGGAGCTTACAGAGGTATAATGAATCATATTGATTATAGGGGTTGGTATAATCTGTAACTTTGCAGGCTATGCATTAAACATACACAGAGTTTTGAAAGGCGTTGAGCGATGCGTAACTGTCGCACAACGCGGTTATGGCACGTTGCCCTTAAAGAACTGGGCTATATCTGATCCCGTGGAATAGTTACTTGCTCTAGTGCTATATATCAATCGTCTACTGGGTGTAATTTCTCCCTCAGCTTATCGTGAATATCTTTATCTGGTACGTGGCCACATATGAAATCGCGGCTAAAGCATATTTTAGAAAATTTTGTGAACGGTTATCAAACAATTAGCTTACTGGGCCAAGTATGAATCTCTCCCCAACCATGACTTCGTATCCAACAAATAACTTATACACACAACTCCAATCTCTGGACCCATCACATGAATGGTCAATCGGCAGACTTGGATATTCTGGAAATATAACCAGTGCTAAAAATATCTAGCCGAAGATACCACAAACGTTTCACGGCCGCAACATATGGCTGAACCGTACCGATTTCCCATTATAGAAGTAACCATAATTCTGTAGCGGTATGTATTAAGCCCCAGCGCTATACCTCTCTCCAACTTATATTTCCACCATCCGTAGACCCTAGTGCCTTTCTAACCAAAGATCCCGAGCTCAAACACTAGTTATTACCGAACTACATCCTTCACAACAACGGAAAATTTCAGACGCTTCGTTTATAAATCAAACCATAAAGTACTCTCTTTCTTCTGACAAACTCATATACCATGGTTCTGCTCACCACCCCTTGGCATGGTAGTTGTCCATTTCATCCTCTTCCCAGGAGGAGCCAAACAGCGGCGCCCCGTTGATCCCCACGGGCATCTTGCCGAGCTTGTTGTCGGTCAACAAGCTCTTGCGCAAGCTGTCGCTCAACTCGGTTGCGAGCATCTGGCGACGAACTGCCTTGGGCGAGAGTGCGTGGCCGAAGCTGGGCGGAATCTCCTGGGGCGACGCTGCGCGGTCGACAAAGCGCGACAGATGCACTTTGCTCAGTCGAGACCTTCCCCTGTCGTCATCCGCTTTCAGTAGCGGCGACAACGCCTGCATTGTGCTCTGGTGTCTGCTGCTCGCGCTGCCCACACTCTCTGCACTGCTAGCGCTATCAGTATGGAAAGAAACGCGGGTACCTGGTCTCCCGGAGCGGCCTCTTTCAGGTATCCGTTCGGCCTCTAGTTCGTGATTCAGCATCTGGTGGTCTGCCTCCGCGAGACGCTTTTGAAGACGGTTCGGCGCAAACATATGTGTGGAGACGGTGGTACGGAGCAACGCACCCGCAGCGGTGGGCACACGTACCTCAGTACCACGCATGGCGCTGAAGTAGTTGGTCAAATTCAACGCGCTTCGGCCAATCCTCTGCGTAAACGTGGGCGACTTGAGGCTATTGTTCATCGTGGAGATTGCACTGTTCAGAGACCGAGCCTGAATGGTTTCGCTGGAGGTTGAAAGCATGTCCATGTCCATGCTGGCCATGGCGTTGATGTTTGTGGTTGAAACAGAGGGAGTGACGCGTGCAGTCATGTCGTCAGGCGAGTGAGGGTGGTGCGAGTTTGCGTGGAGCTTCATGGACGACGAGAGGTACGCTAGAGTGGTTGACCGTTGTACCTGCGGTCTTGAAGCGGCATGGACAAGCGACGTAGTGGACGTAGAGGCTCTTGGGACGTCGCTGTGGAACGAAGGACTCACCGTCTTGCTTCGTGAGTGGGATGAGACCTGGGGCTGTCCGTCAAACAAACCGCTGAGCAATGACTTCTGGAGCTTCGTCGTAGACGTATTTCTGTTTTTGTGGCGACTAAAGTCCAAGCTCTTCTCGCTGTCATCAGAGAAAGAAGACCACTCGGAGTCGTCACTGAAGGAGTCTTCTTCCTCTTCTTCGTCTCCGTAGATCTCATCTTCCCCGTCGGTCCCAAACGCTGCAGTGGATATCGTGGCGCTGCTGTTGGTTTTGATCGGCTTGCGGTTGAATCCAAACAAAGAATCGGCCTTCGGTTCATCCAAGTTTTTCCTGAGTACATCGAGCTGTGACGAGCTGTTTCCCATCGGCGGGCTAGGCGAGCTGTCGAGGAAGAACATGCCGTGTTTCTGCGGCCTCTCCTCAGAGCTATCCGAGAGCTCTTCCTTAGACATGCTGGTCATTCCCAAGTTGTCGAGCAACGTTACTCTCTTGACGTGGGTATTCCCCAAACCCTTAGGAGACCCTCTAGGCGGGGTGTCTAGAGACTCCGTGAATCTAGAGGTGGAGTGATGGCTCTCCGGGAGAATCTTCAATCCCTGGTGTTTGTGTGTGTCGGAACTGTGCCTTCCAGTCTTTGATCCCTGATGCTTGCCCAAATCAAATTTCGGTCCCAGGTGCTTCGCGTCTGACTTTGTCCTTCGATGCGAATCAACCGATTTCAGCAGATCGATCGATATCTGCGAGTCAACTGACCTCGGCAACTCAACCGATCCCAGATGCTTGCTGGAGTCTTTTGGTCCCTTTACAGAATCAATTTTAGACTCACTCCGATGGATGCTTAGGGTAGACGGTTGGAAGCCTCGTACCACCGAAGGACTGCGATTGAGCTCGTCGACGTTCCGTGGCGCAAACATCGACTGGTGCTGGTTGGGCTGGACCACGTTCTGAGCCGGTGCCTTTGGCTGTGCCCGGGGGTCCTTCTTCTTCCACGTCAGTTTCCGCGGGGTCGGGTTGCGGAGCTGCGGCTTGGTCCGGTTATCGTGAAGTACCGCGTAGTGGTCTCGCTGGTCGCGTCTCCGCGGAAGCGAACCGAGAGAGGACTCTGACGACGTGAGACCAAAGTCGCTGTTGGCATCGTCCTCGCCGGAGATGCTGTCTGCCTCATCGAATTCGCTGTCGCTCCCGGAAACCTCGTTGGTGGTTTCCTGATAGCCATTGCTCATGCTAACTTGCGAAGATTTCTTGCGGGGATTCGTGGGCTCGTGAGTCTGGTTACTGGTTTGTTCGTGAGTATTTGTCTCCTTGCGGGTTGGCTCGGAAACATTACTAAACAACGACGGACGGGGGTGTTGAACCGAAGTTGCGCTTTGCGAGTGACCTTGATTAAACAACGACGGCGACTTAACCCTGGGCTTGGAATTGTTGCGAATATGCGTCGCTGGAGGCGTCGGGGAACGGGTTCCGGAAATATTACCAGTGCTAAACTTGTTGAGCGAGCCCACCGTTCGAGATTCCCCCTTTAGCTCGGTTTTCGCATCCCGCAAGAACCGCTCCTTGGAGTTGGACCTCTGCTTCAGCACCTGGGGCCGTATGTGGGTATGGTTTTCCCCCTTTTGCTTGGTCTTGGGCTTGCTGAAGTCGTAATTCAAGTCTTTCATGAACGGCTGGAGCTCGTACGCCTTTTGTGACTTGCCTGAACTGTAGCTCTCGTTGCGAGTGTTGTTGATCTCATAAAGCGTCCGGAAGTCCTGGAGCGTGATGATCTGGTTTTTTTGCTGGCGCGCCTTGTTATTGTCCAGCTGGCAGACCAAGCCGCGGTTTACAAGTCGCCAACTGATGTTTTCTAAACGCGCGCCATTCTTGATGAACTGCGACGTCTTGGTGATGGTGGTCCACACAGTGAGCACGTCGTGGGTGGAGTTTCCTGGTGTGGCGGGCGTGGCAAGCCGGGCTAAGTTTTCCAATGAAACTTCCAAAAACGGGATCTTTGTCGGTGCCTTGTGGAAATGTCGCGCGGTGGTTGAGAAGTAGTCGTCATCGTCAACGAAGGACGGGTGTTTGGGCGTGAAGTAGTCTTCCTTTTTGGGCATCCTGAGCGGTAATACGAAAGGGGGAGACAAATGGAGAGCACCCGTTAATGGATATGATAGTTAAATGGATAAGTGATGCGAAGAGGAGGGGGTGATATGGTCAAGACTAGATGGAGAGCGGTTTGTTGGGATTGATGAGTTATGCTGGTGGATACCGCTAGCGTTCCGGGATGGCCAACGGGTGGGTAAAATGGAAGTAACAACGTTACACGAATGACGTAGCTGAATGTATTTGCCGTAGAGTTGGCTGAGGAAAAGTGAAGGTTGAGCTGAGAAGATGTACCACAAAGTGTAGCTAGAAAAAGTGAAAACTTTAAGCGCGCAGAATTCTGGAGATATGGGGACGGCGTTTAGGGTCGCGCGGACGAGGAATTACCAAGGTTGCGAGACAATATTTTTCAAGGTCTTGGTTCACGCCAATATTCACGTTCGCTTTAGTACTGCGATAAAAATACATATCCACAACCCTTTCTAGGAAGACGGTACCGCCTTATCGGCCTTTGTTACGGTTTCCTACGCGGTATCGATTCGTGCATCACGTGTGTATGTAATGACCCGGACATGGATGTCCTAGGGTCAGGCGGCGCTGGGTGCAGGAGTACCATTTGACAGCAAAAAAGGTTTTGCGAGGGGCGAACACACGCCATGACCAGTACTGTAACAGCAACGTCCTGCATGAGAATCGCGTTCCGCTCCATGACGGTCATTTATCTGGACAAGAGTCCAGGAAACACATAATAAGTCTAGAGAGCGATTGTATTATCTGTATACTACGGGACTTGAGATTTATTTTAGGTTCTCGTCTAGTCTCACACGTGGTGTCACCAGGACTAACGTGCTTTTCCTAACGTTCCGTGAGTTTACTTATATCCGGACTTCGGAGATGGCGGGCAGCACGCTTGGTCGCGCCCTGATAGTATTCTCCGGTTACGTTCAAGCGGGCTATGGCAGCCCCCTCCAGACGTTAGCTGACGATACACCTAGAAGCAAATTTTTGCCAAATCTGGGGCACTCGGGGTCTGCAGAAAAGGTCAGCACCGGACCCTCGTGTGTTTCTAAAGGGTGCATACTCGTACCCCCGTGTTTACATATATGTAGTCGCCCCACCTTTCCAGAGTAGCATGGTTGGTATAAGACGCAAGAGGTTCGGGCCCGGACTTGCCATGGTTAGTGGGGCCAAATGCGGGGGACGCAACGTTAGTTTTTAAAGTGCATGTGCTAGAACGAGAGGGTGGGGTAATTCGAGGGGGAACCAAACCCAACTCTGGTAGACATAACAGTATCAAGCACTATTATGAGATAGAACGAGATTTATCCTTTGTGTTTTTTCTTAACCTTCGAAGAGACTGAACGTTGAGTATCTTCTTTTCTAGTGCAATTTTGCCCCCCGATGACTCCGGCACTTGCGCGCGATGGAAATACCTGAGGTGATTTCCCGCCAATGTCCCAAGCATACAACCGCATAGAAAGTCTATGCCTTATCCCCGGTTTAGCCGTACAAGGATGGATGTACTCTGTTGAAGCCGGCGAAAGTATATCTGTATAAAATCCCATGAATTTTGCAATGTTATTTATAACCGTTTTATATGCAGCGCATTGAGTGTCTGATCTGAAGTATGGTTATTGACTCTACGGAGATCTCAACACCTTGTCGGCTAGTTGATTTGTCATTAGTCTCTGGCGGGCAAATCATAAGTCAAAAATATACCGGTGTGGGACCACTGACCAGGTTAGGGACTATGAAATCGGCACATGTTAACTTAAACCAGGTGGGATCAGACGGTTTTTGTCCCGTTGAGTTTTCCCGCAGCCATGCTTGAAATGCCTCCACCTCAGGTGCGAGCACCGTAAATTTCGTACTGAAAGCATATTCATCCCTGGTTCTGCTAAAACAGTATAGGTTGGTGTGCTAGAGAAACCATCTGATATTCCTGCTAGTACTAGCCTTTATCCCTTCAACTGATATCCTACAGTATGCACCACATACAAACTGATGACAGGTCTGTGCAGGATGCTTACCTAATCCCCTCCAAAAATTTGCTCGCTCCAATTTCTTTTTCATACTCCACTTTGCAGGGTGGTATAATACGACGCCTACGAGCAGAATCAGACTATTCTTCCACATATACGTACACTCAAAAGTAACAATGTCTGCTTACCCATGGTACACCAGAGTCCTTGATTTGGCCCACAGAGCCACCGTCACTGTTTTGGCCGGTGGTACCGTCTATATGTTGGGTGGTTTGGGATACATCCTCTGGGCCAACAACGACCCAGTCAAGTACGAGTCCGCGATTCCATCCCAGCAGCAGTTGGAGCAGCTCAAGGAATCCTCCATCCCAAAGAACTTTGATGATGCCCTTGCAGAAAAGAAATGAGCGAAAACCTCGACGTGGCCAATAAAGCAGACGTAACTCGGAGGTTTCCAAATTGGTGATCGGTACCTCTCTGGCAATAATCCACCAAAGTTAGCCATAGTGACTTTAATGTCTCTTTATTTCCATTCCTTTCACGGACCTGTACATATCACAATATAACATTTATTCGGAACATCTTAGTCTCCTATTTGGGCTTTCTCTAAGTTTTATGCACTCTCAACTATGCGTATCACTTGATATCGTTCGAAATACCTTTTATTTGGAGTCTTCCATTTGGGTTGGTCAGCATTTATCATTTTTGTGTACCATAATATCATTCCCTAAAATAGCTTGGTGTGCAAGTCTTTCTGCATTCGGGACACGGTACTGAATTATATCGTTCTTTCTCTAAGTTTGATTTATGATTTGACATCTTTTCAAATTATCCCATCTTGATAGATACTAGAATTATTGAATATTATTGAATACTATTGAATACTATTGAATACTGTTGAATACTGTTGAAGCAGTTATAGTGAAGCTTTCTCTGTGCTCAGGGGTGTCGTGTCTCCACCGTGTCGCCTCCGAAAATCCAACCTCTATCTCACCAAAGACTGGCGGCAAACGAATATTAAAGCAATTGCAATTGCCCCCGCACAAAAGATACAATCACCTTATACTTGATTTTAGAGCCGCTATAACCAAGCATTTATCCAATTAACACATACAACTATGGCTGATAGATACTCCTTCTCCTTAACCACCTTTTCCCCAAGGTATGTACCGTGTCCACTGTGACCTAGATCTCTACTAACACCTCCAGCGGCAAGTTGGTGCAAATCGAATACGCATTGAACGCCGTCAAACAGGGAATCACGTCGTTGGCGATTAAATCCACAAATGGGATTGTTCTTGCGACTGAAAAGAAGTCCAGCTCGTCGTTGATCAAGCTAGACGACCAGCTCAAAATAGAAACCTTGACCCCGAACATCGGATGCACCTACGCCGGGATGGGTCCGGACTTCCGCGTCTTGTTGGACAAATCGCGCAAGGTCTCCCACACCAACTACAAGCGCATCTACAACGAGTACCCATCCACCAAGATTCTCGTCGATGAAATCGCCAAGATCATGCAGGAGGCGACCCAATCCGGGGGCGTCAGACCATACGGGGTGTCGCTTTTGATCGGTGGCTTCAACGAGCACGACCAAACCTACCTGTTGTATCAGGTTGATCCATCCGGCTCCTACTTCCCGTGGAAGGCCACCGCCATCGGCAAGAATGCCACCGCGGTCAAGACGTTCTTGGAGAAGAGATGGAACGAAAATTTGGAGATCGAAGACGCAATCCATATCGCCTTGTTGGCCTTGAAGGAGAGTGTCGACGGCGAGTTGACCGGCGAAAACATCGAGTTGGCCCTCATCAGCGAGCCTAACGACGACATGTTGGGCTTCAAGGGCACCGATATGAGCGGCCCAAGGTTCAGATTGTTGAGCGCCGAGGAGATCAACGACAGATTGGAAGCTTTGTAGAGGCGATGCCAGTATATTCTTCAATGTATATTACCGTTAGTTTAAGTGTCGTTTGTGCCAGAAATAGCCAAGTTAGAACCGTTAATGCTAATGGTTGAGAGTATTCCATTTCGCATTGTCATTTTTGCTTTATTTGCGAAACGGTATTAGGAAAGATTAATTGTAATATCTAGACCGAGGCTGATATTTCCAGTCTTGCCCAATCTTTATGTCCACTACTATGGCTTCCCCAAAAGAGCACTGATTAAAGTCACACCACACTTCATAACCAGTTCGCCTATGCACCTCTTTTCCTTGTTTCATTTTCATGCCCCAGTTACTCTAATACACATCATAATAATACTATATAATTTTTCTTTTGATTATTTACTTCCAATTTTGTCGCTCACCCTTCAGTTATGCTTCAATTATATCTAACCGACCTTGAAGTACGACTTTGCACACGTGACCTCATCGCTCCTGCACACAGTTTTTCTTTTTGACAAATTTTTTGCATAAAAAAATCTACCCTCACTCTTGATTCATCCCCAGACTACAACTAATTTGCCATGGCCAAACCACAACAAAGAAAGTCCAGACAAAAGTCTACCCGCCGCGCCCAGGACGCGTTCCAGCTTGCGGAAAAGCAGGCGAATGGCGAGTCCTCGGACGAGGATGACGACAGGACGTACCGCGGCAATAGTGCCATCGTGAACTCGCGCCGCTTCACCGGCGAAAACGACGAGGAAGCCGAATTTGAGGACGAAGAGTTGGACTCTGACGAGGCGTTGGGCTCCGAGGATGACTACGACGTGTTGTCCTCGAAGTTCTCACAGACCATCAGAGACAAGGCCAAGGCCAAGAAGGACGCCAAAAAAGAAGCGCGCAAGGCCGGTAAACCGTTATCATTGGATGAAGAGTCCGATGAGGAGCTCTACGACAGCGTGGATGAGTCTGAGTTTGTTTCGTTATCCGAGGTGTGGGATAGAGACGAGAAGGACTTGGCCAGCTCCAAAGCCACGGGACAGGACGTTGTGTTAAATGACGACTGGGAAAGTGAGGAGAGTGAAAGTGAGGAAAGTGAGGAGAGTGAAAGCAACGAGAGTGAGAACGACGAAGAGGAAGAGGAAGATTCTGATTCCGATGATTTGAATGACTCCGACGTGGATCTCACCTCCACCGTGGCAAAGCTTTCTGGAGTCACCAAGACCCGCAAGGCCAAAAAATTCCTCACCACCGTTGGTCTTGAGGAAAACGAATTCAACCTCCCAACAAACGGAAAGAAGCTCTCGCTCAAGGACATGATGTCTGTAGTGGATGCGTCCACGCAGAAAGAGGCGATTTTGATCGACAAGGAGGAGGAAAAGTCACAGGCGTTGGCCGTGCCGTTGCCGAAACGGATCCAGGAGCGTAACGAGCGCCTGGTAGCGTACGAGTTATCCAAACAGGAGGTAGATAAGTGGGAGGATACAGTCAAGCAGAATCGCAGAGCCGAGGTGTTGCAGTTCCCCATGAACCCAGAACCGGCTGTCTCGGTTCCATCGGCGTTTACGCCAAACTCTATCCACGAACCGCTTACGGAGTTGGAGCACAAGGTAAATGACTTGTTGAAGGAGTCGCTCTTGTTGGACGACAAGAAGGAGCAGCAGTTCGAGGACTTGGCGACGGCAAAGATCCCGATCGAGGAGATGAAAAAACGCCAGGCGGAGTTGAGGTTGATGCGCGAGTTGATGTTCCGCGAGGAAAAGAAGGCCAAACGTGTCAAGAAGATCAAGTCCAAGGCGTACCACCGCATCAAGAAGAAGGAGTTGGCCAAGACGCAGGGCTTGGTTGAGGGCTCCGATGACTCTGACGCCGAGGAGCACGATATGAAGCGCGCAAAAGAGAGAATGTCGTTAAAACACAAGAACAACTCCGCATGGGCCAAAAACTTGGTCAAGTCGGGTTTATCCAAGGACAAGTCGAACAGAGACGAGATGGAAGAGATGTTGAGACAGGGCGAGAAGCTCAAGGCCAAGATTTTGGGCTATCGCGAGGGTGAGCAGAGCGACGACAACGTATCAGACCTTGAGAGGGACGATGTTTCAGATAACGAGGAGCGCGGTGGCTTGGGCAAGGGTGTAATGGCGATGGACTTTATGAAAAACGCCGAGAAGCGTGAGCGCGATGAAAATACCAAGACGTTAGAGTTGTTGAGAAAGTTGGAAGCCGACGGGGACATTGAGGGGTTCGAGAAGGAGGTTGATGCGACATCGAGAAATGCCAACCAGGGGAGAAGAACGTACACCCCGAGCGCCGCCGCTGCCAGGGCCGCGACCAATGAGTTCAACTCTCGGGTGGTGGAGGAGACAAAAGTGGATGAAACCAAATCATTGAAGAATAAGTTATCTGCAAAGTTCCAGGCTACGCCGGAGGCGGGTCAGGAGGCTGCGCCGATTGAAGAAAAGGCGGATGCCGCCAATCCGTGGATGGCTGGCGGCGAGACCCACCAGAGAACATCCAAGATCACGGTGGTGGACAAGTCCTCTTCCAAGACACTGAAGCATGGTGCAAAGATCGCCAAGAAGGGCAAGAGAACCGCGGCACAGGTCGCGTCCGAAGACGCGTTGATCGACATGGACCAGACATTGAAGATCCAGGACCCGCTCGCAGACGACTCCGATGAGGGCGAGGCGATGATGTTCAAGCAGAAGAGCTTGATCAAGCAGGCGTTTGCGGGTGACGACGTGGTCAGCGAGTTCCAGGCGGAAAAGAAGAAGGTCATCAAGGACGAAGGCGATCAAAAGGAAGACATGACACTTCCGGGCTGGGGCGGCTGGTGTGGTGGGAACAAAAAGAACAAGAAGAAGAAGGTGGTCAGGACGATCCAGGGTGTGGTCCAGGCCAACAACCGTAAGGATAAGCACATGAAGAACGTCATCATCAATGAGCGTGTCAACAAAAAGAACTTGAAGTACCAGTCGGGTGCCGTTCCGCATGGTTTTGATAATAGCGAGCAGTACGAACGGTCTTTGAGAATGCCAATCGGCCAGGAGTGGACCAGCAGAGAGACCCACCAGAGATTGACAATGCCGCGTGTGGTGGTCAAGCAGGGTCGGGTTATTGATCCGTTGAACGCGCCGTTTAAATAATGATGTTGTCGTGTATATTAGTAACAAGCTTTTGAAACGTAAGCAACCTGTGAGCGAAACAACCTGTGAGTAAAACAACCTGTGAGTAAAACAACCTGTGAGTAAAACAACCTGTTCGCTTCACTCACAGGTAGAAATCCTAATCAAAGCGGGCTTTATTGAGCTAACTGGCTTGTCCAAGTGAACAGGTTCTGTCGGCTCTATTGGCATGCTTTCCAACTCGTAGCGGACATTTCCTTGGGTGGAATCTGATAGCAAACTAATTGACAAGAAATGTTTTATATATCTACACGTTGCCAACCTATCCGGTGTTTGGTTACTAAGCGTTGGATCTAGAGACACATTGTCTTGATTCAACTTTATAACCGGTTGTAACCGAAGCTTACCGCCCAATATTTCCTTTAAATCGCAAGTGCTTTATGGCGTTTATACAATAACCACCGCATTGCAGCACAGCTATTATATTTTATAGTTAGTACGGCGATTTTCTGTAGGGGTATTTCTGTCTTCAGACATTTTGTAGATCGTTTCCCGGACAGCTCTCGGCTTGCAGTATAGTACAATTAACGTTTCTCCCTTGCGAGACTTTATTTTCAGTTTTTCACTTCTACCAATGCACCACCGCGGTCCATCAATCAATCCATCAGCACTGGGCGAATAGCATTCCGCTCTTTAGCTTTTAGTGCCCACCAACTGACTTCTCTGAATCCTTTTATTGCTCTCATGGCGTCATATCATCGGGCGGCAGCAATCGAGAATTCGATCTTGATCTCTATGCAGGCAATCCATGCACGGGCTCGGGATTCAGACGCATAAGGTCCTGCAGCAAGCTTTCAACAGCAACCATTGAAAAGTGTCGTCTCGCTTTGGCAAATATAAAAAGGCTTCAAGCTGCAAATCCTTGAAATTTCATCTCTAAATTCAAATACACCTCTACACTCCATTTTACAATGAAACTCTCTAAGGTGGTGCTCACGTTGACGGCTACCTGGATGGTGGCCGCACATTCCGCCGCGTCCCTGCATCTGACGAGAGCCGACCGCATCGCTGTCAGCTCCAAGATCTTTGAAAGATGGGACCGGAATGATATTAACGAGTTTTTAGATGATCACAATGTTCCCTACAACACCGCGTCTAGTGACGAGGAATTAAAATCCTTGGCTCTCTGGCAATACGAGAAGATGGCTGCGGACTATGCCAGAAAAATAGCCAAGACGATCCCCGACCTCGAAAAGCAGAGTCTTTTTGCCAAGCTCAAACAGCACGTACTTAACGTGAAGGAAGATGCCAGTGCCATTGCCGACCACTTTGGCAGTAACTGGGACTACTTTTTCCATGAAGCAGAGAAGGCGACCCAGAATGCAAAGGACTCCATCGACTCTGTTAAGGCCAAAGGGGAGCAAGCGACCGACCGCGTCAAGGACTCCGCCAATGCCGCTAAAGCCAGTGTTATTAAAAAGGCCAACGATGTCCAATCTGACGCTGCTAAGAAGGTCGATGATGTTACTAACCAGGTAGCAGCTAGCAAGAAAAAAGCAAAGGACTCCTACGAATCCATCACGTCGTGGGTCTTTGACACCTGGTCCACGGCCACCTTAAAGTCGTACTTAAAGGCAAACGATATCAAGTTCAAGGCGGACGAAACCAAGAAGCAGTTGGTGATCCGGGCGAAGAAGAACTACAGGACCATTGCGGACGCTAACAAGGCGACCGGCTGGTACCCAGGAAACTGGTTGTACAAGGCGTGGACCGAGGAGGATTTGGCAGCCTGGTTGAAGAAGTTTGGTATTCCCTTTGCCTCCGGTTCATCGAAAAACGAATTGGTCTCCAAGGTCAAAAACAACATCTACTTGGCCACCCGCGACAAGAAGGACTCATACTCCTCGTTCTTAGATGACTTGGAATTAAGTGACGCTGACATCTTTGACAGGGCTGGCAAGGTGAAGCGGCTGTTCATTGAAACCTGGTCGGAGTCGCAGTTGCGTGAATGGTTGGCGGACCACGAGGTTGATGATCTTGGTGAAAAGGCTTTGGAAACCAAGGAGCAGTTGGTGGCTTATGTTGAGGAACACTCCAGCGACTTGGTCTTTGATATCCAGTCATGGTTAGCGAGCGCTTCCAAGACCGCTAGTCCGTGGTTGAGCAAGGCCTCCAAGAAATCCAACCTTGTCAACCACACCTTCTTGGTGGACGTGGATAAATGGCCAAAAGACAGGTTAAAGGCGTTCTTGAAGGCCCGTGGGGTGTCGATTCCATTGTTTGCCACCAAGCTTGAACTTGTCTACTTGGTCAAGAAGAATGCGAACACTTTGTTGGGGCCTAATGTACAGAATCTCGGAGACATTTTCTTCCAGGGCTGGGAAACTGACAAGATTAAAGATTGGTTGACCGAGCACAAGTTGGCCATTGACGGCAACCGTGAGGTTTTGCTCGAACGCGCTCGCCAGTGGTACGCAGATTTGAAGGGCAATGCCGATGAATTGGCCAACGAGCAATTCCATAAGGGAACCAAGGCTGCCCAGGCTGCCGGTGCCAGTGCGTATTCCGCTGCGGAAGAGTGGGCCGATGCCGTCGAAACCCATGCTGCAAAGGGCAAGGAGTATGTTGGCATTGCTGCCGAAAGCGTCAAGAAGCACGTTGAAAAGGGGGCCAAAGCTGCGAGCCAGGCGGCTGAGGATGCCTTGAGCGAGGCGTCGGAGTTGGCGGACGCTGCCAAGCCGCATATTTCCACCGGTCTAGAGAAAGGTGCCAGTGCTGTTAGTAAGGCTGCCCAGGACGCCTTGAGCGGGGCGTCAGAATTGGCGGACGCTGCCAAACCGCATATTTCCACCGGGTTGGAAAAAGGTGCCGAGTACGCGAGTAAGGCTGCCGATGAAGCGGTCAAGCAGGCCGCCAACGCTGCCGAAGCTGCCAAGCCCCATATCGAAAAAGGTGCGCAGTATGCGAAAGAGGCTGGGGCTGAAGCTCTAAACCACGCTGCCAACGCTGCCAACGATGCTAAGGATTTTGTAGCGGCAAAGGCAGCGGAGGAATTAAATGCCAAAACGCTCGGAAAGCGCTACGAAGATATCAAGAGTGGGACCTCCAAATGGTGGTCTGATCTAGCCAAGGCTGGCTCCGATCACTTTGACAGCTGGAGCGACGGTGACTTGATCAGCTATTTGAAGAGCTTCGGCTACTCCAAGCGGAGCACCGCGCAGCACTCGCGTGAGGATTTGCTCAGGTTGGTCAAGGAGAACGCTGGCTACTTCTTTGGTACCACCCACAACAGCAAGGACGGTACTCCGGGCAGATTCGGCGGGCATTCCAACGTTGTCGGCATCACCCTTACCGGCAAGCTTCTTGTGTGGTACAAACAGCAGGTGTACGCTTGGAAGAGCTATTTGGTTCCATATTGGCCATTCAGTGAGTTCTTGTAATCCATGCTGTATCCTTTCGCTATTGATATACGTAAATGCTTATTATTTGAGATGCTATGTAGGGTGGAGGAAAGTCACAGAAACAGCTATATAATTTGAATAAGGCGCTAAGAACCGAGGGATACATTCAATGACCTGAATCTTCGATTGATGTAGTGTCATTAACCGTACCGTGGAGCTATATATATGGTATTCTTATATCAGGTGCAAATATTTCAAAGGCTTATTGATATTCAGATTTATTGATATTTAGATTTATTGATATTTAGGTTTATTGATATTCAGATTTATTGATATTCAGGTTAGTTTCCAGGAGTAAGACTGTTGGGGATCACTTTGAATGTCTCTGTCAAGATGCATATGCATGCGGAGCTGCTGCACTTTTGTGGCATCGGAACAAATGAAACGTCCCAACGATTATTCCCTTCGCTCAAAGTCTACTAAAAAATCAATATTCCTTTTCTTGATTTCATTTTTTCTGAAAGTAGTGTGACTCCGGACCCGATAAGAGTTTCTATTCACCTTTGCTACATCACCCGTTGCTGCACCAACCATTGCTACACCAGCCATTTACACCGTATTTGCTATTTATCTGAGTTTGCCAGAGAAATGAAGCACGTGGGGCTTCTGACATGGATTATCCTTTGGGTTACCGCCGCTTTCGCATTAAACCCCGTGGAAGACTCGGAAGAAGATCGTCAAAAGCACGCCTACGAGGAGCTAGACCAGATAGCTCGTAGTGCCAAACCCTATCAATTAAGGGACACGCCTCGTGACGTGTACTCCAACCGGAACGTTATCGATTCAGACAAGTTGTGGCGAGAAGCCGCGCGGGTCGAGGCGACGTTCAATAATGTCACTCCGGAAGAGAAGGAAAAGGCATTTGACTTGCATTATGGCATAAATCAAGAAATTAGCAAGCATGACATTAGTCACAACCGTGTTAAGGCCACTCGGATTAAGAATAAAAAAAAATCGGTGGCAACTCAGCCAAGAAAGGAAGCTGCGAGGGAGTACCGCGCACCAAGGGTTTTGAACACCAAGCAGATCAAGGTATATGATCAGAAGTATTTTGACGATAAGCTGTTTGGGAAAACCGTTAACGGGTTAAAGGACGAGTCGGAAATGAGAGGTCAGAAGGAGTTTAACGAAAGAGATGCCCATGCTGCTGTTGAAAATAGCGGCATCCATCCAAAGTCTGCAAGAGCTAAACACCCCCACAAAGTGCAAGTAGCCGACTACTTGGCACACATTGAGGATCTCGGAGACTCCGAAGAGTACGGGGGGTTAAAGCGTCCAGAAAAGTCTGAAGATATTGACCAATCCAATTTAGACTTCGGGCTTGATGTGATTGAGAAGGAGAAGCAGAAAAATAAACAGCCAAAGAAGGGGACCCCTCCGCGGCGGTATCTTCCTGATAACACTAACAACGGGCAGATGTTACGAACCGGCGTTCATCTGTACCTTGCGTTACTTTTTGTTGTGTGCGCGTTGCTCTAATATGAATAAATCATAATCTCTTAATTTCTTTACCTTTTCCATTGAATATGACATAGACTAACTCCTGTTCTTTTATTTGGTTGCCTATCTATATTGACTTGATCTTTTTATTTGAAATTCACCCCTTTTTATATATACTTGTAAAGCTTCTCATACGCTCAAATAGTATTTCAATACGTAGCTTTCTCGCTGTAGCCCTTAATATATCACGTACTTCTTTCCCTTATGTCTCAATCTACTTCCCACCCTCGATCTTCTCGAACCACTTTCGGGCGCGCTTGATATTGTCCAAAATCAACAACTCCTCATCCTTGTCTCTGACGGCACTCTCCAGACTCTTGTTGGGCAAGACAATCATGATGTACATGTTGTCGGTCAAGACGTCGATGAAGATTGACGAAAACGAGCCGTGCAAGACCAAACTCTGGAAGTGGGTTCTCAACTTAGACACACTCTGCTTGTAGGTCTTGATGATATTAGAGATCTTTTCGAAGCGCTTCGGGTCAAGGTCGCTGGCACCGGCCCCGGTTAACAAGTTGTGTTCCTGGGCGGAAGAGAAGTGGGAGATGACCAAAAAAGTGGTTTTTTCGAACAAGATAATCTCCTCTGCCTCGATAATATCGTTAAACTTCAACAAGTTCTTCTCAAAGTGCTCCATGTTCGGTATGAGCGAGCACACGATGGAGGACCATGCCTTGTACAACGACTCGTCCCAGATGGAGGTGGGGAAGCCCTTGATCTGAAAGCCGTACTTCAGCGACTGGTTGATCAACGTCTTCATCATAATCGTAAACAACTCCTCACGCTTATCCAACTGCACCAAGTCCATCTTGTGCAACAAGATAAAGATCTTACAGTTCTTGGAGAACTTGGCGAGGTTCGCCAACGTCTTCTGGAAGATTTCGATGTCTTTCAGAACTTCCTTCGACTCGACGTCAAACACGTAAATGAGCACCTCGCACATCTTGAAGATGTGGCTGTTCTGCTGTGTGAAATAGTTGTCCATGAACACGTCCTGGCCACCGCAATCCCACAAATTCAACGACATGTTGCCCAAGAACCGGAGGTGTGAGTGTTCCACGTCGATGGTCGCTCCTAAGCGTCTCGTGTCAAAGGCGGAATAGTTTGAAAAGATGATCGACCGCATGGACGACTTGCCCGACCCGGACCGGCCCATCAAAAGGAGTTTCTTTCTGGATGCGTTGGACATGGTAGGCTGGTGCGCGTATTAGCAGAGGCAAAAACAACTGGATTATGATGGGTTTGGAATAATAGCTGCTTGGCTGAGGAGATGAAGGAATCTGATAATGGGGTGTTTTCCACCTAGCGGTAAAGAGCGATGACGGTCTGACAAGCTATCGCCGCTTATCTGGTAGCTTCGTTTTTCGAATAATAGTCGTGCACAACCCGCAAGCTCGTTATGTGAATGGAAAATGCTTACAGGACACTTAATGAAGTTAGCTATTGAATCTACCTCACAAGGTGAACTGAGTATCAGCTTCGGTAGTTTTATCGACTCTATAAACTTTGTAGTCCACGTTGATGGACAAAGATGGATCACCCCTGAGGTGTGCCTTAATCTATTGCCCCTCAAGGTTTTGTTATCCTGCACGGATGGAAATCTAATTATATCACTGGTAGACCGGTTGATAAGACTCCAAGTAGGCCAGTTGATACGACTCCAAGGAGAACTTTTGCCATTTTATTCGGGACACCACGTTCACTGAATCTCTCTTTCATTCTTTGGACACTTACCGGAGAGTACCATCCACCTTTGCTCTTTTCTGCCCGACCTAAGTTTGCCGCCAGAATTTACCTGCTCTAGGTATCTACCTCTTGACGCATTTCTTGGAAACATTTTGTGAGTCTTTGAATCGCGGTTTGATCTGCTCCTCATATTTTGCATCCCATCTGTGTTGGTTATTATCCATTTGCACTCATTTTCCATCTTTATTCATGCCTCTGACTGATTGTTTGGGTAACTCCCACGAGGCCAGTCCGCCTCCTGCGCCACCCTCGCTCAATGACGCTCTCCCGTCGGAAATTCTCGTCCAAATTTTTTCCCACCTCGATAACCTCTCCCTCGACACCCTCAACCTCGTGTGTAAGTACTGGAACGCACTCGCTAACAACAACAACGCGTGGCGAGAGGCGTTCATGGCACGCCACGGCCATATCCCCGAGTTCCAGCCACTTAGCCGCTCACGCTTGTGGAAGCGCGAGTTGACCATGCGAGAAAACATGGCCCGGAAGTGGCTTCGGGGCACGGGAAAGAACCATTCGTTCCCCGTTCCCAGGGGCAGCGCCCTGATGGTGGTACCAGAGTTCGCGGCTGACCGGCTCTTGGTCTACCAGCACAGTGTGGGGCAGATTGTGGTGACAAATCTCCGAAACGGCAAACACACCGACCTCATCTGGCTCGACAACCTCAACAACGGTAATGTCACCGCCTATGACATGTGTGAAATGGCCATCGTCTGCGGCACCTGGAAGGGCGAGGTGTTTTTGAAACTTCTCTCTAACAAAACGTACATGTCGCCAACCATCCGACTTGATGGGGATACAGAATTGAGCGGAGAAGCGGTTGCCATTTCGGTTGTCAGCCTTAAGAAGGACGGGATGAATAAAACCGGCGCCTTTGGCTGTGTGTGCGGAGATGCCGGGGGCACGGTGACGTGCTGGGACTTGAAAACGCCAGCGTTAATTAAACGGCAGAGGGTATCCACGCTAGGGATTGTAAAGATTGCCAGTGACTTCCACACCGCGATCGTGTGTTTGGATACCCTGCTAAACGTCCACTTCGTTGATACCGTCACGTGGGCCGTCAGCACCGTGGCGTACCCCAAGCCGCTTCAGACCGAGGCTTTGGACTTGGAAGACATCCATCTCCACGTGGATTTTGCCGGCGGGGTCGCTATGGTTGGGTTTCAGGGGGATATCACGCTCTTTTCCCTCTCTTCTATCGGCGTGTTCTCCGGCTACGCGCTTGCGGATGGTTTGGATGCCGTTCACAAGTCTGTCGCAAGTGGGTACGGTGGCGCGTATGAGACTGAGATTGTGGGTGGCGACGGCTATTTCATTGGTGTGTTGACCCTACATGGGGGCGTGCTTATTATCAATACCCGTGCGGCCTCCAACTTTCCGGCATCAGCGAATGTCACCACCCATTCGTTCACCCCTTTCAACCACTTTATCCCAGACTATGTCGGGCCCGATAACACCCCGTACGAGGTTACACATTTCAATAGTATTTCCATCAACGCGCAGATAGTATTGCTCGGCTCGTATAACGGCTACTCGGCCATCTACGACATTTTCCATGGCCGATTGCTCAAGGTGGTGTCGAAGCGGTTCCCCAAGCGGCTCTTTGAAAACCCCATGTTCCAGTTGTTTCCCACCCAACACGTCTTTTTGAACCCGGATCCCAAGGCAACGTCCGGGGTCACGTTCACACACCGACTAGTGCAATATTTCCAGTACGGGGACCAGCCTATCGACGCGTTAGAAAAGCTCGGGAAACGAAAGACCGCGGCGTCGGGCTTGTTGCGCGATAAGCGGTCTCTGGCGTACCACAAGGTTATCAAGCACGAAGTGGACGAGCTAGACCGCGAAATTGAGTCTGCCAACCAGAGTGTGAGGTTGGTGGGAAAGTACAATGGGGTGGAAGCAGACTTGACGGAAGAGGAGGAGTTGAAGATCGCGATGGCCCTTAGTGAGAGCCACAACGTGCACTCTGGGGAAAATTCAGACGACTTGGAGAGGGCGTTACAGTTGTCAAAGTCTGAGGTCAGCTTGCATTCAGACGACAGTTCTCTGTTAGGCCTTGTGGATAAGGACCTCCAGTTGGCGATTGCCTTGTCGCAGACGGAAAGTGAAAATTCTGCGGTGGAACGGGACACGTATGGCGGCCTACTTGATTTTCCTTTAGCCGGACTTAGCAAGAAGCAGCTCAAGTCAAAGGCGGTTGCTCCCATGGCGGAGGTTTTGCGTGAAGGGATCGAGTCGCTGTCTCCATTTGAATCTGAAGGGGTGGACGAGGATTTGCGATTGGCGATCCGGTTGTCACAAATCGAGGTGAGAGGCGCTCCACAGATGGGGAATGATAAAAGTGTCAGCTCGTCGTGTAATGCTGCGATTATTGTTTGTGACAACCTGAAACCTCCGGGAACTCTCCTCGACGGGGATGCTGAGTTTGAGAAACAGATGACCGAGGCTATTAAGCGGTCAATTGTGAGCTAAATATGGGGTGAAAGGTCGTATTTATCAGTTTATGAGTATCGCCTAGGGTCTGAGTTAACCAGTATGAAGAGAGTTTATGTATAGTGATAAGCCACATACAATTGTGCTAAATATTTAATAGTATGTTTTAAAATTTTAAAAAATAAAATGCAATAAATAAATGCACTAAATAAATGCAAAAAACATATATAATCAAAATAAGTATATATTCCTGGGTATTGACGTATATATTCCAATAATACCAGACTTGCCCAAGTAGAACCATTTAAAAACCATGCGTATAACTTTAACATCCAACTACATCACATCACCTTGATGTTCTCACCAAGGCTTTTTCCTGCACACATTCCAGTGCAACCTTGCGACATTGGCGAAAAAGCGGCACCCCCGGGATCCCACGTTGCTGTGCTAGACAGCGTTCAACGGACCCCCTAATTTATCATACTCCCACACTTGGCACACTCTCAGAAACGCTACCAAATCTTAGCATCACTACACCTAATGCCTATTGAAGCCACAGAATCTAGAGTGGTGCTCACCCACCCAACAAATCCCCACACCCGCGTGGAGATCCTCAACTATGGGGCCACCATCGTCTCCTGGAGGCTGGACGGCCAGGAGCAGTTGTGGCTCTCGGATGCAGCGAAACTCGACGGTTCCAAGCCGGTCAGAGGGGGCGTGCCGCTTGTTTTCCCTGTTTTTGGGGCCGGCAAGCCAAATCATGCGACGGAAAAGTTGCCCCAGCACGGGTTTGCGCGCAGCAGCGAGTGGGAGTTCTTGGGCCAGGTGTCGGAGAACCCGCCTACCGTCCAGTTTGGACTTGGGCCGGAAAATGTGGATGCGGAAAAGTTGCTGTTGTGGGAAGGTGCGAATGACTTTACTTTGCTCTTGACGGTGACGTTGGAAGAGTCACAGTTAACCACGAGAATTGAGGTGGAAAACACCGGGGCCGCAGCGTTTGACTTCCAGTGGTTGTTCCACACCTACTTGCGCATTCCGGAAATTTCCAAAATCAGTGTCGACAACTTGCAGGGCCAGACCTTCTTCAACCAGTTGCAGAAGGCTAACACTACCGAGACCGCCGCCCAGGTCACCTTTGCTCAGGAAACCGACAGTATCTACAAGAAGGTGGACACATCCGTTGATTTACAGGTCTCCAGTGCTGGGAAGCCGCTCCACGTCGTCAAGAGAAACAACCTTCCAGACGCCGTGGTCTGGAACCCGTGGATCGAAAAGTCCGGAGGCATGGCCGACTTCATGCCAAAGGATGGGTACAAGCAGATGGTGTGTATCGAGCCGGGTCACGTCTCTGACTTTGTAAACTTGTCGGCCGGAGAGTCCTGGACCGCTGCCCAGACATTGGTCGCCTTCAAGCAATGACTATCTAAATTGTGAGCACGGGTAAAGAATGTACTTGAAGTTGGGATGTGGTTGTAGGCGATAATGTAAACCGGAGCGGCTGAATAGGGATTCGGGGTAGTCGGTACTCTGGCCTACCTCTAAGCTTTCACAGCTGATTGAGTGCTTTTTATTGAGAGACCGTACGAATGTATCTAATAAAATGAAAATTTACAGCCCAGTATTACAATGCTAGCCACAAAATACACATGGCCTTGCTCCCTCTAGTGTCATAACCAACGTCACCAACTACTAGCCAGTTGGAAAGCCTTCTATGCTGGAGGTTCCAATGAGAAAATTAATTTTCGTCATTAGAGTGAGAAAGTTAACGACCTGCCGATACAGACGTCAGTATCGGAAACATAGACGAGAACTAGGGATACCCATTAGTGGAATATAGAGTTATTATTCAAGTTAATGACTGGCCGTGGCACTCGGATCTAGTTCTAGTTATCTCCAGCTTTTCAGCCCGTACCAGTCGTAATTTACCGAAACCTGGAGATTTTGCCACCCTAAGGATATAGACCCCTCCCAGGGGAAGTGATTAAGTTTCAATTAGTCTTTGATTTTCCCTAGGTTCTTAGACTAAGTGTGTAGCACAAAGGGCCAGCATATGCTCTAAGACATGCCCCCAGATAAATTAGCCGGCAGATATCGGACCTGAGGCTCCCTCCACAAGGCTCGGGAATGGATATGTAAAGTAGCACACCATTCTAGCCCTTTCCGTCTGATTATGTATCAGCTTTGGAAGTCTATCTAAAGAACATGATATATCCAAGCTAGCTGATCATTTGATTTGTCTCAATATCGCTACTCGCTTTCAACTCACATGTTATATAGCTCGTATTCCCCCCAACGTTTCATGGCTCAGCCTCAACATTCTAGCCACGAAGATGGCTCACCGCAGGCTAATTTCCGACCCGTGGCTGGAGTCGAAACCAATATAACCCTAACGTTCCTTTTCGTTAAGATTCTCGATCCCTTCTGTTTGAATGCTTCCTGATTGGTCGTTTTCTTTCTGCTACGCGCGTTCCCGGGTGTGCAGGGGGTATTCTCACTAAATCCCACAGACAGGGGACACCATACGTCCTCCATATGCACGATAAATTCCCTCATGGATCACCGACACTGACAGCTGACCGTTGAGATAACGATAAATCGCCGCCGATTATTGTGGTATTCTAGGAATCCCACGACACTACCGACTATTAATCGGTCCTTAGGATGGTAAAATTCATACCAGTTGACCTTTGGAAAGTCTGGGCTTGTTTATCTTAATTTATGGCACAGGAGAGACGCATCCTGTACGTTTGCACATTGCAAATTTTTACCAGGGGACTGCGCGGAGGATTACTACCATGGTTCCGATCGCGGCCGCATGCCCGGAACGCATTAAAGTGCCAGCCAAAGTGTCAGGAGTGGACATCTTGTTTATAGGAAACAGCGATTCCGCAACATTTTGTTACTCCATCATTGGATCCTCACTACACCATTAGGTCCTTACTGCGCCATTAGATCCTTACTACATTATTAGATCCTTAGACACTGCACCATAGTCTTTTCTAGTCCATCCATCTTATTCCCTGAAGTCTTCACCCTCCACCTTCTCAATTCACTATGGCCGGTCCTTTCAAGTGCTACATGCAGAAGAAGATCAACATCTCGTCGGAGTGCAACAAGCACTTCCGTCACTACAGACACCACCAGTTCCACCCGCACGCAAAACTCCTCCATTTCTTCGACTCCACCTTCTCTAACTACTACACCGCGGGTTTCAGCTACAACAAGACGTGCACCGCCAGACAGCGCGCGCTCAACCTCCATTTCATCCTCTGTCGCTTCTTCCGCGCGAAGCGCACCTTTGAGTTCGTTCCGTACCGCTCCCCGTCGTCGCACAATTCCCAGAATGCCCGTGCACGAAGCCACAATGCCGGGTTCCCCGAGACGAGTAACATCACCACCGTGTTGCTCAACGCGAACGATGAGCTGACGAAAAAGACATTATACCGCAAGACCAGCGCGAAGAGTGTGGCCGCAAAGGAGCAGATCAAGTACAACTTGTTGCAGATGCACATTTTGAGTAACCTCAAGATTACAATTGGTAACGATTTGAGCGTGCTGGTGACGAAAATGCTGGCGCTGTCGTTTGCGCCGGGTCTTGGGAACATGCGTCGCGGCTACGCGACGTGTGCGGACGCGCGCTCTGTGCGTGCACAGGTACAACTTGATGCGTTTGCCAAAGAGCTTGCGGAGCAGCAAAAAGCGCAGAGACCCTCAATGATTGCACATGACATAGGCACGATCCACGACACCTTTGCGCGCGAGCTCGCGGAGCAGCAGGCGAGGTTGGAAAAGCTTGAAATCCCTCTGGCTGCCCAACTGCAGACCCTGCTTGACACTGACACGTTTGCTGCGACACAGATTCTGCTTCTCCGTAACGCATTCAAGACGCAAGACTACGGCCGTGTGTACGCGATGTACCAGGCGCTTGCACGCAACGGGTTCCACCTCGCAACCGTTGATGACTACAACATCTTGCTTCTGGCCATCTCGCGCAGATCGCCCGTCTATAACACGGCCGACTGCATCGACGAGTCGGTGGAGGAAAACTTGTCCAAGTTGCTCACCGTGTATGAGGCATTGCTCAGCCAGTCGCACACCGTCAGACCCACCAGCGAGACCTATGCTATTGTGTTAGCGCTGCTTCTCGACGGCGCGGCGTTCGAGCACGCGCAGTTCCAGCGCGCAAAAACGCAGCTCGCGCACACGCCGCACTCCCGCAACGGCTCCGACTACTACCAGTTGGCGCTCCTGATCTTCAAGGGCATCGCGACCGGCGGCTGCAAGCACTCTGCGCACCCGGAAATCGTCGATAAGCTCCTCATGGGCCTCAATGTGTACGCGACCGATGCGGCCGAGCTCTACGGGGCCGTGGAGTCCGCGTCCGCCGTGCGCATCGACACATATCTCCACTACCACACTAGCTGCGTCAACGGTGCGCGCACGATGCAAAATCTCCTCGACGCGTATGCGCAGTTCCAGGACGCGGCCGACGTGCACCCGCACTTGATGCGCGAAAAGTACACCGTTTACGCGCTCTTGTTGAAGAACTTGGTCACTATCGGCGAGGTCAACACGGCGACAAAGTTTTTGGACGATATTGTGCTCGCATACGCTAAGGTGCCGACACTGAAAGCGTCGTGCAACGACGGGAATATTGCTGGTTTGGTGAACAACTACCTCATGGGGCTTGTGACAGCGGGCAAGTGCGAAAAGGCATTTGTGTTGTTGAAGAAGTTTCATAATGCCAGCTTTTTGCCGAGTGTAGACGGGGATGTTTGCGGACAGTTGTTGTTGACGTACGCGCAAGCCGCGCAGGCTACTTCGGACGTGAAGAATGTCTCCGGCCTCTCCTACCCCCTTGTTAACGAAATCTTTGACTGGTACATGTCCATGCCGCCAACCGCCTCCTCCCTCGTTCTCAAGAACTATCCTCTCTCTGGGGCGCCGCTCCGCGACGAAGTCATCTCCTTCCTCATGGTTACCGCGATGAACAACACCTCTAACCCTGACGCCGCGGCCCTCTTTACCAAACTCCTCAAGGTGACCTTGTCGCACAGCGAGGCCATCAGACTCAATTTGGGTGCTACACGGTCCGTCGTCACGTTCTTGCTTGATCAGGCGACGCAGGATGCGAGCGCTGCCACCGTGCTCACCAAGTTCCTCATGCACCAGTACCGCGCGGTTGCGGCGTGCGCGCGCACAGAGGCCAACTTGTGGTTCAGCGGTGTTGTCGACCTTTTGGTGCCGCGTGTGCACTGCCATAACAACTTTATGCGCGACGCGGTGCTCACCTCGTTGCTTCTCCAACTGTCCATTATTGAGCCATGCGTCAGAAGTTACAAGCTCCAGCAGGACAACATTTTCGGAATCATCCAGCTATTTTCAGCCTTCATCTTCCCAAAGTACCACCAGCCAATGGCCCAAGCGCCGGAGGAAGTGGAGCGGGTGTTGGGCTTAGAGGCCCGGTTGATCAGCGAGTTTGAGGACACTGAGAACCATTACGTGGAGTTGCCCCAGGAGTTGGTTGAGTTCAAGGCTAATTTGAAGCGCGGCTTCCGTCAGTTGTGGGAGTCGGTCGGCGCGAGTGAGTCTTACTCTGATGAGGTGAAGATGTGTTTATGAATAACAATATTAATGTTTAATCTATGAATATCACGAAAATTATGGTTACCAAAAAAAAAAAAAAAAGTTTCTCTGAATTAGGAACATACTGATTAACTCCCTAGTAAGTGTTTAATTTAGATTAAATGGTGAGTTTTAGGCTCATGAAACCGTCAGACCAAGATGCGAGCCCTGAAACAGCAACCCCACATCCTTCATTCTAACTACGCACGGTATCCTCCCTTTATCCAGAAAGACAAATCATACCTATTTACATCATACTTATTTACATCAAATTTGTACGTAATATATTAAATATCCAATCAATGAACTTAAGCCTGAACCTTCTGCTCCAACTGGGCAACCAAGGTGGCGCAGTCGGCGGAGAACTTTCTGATACCCTCGGACAACTTTTCAGTGGCCATGGCGTCCTCATTCAACAAGTTTCTGAAGACAGCCTCATTGTCGACGTAAGAAACCTTCTCAAAGTCAGCGGAGGCGGCAGCCTTGGCATTCAAGAGTTGTGGAATGGCCTCGGTGGAATTGGCCAACTCCTCCAAGAGGGTTGGGGCGATGGTCAAGAAGTCGCAGCCGGCAAGGGCCTTGATTTCACCGGTGTTTCTGAACGAGGCGCCCATGACAATGGTCTTGTAGCCGAACTTCTTGTAGTAGTTGAAGATCTGTCTGACAGACAACACACCCGGGTCGGTTTCCGCGGTGTAGGTCTTGCCGGTGGAGGCCTTGTACCAATCCAAGATTCTGCCAACGAATGGAGAAATCAAGGTGATGTTGGCCTCGGCACAGGCAACGGCCTGGACCATGGAGAACAACAAGGTCAAGTTACAGTGGATACCGTGCTTGGCCTCCAACTCTCTGGCAGCCTGGATACCCTCCCAGGTGGAGGCAACCTTGATCAAGATTCTGTCCTTGTGAATACCGACGGATTCGTACAACTTGATCAACTCCAAGGCCTTGTTAATAGTGGCCTGCTTGTCGAAGGACAATCTGGCGTCAACCTCGGTGGAAACACGGCCTGGGACAATGGAGAGAATCTCCTTCCCGAACTCAACCAACAAACGGTCAAGCGCCAAGTTGGCCTGCTCCTTAGGAGTCGAGGCGTTCTTCTTGGCATACGCAACGGCAACATCGATCAACTTGGCGTACTCTGGCTTCTTAGAGGCAGCAAGGATCAACGACGGGTTGGTGGTGGCGTCCTGCGGGGTGTACTGGGCGATGGATTCGAATTCACCAGTGTCGGTGACGACAACGGTGCCGGTGGCCTTCAATTGCGCGAGAGAGTTGTTAGACATTGTGAGAGAGATTTGGTGTTGGGGTAAAGACAAGGCGAAAAGTTCAGGGGGAGGGGATGCAGTCCTTATATAAGCGGCGAACCGAGAGAGCCGTCGGCTAGAGCGTCCTGTATCTAGTGTGAGCAATATCCGGCACTTGAAGATGATTAATATCCGGTATATAGGATATATCCGGCGTCTAGGCGGTACAATAGGCCACTGACCTCAGCTTCTAGAAAAGCGCGATTAATAAGCCCTGACTCATTTTTAGTATTGGTATCGGAGGGTGCCCTGTTACGAGCTGCGGGTAGCGGCCATCCTGGCGAATGTGTAATACATGACAGGGCTCTAAGTCTTAGGATCTAGCTGCACTGATGTAACCTCCCCACTGATTCCCCGGAGTCGTCGGAGAAGTGCCCGGTTGATTAATGTGTCTGGATGCCCCCTTGTGGCGAGAGTGCTACACCTCATCACGTGGTGTACGCACGCTTGCGTCGGTTTCCCCCGGGGTGATGGCCCTGTGGAGTCCGGAGATATGCATTCGCTACAATAGCGGGCCACGGAGTTTTATCCCGTAAAGCGCATAGTCGAGGTTCTGGCCATTCCGTCTCCTCTCTACCATGTTTCACCGGATATATGCTTCATTGCTTAGTTAGACTCATGGTTGGGTATCTCGATTAGACACAAGATGCTAGATTGATAAGGCGGCGACCGAATGGAGAGGCGAGACATTAAATTAGTATTAGGGTACTGGCTGCTTGGAAGATCAAGCTTAGAACGGCTACATATCTAATGGAAACGCCAGTTATACAAGTTAGGCGAAGAGCAACCGTAAATCATTGAGACAACGTGATACACTTCAATGGTGCTGTAGTTGCTACAAGCTGTGTAGGGCTTCATGGAATACTCTCATCGACTGGAAGTCCCCACTTGTAGAAAACTAAAGGTTACATCGAATCGTAGGCGAATGCCACGGCATCTCCGATGTTTCGGCGAACGCATCTCGGAATTTTCTCCCCGATCCCTTTTTCGCTCTTGACAGGTCACTGCCACGAAATAACCGACACATCAAAGATTTGGGCTTGGAAGACCCGTATAACTATCCGGAGTAATATGAAACGGAAACCAACGTAACCCTCCTAGGTCTCACGAGACGTCTACATTCAACGTTTGGACCTTGGCCTTCACAGGTTACAGTTATTCTTAACGTGTTTCTCGGATTAAATCTTTTCTTCTTTCAACCTCCGTAACCACAACAGGTCTACAATCTACCAAGTCTACACGGTTTGATATAAAACAATTTCACTTGAGACGCAAAAGCATAGCAAGAAAACTAGCACCTTATTTTCCATTCCTCCCGGACGGATCATAGTAGTCCTCCGGGGACTGGAACGAGTCGGCAGGGCTTACCTGCATCATCTGCATCAACGCCTGGTTGGCATTCCGCTGCGACTCGGTAAGGCTCGCACACAACACCTGATAGCTGTCCTGTAACGACTTTCGGTACTCACGGTTCATCTCCAAAAGCAACTCTTGGAACTTGGACGGCGACGTCAGTGGCGGCTGGGCTGCAAGCACCGCCTCGTATGGGTTGGCCGTGCCGAAAATTGCCTGCGTAGACTGTGTCGCCTGCACGGGCTTGGAGCGTGAGGCTAGCAACCTTTGCTGCTGCTGATGGTGCTGCTGGATGCTCTGCTGAATGTTCTGCTCCTTGGTCTGCTCTGGGTGTCTGCGTTTCTGCGAAGGCGAATGGTGTTGCGGTTTCTGGAACGGCGAGTTCTCGAAGCCAGAAGACGGCATGGTGGAGGCAAACGCGTCGCGACTCATGTTGGGGGTAGTGGGTGACATGGTCAAGATGCGTGAATTGGGGTCGGCTGTGGACGTCCTCTGCTGTGGTTGTTGCTCAAAGAACGTTGAATTTGGCATGTACTTGTACCCCATCTGGCTGGGTATCGTGACAGGTGAGCCAGGATTCTGCATCTCATTGGATTTCGACGACCTCTGGATCTCGTGGGATATCGACGACCTCTGCATCTCACTCGAGACCGACGGCCGCTGGCTGGAGTTTCGCCTCATCAGGTCATCGACGTAGCGCCGGCGCTTCTTGGTGCTCAAGGACAACAGGTAGATGTGCAACAACAGCTTCTTCAACTCTCCCATTTCAGAGTCCTCAGTGACACCATCATCACCATCATGCTTTTCCTTTTCACCCTCGTCGTCGTCTCCCTTTTCTTTTTCACTCGAGTACTTTTTGATCAACTCCTTAACCTTTCTCTCGACGTAGTCCTTCTTGGCAAACTGGCGCGACGGCTGGTGCTCGAATGTCCACGTATTGTACTGCTGCGACACGGCATCCCACTTACTGTCATCGTGAAACGGGTTTTGCGCCGTGACTATGCGCAAGAGCGCGGCAATATTTTCGTTGTAGAAGTGGTGTTTGATATGGCCCTCGCGCACGCCGCCGGGCTCGCGGTTCATTTGTATGACGGTCGCGTGGGACGTACCGTCAGGGTTGTGCACGATATTGTAGCTCAAGTGCGGCTGGCCCTTCAAGTCGTTTGGCGCGATGCTGTGGAAATCGTCTGTACTCATGGCGTGGTTACACGGAAGGGCTAATCGATGGGTTACGGCGCGGTGGGTATGATGTTTCCGATTGCGGACGTATGAAGGATCACAAAATTGCGGAAGAGAGTGATTAAGGCTGCTTCCAATGTGTGAAAGAGGTGTGAAAGAGGATAACAACTAGCAAATCAGGCTAGCAAAATAAGTGGTTCGTTTTGCTACTGCCGTCAGGAAGTTTGTTTTTTGTTCGGTTTGACGCCAGACCCGCGCCGCGTTGGTCGTGCGTATATCATCCTGCAGTATACGAGATGGGCTATTTGCAGCTTTTCACAGTGGCAAGATCTTTATCTCAGAACCTCTCTTATCATCATGTCTTCTTATCACAACCAACACAGGGCTTACGGCTCAGAGCAGGACAAGGTTAACTGGTATGTATTTCTCCTTCTTAAACAGAACATTACTAACATCCCAGCACGTTTTACTACAAGATCGGGGCATGTCGCCACGGAGCAAAGTGTTCGCGTAAGCACATCCAGCCGGCGTCCTCGCACACCGTCTTGTGTCCAAACTTCTTCCAGAACCCTCTTTATGCCGAGCAGCTGGCCCACAGACAGCTTGAGAAGGAGAAAGAAGACACCACAGGCGCCCCGACGCTGCTCCCGTTTGCGTCGAAGCTCGACCCAAGCAAGCTCCAGCAGGACTTTGACGCTTTCTATAAGGACTTGTGCGTGGAGCTTGCCACCAATATCGGTGAGATTGACGAGATTATTGTGTGTGAAAACACCAACGCCCATCTTAACGGGAACGTGTACATCAAGTTCCTCAAAGAGGCCGCAGCGTTGAAGTGCGTGTCGATTTTGAACAACAGATGGTACGACGGGCGGCCCATCTATGCGGAGCTCTCGCCGGTGGAGAACTTTAACGACAGTGTGTGTCGCCAGTGGGACGCCCAGGACTGCAACCGAGGCGGTCTTTGCAACTTCATGCATGTCAAGCGGCCCACCAAGAGTTTGGCTAGTGATATCTTCAAGTCACAGCGCAAGTACTACATCCAGAAGGCCGAGGAGGAGGCCATCCATGGCGCGTATAGCCGTGCGAGAGTCTGACATGCAGATATGAGATATCCCCATTGTGCATGATTAGCACGTATCAGATCCAGGCGAGTGTAATAACCCGCCGGAAGGGTTCCAGACCACATACGGACATCAGATACCGAATTAATAGAGTCTGTTGACATGGTGCCGAAGGTTCATCTAGGTGCATACCACGACTGAAAGTGAATGGAAATGTAAAAAGAAAAAAAAAGGTGAAAGATGTATAGTTTGAGCATGGATGCATGGGCTAAAATATAATTATTGACTAGTCAGGGCTGTCGAGATAGAAGTTACTAGAAAGTAAAAAAAAAAAAAGCTTTAGCGATTATTGACATGGGGTGGATCTGGACATCAAGGTATCGTATTGGCTGTCTACTGTTCGTAGAAAACTTGCTTACCGTAGTAAATCTTAATTTATAATCAATACTCTGATCCGGTTTAATTAAACAGGTTGGGGTGGTTTCATTAAACCGATAGTATTCCGCATGGCCCTGTTAATGGAGATATTGAAAATTATGCTGAGGGAGGCTGGCTCACCGGAATTTAATCATACACCAATGTTGAATTATCATAAACTCGGTTAGTGTCGCAAGTAGAGGTTTATGGTTATCGGATGTCACCTTTCCCTTCTGCTCGCTCCTCCAACCGATTGTACACAAATGGCTCCTCAAACATCTTTACCAAATTCTCAATCTTTTTTTCACCAAATCCGTTCATCCCCTCGAGTTTCTGTCCGAGCATCGACTCCAGGGCTAACGCTCGGAAACTGCCAAACTCGCGGAGCAAATTCAGCGCGTCCGTCTTGTTCACTCGCGACACCCGCGTCACCACGTTCTCAAATCGCGTTTTAAATTCCAAGCTGGGCGAGTCATTATCAATCCCCTTGATAGCCTTGACGTTAGTCGCCCTATTATCAAGCCCCTGTTTGCACGCGACAATATACTTTGCGCACTCCTCGAAGTTCCAGCCCAACATGAGCGAGAGGTTATTCATGATACAGTACAGGTTGAGCTCTTGGAGCACCTCTACGTGGTTTTCAATATCCACAATCACCATCAAGATGTTACAAGAGCCGTTATCGAAGCTAGCCTGGTTGGCCAGTCCGTCTGCTAGTGTCTGCATCGGGTTTCCATACGACGCCACGCCACTCTTCTGGATCCGCAGGTAGATGTACTCTGGGTGTAACCGGTGGTACTTGAGGGAGAGGAAGAACACGGAGATGGTACTATTCACCAAGTAGTCCGGTACTAGCGGCGAAGCATATTCCCAGGAAACCCCTTTGAACGCCTTGAGTAACGGGTTCCCCTGTTGTGCCTTGTTGACCTTGATGTTGGTCAGCGAGGCAGAAGCTGTCCCCCGGTGAAATAGAGAACTATCAGCGGTTAGCGGGGTGTCTATGTTAGCTCGTCTGGGCATCTGGGCCACTCTGGCACCGTCCGGCCTTTCTCGAGACACCGCAGAGGCAAGCACGGGCTGGTTACGTGAGATTCGCGCAGACATGACAGTTTTGGCAGACATAAACCCCGGGGTCTTCTCTAGGTTGGTTTTCTGAGTGGTGGGAGTGCTGGAGGAGCCAACTGGGGCAGAGCTAGGCGGAATTGAAGAGTTTGCTGAAATTGACACTGGAGCATTGCCCCTGTTAATGGCACTGGATGTGGAGGCCGAAACATTCGTTTCTTGGTCGCGCAAGCGCTTAACACCGGCCAAGATGCTGGAAAAAGAGGTTGAATCGGGCATTGTGGTGAACCCTAGATATAGTGGCAAAACCTGAACATTTGTCATGCATAAAAAACTGCGTCCTGCATGCCCGCGAATCACTTTTGATTGTCGCGTCTTTCAGGGGCACTACCGGCAAGTGGCTTGATTACGAATATGTTCGATAAAGCTACAAAATTGTATTATTCGTACGAGCCATTGTTAGATAACGCAATGGTATTGAAAGGTTCAAACATTTCTCACAAGCTATATCTAAAATATCCTGGTTATTTTTGGTATATCTGCACATGCCGGCAGCCTTGCCTGCTCAGCCGAGTAAGTTCTACCACAATAGGGTATGCACCTCCACACACTACTTCCTCGTGATCACACGAGCATCCAAATGCTCAACCAAGACAGGATATTCGATACACAATTCGCGCAAGCGGCCCACGAAGGCAACACAAGCTTCAGGAAACGCGTCATCCAAGTACTTCAACACCACGTTGGTCAACAAAGCGGCGTTGACGCTGATCTCGTCCATGACGGGCGCAACGTCCCCGACTTTCGGGAAGGTGGACTTGCGCTGAATTCCCGCTGGCAACTGGTTGAGCTCTACACCAACAAACTGCAGCGGCACGTCATCGCCGTTATCAATTGCATCCGCATCGAGGTCCGTGCTGAAGGCGAGCGCGTTCTTGGCACCCTCACTTAATGCAACCGCAAACTGACGAGGCTGGATGCCCTTGATGATGAACTTGCGTTGGCCGTTCGGGAGGTTAAGCACCATGGCGTTTGAGTTGGGGAAGGCGTTGTTCACGTTTTTGATAAAATCCACTGCTGGAAGAAGCTTGGCCGGGGCCTCATCGTCCTTCGCAGCCAAAAACGGCGAGAAGGTCGACTCGTAACACTTCCAGAGCGAAATCTGGGTGACATTGCCGTCACGGCTCGGCTCATAGACACAGCGCATCCACTCGCTAGCGCGGAGCGGCTCGGCCAACGCAAGGAGCTCATCGATTATGGGCTTTGGTACGGCTGGCGGGTGGGCGGGTGGCTGCGGTTTGACACGCTGAAGCAAGCGGATCGGTTCGCGTGCGCGTACACGCGCGGCAAAGTTGTGCGCGGCCAAGCGCGGCAAGTAGCTGAGCACGGTCTTGAGGCGCTCCTCGGATTTGAACACGGCGGCGATGCGGTAGTTGGCAGGGCCCGCAACCGACGGCGTCAACACGTACTGGTAGAGGAAGTCGATGGCCGTGAGAGTGAGGTCGTCGTACGGCTCTGTGAGCTGCAAGTAGCGCGTGACACGGTCCAAGACTGCGTCGGGTATATTGTCGCCGCACGCAGGTGCCTCATCACCCTTGTTGCTGTTGGTAACCATGAGGCGCGCGAGCGCGCGCAAGATGGAAATAACGAGCGACTTGTCTACAGTAGCGTCCAAGAGCTCGAGGAGCGTGAGGAACAACGGATCGTCGCGCGCGACATTAAAGAAGGACGAGACCGCTTCAACCACATCGATGGTGTAGCGCAACAACTCCTGTGCTCGGTGGAAGTGCGGGTCGCACGCATCAGCCTGATGTGCGAGCACTACGAGCAACACCGGCTTTGCCAATGCGTGCTGCGAGAGGAGCATCGCGTTGGAAATGTCCTGGCACAAGTTGCGTAATACCAACGCGGCATCCAAGGCTTGCGCGCCTGCATCGTCCACGGCCTGCACGCCTGCATCGTTCATCATCTGCGCATCTTCGTCCAAGGCCTGTGCAAACTCTAACCACGACGCGGACATCACGTGCCGCATCAACTCGTCCAAGAGGTACGGATTGTCCTTGAGGGTGATTTTGCAGTTGGGGTCGCCCGTGAGTGTGACCAAGGTGCTGAGTGCCCACTTGATTTCATCGGCCAAGCCGCTCTGGAATGCAAACGACACGCGCGTCATCACGCTGGGACCGGGCGCACCATTCCCAGGGAGACTCGCGACATACTGTGCAACCTTCTGGTCTGCGAGTACCTGCTGCTGCGCCAGCGGCACATAGAAAATTTGAGGCGGTGCGTGCGTGTTGACGGGCACCGCGTCGATCATCGTGTTTGGCATGTGGAACGGGCTGAACTCGAGGGGGTGGGGCGCCGGCGGGCTCGCAAGGTCCACGCTGAAGGTGGACTGCGCGAGTGCGGACGGCGTGTGGAGCAGTGGGAGACGCGTTCTCAAGACACGGGATGGTTGGTCCATGGTGTGGAAGATGAGGGGGTTGGATTGGTGGGAAGACTGGGTTTACCAGATACTAAACAGAGCCTTTTTAACGCGTGCCCTGTGCGTGAAAAATGGTTGTTGTGTGCGACGCACGACCGGTACAGACAAAGTGGGTGGCAGACCGGTTTTCTAGGGAATTTTAATGATTTTGATTGAGTTGAACTGATTGACTGGGAGTTTCTTTATGGTTTGTCAATTGTAGTTCCGTATTTTGTAGTCCTGTATTTTGTTTTTAATCCTGGGCTTGCTGGTACGAAACGGCACGCTGCCAGTTCATGCTCAGAAATAGACTCCATGGTACATACTTTTCAGGTCCTGATAATTGGAGACTGTTTCGGATACTTGATTATAGCTTCTTACTAATACTTGTATTTGACACCATAGTATCCTTTACCAAGTACTTAGAGCTTAGGCTCTTATAGCAGTACACACCGACAAACAGCACTCAATCGCTCTTAGGTACTTGCTTAATCCAACACCTTTTAGTACTAAGCACTAACAGTTATAAACCAACAAGACAAAGAATTGAAATCACATGCACAAGTAAATATACATACATATAAACCCAAAGTGATAGAATGAGGCTGGTTGTGTCCTTATAATGTCTACGCATTGACTTTAAAACGGGTTTCCACGCACAAATATAGAGCTTCCATTGATATAGTAATCCACCTTGGGATACTTCTTCCCGTTAATACATCTCATCATCACTGTAATCCATCATAAGAAAATCGTCGTCAGAAGATTCTCTACCCCCATCAAACTCCACATTTGGGAGCGCCAGTCTGACTTCTCGCCTCCACATAGGGTAGTTTACAAACACGTTGTCATGCATGTATAAGCGTTTCAAGCCAGAGGGAAAGGTCCAGTGCTCAATGGCCTGCTCGCACAACCCATTTTTGCATAGTATCAAGCTATGTAACTGCGACGGAAGCTTGGGTATCCCAGCAACGCTCGTCAAACCTCTTTTTACAGATGCGTAGGGCGGCTCTGAAAATCTTGTACGTATGGAGGCGCGGATACGCAGAGGATTTTCCTCTTGTTTGTCCAAGTACAATTCTCTAAGGGAGTCCGGTAGCTGCAACTCGTTAATTGTGTTAATTGCGTTCTCCTTAAGGTTCAACACGTTCAACTTTGGAGGAAGCTGGATGCCATCGACCGATGTAAGCTTGTTAGAACCAAACTCTAAAGAAAGTAGACTGTCCGGAAGATCAAAATCGGCTAAGCTGGTTATTTGATTTTCTTGGAGACTTAATGTTTCCAAGTACTGTGGAAGCTCAATGTTTTCTAACGAAGCTATCTTGTTTCCGGAGAGCTTGAGATGTTTCAACCCCGCAGGAAACCGGGCTCCCGACAAGGAACGGACGCCTGAGTTGGTTAGCGAAAAGCTGGTGAGGCTTTGTGGAAGGGGAGAGATGTCACGGAGAGCGGCAACCTCAACCTTATGCAAGCTGAAATCTTGGAGTTTTAAATCCGGATTATCTGCATTAGCGATTTGGATCTTTTTGAGGGGATTGGACGATAACATAAAATGGGTACAGTTCACAGGAAGATGGAACTTTTTCAACTCTTTCAATTTGTTATACGCAAGGTCCAAGTATGTAATGCTATCAGGAAGTATTCTCGAAAAGCGTTGAAGATTGTTGTTGCTCAAGTATAACCGGATCAAGGTTGGTGGGATAACGAGATCATCAACTGAACCCATATCATTGTACCCAAGGTTGAGAACTCGAAGGAGTGGAAGGTTTTCCAATCCCATCGCTGTGCTCAAATTTGTTTGCATAAGGTTCAAATCCGTCAAACCTGGGGGGTAGGCAAAGTTTCTGGAGGAGTATAGGGTAAATAAAGAACGATTCTGGTCGAGATTGAGGGTGTGGATCCCTTCAGGGAACTTGATTTTGTATGGCCTGGCCACGTCTGCACCTTCGTCGGTTCGGATTAGGGAGCCAAGGGAATTTTCACCGAGGTGGAGGGATTCTAATGACCTCGGCAATGAATTGACGAAATCTAGCGATGTTAACCGGCCACGCTTGATCAGCAAGTAAACCAAGCCCGGGGGAAACTTGAGCATGCGGATTTGGGATGATGGGAGTCGGGTATCGTCCAATATCAACTCTTTGAGGCAAGCTGGGAAGGATACACGAAACACCTCCAACGGACACTTGATGATGGATAATTTCTTCAATGTCAGAGGCAATTGTCGTTGTTCGAAGCTACTAAACTTCAGCAGCTGGAGATCTAAATTCTCTAACAGTGAGGGTAAATTGAACAGCTTGTTGATCTCCGTCACACCAGAAATGTCTGTCAATCGTAAGTCTTTGAGGTTTGGTAAGTTTAGTCTATTGAAGTCTTCAATGGTGAAGAGTTTGACCCCTACTAACTCCAACTTCTGTAAGGTTGAAGGGAAGTCCGCATATGCTGACATCGGCCCCCAAGGGTTGTGAAGGACAAATTCATGGAGGTTCGGTGGAAACTGAATCGGTGGCGCATTGTCATCAGGCCATGATCTATTGTGGCGGACAAGTTCAAGTTTGCGCAAGTTAGAGGGCAATGGTGGAATGTTCGGATTAATTATTCTGGATTTCACAGATATCTCACGGATGCACTCCTGGACCAGGGGCGAGGACGGCAAACAGTTCCATTCAAACACCGCTCCATCGTTCTGCGTATCAAACTCTAGCGTAGCATCAGTCACGATTGAGGACACTTTGGCGAATACTTCATCGTGAAGGAACGTGCAGTCCTTGATTCCCTTCCACGCAGAAATTGAAAGCTTCTTAATCCGAAGTTGGTCTAACGTATCGCTATTTGCCAACGCTTCTAAATCAGAGGGCGTCATGTGGAGGGCATTATTTTCCATGCGGAAAAAAGAATCGACATCTAACGGTCTACTAATGTTCAATTTAATGTTTGAGTAGTAGCACCTCCGGGCCACGGTAGCAAGCGCTGCATTCTCCGATTTCAACAATATAGAGACAAGAGGAAGTGGTAAATAGGAGAAAATCTGTTCGGTAATTTCCAACGGAAGTGAGTCCCAGGTGGAAGGAATGGTTTTGATGTTCATTGTAAGGGTGGAATGTAACAAGGATGAGGGATTGACACGTTGCCGTTATGAGGTGTAGGTGTCCTAGCTTTGTGTATGGTCTTGATCAGTGGTAAGGGTAATTTACTCTATGAATATCACAGTTAACGTCACCTTGGGGGTTACCGATGTGTGGGTATGATCCTAGGAAGAGACGTGGTTAGAATGGTGGGTGGAACCCAGGCGAAGGGGCCACAGCATTGCGCAGACAGGCCCTTGCAAAATGCAGGGCAGATATCAGTGTTGCTACGTGCGTCGCAGCCGCCCTTTCGCTTATTGGACCTTTCCCCTCATTCGGAGTGACGTAATAAAGTTATGCATATGATATATAAGGATCTCCCTATTCTCCTCTTGGTAATATGTATGGTGTATAAAGGAACCAACAACACACTCTCTGGGTCAGCTAATGGTATATCCTGTTGTCCACTGGGTATATCACTTGTCTAGGGCTTGCAACGGCATGACGTCAGATCCAGCTGAACGTGTCAGAGCTAGGTCTAAAATTTAGGATAATAGTACAATCTTTTAATTCGGTAGTAGACCTTGTTAGACCCCGATATGATGTATATTAGTGTACTATAGGTTATCCGGCTATCGCGTAGTCAGTTGACTCGGCCTGCGCTCGCACCACAACTCACTCAGGCTGTACCTAACTACAAACTAGTTAATATATACCACACACTTGTCAGCTCTTTTCCTTAAAGTGTATATTCACATGTCCGCAGCTGGCTAAAGATGCCCAGCTCGTGCTACGTACTTGCCTATGATTTTGCACTAACAAATCCCTCTAACAAAGCATACAACCCAACCGCACCCGGGTCTGGAATCCCGTCCTCCTGTTTCTCAAACTCTTCTTTGGCCACGTACGAGGCTCTACCGAACTTGGCTAACAACTGCGCGGTCGACTTGGTGCCCTTTGCAGCGGCCTCCACCGCCTGGTCCAACGACTTGGTCTTGTAGAGTGTCTCGACGAAAGGTGCCAAGGTGTCAATCAACGTGCGGTCACCGGTTCTGGCCTTGGTATACACGTACAACGAATTCAAGGCGCTCTTCAACGACAGCGCTAACAAGTCTACGGACAACTCGGTCGCCGAGGCAGAGGACAAGGCTTCCACCAAGGCCGAGAGGAAAATGGAGTACAACCCGCCGGAGGTACCTCCCATGGAGTCTTCAACAATGTTGGTGATCTGCGACAAACTCCACACGGGGTCTTGCACCTGGAGGGTCTTCTTGTCCAACGCCGCCAAGATTCCGTGGGCACCAGCGGCAAGGGTCTCGCCACAGTCACCGTCACCGGCGATGGTGTCATAGTGCGTGATCTTGGCCTCCTGGGATAACATGTTCGCCAACCCGGCGCGCAAGACCCTTTCAAAACTAGCACCATCAACACGCAAAGAAGACTGCACCTCGTGGTCGGCGATTTCATCGCTATGAATAAGTCTGCCGGCCAAGTCGTGACTAGCATCGTACGTCTTGATCTTCCAGCCCGGCGCGTCGGTCGGCAAGTCCAACAAATGCAAGATCTGGGTGCTGGTGAAGCTGTCCACCTGTGACACGTTCAACAACGTGATGGAGAAGCCTGGCGCGTTCAAGGACGTGACAAAATCACCGACATAGATTCTCGCCGGCTTGATAGCGCGCACAGCCAAGCCGCTCACCACCGCGTCGACGACGGCATACAACTCCAAGTTGGAGGTGCCACCCAAGTCGTTCACCAAGAGCACCACCTCATCATCGGCCGCAAAATCCACGTAGTGTCTGTCGGTGTCAGATGCGTCGAGCAACAAGTCTAAAAGGCCAGAGACGAGACTGTCAATTGACGGAAGCGGCGAAACTTTCTTGACACCCGGTTCATTGTGGATGCCGAGTCCGATCTCGACAGTGTTGGCGGCAACGCCCTCGGCAGCCTCATCCTCCGCACGACCTGGCACGGAGCAGTGGTCTAAACTGGCACCGACAGTGACCAAATTTTTCGCGACATTTCTCGCCAAGTTAGCCACGTGCTTCAAAGAGTGACCGGTTGCTTCACCACCACAAATCTTGTGCACAAGCATCGTCCCTGCAAGACCCCTTCTGCCAACCAAGCCGTTCTTCTGCTTGCCAACGGCGACGTCATCGTCGACGATAACCAACTCCACCGGGGCGCTGATGGAGGGATCAGACTTGGCGCGTTCACCTGCAAGCCCGAAGTGGAGAATGTCACCGGTGTAGTTCTTGACGATGATCAAGGTCCCCTTAGAGGACGGGGTGGACTTGATCCCGGCGTAGATCTGTTTGGTGGACGGGGAGGCAAAAACAGAGCCTGCCACCGCTACATCGAGGAGGTTGGAGCCCACAAAACCCGCGTGGAGTGGCTCGTGGCCGGAACCACCGCCAGAAATCAACGTGATCTTGTCATTTTGGTGCAAATTAGCAGTCTTAAGCACAACCTTGGATGATTCGAGGAGTGCGAGCGACGGGGTGGCGGCAACGAGGCCCTTGAGCGACGAGAGGACCAAGTCCTTCTCACCGTAGTTCCAGTGTTTGGTGGACATGATAGCAATTGAGTAGATTATGGGGTTGGGAGTAGACGTGGGTAAATGTACAAAGACTGTTGTACCGGGAAATTTGGTCCACAAAATAGCAACCAAGATCGAGGGGCTACGCAAAACCCTTCTGATGATCGGCCAATTGTTTCCCCGCGCTTTGCATCTCGGTATAACGGCTCGGAGTTTGCGAGAATACAGCATAGTCGGATCCTGTACAAAGGGCGGGGCCAAAAGTCTACTGCACGTGGAAATTCGTGTATCTCCAATTGCTCTATACATCAATCACTGATTTCTACCCTAATATTTGATTAGAGACGGTAAGTGGTTTGGGTTTTAAACAAAGATAGTCCATATATTCCTGCTTCTGCGCAGCTGTGGAAGTGTTCCCAAGACTTCTGAGCTCAGTTGGTTGATACAGGCGGGTAGTGTGCCAAGATGGTTTCGGAAATTAACTAAGGATTATGCTATGAAGTCAATACTCAGACATTCGAACCAGTCAGATCGATTTTATTTTAAATTGCATTGAGTATCAGTCATTTTCGGCTCTTTTTCTAGCAATTTTAGCAGAGGTTTGCCTGTTGCACCTTGCTTTGACCGGCAAAAGTATATGTCTATGTTGGAATAAGTTACCTATCCAAATGTGCCCCAGACTGAAGAAACGAGGGCGGTCCCAAGGAGCCATGCATCGGTAGTACACACAGGTAAGAAATCAACGGCAGCCATAGATATTATGAATGACAAGTATACTATAAACTGCTAATTTCTTCTTGGGACTTAGATTTGGAAATCACTCATTAAAATGGCACTTATAAATTAAAGTCCATTAAAACAGGTTTACCAGTTGATGTTCATTCCATCAAAGCATAAAACCCTCAATTTGGGCGATTAGACCCTGTTTCTCAGGTCTTTACTTTCTTAACAATCTCGAGCGTCCATGGGCTCTCCAAAATAATTTCTTCCTCCGGCCCGGCGTAGTAGGTTGAGTGAGCAGAGTACAGGCCCCGGACCAAAAACCCGCCTGGGGTTTCCTCGCCTGGTAAATCAACACTATAGATTGCAGGACCGTTCTTTGGATCGTTCGGAGCAAACTCTGGCCCAATTTCCACCATACGGGTCCTGAACGGAATTCCGGCCTTCTTCACGACCTGTTTGTACTTGATATTCTTCAAAGTCCGGTTCCTAACAATAAAATTAAAGGTGGTGAAGTACTTGGCGTATTCTGGCACACGGAAATGCAACTGGGCCCCCGCATCCGAGCCGTCGACATTCCCAGTAATTAACTCAACGGACGGCAGGCCATCATCGTAGTTGATGATCAAGCTAATTACTTGGAAGTCTGGAAGAGGCTCGCCTGTTTGCTCGGGAAGCGCGTCTTCAGGTTGCTTGGGAGTCTCCTCAACGACATCTTTCGCGTCTTCATCGGGGTTCACTGCTGTTGCTGGAATGATGTTTTCGGTGGACATGGTGGAGGTTTTAGAATGTCAGTGATTACTGGTTCTTCACTGGGACTGGGGAGTCGATGATATTTATATCATGTTCTCAGACTTTTCGTAGAGCTACGTTGTATACCCCCATGCATATCCTTCCCCGCTGTTAGGGCTTGTGATTACGTGACATCATCACATGCCACGCTGACTTAGTCATCCCCATCTATATAACCCCCTTTACTCTCACGTTTATGGAACATAGTCAAACTTAATTTAGATAGACGATAGGTATTGCTACACACGCTCTTTCTTCGGGAATCGCTACGAAACCAACGGTGATCAATATTGATATGCACAGGTGATCGGCTCAGATGCTTATCGGCGAGACATATGGTATTCACATGTACTCAAGGCATTTGGAAAAAGGTTGACGTTTCGAAATCAGAGGCATCCCTATAATATCAGTCAAGGGTAAGATTAAAAAGCCTAGCTGGACGGTTAACAGCTATCCCCGAGAGCTTCCGAATAGTGGTGTCTCTTGTGGGACTAATATCCCGGCCGGTGTCCTGCAAACCTTATGCAGCCACGTACGCCAGTCCAAGGTCTTTATTGCTAGCGTTGGGACGTGTTTTCGATCTCTCTGCCAGGGCGAGTTGATGGTTTACGGCAAATATTCTAAATTTAATTCCAACTCCCACAAAAAAAAAAAAAAAAAATAGAATATATACATGTGATCGACTAACGGATTGCGTGCCCAACACCCGATACCTGATTTGTATTTTCGGGAATAATGGCGAATGCCACGGATGATCTATTCAATACTAGTTAACCTAATAGAAAGTTCCGGCAATTTCGGCACCCATGTAGGTCACATTACCTCTGGTTCAATATTATAATGCTCCATTAGCTGGTGCTCTTAGAACTGGTTTAGACTGGATTTTACGCTCCTTGTTTAAATGTCGTTCTATATGGCGACGATAAAGGGTTCAGCCTCGGTTTAGAAGGAATAGGTACACCCAGTTAGCCCGTCATTTGTAATATACACACAACTTCGAGTGTGTTTAACCCCCTTAACTTCTAAGTTCCAAGTTTGGCAGTGCTTAAAACTTAAATCATGCCTACATCTTAGGTATCGCATTTTATAATTGTTCATCTCATACGTGTTGTGCGGGCGTAATGATCCATACATGATCGATGACGATATCCCTCGCACTAGTGCTACAAACCTAAAACTCCAGTTTCACTAACGCGTATTTTCAACCGTTAATACCCATTTTATTTTCATTTTCTTGTCTAACCACACTGACATCCCCCGGTTCAGTCGTAATGGGTGTTTGTCGTTACATTTTATAGCTTTCCTCGATGATGTAGCATATCTAAGATCAAAAGCCAACCGTTCAAGTTACTATAAGCTATCCTATATTGGTACAACATGAATATCGAGGGGAATGGCCTATCTCACAGCTTTGCAGTCCACCGAGTGTTGTTGCTCGAGTCTCTACTTCATATTGCTAGGCACCCCCGCTTACTTCCGTTCATGCGACAATCCTATGCGGATAGAATTTCCCATTGATATTGCACTGCATTGCTATTTCATGCGTCCGCATAGGCCCGTGTCTTGGACGCAGGGCGTTTTCCGAAACGCCGATTCCAAACTTACGCCATAGAATTATAAACTTAGAATCCTCTAAGGAAGCTCACAAGAGGAATTGACAGACAAACCGATATACTTTCGGTGTGCATACTCCAAGTGGTACCCGTACCATGTGTATGAAGGCATTGGTTGGTTGTCAGCCATGAGTCGAAGCAATTACATGTGGTGTATTGCTTTGTAAGCTTTATCCCAAGAGCTACGCATATTTAAACAACAATTTCTGGCGTTACTGTGTGCTTTATAGCTATTGCTCCTCAGATAGAGTGCTAGCTTCTTTCGCATAAACGTTTCCCGTCCCTGGATGGACCAGAATAGAACCCCGTCATGGCGAAATTGACGGGGTAAGCGTATAATTCCCGGGACAGAGCTATTCTTTCTTGCAGTTGTAAAACACGAAGGATCTCCCCCATCTCTCTTACCTAGCTTATTTGTATGTTCGTCTTGACTTCTAACTTGAAACGTATGGTTAAGGACTTCTGTGTGGAACACTAAACACGTAGATGACCCTCCTGTCGCTACTCATCGAAGTATTTAACCGCCGTAGCCATACAGGATAGACAAGTTATGCATGCAGGTCTGACATTAAGCATATGATGCACCCAGGCCTACCCATAAGTATCGTTGCATCTACGTGATGGCACATTTTCTCGCCGTTCAACTCTGATTCATCCTGGAAATTCAACTAGCAAGAATGGAAGCTCTGCGACAGAGAATTGAACCCCGGTCCCCCGTGCGACAAACGGAGATTCTAACAATACGCCAAGGGTCCCCAGAATAAAGGTTACTTTCCGGCTATAACAAAAAATGTATGATAGCAATCTACTCTTATATAAAAATAGACTAACTTTGCAATCAGGCAGTCTCCCTGATTTACATCACCTTGTGTGAGTACACTACGTATTAGTGGGTCAAACCCTTACTACAATCTCCTTGAGATTGCCAGGCACGTGCAACTGTACACATCCTCTTGCACATGCTCTTGACCACTTGTAGGTTTTCACTGAATAACCTAATCATCTGTGAAGTTACTATTGATTAATACTGGTGGTTAATATGCCACTCTAAAAGCCTAAAGGCGAAATGAAATTGAACGATGAGTTTTATAAATGGAAAGTGTGTCCCTTAAAGTTTTTAACCGATCTAGGAAAACTGTCTTAGAGGTCCCATTAAACATACAAGCCAAGAATACCCATCTTCCATTAAGCCCTAAAACTTTACTCACCCTCCTCCATAATGTATACTGTCGTCCCGCATTAAACATATCGTTTCGGACCTTAAATACGAATCACTCGTCCACCTTAGCTCTCAAGCTCATCTCCTAAACACAACCTGCATGCAACGTGGCCAACTTGTCGGATACCTGATGTCGTACATCGTTTGGGCGTCTGATTTTTTCGACGCGTAACGCACTCGCGCAAAACCGGCCCATTTTGCCAGATGCAACGTATTTCAGCGTCTCTTCCTCAAAGGTTTCCTTTTGCATTTATACCAACTAGACAACCCTTTCGTTTTTCAACCCCCGATCACAATCATGTCCCCTCCTAGAAATGTTGGTATCAAGGCTATGGAAGTCTACATTCCAGGCCAGGTACGTATTGTCTTCCTGTTCAGCCGCGGATTTTGAGTTGGCCGTACAACTCGACGAACCCTTGGCAACGATTTTTGCACACGTTCCAGTATTAACCGGTCCAGGCTGTTAACCAAGCTGCCTTAGAAGAATTTGACGGTGTTGCCGCCGGCAAGTACACCATTGGTTTGGGTCAAACGAACATGGCGTTCGTCAATGACCGTGAAGGTATGTGTCCACTCTACGTTTGACCGAAAGAGGGGCGAATTCCGATACTGTAACCAATACTAACCCCTTTAGACATCTACTCCATGTCCTTGACGGTGTTGAAGAACTTGTTGACCAGGTACGACATCAAGCCAGAGCAAATCGGCCGTTTGGAAGTCGGTACCGAAACCTTGTTGGACAAGTCCAAGTCTGTAAAGTCTGTTTTAATGCAATTGTTCGGTGACAATGCCGATGTTGAGGGTGTTGACACCATCAACGCCTGCTACGGTGGTACCAACGCTGTGTTCAACTCTGTCAACTGGGTTGAGTCCTCCTCTTGGGATGGTAGATACGCCGTTGTCGTCTGTGGTGACATTGCGATCTACTCCCAGGGTGCTGCCAGACCTACTGGTGGTGCCGGTACCGTTGCCATGTTGATCGGCCCGGACGCCCCAATTGTCTTTGAGGCCCCCCACGGTTCTTACATGGAACACGCGTACGATTTTTACAAGCCCGACTTCACCTCCGAGTACCCAGTCGTTGACGGTCACTTCTCGTTGGCCTGTTACGTCAAGGCCGTTGACCAGTGCTACCAGGCGTACTCCAAGAAGGCCATTGCCAGAGGCTTGGTTGCCGAACCGGTCGATGCCAAGGCCTGTGGTATCCAGTCCCACTTTGACTACAACGTCTTCCACGTGCCAACCTGCAAGTTGGTCACCAAGTCCTACGCCAGATTATTCTACAACGATTTCAGAGCCAACCCAAGCTTGTTCCCAGAAGTCGATGCCGCTTTGGCTCATGTTGACTACGAAGCCTCCTTGGTTGATAGAAACATCGAAAAGGTCTTCATGGGTATTGCCAAGGAGTTGACCAAGCAGAGAGTTTCCCCATCCTTAACCGTCCCAACCAACACCGGTAACATGTACACCGGTTCTGCCTACGCCGCCTTGGCCTCCTTGTTGTTCTACGTTGGCTCCGATTCTTTGCAGAACAAACGTATTGGTATTTTCTCCTACGGTTCCGGCTTGGCCTCCTCCTTGTACGGTGTCAAGGTTGTCGGTGACATTTCCCACATCACCAAGGTCTTGGATTTGCAGAACAAGTTGGACTCCAGAGCCATCGAAAAGCCAGAGACCTACGTCCAGGCTATCGAGTTGAGAGAAGCGGCCCATTTGCAAAAGTCCTTCAAGCCAACCGGTTCCACCGACCACTTGGCCGTCGGCACTTACTACTTGACCGAGGTCGACGATAAGTTTAGAAGATTTTACGCCGTCAAGGAGTAAGCCATCTTTATATACACATTAAACTATACCTAATCGATAATGATACAGCTGTAGAGATTTACAAGTCTGTCGGGAAACCCATATATTGTAGGCCCATACTCGCATGAGCCACGCAGCGTATTCACAATGGCATGTGATCAGAGCTATGTTGTAAGGTGAGACCCGCCTGGTCAGATATGTTTGATATTGTGTTGGCTGATCTAACGGACGTTCTACGATGAGACGGGACTATCTGTCCATTAATCAAAGTTGTACCTCCGTAGATGCGTATGTGAAGAGAAGAGAAATTCCCGCTTTAGGGGATGATCTGGTCGTTCATGCTTTTCTCCAATCACGCATTTTTTTTTTCAACTTAAATGGGGAGTTCTGGGTGCAGCTGCCTTCTCTATGACATTAACAAGGCTGGGAATGTGTCAAATGCTTAGCTCAACACGTCGCTTTAACGTATCGGTAGTAGCCATGCCAGGGGTGTGGGAGCGCTCCCTGCTAAAACGTAAAGAGTCATTTAAATGGAAATATGGGACGATAAAACCCATAATATTAATAGTCTCGCAAACGGTTTCTATCAGTCCAGATCTGGGACGAAAAGGATGCCACCCCAGCCTGTACCCCGCCTGTACAGCGCGCTGTAGAATCCCGGGTGCATGTTTATCAACCCGAAATCCGCGGAACTTTCGGCATGAAAATAAGCCCCAATCCGACAGCCCCCCGGATAAATTCTAGATAAACAGTAGTTTTATTTAAAAAAAAATGCCTAGGAATATATAGGCATGTCTTAGATGGCCATATTGGGCAAGATTAGTGTAATCCCTGGATTGTCTCCAATGCGGCCTGCTGCTCAGTGACGCTGATTTGTCCTACGTTATCTCGGCACCCCACATGGAAATTGGCTTGTTCTTCTCTCGCGGCACGCAAAAGAAGCACGGCATATATAGTCACCACCCCCTTTCATCCAACTCCCCAATATTCTCACCCCTCTTTCACCTTCAAAATGTCCTACAATTCCGGTCACTACAACTTGAAATACAACCACTTCCACGTCACCAAGCCAGCAGAGCACGTGGCGCATGTGGAGATCAACCAGCCAAAGACCTTCAACGCCTTCTTGTCCACCACCTGGCACCAGTACAAGGATCTTATTTTGGAGCTCGACGCCGATCCAGAGGTCAAGTGTATCATCATCTCCGGTGTCGGTCCACACTTTTCCAGCGGCTTAAACTTGCAGGGTGCCATCGAGGACATGCTGGGCTTCTTTAAGGGCGACTCCCACGGCTCGGTAGTCACAAAGTCCGAGAGCATCACCAAGAACGGCGACATGTACAAGCACATTGTCGACTTCCAGGACTGTATTGCGGCAACAGCACAGATCGGCACCCCAAGCATCGGGGTCGCTCACGGAATCTCGTATGGCTTGGCGATTGACTTGTTGGCCACCACCTCCATCAGATTGGCCGTCAAGAAATCTACTCGTTTCTCCATCAAGGAGATTGATATTGGGCTTGTGGCGGATATCGGGTCCTTGCAGAGAATGCCAGCCTTGGTGAACAACAAATCCCGGTTGAACGAATTGGCGTTGACCGCCAGGGAGTTTAAGGGCGAGGAGGCCTTGGAGTTGGGCTTTGTCAGCGAGTTGGCCGACACTAAGGAACAGGCGTTGGAAAAGGCGTTGGCAATTGCCAAGAACATTGCCAGACACGAGCGTTGGTGTATCGAGGGTACTAAGCGCGAGGTCCAGTTTATGGTCAATGGTGGGAGCGTCAACGACGGGTTGGACCGAGTCGCCATCTATCAGGCCGACCATCTCGGCCAAGAGTTTGTCGATGGTTTGGTCAGATTAAGTAAGTCTATGGCCCCTGTTAAGTCTAAGGCCAAGTTGTAAGAATTTTAAACTATGCGCGTTTTACATGTCTGCTAGACTTCTGTAGAAATTAAATGCTGAGTATTCAATTTCCGCTGTTTGACTCAGGTGATTATTAAGAAGTGAGTCCTGATTAGCACCTTTTTGGTTAGTTCGGAAGTTATCTCAGTCCGTGTGATAACTTAATTGTCACTCAGGGAGTCATTTGGGTGCGTTACGTAGGTATAGATGTTCTGAAAGCTGTTGCTTGAATTTAATTAACCCAATGGTTTTAGGGCTTCAGCGTTATTTCATCAACTCGGAAATTCTCACCTTCAAACCATGCAACTCCGTTTACATTATTAGCTCCAAAACTACCTATAGAGAGCTTTAAACGGTTGAAGGTGTAGAATGCCATGCGTTTGAGCCGCTTCGGGGTTCGGCTAATTTCGGCACGTGGTATGCACCCCACAATAACTAGGTATGTTGCAGGCTACGGATTCGATAGTCAGTTACGGTCATGCAACGAGGATACAATCAGAGCCATGAGAACCTCTACAACTTTGGTACAAATATCCAGACTGTCCTAGCTTGCTCTCTCCCTTTCCTCTACTCACCATGACATTCAACGCTGATAACTACAACAAGTACACCCATTTCCACGTCTCGTACCCGGTTGAGGACGTGGCGCACGTGGAAATTAACTTGCCAAAGACCGGCAATTCGTTTGTGTCAGAGACCTGGCACCAATACAAGGATCTCATGTGGGAACTCGACGCTGACACCCATGTCAAGTGCATAGTACTCTCTGGGGTGGGTCGTAACTTCTCCAGCGGCTTGAATCTCAAGGCCGCCACTATCGAGATGCAGAAGGCTATTTCGGGAGAAACCCGTTCCAAGTCATCGCAGAAGACGGCAAACGACAATGTGTACCACTTTGCCAAGGATTTTCAGGAGTGTATCGCAGCTACGGCCCAGATTGCGACCCCCAGCATTGCTGTTGCTCATGGTGTGGCGTACGGCTTGGCTGTGGACTTGTTGTCCACAACCACCATCAGATTGGCTGTCAAGAATTCTACGCGTTTCTCCATCAAGGAGATCGATATTGGAATTGTGGCGGATATCGGGTCCTTGCAGAGAATGCCAGCCTTGGTGAACAACAAATCTCGGTTGTACGAATTGGCGTTGACCGCCAGAGAATTCAAGGGTGAAGAGGCTTTGGAGTTGGGCTTTGTCAGTCAATTGCTCGACACGAAGGAGCAAGCCTTGGAAAAGGCGTTGGAAATTGCCGAACGAATTGTAAGTCACAAACAATGGTGTATTGAGGGCACCAAGGCGGAGATCCAGTTCATGGTAGATGGAGGAACGGTGAACGAGGGATTGGAAAGGGTTGCTGTTTTCCAGGCGGATAATCTTGGCCAGGAGTTTAACCTTCCCGAGCAGAGCGCCTCTGTTGTACAGTCTTTTAAGTCAGAGAAATCCAAGTTGTAATAGGTTTCTCACGACCCAAAAGGTTATTTATTCACTTTTACGTCAATATGAGAGCAAAGGCCATGATTTAGGATAGCTATGATTAAGGATATCTGGTTGCGCAAATCCCCTATTATACGACCCTTAGGCACCACTCGTAGGCTCCCAGAAAAATCAAAAAAAAAAAAAAAAAAAAAAAACCATAAATTACAGTTCAGACAAAATATTTACAATGACCCTAACCATTTGAGCCTTCAATTTAACAAGAATCACTGCCCTTGGTCTTGCCCTGGCCGATTTCAAGCTTAGCCGACTTTGCCCCAAATTGAATAGCCCGTTTGGCTTCGTGGGCCACATACTCCATATTGTAGGACAAGGCCAACTCTCTCAACAACCACTTTCGGATAGATTTGAAATCAGCTGAGCACTCCGTCGCATCCTGGCTCACGCAACCGCTACAGTGGCATTGATAATTGTACTTCAAGTCCAACGGAACTTCCTCCACGGTAAACCTGATAAGTGCTTCATCCAAGAACGGGTATCTGAGCTCCTTTCCCCATGATGAAATTACCCTGTCATCACGGCCAAGGTTTCTCACGTACAATCTGTTCAAATCGTGAAGCAACTCCTTGGCTAATAGCCCATAACAAGCCGCAATGTCCGCCGCAATGTCCGCCACTCTGGAAGGGTTAACGTCAGACTTATCCCGGGTAAGGCTAGTAAAGATCTTCTGGTGCCTGGTGTAACCTCCGTATAGCTCATCGGCCCCCAAGCCCGAAAACAACACCTTGCAACGGGAGTGGTACGCCTCTCTCGTAAACTCGCCCAGACCCACTACCTTATTACCACTGCCCCTGGAAGCAAAGTAGAAGGCAATCGCGATCGAAAGGTCCATTTCGGTGTGGCACGGGTACATTAAGGCCATCACCCTGCGTTTGTGTAGAAGCCACTCCTCGTAGGTGACGTCAACCTCGACCATGTTGATCGTCACATCTGCTGGGGCAAAGCGGGCTTGTAAGCTCTGCCACGACTTGAGAGCGAGCACGCGGTCAGGTGACTGGGCCGGCGAAAGGCTAGCACGCGGGTTTTCAAACCCAACAGAGAGTAAGTCGATGACCGTTCCAGGTGGACTGAGAGACGCAATCTTGTGAGCCACCAAGGTGCAATCGATACCACCAGAGAAGAGCACACCTAACTTTACCCGTGAGTTTCCCGAATACTCGTCTAACGGGTGGATGGTTTCAATACGGGTTCGGACCGCTTCCGTGAACACGTTGTCTAGCTTGGACACAAGGGCCTGGATGGGGGGTGAGGGGCTGGAATAGGACAAGTGGGAGTGCTGGTGGCAGGTGGTGGCATTAATTCTCTCGTACAATACGTTTGTCTGTTGCTCTTCGGTGGGCATATCGTTGTCGCCTTCCACCTCCCGCCGCTCCTCCGTGATAGCCATCACACGGTCGCCGTTGCCCACGATCTTGTATATCGTCATGGTCTGGGAGACAAGACTGTATTTGTAAAGCTCGCCACCTTTGCATTCTCTGAATGCCATTCGGTGGCGGGAACACTCTGACGATGGTGGGAGCGAGCTCACAGTCAAGTCGCCGTCCACGACAGAGTAGAGCAAGGAGCGCTTCCCGATAAAGTCCCTCATGAAATACACAACCCCTTCGTTCTTGTGATAGATGACGGCCGCAAATTCCCCTTTGAGGGATCTGTAGAGATTCAAGACCGCCGAGTCGATGTCTTGAATCCCTGGTAGGGCAAGCAATTGCTGCATAACGTACTCCGTGTCATTGACGTCCAACGCGGCGTTATTATACAACTCGCCGTTAAACTGAAGGACAAACTTATGCTCAAGTGAGGTCAGCGCCGTATATGGTTGAGCTGTGAAGGGCTGTCTTAAAGAGAGAATAGATGAAAAGTGTTGGGCCGTAATCGTGATGCTGCCGGCCTGGTGGGACTCTGCAGTGAACTGACAGTAGTCCGGGCCTCTGGTGGCGATTTTGGGAATCAATTCATTAAAAAAATGCTTCAGGGGATACGCCAATTCCTCTGTTTCGGTCGCCGCTTCGGGGGTGTCCTCTAGCGAAACTTTCGCCATCTGCGGTAAGTCTTGGATTTCAAGCGAGTCACATACCAGGGCGTTACCACCCTTGGCCTTCTTATAACTTTTGTCATTCTTTTTGTTGTTCTTGTCTCTCAAGTAAAATTTGTTGTGCTTCAATTGTTCCTTGATAACCTTGTACTCCTCCAACTTCATCGATTCCTCGGGCGTCAACTGAAGGTCATGTTCCAAGTCCTGTTCAACCAACTGTTTGATTTCCGCCGATGTGTAAACCTTGTTCGGAGGAAGCTCAGCACATGGTTTAGTTGTGAAATGACAAAGGATACCGCACATGACTACACCGTATTTCTGGTTGGTCTCGACTAGTTATAATTTTTTCATGCATAAATATTTTTCAACCCTAACCCAGCGATCTGTAGGTGTTCCGTGCAGGGAGCGTGCTAAGGGGATAACCCCCGACTCTGTCCAAGATTAGTTTGGCGTAAATTTAGTGGAAATGGCCGATTATAGTCTCTAAACCCTTGATGGCTGAGTTTCCATGGCCCATACTGGAAGTAACTGTTCGTATCTTACACTAGATGCACCAATTGTGGCGCCTGCACGTGCAAACGTTCAATCCTGCATTACTTCAACGGCATTTTGCACTCTTCAGCGATCATAAATCACCCCTTTTTTTTTTTCTTCTTCCCATCGCCATGTCTGTGCCAAAATCGATTGCCCACTTGCAGGTGTCCAAACTCATCCATTCGACTTGGGCGGGCACGTTCCAGTGCCGCCCCTCCGCGTACTTCCAACCGGCCACGTTGGACGACATCAAGACATTGGTGAACGAAGCCCGGTTGAATAAGAAGACGCTCATGACCGTGGGGTCAGGCCACTCGCCATCGGACTTGACCATGACCAGCGAATGGTTGGTCAACTTGGACAAGTTCCACGAAATTCTCGAGATCAAACCCCATGCCTCGGGCAAGTTCACCGACATCACCGTGGAGGCGGGGGTGAGAATCTTCCAGTTGAACGAGTTCTTAAAGACCAAGAACTTGGCTATTCAAAATTTAGGCTCGATTTCTGACCAGTCCATTGCCGGGATCATCTCCACTGGCACCCACGGCTCCTCTCAGTACCACGGCTTGGTCTCATCGCAGGTGGTTGACTTGTCGCTTGTGAACTCCGCGGGCGAGTTGGTAAAGTGCTCACCGACCGAAAACAGGGAGATTTTCCAGGCGGCATTGTTGTCTTTGGGGAAAATCGGCTTGATCACCCACGTCACCCTCAGAACCATCCCGCGGTACCAGATCAAGTCCAAGCAGGAGGTGATCAACTTCGACACCTTGTTGAAGAACTGGGACACTATTTTCACTACCGATGAGTTCATCAGATGCTGGTGGTTCCCGTACACTGAGAAATGTATTCTCTGGCGTGCTTCCAAGACTCAGGAGCCGTTGTCGGCGCCGCGTGCTTCGTGGTATGGCACCACCTTGGGCCGGTTGTTCTACGAATCGTTGTTGTGGGTCTCTGTCCATGTGGCCCCGCGCTTGACCCCTTACGTGGAGCGATTTGTGTTCCAGAGACAGTACGGCAATGTTGAAACCCTCGGTAAGGGCGACATCGCGGTGCAGGGCTCTGTAGAAGGCTTGAACATGGACTGTTTGTTTTCGCAGTTTGTGAACGAATGGCTGGCTCCTTTGACCGATGGTGTGGCCATCTTGACCCAGTTGGACGCAGTTATCAAGGCTGCGGCCGCTAAGGGCGAATTCTTTGTGCACGCTCCGATGGAGGTGAGGTGCTCCAACACCACGATCAATCCCGTTGTTGAGGAGAACTTTGAAGAATTCTTGGCCCAGCGTGAGATGATTGCTCCCGGCCCCATCCCGGGCAACTTTGTGAAACCGTTCATGGATGCCACGCCAAGAAACTTGCCCGTTACGTCTGGTGAAATCACCAACGAACAGTTGACGTTGTACATCAATGCCACCATGTACAGACCGTTCCACACCGACATTGACGTTGGTCCGTGGTACGAGAAGTTTGAGCGTGTGTTGTTGGACTACCAGGGCAAGCCCCACTGGGCTAAAAACTTCATCGGCCACTCCATCTCCCAGGAGCAGGACCTGGCATCCCGCGACGTGCAGTTGAAGTATGGCGGTAGGGATGACGGCAAGATGTACGGATTCCAGGGCGTGATGAAGGACTGGTTTGGCGAAGATTTAAAGGCGTTCAAGCGGGTTCGAGAGCAGGTCGACAAGGACGGCGTCTTCTTAGCCAACAGAGACTGGGCCATCAGAAACGGGATTGTTGATAAATAGGAGTGATCAAAAAATGATAATATATATATATATATATGTGTGTGTGTGTGCTTGTGGTAGGATGTTTATTTGCAGTGAGTAAAACCATGATAAGCTTCCAAGCTATACAGACTTCAAGCTATACAGGCTTCAAGCTATACAGAGCTTCAAGCTTCTATTAGGGCATCGTGGATACGTGCGGCTGCGCATCCCGCAAACTCTAAACGCGTCGCGTCCTCTTAAACACCGGACAAGCATCAATATTTATCCACTATAGGTGGAGCAGCTATTGGCCCATAGCCGCTTGTCTCTAGCTCATTTGACTTGAGGCTTAAGCTGCTTGGATGCCAGATGTAAAGTTTTCCCCTTCAGCCGGGGCCCCTCGAAGAAAGGTGACAAAGCGAAAGGGAAAGAAAAAGGGAAAAAGAAGAGGTAATACGTACAAGAGGTTTGCCAATTTTGCGACAAAACGGAATAAACCAATGGCTCCAGCGCCCGAAAATGGCCTTCCGACTAGTAAAAACTTGAGTCGAATTGGTGCAAATGATTCCACAATCACAGACTCCATCTCCCGTCAGACATATGCCTGGCGTTCGTTGCCCCCCGCCGTGGTACCCCATTGGAACAAGGGTGAGAGGAAGGGCTCTACCTTTCCGATAAAGATCCCCACTCTCAAGACCTTGGCATCGCGGAAAATTGCGGGAAAAGTCTTGCATGTCCAGCCTGAGCATCTAGCGGCAGCCCCCCAGTGGTCGATTTGGAGAGCAGTATGGGAAAACATTCTCCTTTTGCATAACGACTCCCCGGCTGTGTTCAACTTATTTGCAAATTTTTTCCACACCGAGCCAACCTTCAGATCCCATTTCATGACGTCTTCCCCCACCTTCTACTATACCGCCAGCCCAACGATCGAAGAAGAGGCCGTCCAACACATCAAGCAAAGCCGAAACTTGAAATTGATCAACACGTGTCTTCCAGGTATCCAAGGCGCCAAGCATCGATTAGAGGTTTTTTTTCGTAATGTGAATATTTCGAATGATCTATCCCTATATTTAAACAGACTCACATACGGCCCTTTTGTCGTCTTGAATTTAGCACCCTGTTCCGCCGTCTTTGCCGCTCGCGAGGATATCTTGTCTTTGTTGAAAATCGACAACTTGGCTGCCCTCGATCTCTCGTCGTTTCCGCAATTGGACGATAATCTCTTGTACAGTCTCGGTTTGGGTCTCAAGAATGGAAAGTGGCCTGAATTGCGGGTTTTGCGGTTAAGCTCCAGGAAGGGCGGGGCGGTACAAATAACAAGTGCTGGGTTGAGCAGGTTTCTATTTGACGTCTCGAGGATTCCAATGTCGAAACTCTGCTGTGTGGAAACTAACGTGGCCGTCACAGAAGTTCCCAGGGCTGGTTCTGGCTGGGAGTTGACCAGTGACCCTGTTATCAGTAAATTGCCCATGGCCTTGAAACTATTTTTCTTGCATAACCAATCAAATCCAGCCAACACCGAGTCCCATTCCCCGCCGCGTAATTTCATACATGACCTTTATAGTCGGATCGTCCTCGACGTGACCGTACAAGATGAGGACTACCCCACTGATACTCAAAATGTCTCGCCGAGGGATGTGTGCCACCAGATGGAAAAACTATGGAGTAAACCCTCCACCACCACTCTCTTGAGCTATTGCTATACTTTCAGTGCTGAAAACGCAACTGCAGCGGTGGAGAAGGTTAAGGCTACTCCAGCAAGAGGGTCAAAACCCGTATTGAAAGTGAGGCGTACGGGGAACGCAAAAAGCTTTTTCGATTTGTAAACATGGCATTGGTGGGTTAAAAAAAACTCAGCATACGCAAATATTTACTTTCAGCGATACTAATTTAAGGTTAAAGTGAGTATTTGGCTATACCGCATCTGTTCCATGGTCCCGAGCGTAGCTAAAGCAGACAACTTGGGATAGGATAAAAATCTAATTAGAGCGGAACCCTATCTAAATGTAGTGAAGCATACGAGAGATAATATATTAGATAAGCTTTGATGTATCAGATTTGCGTGATAAGAGTTGTCAAAAAGGCACGAGACGTTTTTAACAAAATCTAGTGTATTTTCGTTTATAAATAAGTTTATACGTAATGAAATACCTAAACATAATATGCGAATATATCAAATTGTAATTATATTATCATATATATTGCATATATATTGCTTAAATATGAATAATAACTGATTTTAATAAATAGTAGATATTCGCAAACTTAAGTTGAAGACCTAGAGTCGTAATTGTGTAACCAGAATTATCCTAGTATGATATACACAGAGTGCGTATTTACATCACTACATATACCCGCAATTGCTTGGGTACGCACCGGTTACGCTTAAACGATTGGTGCTCTTCCACTATAATATAAGCCTTTCGAGTATAGCTGCACAATATCTAATAGAGTAGGGATATACAACGTCCAGCATTGGTTATGTAGTACTGGTCAGACTGGGGCCTTGTGATGCTTCATGGGGCGCCGCAGACAGAGACTTGGTGTGCCCCACGTGTGCCCTCCGCTCATGTGTCTCAAAATACCTGTCCTATTAAGCGGAGCCCAAGGTGACACACGTGCATGCAACAATGTTTAGCGGTCGACCCGTTCGGTAGCCAGGGTTTATATACAGGATATTAATATATATCCAATAGACATACCCCACGTGTAGGTGGGTATATTGTAGCCTCTCTATCAAATTGCTAGAGAGTCGGGGTCTGAAGCCGCCTTTAGCCTAAGTTCTGTATGCCGTTAGTAACTTAGTTTAGCGTGTCTAGTTTACAATTTATAGTGCAAATAATGTACTATGCTCCGTATCCTGGAGCCCTTTTAACTCAAAGTTAAACCTAGTGATAAGGTTTCTCTTAATGTGCTTTCCCCAATTACTGTTAGAAAACATTATCTGCCAATACGTGACAACTAAGATACGCATGCTTTCCTTTGGTCTGAGTAAAAAAGATAAACGGCCGTATATAGGTGCGGGGAATCAATATTAACGACAGCTGAAACCACCTAACGTTTGAGGGTAGTGATGTCAGGTGGTTTCAGTCATGGTTTAAGAGAATAAATTGCTGATTAGAGGCGTGATTACTTGTGACAGATTTTCCCATGACCCTACTGACGCTTTAAGTAAATCCTTAAACGATTAATCCATACTTTAAACGTCTAAGCTTTCAATCTTTAAAATGCAAAACGATTAGCCTCTCTAAAATATTATCACCCCTGAGAACACCGCTTTACTTCAAGGGCCAGCCCCGCCACGGAAGCTTGGAAAGGACACTCTCATGTTTAATAACCTTGCAAATGCTAATCGTTTTGCAGTCACACGAGTTAATTAACATCGTGTGATACATTGCTAATTTATTTAAGCAACACGTGGAAAAAGAAACTTGATAATCAGAAGTTGCAGGGATCTACCACGTCATGGACCACACGTAAGATCAACCCACACATTTGTCTTTAATGCCTCACGCCCGTTTATCCCATTTCAGTTTAGTACGTACATGCCTACGGTTTGAACTATCCCATGTGTAGCAAAATTTCCACATATTTCCTTACTCACATCGTGCTGAAGGATCCTACTGAAGCACAATACATATCCGGAAACCGTCAGTCACTGAACTAATCTTTACTCGACTTTTCAGATGGTGATCTGAGAGCTACGAGACGTATTAACTGACATCACTCTTCAGTAAGACCAACGACGGGGTTTATACTCAATCTGGAGTTGGGGATTTTTATACGTCCTTTGACATTCCGGCAATTATCCGAGAAGCGGTTAAATGCGTCATCTTTCCCTGCCTTCCCAATAATATAAACCTCCGAGAGAATCAAGGGTCACTGCGAGCAGTGAAGAGAGAGTTATATACGTAGTTTGTACATAGCAGAGCTTCTCTTAAATCTTCATTTACCTGCAGTTAAATATCCTGGTGACGGGTCTACGAATGACGGATTTCCTTTAAATTCTAAATATTTACGATCAATACCGCATTAGTATAATAGCGAGTTGCAAAATTCCATACGGGGTAGACACACATGTATAGATAAAAGGGCACGGGCCATTTCCCCACAAATTATCACTCAGCGTGCTACCATGTGGCTAATACTGCTTGGAAGTTCTCCCTAACAAGCTTTTTATGCAAATCTTTACGCTTTATCTGGTAGCCTCTAACACATAGTCTTGGCTACGACTATAAATTAATTCCAAGGCCCAGTTCAGCCCTGAAGCTACCCAATGCAGTATAAACACGATTAAAGGAGTAAATATCCGAAAGAGTTCGTGTAACCATTTTATCTCTTCGAAGACCCGCCCGAGAAGGTGAGGTTTGAGTGCTCTGCTGCACGTGCCACAGATTTGCAGCCTCTCGATCGAGAGAAAACGTGGGACCAATTTACCGCGAATTAATTGCACGCCAACTTAAGGTTTCCTCGACGTGACCTAACCAATGCACGCTGCAGCTCCACGCAGGGTCACCGTGAAATATTTCACAGTGCGTTTGGACAACGGCGCATCTTCAGGCAGCGTATGGCCCGCTGTAACCAATACCGAGGCAATATCCTCCCCGCGATATTAGCTAATGCTTCACCCTGGATGGAGTATGGGACCACTTATACCACTGCAAATCCCTGGATGGAAAGCTCTATCACGTGTAAGGCAAACTTTAACCCAGACCCCAGCACGGGGACTTTAACTTGTGCCTAAACTATACACGTTTCAGGCCAAAAGTATTGGCGCTGCAAAAAATCCGGGGCACACACCGCTGAGCAATTCTCTGGAGTATCTAAACTTCTTGGGCTATCTATCCGAAACTCTTGGAAGTAAAGGCTTGTTAATGTCACACGACAGTTGAATAAAAAGACTTCCAAAGATATATTACACATGGGGAGTAGACTTCTGCTGTGTGTGATAAGCAGGAAGAGGACTAGAGAAAGTGGTAATCGGACGGCCCCATGTGCTGCGCAAATTATAGAGGCACGTTTTCCCTAAATGCCAGAAGCGAACCCTAATAAGAAGAGGCCTACAAATTGCTTTTGCACTCGTGCGAGGATCTCCCCTGCCAAAAACCGGGTTTTCCCTCTCTAGACGGCAATTTACAGCCAATTTTCTCCCGTGCAAAGTTGACGCACAGGAATTTTTCTGCATGATCGTGCATACAATCAATAAATTCCTACGCTAAACATGTAGCGTGCGAATACATTTCTTTGTAATACCGAGTTTCATCGCCTATCCTGGGTTTTTGGTGACCGTAGCGGGAGTCCAGAGTCCATATAAATATTCCTGGGTGCCCCCCCCTCCTAAGCACTAATATATCATCCCTTTGTATCTTTCCTCGCACATAGAAAAGTTCCTGTTTCCGTAAGATGCCTGAACAAAACAAAGAGAACTTGACCGCCGGTGGTAACGCCGCGTTCCACAACTTTATCAATGATTTCGCACACATCGAAGATCCAATGGAGAGAAGAAGATTGGCCTTGGAAAAGATCGATGAAGCTCCTTTCGGCTGGTACCACGTCCGTGCTATCGTCGTTGCCGGTGTTGGTTTCTTGACTGATTCTTACGATATTTTCGCCATTAACTTGTCTGTTTCCATGATGGGTTACGTCTACTGGGGTGGTAACATGCCAGCCTCCACCTCCACCTTGCTCAAGGTTTCCACCTCCATCGGTACCGTTATCGGCCAGTTGGGGTTCGGTTTCCTTGCCGATTACTGTGGTCGTAAGGCCATCTACGGTATTGAGTTGATCATCATGATTGTTGCCACCATTTTCCAGTGCATGACTGGGAGTTCTGCCGTTTTAAACTTTACCGCTATGTTGACCTTCTGGAGAATTGTCATGGGTATTGGTATCGGTGGTGACTACCCATTGTCTTCCGTTATCACTTCTGAGTTTGCCACCACCAAGTGGAGAGGTGCCACCATGGGCGCTGTCTTTGCCAGTCAGGGTTGGGGCCAGTTGTTTGCCGCTATTGTCTCCTTGATTTGTGTTGTTGGGTACAAGGACTCGCTCATTGACGTAAACTCCAATGCCGAGTGTGGTGAAAGGTGTATCAAGGCTTGTGATGCCATGTGGAGAATCACCATCGGTATGGGTGCCGTTCCAGCCATGATTGCCTTGTACTTCCGTTTGACTATCCCTGAATCCCCTAGATACACAATGGAGATTGCCGGTGATGATGTTAGAGCCCTCGCTGACACCAAAAGATTTACTTCTGGTGGCCACGGTAATGCCAATGACCAAGAAATTGCCGGTTTGCAATTGGACATTGAACGTGCTACCGCCGCTGCTGAATTTAAGAATGAACAGGTTGCTGCTATGACGCCACCAAAGGCCTCTTGGAAAGATTTCCGCACTCACTTCGGCCAGTGGAAGCACGGTAAGATCTTGCTTGGGACTGCCGGTTGTTGGTTCATGTTGGATATTGCTTTCTACGGGTTGGGGTTGAACTCTGCCGTGATTTTACAGACCATTGGTTACGCCTCGTCTAAGAACGTTTACTGGAAGTTGTACAACTCCGCTGCCGGTAACTTGATTTTGATTTGTGCTGGTTCTATCCCAGGCTACTGGGCTTCTGTTGCCACCATCGATACCCTTGGCCGTAAGCCAATCCAGATCGGTGGGTTTGGTATCTTGACCGTCTTGTTCTGTATCATTGGTTTCGCCTACCACAAAGTTGGTGACCACGGTTTGTTGGCCCTTTACGTCTTGTGTCAGTTCTTCGAGAACTTTGGTCCAAACACCACCACCTTTATCATTCCTGGTGAGATCTTCCCTACCAGATACAGATCCACTGCTCACGGTATTTCTGCTGCCAGTGGTAAGATCGGTGCTATTGTCGCCCAGACTGCCTTGGGTACTTTAATCAACCATAACTGTTCTAAGACCGACGCTAACTGTTGGTTGCCGCATGTTATGGAGATTTTCGCTCTCTTCATGTTGCTTGGTTTCGGGTTGGCCTGGTTGTTGCCAGAAACTAAGAGAAGAACCTTGGAAGACATTTCCGAATCGATTCACGGTGAGGCTAACATTAGAAAGTACGTTGTTGCTGGTTCTGTTGCTACTCATGCTGACTCTGAGTCTTTCAACAACGAATCTAAATAATGCTGATCTCGAGTTGAGATTCTCTTATCGTTTTTCATTCTTACTCTCTTTTGCGCTTCAATTCTCTCTCCCATGCACTTTTCGTTTGGGTTTTATCCAATTTTACTATTATTGAATTCCATAATAACTTATAGACTTAACTTTATTGTAGAGATTTTTAACCACGTTTTCATGTCAGCTATTAATTGGCGTGTGCATTACATGAGTGCATCTGGAGCCAGGGAGGATGTGCATGCGTCGTAAGTTCTGCGAGCATCTCCGTTCCCAAGTTTAAGCTTCAAGAGTGCTATCCGCTAAAATCCTAATATCAGACTTGTGGCTTCTCAAGGGGATTTATAGCTTAGAAAGGCAATCGTCTCATTTTGTTGTATCCACCGGCGTTGATTTACTGCCAAGTCACGGTCCAGTCTCTCTATGGCATTGGTGAAAGCTTTACGGGGGAGGGGCACGTGGTAAAGAAACCACGAATCCTAATGCAGGACTACACCATTTACCTGAGACATAGGATAAGAGATACAGAGACTTGGGCTCTCCCCAGTGGCCCAAATCAAGCAAGGCGGTAAGTGCCATTGATCCATGTGATCTTCACCACGCACCAGAGGCAGGTAAAGCAAACCACACCGGGCCGTTCCCAATACCGCCTCAACCCAAAATAATTTACTGATATGAGCTTACTCAGAGTAACATGTAAAATCCACAGATGGTAATCGGAAGTAATCGTCCAGACCAAACTCAGTCAGGATAGAAGCTACACACAACCGGCTCTTGTCAGACAACGATGCACCTGCCGAGAGGGTACGAGAGTCACTCAATGCCGGAGAATACTCCTTGGGTTCACGTGATGCAGATCGACATAGGACCACTTATGTCCTGCATTTTACTTCCAGGTGGGAAATTCACAAGCCGCCATTGGCTGAATCTCGAAAACTCCTACTGCATCTCGCTGGAAGGACGTGCATGCACTGAAAAAATTGACAAGCAATGGGCCATGAAGTCAACAGTAATCGGTCACACTCCACGCTCTTAATCATAGATTAGACGATTTGCCTTACACCAACGCAATTTCGTCGTTATCCAATTACCCCTTGTCATATTCTCAGCCCACTTGTACATACGCTGCCGTTATGTTTATGAGAGCCACCACCAGAAACAAGTTCACAAACTCGTTGTTCACCACCACGTTCGCGATTGCGTTCACGTTGGTTGGATTAAACTCCGTCATTCCATGTCCTATTGACCAGAAAAACATGGCCAACGACTCCGTCTCCCCGTCCGAGGTTGCCGCGAAGAAGCAGGGCCCGGTCGTATCTGCCTTCTCTGACATAAAGGACGTTTAGTTCGAGGTTTGGGACGCACCCCGATATAACTCACAAGAGTCTGAGGTAATTCTACCTCGACCTCCAGCATCGCATTCGCATCCTTGTAAACTACTATTTATTGCAATGCTTCTCAGCGGAAAGGGGCCATATCTGTTATTCCCCGCCGCTTCGGATCCTTTTCCCCTTTCAATGGTTTCGCCCCACTCGTTGCCTTCTATTACCCCCTCTATTACCCCCTCTATTTATTAACATTCCTCCCAGCATTCAAAGCTAGCGTGTACTTTCATTTTCCCCGGTATCTTTCTGGCTGAGGCTGCTACCCGTCACACAACCCTGGGAAGTCAAGCCAGAGCGGTTCCAGTGTATATTACGGTCTAATCCGATCAATCTCTATATAAATTTCTTAGCATAATACCCTCTAGATGCAACAGTGCAAGATTAGTAGACTCACGTGCAAGAGCACGTGCTCCTCACATACGAGGGCGTTTCTGACGCGTCCCATCGTTTTTACGCGCCGAAAAATAAATCCTGGCAGAGTTCTGTCACGCTTCAGCCGTTGTTTTCGTCCCTTATGCTAGCTCGGTTATATAAACAAAGCCACACCATCTTTCTCAGTTTTGCATCCGCCAGATTAGCCCCATTTGCTCGATTCCATTTTCCTACAGCCCCCCGTAGAATGGCCAAACAACAGACTCTCTCTATGTTCTTCAGCTCTTCCAAGGAGGCCACAGAGATCGAAGTTAAGGAAGTCAAAGAGGTATTCCAGAAGCAAGTGATTGCCGATCCAGAAGATGCTACGACCAAAGTCCAGGAAACCCCAAAGAGAATTTTGGCAGAAGCGACTGAAAGCTTGTCCAAGAAGGTGAAGACAGACGAAGAGCTTCCAGCGACGCAAGTTATTGAGGCAGATGTCACTACCGTTGAAACCTCTGTGGAAACTAAAGCCTTGACGGAAGCCGATGTCCCAACCTCTAGCAAGGCGTTGGCAGCTGGCCCCATCCCATATGCCGCGTTGTGCAAAGTCTTTGAAAAGATCGAAGACGAGTCTGGCCGCTTGAAAATCACTGCCTACTGCACCGAATTTTTCCTCGAGGTTCTCCAATCCAACCCCTCCAAACTCGTGCAAATAACCTACTTGTTCATCAACAGATTGGGCCCAGACTACGAACCAGGTTTAGAGCTAGGACTTGGGGAAACCTTGCTCATCAAGGCAATCGGCGAAAACTACGGCCGCCCAGCGGCAAAAATCAAGGCGGACTTCCACGAGACGGGCGATTTGGGGATTGTGGCCGAACAGAGTCGAGCCTCGCAGCCCACCATGTTCAAGCCCAAGCCGTTGGACGTCGATACGGTCTTCAAACAGCTCACCGCGATCGCGCGTTCCACGGGAAAGAACTCCCAGGGCGCCAAAATCAGCATCATTGGGAAGATGTTGACCGCTTGTAGCGGCACTGAGGCGCGTTTTTTGATCCGCTCTTTAGAGGGAAAATTGCGCATCGGGTTGGCGGAAAAGACCGTGCTAAATGCGTTGGCTGCGTCGTTTGTGCAGTATGAAGCGGCCAGAGACGCCAAAAAGCAGTCCCCACGACAGATGGAAGAGCTGCTAGCCAAGGCTGAGGATATGATCAAGGATGCGTTCTGCCAGGTGCCGAACTACGAGATTGTCATCACGAATGCCTTGCAGTACGGAATCTTTTCGCTCAGCAAACACTGCACTTTAAAGCCGGGGGTGCCGTTGAAGCCGATGTTGGCCAAACCTACAAAGTCCATTACCGAGGTATTGGATCGTTTCCAGGGTGAAGAGTTCACCTGCGAGTACAAGTACGACGGGGAGCGCGCGCAGGTGCACTTACTCGACTCTGGTGAGGTCAAGGTGTACTCCCGAAACTCCGAAGACATGTCGCAGCGGTACCCGGACATTATCGATGCGGTGAAACACTTCCTCAAGCCGGATGTGTGTACAACGAGCTTAATTTTGGACTGCGAGGCGGTTGCGTGGGATCGCGAAGCCCAGAAGATCTTGCCGTTCCAAGTCTTGTCGACGCGTAAGCGCAAGGACGTGGAGGAACGTGACATCAAGGTACATATCTGCTTGTTTGCGTTCGACATGTTGTGTCTCAACGGAGAGCCGTTGATTATGAAATCGTTGGCCGAGAGAAGGGGCCTTATGGAGAGCGTTCTCAGTCCCGTTGAGGGAAAGTTCCAGTATGCCACCACGATGAACACCTCGTCGATCGAAGAGATTCAGGTGTTTTTGGACAAATCAGTCTCGTCGGCGTGCGAGGGGTTGATGGTGAAGATGCTTAATGGCTCTGAGTCGGGGTACGAGCCGTCCAAGCGGTCGCGCAACTGGTTAAAGTTGAAGAAGGATTACCTAGCAGGGGTGGGCGACTCCTTGGATTTGGTGGTGGTTGGTGCTTACATCGGCAAGGGGAAGCGAACCGGGTCGTACGGGGGGTTCCTCTTGGCAACGTACAACCCCGATACCAGCGAGTACGAAACCACGTGTAAGATCGGTACCGGGTTTTCAGACGAAGACTTGGCTGCCTTGTACCTGAAGTTGTTTCCAACCGTGATTTCCCAGCCAAAGTCGTACTACGTGTACGATACAACCAACGGAAACGCCAAGCCGGATGTATGGTTTGAGCCAACCACCGTGTTTGAGGTCTTGACCGCGGACTTGTCGTTGTCGCCAATCTACAAAGCGGGGCACAATGTCATGGGCAGAGGGATATCCCTCCGTTTCCCGCGCATGCTCCGCGTCAGGGACGACAAAGGCACCGAAGACGCCACTTCCAGTGATCAGATCATCGAGATGTACGAGAGACAGGCGTCGTTGAACTAGAATGTGTTAGATAGGGGCTAGTCAAATAATGGACGGGATGGTATCGGAACACTGGACTAACACTCAGCCAATGGGTTGTTGCGTATGCACAATGGGGGGTGTATTTGGTCAGACAAAATATCAAATTTTTAGCAGGAAGTATTCTAAAGTTATGCAACGGCTTACGTGTGTCTTTCCAGGGTTTGGCCGCTTAGTATCTCTGCCATGGACTTAGTCTTTCCGTGACATCCACCCGGGAGAGCAAGGGAATGTATCATACATATTCTGAAGCGAATAGATATAAATAAGTCGCCTAAACCGTTTGCTTTATCGACTCCAGAAACTTCGATGCTTTCACCATGGCTTGCGTTATTCCAAGGTTAGGGGGGGTGAAACCGCTCTTTACCATGTACAGCTATATATCTAACAGTCTATTTGCTATTGACTATTCCAATTTATTTTTACGTAACGCTGTAATCGCATAGGTGTTAACCCCGATATGGCTCGGCAACCTTCAACGCCGAGAGAACGTGCTACACACAATACACGTGACTAATAACGTGGGATCAGCGATCGTATTCTGCGATTTCACTTTTCCGCTAGTGCCGTCCTGTTTATGCCACGGGGATATATAAGCAGTTCTTTTCCTGAATAAATCCCACCGGCTAACCGTCAGCTTGCTATTTGTACCAGTATCTGTACCCCAAAATAGCTATGTCAGAGGAGCAAATCAAACCTGACCCGGTTGCGCTGCCTAGCGCACCTGAAGCGCTTGAACTCTTTGTCGACACCACTGGGACCGAACAGCCTTTCCCTGTGGTGGAAAACAGTAGTGGGCATGAATCATCCCCAAATCCTGACGTCACGCAGAACAGCCCAGTAGCTGAAAGCGAAGTGGACACTAACGAGGCAGGCACCGACACCAAGGATGCTTTGAGGTCTGAGGACAAGTCTCAGGTAGAGGCCCCTGAAAATGTCCCAGAAGATGCCTCAAAAGATACCCCAGAAAATGCCCCAGTAAATACTGCAGTGGAAAGGGCCCTGGAAGTTAGTCCAGCGGTAATTGAGACAAATACGACTCCTGTAGAGTCCGTCGAAAGTGAAACTCCAGCTGAAGTGGCACCAAATGAAACTCTAGTCAGAGACGAAACTTCAAATGAAGCACCCGTCGAAGAAGTATCAAACGAAACTCCAGTTGGAGTAGCTATAGATGATGCTTCAGAAAGAGCGGAAACTCAATTGGAAACACCTTTCGAGACCTTGGTAGATGCTCCAACAGAGCCTGTCGAAGCTCTATTGGGAGAAATCATCGAGACGCCAGCTGACGCTTCAGATGACGACTATGATCCGTTCGACCTCGCCGAAACAGCCAAAAGACCAGCGGAAACCCACCCGGTCGAAGAACCAGTTTCCAAGAAACCTCACAGCTCAAAGCGCACGGCCCAACAGGGCATCGAGGTACTTCTCAACAGCCCCATCCACACAGACGAGAAATTTGCGGACATCCCAATTGAACATAAACAACTCGCATTGTACGTGGAATTGAACGAAGTGGACCCGAGTGTGATCTCTAGCGAGGATGTCAAGATGGTCAACATGGCGGCAACCACCTCCTATAACAAGCCGTTCCAGAAGCGCAACTTGATTCCGCTCGTGCCGGTGAACCCGTACTGCAAGCGCCCGGACATCACGTTGCAAATGACCCCACAGGAGCGACAGGCGTGGATCTTTTTCCAGCAATCAGAAACCGCCTTTTTACAGCAGGGGGGGAAGTGGGACCAGTTTCCGAAGGGCTCGCGCATGTTTGTGGGCAACTTGTCTGCTAATACTATCACCAAACAGGACTTGTTTCGCATCATGAACGTGTACGGCGAGGTGCTTGAAATCTCCATCAAAGGCGGGTTTGGGTTCTGCCAGTTCCGTACGCTCGAGGCATGCTCCGCCGCAATGAAGGGCGAGCGTAACGTACCTCTTCACGGCAGGATGCTCCATGTGGACGTTAGCGTGCCCACCTGGGGAAAGCGTGAGGCCCAAGCGCAGGAAGGCACTGAGAAGAAGGACCGCCGGGGCAGTCACGAGGCCAATGCTACTATTGACTGCCAGATATTCACGACCGAAGCCGCGTCGGCCCTTTACAAGCGCCAGGTCGTCAAGATGTTCAAACAGTCCAACATTTCCACCAACGTGGTACACAGACCGCAGGACGTGTCCGAGGCCATTTCCGAGGCTGCGTACGCCGGAGTGTTGAGCGTGTGCGTAGTCAAGGACAACTGTCTTGATGTACAGGTCTTCAGCACGACGCCTGACGGGGGCATCAAATTTGACGAGTATGCTGAGGTGGACCTTCTCGTGGGGTTGGACTTGGTCAAGCGAGCGATAGAAGAACGCTACCCGGATCGTGATATGTCCCAAGCAGAGCCACAAAATGTCAAACAACAGCTAGAGTACGACCAAGGCCGCCGGTACAACCAAGGTAATCGCCACAATAACCGGAAGCCTGGCCGGAATCACAATCCTCGAGGTAACTTTGAGCAGAGCGATCATGGAAATTATCATGACCGTGGCTATGATCATGACCGTGGTTACGACCGGAATGGCGGTTACAACGATCGTGGTTACAACCGTGGCCACAATGACCGTGGCAAAACTGATCGTGGGAATTATGGTAACAGAGGCAACCGCAGAGGCAACAGCTATGGTGAGCCACACCAAGAACACGATTCCCGTGGCCAGAACCAGTACCGTCAGGATAAGTTTTCCGGTCGCCAGGACTACTCGCGCAATGCCTACAACCCTCCCGCCAGCGCCCCAGCTGGTGACCTGAGTGCTTTGCTCTCGGCGATGCAAAATCTTGATCCCAACACGTTGGGGCAGATGATGAACTTGCTCCAACAGAGACAACAACCAGAACAGGGGTACCAGTCTGCTCCTCAATCTCAGGACTATAGCCGTGCTCCTCAACCCTATGGAGCTCCTCAACCACACGGAGCTTCTCAGCCCTATGGGGCTCCTCAACCACACGGAGCTTCTCAACCCTATGGGGCTCCTCAACCACACGGGGCTTCTCAACCTTATGGGGCTCCCCAACCTTATGGGACTCCTCAGCCTTATGGGGCTCCCCAACCTTATGGGGCTCCTCAACCCTATGGGACTCCTCAATCCTACGGCGTTCCTCAACCCTACGGCGCTTCACTTCCCCCTGCTCAGCGCGAACCGTACCGTGCCAATCAGGGTGCCGAGGATCCGCCAAATATTGCCGATATCATGGCGAAATTGAGTGGGAAGAAGATGTAGACGAGTTTAGGCGTTGTTCCAGTCGACATTGTAAATTACAGTCATTTCCCCGGTCTCAGTTCCAGTTTGAGACCACTAGGAAACTAGCAATAGCGAACTTTAATCTATCGTGAATATATTGTACCAACTGCTATCCATTCTGAAGGATTTAGCAAGATCAAGCACTGGTCACCTTTTTCTCCTAACATGACAAGCATAATTAAAGAATTCCAACTCCACGATCAAACTGGAAATTGTCCAAATCGATGGATAAACGTCACTTGAGCCACGTACTGGCCGTAGTGTATGACCCCACTGGAGGTATCTCGAGGTTGGGGTTCAGTCGGTAAACCAAAAATCAGCTTCTCGAACTAGTTAAAGGTTGTAGACCTATCTGTAAACATTGCACTTTTCATTCTCCGCTATCTATTTACAGGGTTATTACAGGTCCTAGGACATTTCGGCGGCGGAGAAGGCATCCTTCAAGTTCATCTCGGCAGAGCCGCGGGCCAACGGCTTGGGCTGCGCCAGACTCTCCTTCCAGCCGATCATGAAAATGATGCGAAACGTGGCGGGTAAATTTCCATGCTCGTCTCCGTGTAACGACTTGTAGATCTCGTTTGCAGCAATGAGAAGGTCCTTTTGCATGTAGTTAGTGCGAGCAAACGTGGCGTTGTTTTCGCCCATGAGCTGCAAATCCTCCATCAACGCCACGATGCTTGGATAGTCCACAACTACATCCTCCACATCCACAGTCAACATGTTAAACTTAGCCTTGTTCATGAGCCCACCCACATCCTTGACATCGACCATGGGTGACATCCGCGGCGACATCCCCCCACGTCTCTCCAACTCGGCCAACTGAAGCGACGTGCGCAATTCAAACAACGTGTCGCCTCCCAACATCGTGCCCATAAACAAACCATCAGGTACCAAAACGTCGTTAATGGACTTTAGAACGCCCGGGAGATCGTTGATCCAGTGCAAGTGAAGGTTCAGCACCACCGCGTCGAACGAGTTAGGCGCAAACGTGGAAGTTAGAAGCTCGTTCTCATGGCTGGGCACCACCACGCGGTCGATGGAGAGTTTAGTATTAAAGGAAAATTCAGGCGAAGCGTCTCGGAACAAAAACTCGCGGCATGTGTCGGCCATCACGATGTGCTTCAAGCGGTCGCGCACAGTGATACGGTCGCGGTTTAACTGCGCAGCCTCATCCCCAACAGCCTCGCCTACGGAGCAGAGCTGGTTCTCCAAGTTGCCTGCATGAGCTCCATAGTCCAACACGTTATTAAAGTCACGCGTGATGAATGCAAGCCGCTCGATGGTGCGCTCTGCGACGATGTTGCGGAGGTACTCAACCTGGCGCGACTCCGGGTTCAACGCCGCGCGCGTCCGCTGGAGGTTTTTTGTCTGGGAGTCAAACACACGGAACGGGTTTGTGGAATAATATCTCACAGAGATAGGCCTGGCAAGCGTTCTGAACATTGTATGAAGAAGAGAAATGGAGCAAATGGAGTGGTGTTGGTACAAAAAAATGTTGCAAAAAGTCCTGCACAAAATGCAGGCACGATGAGTAAGATAGGGGTAGATAAGAATAGGTATTGTAGCGAAACATACGCTGTTTCAAGCTTTAGAATGTTTCAATTATAAGGAAAGTGAGGTTTAATCAAGTACCAATAAACAAAGATTATTGAAACAAGGATTATTGAAACAAGGATTATTGAGCTGTAATTCATGGAACGTGTCTGCTCTGTTAGATAAAACTAGAGTTTCAGGACAAGAATATTTGGTCAGTAAGGCTTTCTATCTTACGAGGGTGAAATCGACTCTAAATTAAACACGTTCCCTATCTTGGGATATATAAAACGCCTAGATCTCCAAACCTCGATCCGAGTTTGCACTCCTAGCTAGTGTACATTCTTTCGATCTACTGAAGTTCATGGTCATTCCCATTTCAATCCTCGGGCGTATACTCGTACCATGCCTCAAGTCTAGTTTTAATGTCTCGCAACGTTTCATATTGCTACAGCTCTTTTTTTTTCCAAGGTACATAGACCACCAGCCAAGCTGTAGACAGCCTTACGGTTATTGTGACATGCTTCGGATTTTCTCCGCCGCACCATCGCACATCTCAAATTCAGACGCGGCTAAAAGACCCCAAACTTGTATTTCTTCACAACGACAATTCTCCCACACAACCATGGATGCTGTTGACTCTCCGGAGTACACTACGATAAAGAATTCGCCCAAGATTCAGTGCGAGATTCTCGAGAAGTTGCAGTTCCTCATAGGCGTCGCGGTGGAGGCCAATGCAGACATCCCGCTCAGCCTCACCCAGGTCACCATCACCACCAGCCAGCTCTTGGTGCAAATCTCACAGTTCGAAACATGTCCGCAGCTTATCGATGCCAGCTTGCTCCAGTACGTATCCCTCATTGCTGCCGACTACATTCAGCTCAAGGCGGCGCAACGGCGGTGCGCCCCCACGGACCTCCACGCACCGTTGATTACTGCACGCATCCAGTCTCTCTGCGACCTTGTGTACTGTCTTGTGAAGGTCAGAGGTCTTAAGGCGGTAACCTCTTGCCTCGAATCGGATCTCTACATGGTTGAGGAGCTTATTTCGTACCTCGGCCCTAACCAGACAGGGGAGTGGAAAGAAAACTACTTCGTTTTGCTTTGGCTCTCGATCATGGTGCTCATGCCGTTTCCCTTGTCGCTGATCAACTCAGCGCTTCCTGAGAAGCTCTTTGGATTGCTCAACGGAATGTTGGGCAATGCCAGTAACAAGTATGGCAAGGAGAACGAAGTCGCGTCCTACTGTTTGGCAAAACTCCTCACACGCAGTGACATGATTGAGCTGGGATTTCTCAAGAGGTTTTACGATGGGTTTGCTAAAATCACTTGTAAACTGGGTCTGAGTGTCATCGTAAACCCTACATTGAATCCCTTGAGTGTCAATGACTCTCTCAGATGTATGAACTACATTTTAAAGTTCATTCGATTTCACGACATTGAGCCGCACATTTACGTGCACCTTGGCATTGTCAAGGCTATATTAGCACATGCCAGCGAGCCCCATGCCCGTGTGGATATGATCCGCGTGATCAAAAACCTTAAGAACCTCGCTTGTAACTACATTTTTCTCCAGAACCAGTACTTGCTTGATCCGGACCACACGGACTATGATGCGCAGCTTGAGGAGATTTTGACAATGTTGACAAACATGGTGGATTCCGCGGACTATGTTATGAACACAGATGCGCGCTACTGCTTAGGGAAAGATATTGCGAAAGTCATCCGGCTCTTGCCCTTGGACTACCAGGTTGACATTATCAACTTTGTCTTGCAAAAGTTGGACGTTAAGGAGGTGCACAGGGAGTTTCTCAGAGACATCACCCTGGGTGTGACCCAGGCTAACCGTGACGTCTATATCTGCCCCCAGGAGTCCAGCTATTTGTCTGTGGACACTGAATTGGTGAACATCGAATCGTACCACACGGTTTTCCTTGTCATGGCCGAGCTCTTGCGAACATCTGTCCTCCCGGTGACCTACTTCCCCCTTCTCGAGCGCTTGCTCCGGGTGTTTTGCTTCTTCAAGCAGCTGCGGATCACGTTTACCATCGGCTCGCAGCTTCGCGACGCGTGCTGCTTCATTGCCTGGGCCATGTTTCGAAATTACTCCGCTCTCAGACGCAAAAACCCGATGGGGTTAATCTGTGTCAGTTCTATTGGCTGCCAGTTAATGTTGATGACCTGTTTCGACAGTGACTTGATGATCAGGCGAGCGGGAGCCGCAGGAATCCAGGAATTGATCGGGAGATTTGGTGGATCTGTTTTTGAGCACCAGGGGAAAGCAAGTGCCAAAGCTCTGACTGAGATTGGGGCCGCCGATGCCGCCTTGGCTGTGCGCTTGATCGAAGAGTTGGACTACATTAAATTGGGCAACCTAAGCCGCTCTTTCGACACTGCTATCAGTTTTGTGGAGAAGCTTCCATACTTGAAGAATAGCCTATTTCTCGATTTCTTGTTGACGCGAGGCATCACCAGTTTTGAGTACGAATTGAGGTACCACAGTGCGCAGTTGCTCGCTAGGTTTTTGGAGACTGAGAACGAGCAGCGAGTAACCGCTGTGTTTCTGCAGGTGTATGGATCCTGGGTAACCGAAACACAGGCAGGAAGACCCGCGGATGGGCTATTGGGGGCTATAGCTTGCATCCTCCTAGTCACGAGTTCTTCCTTTGACTCCTTCCATCGAAGTATTACGGCCACAATCGAGGAGTATGTCACATACGATTTTCACAGAGATCCTTTCTACAAGGGCGAGGAATTGCTCCAGCTTCTTACAGCTGTTATGAAACAAAACCCGGCTTTTACCATCCTGGAGAAGTTGTGGGATGCCGTTTTTCAGGTGATTCGCATCGACCACGTGAAAATTGTGTTGGCTTTCCAAGAGTTCTGCAGGCACATTTCCCTTACAGAACAGGACTGGGAAAGGTTCATGAAGTACATGCGAAACGGCAACCTTGCCACCGTGAAGGCCGTAGGGTATTTGCTGCTTGTCATGAGCAGTCATGAGCGTATTGCACAGCTCGTGGTGCTCCTAAAGGATCCTTCTATCCAGGCCGAATCCAGAGCTGCCTTGATGCACTCGTTCTCCATCATTGTCCAGCGGGCCCCAGCGGAATTCCTTACGTATGACCTTTTATTTGAGTTGGTGCAGCAGTTGGACGATTACACCATTACCCAGCAGGGTGATGTGGGAAACAAAATTAGACTCGCCACGATCACCATGTTGAACAGCAACTGGCGCACCTTTTTTGTGGGGAATCTCGAGTTTGAAATCGAAAAAAGGCTATTGCGGTTGAGTTGCGAGATCATTGATAAGATCAAGTACAAGGCGTTGGGTTTGATTATCCGGATTAACGGAATGGACCTGACGTCGGTTTTTGGCTCGGATATGAGTGTTGCAGGCGCCAGTGACAACTACTACGATGTGATTTTGGACGTTTACCGGAAGTTTTACTTGGATAAGTCTTACCCCGACACGGAAACGCTTCAATGGCTAGATGAATTGTCGCACAATTTCTGGAGGGGGTATGTTTTCAGTGCTGGTGCGCTTTCGGCCTCCAATTATACGATATCCAAGTCGTTTGTGGCTTTTTTGAAGTTTTTCACCGCCTTGGGTGACGACGCAAAGGTTCACGTGCTTACTGTTCTCCTCTCCCTCTTGAAGCCTGCACCAGCTAAGCCGTCGAAGGGGAAAGTGGGAATGACCACTGACCGAAACTTGAAGTGTCAGCTCTGTACGCTTAACCTTTTTGTCCACCTCTTGGATTCTTTTACGCCGCTCCCCGACGGATTCAATACCAAGGCGTTGTACATACGCGCGTATAATCTACACTTGAACACTACCAACGTGGAGCGAATCCAGAGGGTTATCGGGATCTTCAACCACATTCTCTTGCGCCAGGTGCGGAGTCAGGAGACACTAGCGTTTGCAGACCCGTTGAAGCGAATCTTATGGTTGATAAGTAATCACCCAGTACTGAGGGTGCGTCAATTAGCAGCAGAAGCATTGTTTGAAGTTTATGATGAGATGCTGAACAAGGAATTTGGAAAGGAGGCCGGACTATCTGATAGTTTGAGTGCTGCTATGGACATTTTGCAGCGGGTTGACTGGACCCAAGATGTCAAGAAGATCAAGATCGAGGCAGAAGGAGTGACTATCAAGGGACTCAACTAGAAGGGATTTACATCGGTAGCATTGTTAGTGTTAGAAAGGGTGGTTTGAGTTCCATAAAAAGACCTAATACAAGGTGTAATCATCCTTAAAGTAAATCCAATTAGGATATTATTGCACGTCTAATGCGTAGAGTTTGAAACATAAATGCACTACGTATATGAATGGATGATGTAATACAGTAACTGCCAATTTATAATACGGGATGAAAAGCATAGGAATGGAGTTAAACAATACAAAGTTTCATTTTCCAGCTTCGCCAAAACATGTGTTCCAGAGCTTCCAGCCACAGCTGTCCAGTTTGGTACAGGCATAATCAGACAGTATCATCCCAGACTTTAACAACTGAAAGTCAGCTGTCTTAAACATTACCATGCTATTTTTCATTCCGCGAGGACAAAGTCTTGCTTATGTTACACCGGGATGGTACACTTCATAGCTGACATGTAGGTCACGTGTACAGCCCCACTACAAAAGTAGCAAAAGACTACGAAGCCAACTGAAAGTTATGCCAACGCCATCTTGCAACGCCCCGCCCAGATATCCTACAATGACCATCAATCCTGGCACTGACTACTTTCTGGAAATCTCCAATCTTCAGTTTGAGATTCTGAAGACCCTCCGCACGCAGCCCACGGCCAGCGGCAGCATCGATGGATTCCGATCTGATGTCGAAAGCGCCCACCATGACTGCCTCCAGAAGCTCCGAAAGATACAGAAATTGCTGGTTCTAATGGACTTTAACCTCCAAAACGACACTGAAATTCACCTTGACCCGATTGCTCGTTTAGAATACGCCGCGCAGATTGAAAAGGTGAAAGACATCACGAACTACCTCAAGACCCAGGTGCGCTCGTTCCAGCTCCAATCGCTGGAAACGGAGCGGGAAATTGCCCACCAGATCAGGTTAAAGAAGTTCACCAATAGTTACTTTACAGAGTCCGAGGAAAAGTCTGAGCAGGAGCTCCGGGACGAGTTGTTTGCCAACCGTCAGACCGAGACCGCTAACCAGGAAAAGTCCATCAATGCACAAATTCTCGCCAAAAACGCCAGCATAACCCATTCTTTGAAACATTCCAGACAGCTTATCGAATCGTCAATCTTGCAATCAGAGTTGAACATTGAGGAGTTGACGACCTCAACGAAGGACATGCATCAGTTGGCCGATAAATACTCAAATTTCAACGTGGTATTACAAAACACTGGTAAGTTGGTGAAATTCATCAATTCGCAGAATAAAAAGGACCGGAGGAATATTATGATGGCCCTCGCGTTCTTCACCTTCTGCTGCGTATGGGTGATCTGGCGGCGTATTTTAAGAAGACCCGTCATGCTCTTGGTCTGGGTGGTGTTAAAGTTGCTCGGTGTGACACGGATCTTCGGCAAGGTTTTTGGGTCTCGAGGCGACACCGTCACGCTAACCCCATTATCACAAGTCATAGCGAGTACCACTGAAGTACTAGCGAGTACCACTGAAGTGCTAGCGGAGAACACTTTGCAGTCAGTCGTGGATGCCGTGACCAGTAGCTTGGCCCAGACAGTGGAGGCGGTACAGCCTGATTCCTCGGAAGTGGTGACAGCCATTACTACCATTGTTGAAACAGTCGAAGAAATGATGCAGAATGTTAACGACATTCTTGATGAATTAGTCGGCACGGAGGCAGTCCAAAGGGCCGTCGAAACTGCTGCGCAGATAATTGACGAGTTGTGAGTAGGAATCGGGGTCCTTTCATTTTGACATAGGAATTACAAGACTGAAGAAATATCTCAGGGTAGGTATAAACTAACATATTTAAGGTATGAGCTTTACGATGCGCAGTTCGGAGAAAGTTATGCGTCTACCTAGTTAAAGTATTCCGCTTTAGCAAAGAATATGTCTGACATGTACAGTTCTGAATAATTAGCAGCAACGTTTGTATTTTGAACTATCAATTTATGCGCACAGCTTATTTGTTAAGAGTGGTCAAAATTCTGGTCTAGCTAACATTTTTCGGCAAAAACCCCGGAAAATCCCGCTTGGGCGGCGTGCACACACCAGGACGCTGCCCAGAGTACCGGTGATAAAGAAAGCGCAGCGGACTTGGCAAAAACTGTGGACTACTCATTCCAACGGCAAAAACACATTGTCAGTCCTCATTGCTTTAGATTCCACAAATGTCGTTCGCAAAGAAATTGCAGGAAACGACAGGTGGAAAGCCAGGGGCCTCAAAGGGGCTTATCCCCGGAAACCTCCTCGGGAAACCCACTTTGACCGCCCCTAGTGTTTCTGGATTCACGGGCCCTTCAATGCCCACCACAGAGCTATCTGTGGGTACTACCTCCTCCAGGAACAACACTGCCTCCACCCAGCAGAGTTTGAGGGATATCTTGAACGGCCTAGAGCCAGATAATTCGGCGCACAAAACTCCAACCACACACCAAAGTCCCACTGAGGCCGAGGATGCCAAACTTCCGAAGGGTTATCTGGCGAATATTTCTGCTAATGACAGTGAGTTTCAAGAAAACATGAGCCCAAATATCAATCTCCTCGATGCGTCTGCGAAAGAACTCGAGCAGGAAGAGCCAACCCCTGAAACTGATATCGAGCCTGGCGATGAAACAGCTCCTGGAGTAGCAATCAATGCCGAACCTTCCGCCATTGAGGACTCCGGCGTCACAGAAATAAGGAAAAACACTGCTAGTGTCCAGCTAGAGGATCAACTGATTGCCACGGACGATTCACAGAAGGTTGTGAGAGGTCAATCACTTACCGAGACGACTGGCCCGAAGAATGGCCCGGCAACGGAATATACTCTGCTAATTGACCTTTCAGAAGGTGAACCAAGAAACTCTGCAGCCAATGATACTCAGCCACCGCATATTATCGAACCGTCCGTTCCTGTCCGGACAGACACCGAAGTGGTGTTGGAACCAATTGGAAAGTCTGAATTAGCGGTTGAGGCAACCCAAAGTTCCGCTGCTATCGAAAGGTCCATTGACTCAGATACCGACATTCCAGAGTACAACGAAAAGCCCGGGTCACCGATTAAAGCCTCCCCTGAAACCCGCAAAACCAAACGCTCTCAGTCGTCAACCTCTCTCCAGCCACTGTCGAAACCTAAGAGCTTTGACTTCACCAAGTTTCTCGAAATCCTTAGAACTAAACGAGCCGAGCCGATTGCCAAATACATCCGGTCGTTCTTGATCTCCTTTTCCAAAAAACAATGGACTGTTTCCGAGCAGGTAAAGTTGATTTCTGACTTTAAGAAATTCATGTCTGCAAAGTTCGATGAGTTCGAGCCTTTCAGCACGATGGCCTCAGTGGAGTTGGAAAACTGCCACGAAGGGTTGGAGAAGTTGATTATGAACAAACTCTACTCGCAGTGCTTCTCGCCGAAGATCGACCTGAAAAGACTAGATCAGTCGCACAGGGAGGACTTGACCAAAGATGAAGTAGTGAAGGAAAAGTTAAAACAGTTCAGCTGGGTAGAGCTAGCGCACTTGGACATCCACTTTGAGGAAAGCGACACCTTCATCGATATGGCCATTGGCGAGCTTAGCAAGATCAATAACTACCGCGCCCCCCGTGACAAGATCATCGTGTTGCTTAACTGCTGCAAGATCATCTTTGGCTACTTGAAGCAGACCTCCACCGAAGGCAGCGCGGACTCTTTCATCCCGGTGTTGATCTACATCATCTTGAAGTCCAAGATCCCACATTTTGTCTCCAACATTAACTACATCGAGCGATTCAGAGACGGCAAGCACTTGTCGGGCGAAAATGCCTACTATCTCTCGTCGCTCCAGGGGGCGGTTAACTTCATTGAAACATTGGACAAAGACGGCCTCACGGTCTCGGAGGAAGAATTTGACTTGCATTTTGCTGAGTATTTGCAGAGAGAGGAAGACGAGTTGGCAGCCAAGGAGCAGGAAGAACGCCGCCGCAAGCTCGAAGCCGAGGCACCAATGCCACAGAGATTGATTGCAGGCATAGGTGCCCGAGCTGAAGAACGCGTGTCTCCCAGCGGAGTTTTGTTCTCTTCGGCGCAGATATTGGGCAACTCCATCTCCAGCTTCCTCTCCCCTCCAGCCTCTTCCGGTAGCTCCCCACGGGCAAAACCAATCGGAGACTTGGACGACAACGATGAGGAGGACGTGCAAGAAAGACAGGCCATGGAGGCAAGCATGGCGCACCGGAAGGATGCCTTCACCAGTACCTACAGGATGTTGCGGTCAATGTTCCCCGACTTAGACAAGGATATTGTCAAGGAGTTGGTGGTGGTCAGGCAAGGAAACATCGGCGATTGCATTGACGTTTGCTTGGAGCTCACCAACGGGAATTAGTCGAGATAATTACTGAGGGTGTACGGTGGTGCCCCCGAGCACTCTACTAGACTGCCTTTTATGGTAGAATAATCGAGATTTATAGGAGTCAGTCTGAGACGTAACAACCATTTGAGAATTTTATGTACCTAGTGGTGTGCGATTGGAGCCTTCCCACTGTCTATCCCAATCGTATTTCCCAGAAATAGTTTTTTTTTTTTTTTTTTTTTTACCCAGGTAAAAACCTGTTTGTATACAAGCATGGTACTTATGTCTACCCGAATCAACCCGTCTTTGGTATTTATATAGAAATCTAGTCATAACCATCACAGATGCAGTATATTCAATAGATTACAAAACGATGGGAGTTATTTCCACCCAGTTAAGACCCCGACGACTAGCCCCCCATGTCCAAGTCTACCTCGGCAATCATACACAAATGGTCACTCCCGTACATCCCGGCCCTAGGCTGGCCACTCGGCTCTTCACCCATCTCTGCCGGCTCGGGCATCCTCAACAACTTTCGCAACTCCACGCCCGTGGTCCGAGAAACGTCCTCCACCGAATCAACCTGGCGACAGTCGCTGGTGACGTCCCACGCAGTCACGACAAAAATGTAATCTAGCAAGCCTCTCCACGCGTGGGCCCAGTTGGAGAACGCAGGCTCATTCCGGTCATTGTCGGTCCCAGAATTTTCCGGGTGCGTGCTCTTGTACCCAATGGAATACAACGAGATGACCCTCATGTCCAAGGCGTTGTGCAAGTCGGTGATCTGCTGGACAAGCAACGATTGTTCGGGTGTAGGAGTGAACGACTCCGGAACCGGGTCCTTTGGCTGGTCTCCAAACTTTTCAACGTTTCCGCCAGGCTCTTCCTCGTTCTCTTCGTCCTCATCACCATTGCTATTCTCATTCTCTACCGCTCCCCTATTTTTGGAATATATGTAAGATGTCGAGCACTCTACGACGCGCCTGCACCTTTCATCATAGACGACTGGCTTTCTGGTGATTGACAAATACGGCGCATCGAACGGCTGGGAGTTGAAGTCGCCGCCAAAGAACTGGAACCACTTCCCAGGCGCTCCCTTGTTATGCACCACGCTCATGGTATGGGCAAACTCCTTGAACTTGGCGAGAATAATATATGTCTGTCTGGCTCTTTCATACGTGCCGAACGGGTGCCAGAAAAGGTGGGTGGTTCCGATGAGAATCCCCGACCGGGTGGTGTTCGGATACTTCTTTTTCAACTGTGGAGTAAACTCCAAGGCAGCGATGAGCCCCACATTTCGTGTTATGGTGCGAGGCAAAACATCGCCCGTGTCGGTGCGGTCGTAGTCGATAAAGCACTGATTTTTCATCTCGAACAAGTGCTTTTGCCACACAATCGCCACCCCGTGGTTCTTGGCCCCAGCGCGGTGGTACGCCAGGGCGTAGCCCATTTTTTCAAATTCATCCTTCCAAAAAGACTTGTATTGCACAAAGTCAACCTCCTGGAGGAGCAAAATGTCGGATTTGTATTGTTTGAACTCCGCGAGCAACACCCGGGATCGGCGAGACCACTTCAAGGCGTCGCCAGAAGTCGGGAACAACTTCCGTCTGATGAGCGCTTGCGCCAAGAGGTTGTATGTCATGATGGTTATAGGGAGTTTCTCCGGGACACCCTCCAGAACGGCTCTCTGTTCTTTCACACACCCTGGGACAGAGAGCATTGGCCTCTTGATGAAACGAAGCTCCGCCGGAATATTAACTTGGTCCGGATCGATCCCCTGTGCAATCAACTCCTGTCTCTTGGCCTCCTGCGCCTCCTTCTTCAACCTCCGCTGCTCGGCGATGAATTCAGGGGTCAAGCTGGCCGGGTTCTGTGCCTTCTTCTTACTTCTCTTGGTCTTCTTTGGAGTATCGCCGATGGTCAAGGCTTCGAGGGACGGCTCCACAAAATCCTTTTTGTTTGGTGATTCGACTCTCATCATTCAAGGGTTATCGGGAGGTGGTTGAAAGCCGCTATGTTGATATTCAAATACCGTAATTCTACCTGGCTGGATAGATGCTCATCACGGCTGGGTGAAAAATTCAGTACCCTGCATGGAAGGCTTGTGTAGTACCTCGGTGCATATGGTGATCGCTGGAGACCTTGGTCTTTCATTGTCGGTTTAGGTTTGATGTGACGGTTCGGGATTGTCAGGCTTTTTCCAGAGAATTCAAGACCAATAGAGTTCGGAGGGATAGCGTCAGTGCTCTCTGTTGGTCACTTGTGTGATTGCCGCCTAATTATTCCACCGGCCTTGTCGCACCGGTATGTATTTCCCCCGAGGTAGGATGCAGCTACTGGAAGAGGGCCATATTTATCCATATCCCTTCACCTTACTCACTGCGTTTAGGTCTCAGGACTATAAGAAGTAAACCTCCTTCTTTTTAACCCAGATCTATTGATAAGGACTATAAACAAAAATTTCTCGGTGCGCTGCGTTCCGGCTTGGGTTACCACGGAAAAATATGCAGCCCTATGCGTGTTCCTGTGGGGACAACCAACAGATACGCTTACACCCTGATTCTTCGTAAATGGGGAGGATTAAATAATCACGGTGGACCATTCACCACTATTTGGAAGTTGGAAGCAGTAGATGTGACAGCTGAGTAGTGAACTGTGTATACCGTTCCATTTACAGTCTTGCTTTATCTTTGTACCACATTAGTATCCTTGCTCGGAAAAATCGAATACCCCACTATGGCTTCATCCCTACATTTTGCCCACTATTCGTTGATCCAAAGTCACCTCACTATGACATATTCACACTAAATGATGCGTGTAACCCCCTCTAGACATTTATTTATACAGGAAAAACTCGGTCCGTCATTGATGGGGATTACTAATACCCGCGTTGACGTGCAGCACTTCGCGCGGTGCTTCGGGGAAAATGAGACATGCGGACGGCAGTTTCCCCTCATTTTTTCCGTCCTCAACGGATCATCCTGTCTATTTATACTCCTCTTCTGCACCCTTTTCATCCGTCTGCTCCTAGCCCACCCATCTCCATAATGTCCTCCGATAAGGTCCTCAACGTAGGTGTCGTCGGCACCGGTTTATTTGCCACCGACAACCACTTGCCAAACTTCCAGCAGTCCTCTCAGTTCAAAGTTGTGGGTGCCTACAACCGTACTAAGGGTAAGGCTGAAACTTTTGCCGCCAAGGCTGGTTTGACCGATTCCCAGGTCTACGACTCCTTGGACGACATTTTCTCCCAAAAGTCCATCGATGTCATCGACGCCTTGTTGCCAGTGCAGTTCAACTTGGACGTGGTCAAGTTGGCCATCAAGCACAACAAGCCTTTGTCTTTCGAGAAGCCAATCGCTGCCAACTTGGAGCAGGCCAAGGAAATCGTCAAGTTGTCCAAGGCCACAGACTTGCCGATTTTAATCTTAGAGCAGTACTCCTACTTCAAGGCCGTTGACTTTGTCAAGTCTCACCTTCCAAGCATCGGTAAGGTCTACGCCTTTGAGTACTCTTCCACTGGCGCCTTTGCTGCCAGTAGTAAGTATTTGGCCACCTCCTGGAGGGCTGTTCCGGAGCACATTGGTGGCTACTTGTCCGATGGTGGTGTCCACCAGTTGGCTCTCTTGACCGGGATTTTGGGTGAGGTGGAGTCTATCTCCGCGCACACCAACCAGATCAGAAAAGAGTCCGGTACCGACGATATTTTGTTCTCCACCGTAAAGATGGCCTCCGGTGCCATTGGTACCTTTAACTACGGCTCTGCCTTTGGTGCCACTGAAAAGAAGTCCACGTTGAAGGTGTTGGGTGACAATGGTTCCATCTTGTACGACTTTACTCAGCGCAACACCGCCGTTGTAAAGGTTTCTATCGGAGCCAATGGTGAAGTCGAAGCCAACACCCAGGTGTTTGAGTTCGAGGACCCAAACGGCCAGGCTGCTGAATTTGAAAACTTTGCCGAGGCTGTCTCCAAGAAAGACAAGTCCTTGGTCAAGGTTTCCCCAGAGGTTGCTTTCCACCACTTTGCCATCGTTGTTGCTGCTATGGAATCCTCTGCCAAGGGTGGTGAGTCGGTCAAGATTGCTCAGCCATAGAGAGAGGCCTTTGTCATTGGACCCACGATGAGAGTAAGCTTTATAATTGAATATAGAACCGTGTTACATAGTGTATTGAAGTAAATCGTATATATGCATGTTGCTCGTGAACCCTGGTGGGAAAACAATCGGTTAGGCTTGAGCTATCTCGCCGAGTGAGGGCCAAGCTCCGTAAGTTTACAGCTTGGATTGAGGATAAACCGGTAACAGGTATTTCTCCAACCCTGTTCGTTTAGGATGTCAAGTGTTTATCTTGGTTGTGAAATAGCAGAACCCCTTTTACGGGGCCAAATTGTAACTTGATTAAAATTGTGTTAGTTATAGCTAGTGCTTATATTTACACGCATCGCGTATATCACTTCACGCCGCTTCCGAATCGGGGAAAAACCGCCGCACGACATGTAAACATTCGCTTTGTATGGAAACAGGCGTGTGTGTCCCACTGTATGTGTTACTTTTTTTCTCAAAACAACAAAGCACCGAGAATTGCAAAACAGGCGTGTGGTCCCAGTACGAACCAACCACGAATTGAAGAACGATCCCACCTTGAACTGAAGTTAGTTTGTCTCACTTGAACTAAAATATACCCCTAATCCAACCAATCCAATATAAAAATGAGAGAAGTTATCAGTGTTAACGGTATGTGGTTCTGATTTGAGATCCGATCCCCCCCTGTGAGGTGGCGGCAAACGGATTCTGTGCCCCCTTATACGAATACAGTACTAACGTTTACTTCTTATAGTCGGTCAAGGTATGTCATTTTGAGCTCCTGATATCAAACTGTATTGGCATGTCAGAGCCCCATGTGCGAACCACGTACGGAGATCTGACACGTCACTCTACCAACCATGTCGATGATTTGAGACTAACACCTTTCTAGCCGGTTGTCAAATTGGTAATGCCTGTTGGGAGTTGTACTCCTTGGAACATGGTATTCAGCCAGATGGTTACTTGTCCCCTGAGTTGACCAGACCAAAGGGCGGCGAGGAAGGTTTTTCCACCTTCTTCTCTGAAACCGGTATGTATTCAATTGTAAACCAGTGCGCGTAAACGCCTCTCTTTACACATGCTAACACACTTTAGGTTCTGGTAAGTACGTGCCACGCGCCATTTACGTCGATTTGGAACCAAGTGTCATCGACGAAGTCCGCACCGGTACCTACAAGGATTTGTTCCACCCAGAGCAATTGATCTCCGGTAAGGAGGATGCTGCTAACAACTACGCCAGAGGTCACTACACCGTCGGTAGAGAGTTGTTGGACGACATTTTGGACAGAATCAGAAGAATGGCCGACCAATGTGACGGCTTGCAGGGCTTCTTGTTCACCCACTCCTTGGGCGGTGGTACCGGTTCCGGTCTCGGCTCCTTGTTGTTGGAGCAATTGTCCTTAGACTACGGTAAGAAGTCCAAGTTGGAATTCGCCGTCTACCCGGCCCCACAGCTCTCCACCTCTGTCGTCGAGCCATACAACACCGTCTTGACCACCCACACCACCTTGGAGCACGCTGACTGTACCTTCATGGTTGACAACGAAGCCATCTATGACATGTGCCGCAGATCTTTGGACATTGCCAGACCAAACTTTGATTCTTTGAACAGCATCATTGCCCAGGTTGTCTCCTCCGTCACTGCGTCGTTGAGATTCGACGGTTCCTTGAACGTGGATTTGAACGAATTCCAGACCAACTTGGTTCCATACCCAAGAATCCACTTCCCGTTGGTGTCTTATGCTCCAGTTATGTCCAAGTCCAGAGCTAACCACGAATCCAACTCTGTTGCCGAAATCACCGCCGCTTGTTTCGAACCCTCCAACCAGATGGTCAAGTGCGACCCAAGAGTCGGTAAGTACATGGCCACCTGTTTGTTGTACCGTGGTGACGTTGTCAACCGCGATGTGCAGAATGCCGTTGCCCAGATCAAGGCAAAGAAGACCGTTCAGTTGGTCGACTGGTGCCCAACCGGTTTCAAGATCGGTATCTGCTACCAGAAGCCAACCCCAACGCCAAACTCTGAGTTGGCCCAGGTCAGCAGAGCCGTTTGTGTGTTGTCTAACACCACTGCCATCGCCGATGCCTGGAGAAGAATTGACAGAAAGTTCGATCTTATGTACTCCAAGAGAGCGTTTGTCCACTGGTACGTCGGTGAAGGCATGGAAGAAGGTGAGTTCACCGAAGCCAGAGAGGACTTAGCCGCTTTGGAGAGAGACTACATCGAGGTTGGTGCTGACTCTTTCCCAGAAGAAGAAGAAGAATACTAGAGCAAGCTGTGCTTGGATCTTTGCTAGCATTGTTACGCCTTGTCTAAGATCTTTCCGCATTGAAGTGTTTAGTGCCTCTCCTGTTATGCTCCTCCCCTTTATTTCTCCCTTTTTTTTATTCCTTTTTTTTATTCCTTTTCTAATCCTGAGTTTACTTTGAAGTTTGTTCAAAAATAATATATATATATCCCTTTTTTACACGTAAGAGCCATGAGCATTAACAGAATGTTTGCTGTTTGTAAATCAGAGTTGTGTATAGGGAGACCCGCGGTGCACATGTATACGTTCAATGTGGGATTTGACCCTGATATAGGATTAACAGAGGGTCAGAGAAGCGCATACAAATATAGGTGAAATGAAAGGGCATGTGTTTGGAATTACATTACCAGCCGTGGATCTATTGTATTACCGTAAAACGATTTAAAATTACAATTTGATAGATCCTTAGGGTTAACACTACCGTTTTTTCATCCTACTCCACTTGCTCCGCTCTTTTCACCTTCTCTGCTCCAACCCTCATCTAAAACTTACGTATTATTTTTGTTCATAATGAAGACATAGTTAAATATAATGGCAACGACACCATAGTCATGAGGGATCTCGCTACAAATAGGGCTATTTCCCCGCTAATTCACACATCAGACCAAACGAGCAGCTCCGCCAGTACCCTATTCAGTCTTGACAATAGCCTCAATAGCCTCCTTCTGGGAAGCCTCCTTACCACCAAAGTAGTGGTGGTTGAGCCATCTGGTGCCCTGGGCCAACTGGGCGGTTTCGTTGACAACATGGCAGCCGAACAACAACGGGTTCCATGGAGTGATGGAAAGGGAGTACTTCATAAAAACCAAGGAATAAATAACCAAAGAACCAGTCATCGGGCCGGAAATCAATTCTGGGTCCTTCTTCAAGTCCAAAATGGCAGCAACTGGGATACCAAAGTTAGAGACTGGGCCCCAGAAGTGGGTAGTACACATGTACTTTAAGGTCGCCTTGGAGAACAACTTGGACGCAAGGGATTGGGAAGCGGCACCGGAAGCTTGAGACATTTTGGGTTGTGTAGTGAATGAAGTAAAGCGCTAAGGTTCCAAGACGCCCTGTCTTAATACCAAAAGCTCCCCTATATTTTTCTCATTCGATCCGCCAGCCATCGGGCGGTTACTCGCCGGAAATGTATGAGCTGCACACGACTCTACCCCACACCACAGGAACGTTCCTCTGATGCAAGAACTAGACATGAATGCTGTATTTGCGATTCATCCGTTTTTACAATTGTCAAGTTTAGATTCAGAAACAAGTTTTCGTTTTTCTAGACGTTATAAGTCTCAATTTTAACGTGTAGACCAAACCATCCGAAGGAAACGGGGGATCCCCTAGCCCAAACATGGAATAACCGTTTGATGCGTGATACCAAAGGCACGATGACATGTAAAACCCCCCATTGTGCACAATTTCTACAGAAAATTGCAATTAAAATTACCACAGGAGAATGTATGGTTATTGCAATAAAACTGGCAAATAATGTATATGCAACTGCATAAAAGAAAACAGGGTCTTTATTACCCCCTACATATCATCCTTCTTGGCACGTTCCAACTCATCTGCGGATATCTCCAACATTTTAGTCAAGTCGGTGCGTTTCCGGTGTGTCAGCGGTGTGTTCACGAGGATACTTCCCTGGGTGTGGCCGGCATACTGCTGGGTGTACTCGTTGATCAACATGGAATCATCGATAAAGTCCGAAGAGTGGATGAGTGACGAGTCAAGCATCTTCAATATATTCTTCGGCTTGATCATACCGGGCAACCCGTTATTGGCATTCGGAGTGTGCAACTCGCCTCCCGATATGTGCATCTTCTTCATAAAAAATGGTGTTGTGGCGAAAGGCGTGGAGGCAGCAGCCCTGCCTGGCTGGGAAGGTGTGTGTAGGGCAAACGGCGAGTCATTCAAGAGGTACAAGTTAGCATTCTGGCTGCCTCTCTTTAATTTTTTTGCCGAAGGATACTCGTTTCCGTGTGAATCGTCCATAGTGTCCTCCCCTACATAGGCCAGGGGTCTCTTCATTGGAGTGGATGTTAAACTGGACAGGTCTAAAGTCTTTGCTGTCAGCCTCTGTTTCGCCGCCGCGCCCCTGGGTTGTCTGTGAGCACGTTTCGCTGCCAAGAAGGAGTCTAGAGGGGTAAGGTGCACTCCAGACACATCCACACTAACCAATCCATTATGGAGGGGGATGGTAATTGTTTGGAGATCAGTGTTATACAAAGACTGGAGGTAGAGATCGAGGGGGTCCTGTCCGCGGGGAGCCTGCTTCGCATTGGGGATGGTCTCAATCGGGGTCTCAATCATACGGCATGTATCGCGGATGGCATTTGGGATGTTGGATGCGTCTAAATTCGCCTGGATACTGGCTGTCAACTCCTGGAAGTTGTACTTTTTGAAGCCCATAATTGGGTAGCTTGTTGTTCTGAAAGGAAGGGCCAGGGAACAAACACATGGCTGTGTTGTTTTGATCTCAATTGGGAAGGATAAAGGTTATGGCGCACGTGACACGCAAGCCGAAGTACGAACCAGCAAGGAACGAAAGGATAAAATACCTAGGTTTCTGGCGTTGTACAAAATGGTGAATCTGTTAAAATGTCTAGAAAGGTGATGAAAAAAGTGATTTGCCAGAGGAACTGGCAACAACGGAATAGGTTGTTTCTGGTGTAATTCAGTTCAAACATCTCAAGTTTGTCGATTGCCTGCGTAGCGTAATGGTTAACGCGTTTGACTTCTAATCAAAAGATTGCGAGTTCGACTCTCGCCGTGGGTTCTAGTTTTTCCTCTGCGAAAAAGAAACTTTTTGTTGAGCCGCACAAAATTTTTTTCTGGCCATCGGATCTGCACTCGCAATTTTTCACACTAAAAGTATTACTTGAACTTTGCAGTTCATTTACATTGAGCCAACAGTACACACCAGCGCAAAATGTCCAAGTCTGAATTGAAAGATAAAAAGAGAAAGGTCGAAGATGACTCTGAAGCCCCAAAGTTGAAGAAGGAAAAGAAGGACAAGAAGGAAAAGAAGGAAAAGAAAGAAAAGAAGGAAAAGAAGGAAAAGAAGGAAAAGAAGGAAGCCGCCTGTGCTTCTGCACCAGCTGATGGTGACTACACTGAATCCGCCGAATTGAAGGCTATGTCACAGTCCGATGTTGATGCATTTTTCAAGGACAACGAAGCTGCCGTTGAAGACCCAGCCAACAAGAACTTGAGACCATTGTTGTCTTTCAACCACATCACCTTGCACCCATCGATTTCCAGCCACGTTTCCAAATTCCCAAAGCCAACCCCAATTCAATCCATTGCCTGGCCTTACCTTTTGTCCCAGAGAGACGTCATCGGTGTTGCTGAGACCGGTTCTGGTAAGACCTTCGCTTTCGGTGTTCCAGCCATCAACAACATCTTGTCCTTCGGCAAGAAAGGCTTAAAGGTGTTGTGTGTATCGCCAACCAGGGAGTTGGCCTGTCAGATTTACGACAACTTGGCTGACTTGACCAAGGGCACCTCCATCAACTGTGTTGCCATCTACGGTGGTGTCTCCAAGGCCGACCAGGTCAGACAGATGAAGAATGCCAACGTTGTCATCGCCACCCCAGGTAGATTGATTGATTTGATGAACGACGGTGCTATCAACTTGAGCAACATCGACTACTTGGTCCTCGATGAAGCCGACAGAATGTTAGAAACTGGTTTCGAAAAGGATATCAAGGCCATTATCGGTGCCACCCCCTCCACCAGACAAACCATGATGTTCACCGCCACCTGGCCAAAGGAGGTCAGAGACTTGGCTGCCTCTTACATGAAGGAGCCTGTCAAGGTCTCCGTCGGTAACAGGGACGAGTTGTCCGCCAACAAGAGAATCACCCAGGTCGTTGAGGTTGTCAACAGATTCGACAAGGAAAAAAAGTTGTTGCAGTTGTTGAAGAAGTACCAGTCGGGTAGTAACTCCGATGACAAAATCTTAATCTTCGCCTTGTACAAGAAAGAAGCCACCAGGGTTGAAAGAAACTTGCAGTACCACGGTTACTCCGTTGCCGCTATCCACGGTGACTTGACCCAGCAGCAGAGAACCCACTCCTTGGAGCAGTTCAAGTCCGGTAAGGCCAAATTGTTATTGGCTACCGATGTCGCCGCCAGAGGTTTGGACATTCCGAACGTCAAGGTTGTCATCAACTTGACCTTCCCATTGACCGTCGAAGACTACGTGCACAGAATCGGCAGAACCGGTAGAGCCGGCAAATACGGTATCGCCCACACCTTGTTCACCGAAGAGGAGAAGCACTTGGCCGGTGGCTTGCAGAATATCTTGAGACAGGCCAATCAGCCAATCCCAGAAGCCTTGGTCAAGTTCGGCTCTCACACCAAGAGAAAGGAACACAGCGTTTACGGTGCTTTCTACAAGGAGACCGACGGTCTCAAGAAGGCCACCAAGATCACCTTCGATTAAACTTGTTGCATAACCTCCTACACGTCTAGCTGTTTTGTATTTTTATAGCGTTGTATAATATAACAAATTGGCGGAAGCCTTCTTTCAGATATCGCCAGTTTGTAGTTCAACCCCCCTTTGCCATAATTTCGTAGCAATCCTTGCGGGGGTCATATAGCAGCCATGATTGATTTTCCCACCTGACGTCATGTTCCAGTCACGTGTAAAGTAAGGAATGGTATCCAGAGGCCCAGGGGTCAACAATAGCCCCAACCGCCAATGATATATAGTTTTAGAGGGCGTATCCAAAAATATCTAAAGGTTACAAATGATAGGTGAGTGTCGTGTTGAGCCAAGACAGTAACATGGTCATGTACATGGCTCTCCGTGTACTCAGCCTATGCATATACCAATGACTAGCCCGAGATCACGCACGCGTACTGATCGGACTACACTTGTGCGTCTGCACTTCTCCAAACCACCTAGGGCTCCTAGCTTAGTCTACTAATCGCACTTCTTTATCAAGCGATTCGATAGTATTTACAAATATAGGGCCAAGAGTCTAAATACTATCTGTGCGTTCCGCCAAATTCCACATCACCCATGCGCCGATGCTAATTATGGCATATGTGTGTACTAAATTTTCATGCGCGAGTGCGTTCAAAAATGACGGGTGTTCTCCTGTGGAAAAAAATACGTGTGATAGTCGTACCAGAAAAAAGAAAAACCAAAACCAAACCAAACAGTGGCTATAGTCAAAACAGATCAAAAATTCGTTACGACGGTATTTGCCCCCAACCTACCTTCAAGTCCACTAGTACCACCAGACTTATTACCTGTCTATCTGTTCTGAGCCGTGAGCTATAGAACTAACACCATTTTGCAGCTAGATCAGTCGCTAGCCCCACCTTCGCTATCCCCTTAGCGACAACCGTTCAGTGCCCTCATACCTAAAAGGGTACCTTATTTCCTCTTCAAAGCATACCCACACCATGAGAACGTCTAGCTGGATGTACCCAGCCGTCCTCTTGGCTCAGCTCCTCTCAGTCCATGCCAGACTGTTGAGTGCCTCGTCGCTTGTCACATGTATGGAAAACTCCCAGCTCAGTCCGTCGTTCTTTAACGTGCTGTTCGTACCGGAAAACAAGGCTTTATACTATAATCTTGTGGTCGACGCCGAAATCAGCGGGTACATTCTTGCGTATGCCGAAGTTTACGCCTATGGGTTCAAGATCATCGAAAAGGAGATCAACGTGTGTAACTTGGGCTGGAAGCAGTTCTGTCCGATCTATCCCGGGAAAATCGCTATCGACTCTGTTGCATACATCTCCGATGAATACACCAGTCAAATTCCGGGTATCGCCTACACCGTGCCTGATATCGATGCGATTGCTAAAATCCGTATTACCAACTCCACGGGGCAGCAAATTGCATGCCTTCAGGCCACCTTCACGAACGGTAAGACAGTTTCGCACGTCGGTGTGCAGTGGGTCACCGCGGTGATTGCTGGCCTTGGTCTTCTTGCGTCGGCTCTTTTGTCCACCTTTGGGAATTCCAACGCCGCCTCCCACATCTCTGCCAACGCTGTCTCCTTGTTCTTGTACTTCCAGAACGTGGTGATTGTTTCGATGATGCATGTGGAAGTGCTTCCACCGATTGCTTCCGCCTGGAGTGAAAACCTCGCCTGGTCCATGGGTTTGATCAGAACCGAATTCATGCAGAAGATTTTCCGCTGGTACATCCAGGCGACAGGCGGTACCCCGGATCTCTTCATGACCTCTCAAACCAAGTCGGTGTTGGTACAGAGAGGGTTGGACAGGATAGACTTGTATGAAGCCTACACTTCCCCGGGCTCTTTGTTCAAACGTGCCGCATACCAGCTCCAGTCGAACGTGTACCTTGTGATCTACAGAGGGATCCAAAGATTAGGGTACAAGGCCGGTATTGAGTCGTCTTCAATCTGTGTGACGGGCTTCACCTGGTTTATCCTCTTTGCCTGGGTCATTGCCGGTGTGTTCTTTATCTTCCGTTATTCCTTGGAGTTAGGTTTCAGGTTTGGCTGGTTCAAGCGTAGCCAGGCCACCAACTTCCGTCTTAACTGGTTACTTATCCTCAAGGGGTCGTTGCAGAGATACATCTACATCGGGTTCACACAGTTGGTCATTCTCTCGCTCTGGCAATTCTTCCAGCGAGACTCGCCTGCAGTGGTCTTTTTGGCCTGTGTATTCTTGGTCTTTGTGGTCAGCATTCTCGGCTGGGCCTGCTTCAGAACGTTAAAGTTTGGTAGAGAGTCCATTCAGAAATACAACAACCCTGCCGCCAAGTTGTACGGTGACCAAAGAATTTTGGACAAGTACGGGTTCTTTTATACCATGTTCAACGCCCAAAAGTACTGGTTCGGAGCCGTCATTTTGGGTTACAGTCTTGCCAAGTCCATGTTTATCGGTCTCGCGCAAGATTCCGGTAAGACCCAAGCGCTTGCCGTCTTTATTCTCGACTTGGCTTTCCTTATTGTGTTGTTAAGAACAGCTCCGTATTTGAACAGATGGACCAACTGTGTGAATTACGCCATGGCTGCTGTGAATCTCTTCAACTCCCTCCTCTTTTTATTCTTTTCGGACTTGTTTGGTCAGCCAGCCGCTGTCGGGTCTATCATGGCTTGGCTTTTCTTCATTGTCAACGCTGCCTTCTCGGTCTTTTTGTTGTTCGCCATTATCTACACGGTGGTGATGGTCTTTGTCTCCAAAAACCCCGACGCCAGATTTGCCCCGGTTAGAGACGACAGAACCGCCTTCCAGCGCAAACATTCGGTGAAGAACGCCACCGGCCAGAAAGTGGTGAACGAGCAAACCGCCGCGTTGATGGCACTTGGAGCCGCTGCCCAAACACATACTCAAGACTGGGAAAACGAAATCTACCGTTTGAAGGATATTTCACAGACTGATTTTGCTGCCTCTAACGAAAAGCTCACCAGTAATCATTACACTCCAGACGTTTCAGACTCCCCGCCGATGCTTATGGCGCAGAATTTCTTGGATAGAACGGTGTCCGAACAGCAGAGAATCAAGGAGGCCGAGTCCGAAGGCCAAGAGAACAATGGTGGGTTCATAAGAAAGTTAACCCGTGGCAAGTCCCTTAAACGTACCAAGTCTTCCGCCGATTCCATGCCTCCTGCAAAGGTGACGGCTTCACCGGAAAGGACATCGCCGTTCCACTCCCCTGAAGACGACATGATGCAATCATGGCACGATACCCCTGTGAACCCGCCAAGAAATGTGAGACGTGTAAGCGACACGCTTACGGACCAGGTTAATCAGCCAAACTACCAGCAGTTAGGGCAAGAAGCCCGTATTACGTCCTTCAACTCCGGCTTGACGGCGGATGATCAGACTTTTGAGCCTGTGACGGCTGCTGACGTTATTGGCGGTACTCGCACCGTACCGCACGACAGAAGATTTGCCTAGAAAACTGTATCATATATATATCGTTTTCCTTGCCTTTTTGGTGCTCTTTTGTATCTGTATTTTTACCATTTGTTTTGTACCGATATGCCCCTGTTTTCAATTTATTCCGTTAGGTGTGTTGTAGCGTCTAAGAGCGATGTAGTACCTTCCGGGAATGTTGGTGACCGAGAGAAGCCTATAGCACTATTGGGTTGCTTAGCCAAAAAGGTTAGATGGAATGTATCCTCCAATCTCTTACCGGTTATAGAGTCTGGACGGAGCTAATCTCACACTGTCATTTCCGATATGTGACAATGGATGACACACTGGTTGCGAGAGTTTTAGTGAAATGCCATTCAACTGTAGCTATGGACACGATTCTTTCAAATTAGTAGTTATCAATCTAGCCTGAACCAGAGCTTGAGAATTTTTCCCTATCTGTAATGCCAGCTTCTCTCCGATATGTGATCATCTACAAGTGTGTCGCATCAGGTGTTGTTACGTAGTCCGATCTCACCGGTGAATTAAAGGCCGGGGATTCCCGTATGGCAACATCCTAAAACCCTCTCTTTTATTTATTTATCCTTTTTTCGTATTCAATATTTTTTTTTCCTGAATCGCTAGCACCTCTTTTCACTCCTTGCGGTCTGGGCTATTCTTTCCTCAGAACTTCCATTTTATGGCTTTTGATACCTCGTCTGCTCGGATTTAGACCGCCACTTACAACCATCCTCTTTCGCGGGGAGGGGTTTTGTATATTTGGTTGTATTAAAGCCGGAGTGCAAATATAGTCACCCCTAGATACGACTTGGCATTCTAAATAATTCTCTAATTTCATTTAAACTTCACCAGAGTTTATTCCGGCAGCGCTTCTTCCCGAGACTTTTTCTCGATAGTGATCCCACCAATAAACTCACTCACCTCCTCCAAGTACGACTCTAGCTTGTCCTCTGTAATCACCACGTTAAACTCCATTAGAAAAAGTAGACCCACCTCGGTACGAAACATTTCAGTGGTACTCACTCCTCCGACCTGGGAGAAAAATTTGTGCTTGTGGCACATGTCTTCGATGCTCTTCATCGCCAACCGGATCGCTGCTAGGACAAAGCGATGAGCGTTATTTCGCATCAAGTGGATCGCCGGGTCGGGCTTCATCTGAAGCGTGTATAAGTAGTATGATGCTGCAAGGCAGACAGAGGTGGATAGTGGGCAGTAGTTGTTGATCCGCTTGAGGTAGTCTAGGATAGGCAACGGCGGCGGGGACTTCAACTGAAAGCGCTTGCCTAGCGCTCGATTCTGCATTGCCTTCGTCGGTATCGGGCTCATCACAGGGCTGTTTGGTGGAGACGGTTCGTGGTTGACAGGGCTGTCTGGTGAGGGCGGTTCGCGGCTGGCAAGGCTATCTAAGGAGGGGTTGTTGCTGGTGTACACCGAGCTAAGGTTGTTCTTAGAAAGAGACCGCTGGTGCTTCTTGGGGTGGTTATCCTCGTGGTTCATAGCATCTTCAAGCTCGTGTTTGATATCCATCTCTCTTGAATCTGCTTCCTTTTCCGATTCTTCAATCATCTTCGCCACCACCCGGTCGAGGATGTCAATCGCTGCATCCGGGGAAATGTCGTTGATATCGTATGTAGACTTCTTTGGGGGTGTCTGGGGTTGTGATATCTCTGAGTTATCTTGAAAATTGCCCAGTAAGCTTGACTCTCTAAGTCGGACTCCGTCCATTGTGTGTGTTGATTGATGGAAGTATGTGTTGAATAGCAGTGGGGTATGAATATTTCATGTCCCAGATTCCTGGCCTGCACCGTATGTAATTTTAGCGTGTTGCATACAGCGTGCGACACCGGGTATTTAATAACATGGAGGGGTTTACTAAAAAGCAAGCAACAGGGGTTTAAAAAGATTTTAGAATAAAAGATAGACAAGTTTCCCAGTTTATACGAGAGAAGTTAGGGATTAGGCGTTTCCTGTGTAAAGGACAGCCTGGTTTAGGCACTGATGAATGTGCTCTTGCCATAGTCCGTAACAGAGGGCTAAGGGCAAACCCATAGCGCTTTATCCTTAATTTTATATTTCAAGAGTCTAATTTCTGGTTTATATGTTGTCCTTGCGATGCTTCATCTGGCCGATTAGCCATGTCTTTAATTTTCGGCTTTACACAACCAATGTGCTTACGTCGGTACTTTTATTTCTCATAATTTCAACATGATACAAAAATTTCTAAGTTGCAGCATAATCGGATATTATCATTTAATTCCTCTACGTTTCTCGATATTAATCAATAGGCCACCTATCTGATCCCAAGTATCCTACCCTCCACATATGCTATCTTCCTTGATATCTAAATTACAGCCCATCAGTACTCCAACTTTGCTCTTTTAGCCGGTTTTGGCTCGTCTTTCTCCTCGCCTGACCGCTTTCTCGAGTCCAACGCAGCACTGTGCTTCTCGTACTCCACAGTATACTCCTTAAGCTGCGCATCAAGCGCCGTCAATTCGTCTACGCTAGCCTCAGCTTCCTCTCCCTGAAACGCTGCAAACGTGTCGGCTCGCCTCGCGCTGCGCCACTCCTTAACCTTGCGCTCGTCTTCATTGAACTCACCCTCATTCTTTGGTAGAGTGGTCATCTCCTCACCCTGCGGGCCCTTCCAAACCTTGTTCAATTGCGGGTTCATCATCTGCGTCCAGAAACGCTTCTTATACGCCTGGTGGCGAGTAAAGGCAGCAGCCATCTCAGACAAGGTGGCCTCGCGCTGCTCGGCGCTGAGCTCTTGTTGGGTCCAGAAGTCCGGGAAACCGTCGATCACGTACGGAAGCCAGGCTGTGAGGTCGCTGTCACTGGCCACGACGCTCTGCACATAGAGCGTGGTCAACTTCAAGGACTTGAAGTGGCTGGGGATGGACGCGCGCGTTTTCACAAGCCAACTGACAACGCGGCCAGGCACATACAGGTTCAGGTTGAGCACATCGATCGGCGATGTCTCTATGGCCTTAGCGGCAGGATTGGCCGCATACTTGGCTGTTTTGGCGAGCGCCTTTCGGGGCTCCGCCACCACGTCGTACAAGCTCAAGAGGATGTAGATCTGGTTAAAGATGACAAGCCGGTTGGTGTGGAAATCGAGGTACTTGACCAACGTGTCAGGGGTGTGGGGAAACGTAACGCGCACGTCCTCGCGCACATACTTCTCGAGGTCCTCCGGCCTGGGCGTCTTGAGCGGCAGCACACGGTACGGATCCACAGGCTCCTTCAAACTCTTGTCGTCCTTGTCAAGTCCCACCAAGTAGTCGAGTAAGCTGTCGACCGCACCCTGGAGCTTGATGAAGCCGCGCTCAATCTCGTAGTCGCGCGCGAGCTTGCGCGACATGATGTCGTACGGGTTGGAGAAGATGCTCTGGAGGTACCAAAAGTCACGAAAGATCATCTCATTCGTCTTCTTCCCTTCAGCCTGTGCTACTCCCGGATACCGTGCCGCCACGTCGCGCTCGTTTACGTCGAGCAAGCGGTTCTGAAAGGTGATCTCGTTGAACGGCAAGATCTCCGCGATGAATGTCTGCAATTCATACATAAAATCATAGTTCTCCGGTGATTGCACGAGCCGGAGCGTCTTCGTAAGCTGGTTCACGAGCAACACAAGCGTCGTCCCGGGCCGGCGCGCACCCACCAAGCGCATCTGTTTTAACCGCGCGAGTATAACCGGTGAGTTCACGTACCGGTGCCAGATCTCGTGCACTACGCGCGAGTCCGGTGTGTAGATGAGAGCATCGTAGATGAGCAGAAACGGGATCTCCCCGAGCTTTCCCCCCATGCTGAAGGCAAATTCGGCCATGTTAATAACCTGGCGGACGAACCCATCTGTCTGCGATACACCGTCGAAGCAGCTGCCGGTAAGTGAGGCCTGGAACCTCGAATATGCCAATTCAACCACCTTCGCGCATCGCGCCGCGTCTCCTTGCACCTCTGCGGGGATAATGGCTGTGAATTCGCGGAAGAGATCCGCGTAGACCGTCTGGTTTTGCAGCGAGAGAGCAATGTCACCCAGGACATCGTGTTCCACGCTGAGGAGCGCGGAGATCTGCATAAGCTTGGCTGAAAGCGGTGCCACGAGTCCGGAAAGAGAGTCTGCGGTCATGTTAGGTGAAAGCGCGGAAATAGAGGAATAAATTGCATACTAGTCTGTAGCTGCCCGCAAATATGGTAGGTTTTGGTGCGGTATGGGCACGACTCACAACACGGAGAATGTCGCCGGCACATATACGACATGCTATGGGACGATTAAAGCTAACAGAGTATCGTAAAGTGGTTTTTCCATGTAGCTATGAGCCTCTATATACGAAGTGTCTTTAGCTTTTAAACATTTATCTTTGGGGATTGGAAGCTAGAGACTGCTCCAAAACTCCAACGAGAAACGATATTATTCGTTGACGAAATATACTGCTTAGATGTACGGCTATAAAGAAAGGGCTCGGCTATTTATCTGTCCCATAAGGCATCCAAGGTTACAATCTCTATAAACCTAGTATCCGTCTTACTAGAGACTTGGATACGGTGAAATAACACCCGCAGCACCTACAGCACCTCTTGGTTATATTTCGTCAATTCACAATATATGTAACTGATCTTTACAAGTTGTATACATAGTTATATCCTACCCATTCAATCCATAATCATCGCCTTCTTCTTCTTCACCTTCTTCGGCTTTTTGACTTCAATCACCTGGGTATCCTCGGTAGGGGTTGGCAACATCTGGTCGGCATCTGGCACCCCTGGAACGCTTACCTCTGTCTTGACCTTTTTCTTCTTCTTTGGCTTCGTGCCGGTTTCCGTATTTCCCTTTGTGGATTTTTTCTTGGGCTTGGTCTCATTGTTGAGTTTAGTCCGCAATGCCTCAAGGTCCACTTGGTACTCGTAATCCGCAAACTCCTCTTGCGCCGTTTCGGGCGTAGCAGATAGGTCAAAATTGTCCAAATTAGATGAGTCGATTTTGAACGTATTCTTCTTCCTGGCCGGTGCAGGCACGAACGCCGGGCCTTCCTCTATGTCTATTCCGCCCTCGACAGTTTCGTCCGAGAGAATGACATATTTCTGCTTGGCCTTCTTCTTTGGCTTCCTCTCCAACACCAAGGTTGGGGTCTGTGTTTCCTCGTCTGGGTGGTCGTCAATAAACGATGCAAGTTTGCTGACCTTGGCGGCGGTATCGCTGATGTAGAAAGGATCGTCTTTGAGACGTTCTAACCGCTCCTGCTTCTTTAGCTGGGTATCTGTCTCGTCTACGCTTTCAACCACGGAGCTTGCGGTCTCGGTGATCTCGCAGAGCTCATACTCATCTTCATACGCAGATTCTTCCTCTTCAGACTCGGAGAAGCTGATCGTTGGATTGATGGGCGTGTCGAGATCCAAGTCTCCGGGAACCGGCACCCGCTTTTGCGCGTCGGGCGCCACAGGATTGAGGGTATATGCGTTGAACATCGACGGTAACACGTACGTTACGAGGAGGGGCAAGTGTCTGGATTTAGTTTCATAATTATTCGGGTCACTCTCCACGCTTACCTCAAACTCCTCACCTAAATCCACTTCTAACGACTCGGCCACCAAGCGCAAGAACTCTAGCCACGAGACAACACGCTCTTGGACCTCGTATTCTGAACAGTTCTCGTACGCCAGGAACCAGCGGATCAACTGGACAGTCATGCGGCAGACCTTTGAGTGGCTCGCAGCGGAGACCAGCTTTACACCCTCCTCGGTAAAATCGCTCATAAAGTTCTGGTTCGCCTCCGTATCCTGGCAAGCGATAAACGAGCTATAGAGCTTGACCACCGCCTGGATAAAGATCTGCAGCGTGACTGCGTCCAACCGGCCGATCACAAGCCCGTCCTGGTCGAAGCGCTGAAGATGCTCCAACACAATCTCCAAGTTGGCACCCCCCACATGCTCGGCAAACTCTCCCACGACCCAGAAGAGGTCTCGGAGGACCCCTGGGTAGGCTGTGTAACTCGCGCGCTCCAAGATGAGCAGCAATGCCTCGCCAAGCACGGTCTGGACCATTTGGGGAACCTTGACGGCTATCGTCTGAAGCAGTGACGCGACGCTCGCAGCAATGATCTGGATCGCTTCCGCACCACTGTCGGTGGTGAGGCGAAGAATATCCTTTAGTACCGCAATGTACCACTTGAAGCCCGGCACGCGCGCAAAGTTGTTGCTGGAGCACACACGCACGATCTGGGCCGTGAGCAGGACCTTGTACGAGTCGGGGAGATCCGAGATGTCCAACTGCGCGAGCAAGGTGGCAACAACGCTTTCGATATTGTTGTCATCCACAAGGGAGTCGACCAAGTCCAAGGCCTTGGTCTTGATCAACAAGTCGCGGTCGCCGATGCACTCGAGAATGGTGCTGTGGATGGCGGGGTCGGCCAAAAACTCGGGAAAGAAGCCGCAGAGTTTGATCAACGCGAGGAGGCCCATGTAGGTGAGGTTTGCGTCGCGGCGCTCAAAAAAGGCCATCAACGCGGCAACACAGATGCGCGCAACCGTGCGGTCTTCCGGTGCGTCGCCCAACATTCCGCCGTCGAGAATGCAGCTGACACACTCATAAATCAATGAGCACGCCTTGGTGGTGTCCATAAGGTCCAAGATCGCGGGGAGGAGCTTGTTTTTGAGACGCGGCTCGATAGTCGAGAGCGACGCGAAAAGCTTCAACAAGCGGATAATGATCCAGTTGTTGGACGATGTCAGGAGAAGTTCAAAAAGCTGCGGCGCAAGGTGCACGTGGTTGCGAGCATTCTTCTTGGCCAACTCACACACCACGTTGACGGTAGCGCTGACGACGGAGGGATCCGCGTCGTCGAGCATCTTCACCAATTGCCCGTAATGCAAGCGCAACGACTCGGGATACTGCAAAAAGAGCTTGTAGAGCACGAGTACCGCCTTCTTGCGCACGTACGGCTTGGAGTGGCTCAACATGCGCACCACGTCGTCAACGAGGTCGCGCGCGAGGCTAGGCGTGACAATCGCTGCGACGCCACTCAACGCGAGCCCCACCTCGGGCGCACGCGCGGCGCTCAAATCCTTTTTGAGCTGGTTTGTCGCGAGAATGAGAATGTCGGTGTCATCTTTGAACGTCTGCATTGCCGCGAGATACCCGATGCGCTTCTGCTGGAACTTGGCGCTGGCCATCACCTCAAGTACCTGGAAATTGGCCCACGCCATGTCGTAGCCGTACATCTCGAGGTATGCGAGTTTGAGCACTGCTGTGGCCTTTGTTTCGATGTCGGTTGCGCGGAGCTCCTCCTTGCACTCCTTCGCAGCGTGGTCGAGGAAGGCGGAGAGCTGGTCGGGCTTGGCTGCGCGCATTCCCTTGATGAGGTCCGTAAGAGACTTCTCGAACGAGAGTCCGAACGGCTTGAGTCTGCTCAAGATATCGTCGGATGACATGAGGCGCGTTTGGCTAAATGGTCTACCTCGGTATGATGTGTTGAGCTGAGGCTGATATGTCTCCCCGAGTATAAAGTGCAACAGTGCAGGATGAGCAACGGTTGGACAGGAGTGGGGAGTAGCACGGTGGGTTACGAAATTTTACAAAAATAGAGTTTTAAGGGTTAAAAGGTATTACTGCTAATTTAATATGCTGCTTTCCCTGCTTTTGCCTTGGTTAGGTTTTGCGTGAGTTACGGGTATGGCACCGTTTTGCGTGGGTAGGGGAATGGCAAATACATAATCCATTGCTGCTTTAGACTTTTATTTTGTTGTATTTGTAGGGTAAATATCAATTATTCCTTGTATTAGTTCCAGATACTAGTTAATTTATAAATTAAGATGCTCAGGTGCAAATAAAACCATTTTTAACGGGCTATGATGGAACATTAAAATTAGCTCCCTCAGTGCTGGAATCTTACGTGCAGTATGTAAAACCATCAGACATCAAATCGCGTCTTCACCCTCACCCCCCACCTTCGCCACAATACAATGTCAGGCAGTGCTACCGACAACAAGGTAGATGCCAAAAAGTACATCATTCATGAGGGAATTGTGTTTGCAATTGAACTTTCAAAGGCCGTGCATGCGCCCGACGCCGCCATCGGGGGACGTTCACAGTTGTTCGAGCTCTTGTCCACGATTGCGGAGTTGTTCAAGCTGCTCGTGATCACGCTACCGCACTCGGGCGTTTCTGTCTTCCTATACAACTGCGCAGGTGTCCACCACCATATTCACCGCTTATTAGGATTACGCGATATCAACGGATGGGCGATGAAACACTTGAACGGCATTTTACAGAACCACTTGACAGGGATCCAGACCCTAGAAGAACGGTTTCCCGTGAGTGACGAGCCCACGCCATTGCCAAAGCTCTTTAACACGGTGTATGATGAGTTTGTGTCGAAAGAGTACAACTGGAATAAGTTTTTTTGGGTAACGAGTATGAAAGGTGACGAATACCTGGATGAGCTCTACCACACACCCGAACTCAAAAACACTATCCGACGCACCATTATGGACTTTAACAACCGGAACATCCACTTGCATCCGATTCTCCTCGGGGATGCCTCTCGGTGGAACGAGCGCGACCTCGGCCAGTACGAAGAGTTGCTCTTCAACCTACCGTCCCATTCGAATCCCTCTGACGCCCCCGCAACGGATACGCAAGACCACCTTTACTCGCCCAGTCTCACGTTTGTGGCGGCCGATGAGATTAAGAAACGTATCTTGCGGCTCAAAGAGGTCCAACGGTTTCAGTTCCTGGTGGACCTATATCTTTCCTTCCCCCAACTCACGGCGATGCTCGCACAGACGAGCCCGGAAAATGCGAGCACGCTCGCAGTCGTATCGCTCAAGGGCTACGCGGTCTTTTCGCAGGAAAAATTCGACCGCTCTATCAACATGACGTACGTGGACGAGCTCAACCGCTTCAAGGAGGTCCAGGCGGCCATGATCAAGGTGGACGACGCCAGCAGCGGGGTTCCTCAGAGCGAAAAGACGAACGGGGATGGCTGCTTCGTAACCACCTACAAGCTTGGCGACGAGAGCTTCCATTTGACGGAGGAACAGAAACTGACTGTCAGAGCGCTCAACGACCTCATCATGGCGTATGACGTATCAGAGGCCCCGGAGGAAGTCTTTGACAGCGCACACTTGCAGAGACTCCCGGAAAACGTGCTAGTGGAGTCGCACGGTGAAGACAAAACGTTCGGCCCACTCTCGCTTACCCTCCGCGTAAAACCGCCGTTCTTGGTCGTGATTGGCTTCGCGGCCATGGCAGCGCACCCCCGTCACTTGAGCGTGGCGCCACCTTCGTTCATGACGGCGAACGTATCTTGGACTGCCAACTTTAGTAATAGTTTCAAGGTCTACAGCAGCTTGTACCAGGCGTGTTTGAAGAAGAAGAAGTGTATTTTGGTGTATGGGGTCACGCGCAAGAACACCAATCCGGGATTATACGTGATGTATCCAACGGCCAAATCTGCGACGGGGCTCATCGACGAGAAAGAACACGGGGCGGCCCCGGCTCGGCAGACCCACCCTGAGGGTTTTTACTTGATCAGGCTAGCAGCCAATGACGACTACCGATCAGACCCGCCGTACTTGCTGGAATTGGTCCAAGACTACTACAACCAGCTAGGGATGGCTTCGCCTGATAACTTGCCCGAGCAGAACAAAGACATCCCGGAGTTGGTCAAATCCTTTACCAAGTTGTGCAAGCACTTTGTCTTGCGCGATGGCTACGTCCCCCTGGACTACCCGAACCCGAACATCAACTACTTCATGGACATGCTCGCGCAGCAGCTATCGCAGGTGGAAGACACCAAGCTGGTGCACGCTGCCATCGACACTACACCCAGCCAGACGTTGTTGAAGCACGATGTCACCCTCCAGACGTTGCAGCGCGTACACGAGTCGATCCATGCAGACAATGGTGCCGCTCTCGCGCTTCTCAAGCTGATTAATTCGCGCCTAAACAGCGTTGCAAATGACCAGGAATTGAGCTTCATGTCCAACTCGCCAATGACCGCAAAGAAACCCGCTACAGAAGGCGCCGTCACCGACGCCGACATGCTGTACGCGTGGAAAAACGGCAATATCCACTACTACACGATGGCCCAGTTGAAAAACTATATCAAGCAGAACGAGGCGACTCTCGGGTTTGGACCCACGGGTACCAAGCAGGTCCTCATTGGCCGTTTGACTGAGTTTTTGAACTTGAAGAACGGCATGGATTAGCCAAAAGATATGGGTAAACATGGATAGCTTTTCCTTTGAGAGATGATATTGTGGATCACATAGTGTGATTTTATCCAAATTTGGACAGGGCCGGGCTTATAGAGCATTTCCATGCACTAGAAATTAATTATATATCGTATGTCCATTTTTTTGAGCCAATCAATCTTTACTGGCGATAAGCGGCATAGTATATTGGTTGATACATCATCTGTAACGGTCTATTTCGCTCTCTTACTCGAGGTGCTCATGACGTCCAATATTTTCCAAACCTTAGCTCAAAACAGCACCTTGATCTAACAGGTACATGTTCATCACACTCACGGCAATCAAATGTAGAATTTGTATTAAAGTCAACGTCAAGAAGTAATAAAGGATGCGTAGGCACTATAAAGTGGTATATACAAGGAGCGGTAAAAGTCAGACCCATGAGTGTGGTGGTATTCTGGGTAGACTAGGGTTTGGGAGTTAGGCAGAGACCTTTTCGAGGACAAACCCCTGGTTAGACTTCCTCAAAGCCTTTTCTTGAGCCTTGGTCAAAGCGGTCTCCCTCAACTCGACCTCAACCAACTCTTTGACGGCAGCAATCTTACCGGCGGCAGCTGGGGCAACGGCCTGGTAGGAAATCAAGCCCGGTCTGCCCAAACCCAAGGCAACCAAGTTGTCCTTGATCTTACGTGGCAACCCGATGGTGGATCTCTTCTGGACGATTCTGTAAAACATAGTGCGCGGATAAGCAATAGTAGGTGGCCAAGCGTTTATTTTGTCCATCGCTTTTTTCAACCGAATTTTCACGCATGTCAGAAGGTTAGGTGTGGAAATTTGCGTGTACGCATCAGGATATGTGCAGGAATAGTAACCGGTAAAATGGGATCTCCAAGCCGGTTTGATAGCAAAAATTACCTTGTATATTGGGACGAGGGCTCTTCGGTTTTGCTTGGGAGTTGAAACCGTTCTTACGAGATCAGCTGTATGAAATCAATCAACACACAGCAAAAGTTTCAAAGCCTAATGAATAGTGATATAAATGACTGAAACTCCTGGTCCTAAGAATCGCTGAATCTGTTGTGATGCTAAATACTAAACCCTCCAAAGTTAGGTGCCGAGTGAAGTACAGCGGTACTAGTACTACAATTATGTGACTGCTCCGGCTCTGAGTCAGGTGCTAAAAACTATCCTGTAGAGCTATATGTTCCTCATCTTGGGCCATCTGAATTGTGTTTGATATTTGAGGCGTCCGTTTCGGCTGGAGGTAAACCCTCAGTACCGTTTGATATGTTACAGTTTCATGGGCTCTTACTGATGCAAAACCCGATTTTACCTGGCAACTTTCTCCGGTCTACCTGGTTATATAAGACTTATTCGTATGATACTAAACATATGATTATTTGAGATATATAAACCGAGGATCAGCCATAAAGCTAGCACCGGCTGTTCATTGCTTACAAATAGCTCTGAAGAATCTTGTAGAAGTCCCCATTAGGAGTGGAACTCTCAATTTTGGCGTTGACGTTGCCATCAATGCTGACGGTTGGGGTCACATGAATCCCTAAACCCCTAGTGAGTCTGGTGAAGTACTTGATTTCCGGAGTCACCGAGTTCCCAGCGTTGCTCTGCTTTGCTCCCTGCGCCACTGGAGCAATCAGGACTCTCTGGTAAATTGCATCGGCATCCACTCCAACTTGGGTGCCAATATCCGCGAGCCTTTTGTAGGTCTCGTTTCTGGTTTCATTCAAGGTGGCAGTGTCGAAGAAGCTTTCCTGTGCTTCAAATAATGCCCTGGAGTAGGCCCAGAACTTTTCTGGAGCAAGGTTGGCCACGGCCAATGAGGCTTCGTGGGCCAACTGGGAGTTAGGGTGCCATGGCTGCACCACGTTGACAAACACAAACTCAAACTTGTTTGGGAACTTTGTCTGTACTTCTGGAATCACCGTATCTTGGTAGTTCAAGAAGAGCTTGGTGCTGAAGGGACAATTGTAGTCGAGAAAGATGTGCACCACATGGGCTTCATCGGAAGCAGCGTTGCCTGGGAATGTGTGCGACTTTCTGTATCTTGGGGCTAACGAGGACATTTTGTGTTTTGCTTGTGAATTGATCAGGTTGGGAGGATGTATGAATGTCTTTAGGGAAGTCTCAAGTTGCTTTCAGGAAGTGGGCATATCGATGTTTCACCGCCGCGATTGAGCCACAGTTATATGTGGCAGTCTGTCACTTTCCACGCCAAAACATTATACATAAAGGCAGGGGTCAAAAGCATTACAAATCATCTATCGAATGATATACGTTACAAAAATGGCATCTGTCAGATTCATATTATAAAGCCCTTCTATAACGATTAGTGACACTACTTAAACGATTGAGTCTCAATCTACGTCAATCGTTTAGAATCTCCACTTGGTTTGTATTTAAGCTATACTTTTTAGGTAAGGCTCTCTCAGTATATCATTTTGTACCTACGGGAGGTGCAAGAACCTCACCACTGATGCTCTTAGTGCATGAATTTCTGTGTTGGGCAGCTCACCACAGAATTTTATCTATTGGGAAGTGTGATACATGGCAGCCTCGGCCTTCGCCTCCTCTAGGTTTCTCACCGTCTTGACCACTCTCGCCGGAATACCAACAGCAACCGAGTAGGACGGAATGTCTTTGGAAACAACAGCGCCGGCGCCGATGGTTACACCATCACCAATGGTGACTCCAGGCAAGACCACTACATTGGAGGAGAGCCAACAATGGTTACCAATGGTGATTGGCTTGGCATACTCGACACCGCCGAGGCGCACAGACGGATCGGTTGGGTGGGTGGCAGTGGTAATGGTGACATTTGGAGCGATGAGACAATCATCCCCAATCTTCACAAGAGAGCAATCCAAGACGGTGAAGCTATAGGGTTAGCGAGCTGTATTCAAAAGCGGGGTTGAACTATACTTACTTGAAATTGACATAGCATCTCTTACCAAAGCTGGTGTTGTAGCCATAGTCGACGAAAAACGGTGGCTCGAAGTAGGACTGGTCGCCGACCTTACCAAAAATGGTGGTCAAGTAATCGAAGCGGGCTTGGGTGAAGCTCTCGAAGCTGTTGAAATCCCTCAATCTGATGGCACCGTAGTCGGTAGCCTGTTCATGGGCAATGACACGACCCTTACACAATACGTCATCCAAACAGTCGTAAGGGAGACCTGAGATCATTTTCTCGTATTCGTCATGGCCCTTTGGGATGTTCTTGAGATTGTCGTAGGCATACTTGATAAGCTCCTGGTTCTTTTCGGTGGCTCGTTCATCGATTACGACTGGCATTGCTAATGTTTAATTATTGGGGGTGAAAAAAGGGTGACAAGAATACGAGGTGCTGTCTATATTTATAGGTCATCTGCGGAGGTTGAATCCGGAAACTAGCCTCTTTTGTCGATGTCATTCACTCCGCGTATTTGTTCAGCCGATCCTGTTTTAGCACGACATGCATGATTGTTCCATAGGGAAGGGTTCCCGAAGAAGTGATTTGGCGGAACTCTTCCTCTTTGGGAAGTCCAGCGCGCTGCCCCGCAGGGTCTGTATGCTCCTGCATTTCATTTTGATCCGAAACGTGGATCGTCCCGTTTACAATTGACGTCGAATATCTGACGGTTTGGCCATGAAGTACAAGCCTCTCCTGGCATGTGTATATTGGGGGGGGGGTGCACAATACGGGACCGGAAAGGTTGGTTTACCAAGCTATAACCTACTGTATGTGGTATGAAAAGTGTTTATTTTTTTCGTCGCTGGTTCTATATACCAGACACGGTGCTTTTGGGGTAACTTTAATTCTTCCCCGTGTACAGTTTGGCCGCTTCGAGCTTGGCTTCCTCCAAGTTTTTCACCGTCTTGACAACCCTGGCTGGGGTTCCCACGGCGACCGAATAGGATGGAATGTCTCTGGAAACGACAGCGCCGGCACCAATGGTGACACCGTCACCAATGGTCACACCTGGCAAGATAACTACGTTGCAGGAAATCCAGCAGTGGTTACCAATGGTAATAGGCTGAGCAAACTCAAGACCCGTGAGACGAACCGAAGGGTCAATTGGGTGGGTGGCGGTAGTAAGCGTGACATTTGGCCCAATAAGGCAGTCATCACCGATCATGACAAGAGAAGGGTCCAAGACGGTCAAGCTGGGGTGTTAGTAACCTTTTCAGAATCTGTAGTGTCTAAGTTAAAGGATATACGCACTTGAAGTTGGAGTAGAATCTCTTTCCGACCTTGATGTTGTAGCCGTAGTCCACGTAGAATGGTGGTTCCACGTAACTGCCTTCGCCAAAGCTACCGAAAATCCCGTCTAAGTACTGGAAACGAGCCTTGGCGTAGCTGGCAACCGAATCAAAATCCTTCAATCTGAACGAACAATAGTCCATTGTCTGTTCGGAAGAGACAATGCGACCTCTCTCTAACTCTTCATCGGTGATATCATACCTAAGTTGTTAGCAAACCGCTCCAATTCCGAAAGTGTACAGATACATACAACACACTAGAGATCATCTTCTCCCAGTTGTCGTTTCCCTTAGGGAAGTTCTTGAGGTTGTCATAAGCGAACTTGATGAGTTCTTGGTTCTTTTCAGTCGCGATCTTGTCGAGGTCTGATCCTGCCATGGTGTGTTTAAATTGAGGAATGAAATAAGTCCTAGAGCAGAAGGAAATCACCACGCTTTTATAGGTTTCTATGATGAGCTGGCAGACTGAGATTTAGCTGACTGCATCATTCGTCGACTATATTTTGTACATAACACGGTTACAAATTCCGCATATGGCAATATTTTTCCCGCGAAAGGCTTTCTGCTGCCACATTTGGAGATCTTCTCCTTTTACATGCGTACACAGGGTTCAGTGGGAGCACGTGCGTGGCGGGTGTGGCGCAGGCAGATAAAACCCCAAGCTGCAAACCGTTCACCTTACTTCCGTAAAAGTTAAGGCATCTTCGAGACTTGGAACATTAGTCTATGTTTTTTCAAACCTTTTGTCGATTCCCGAAAGCCCTCTTGGCCGTCTCTTTTACCTCCTAAGAGATTGTCAGCCTTCGATAGCTTCTCCTGTACAAAAAGCAGGTCCTCAGTCGCTACCTTAGTGGAATAAGCCCCGCCGTTCACTCTGCATCTCATTTGTCTTTGATAAGAATTTCTTTTTGTAGATTTACCTTTTTAAGCCGCAAATTATACCCACAGGTGTCTCTTTTCCTCTCGGGTTTGCAAAAAAAAATAGACCTTGGGTATTGTGGATTTACTATTGCTTCGTTATTAAACCATGCCACACCTAACTGCAGACCCCATCGATATAAGTCTCCTCCTTGAGTATCTCCCTCCGGAGATCGTTATCCGAATCTTTGAATACCTCCACCTCAACCATGTGAAGGAGTTGTTGACTTACCCTCCTACATATGAAGTAGCCTTCAACAAGTACTACAGCTCCATATGGGTAACCAGTGATCCGTTTATCGAACAAAACCGCAACGGCTACTCCCTCTTCCTCAAAATCAAACAGTTCTCGCCCCTCTTCAAGCCCAACCACCCATTAGACGGAGCGTTATCGGAGAATCCAAAGATAATACACCAAACAAACGAACGGCGCAAACCTATGAACAACCATTTGAGAAAATTACCCGTGCGCAAGCTTTTCCTTGATTTGTACGGTATCCACCAACGGTTGGTTAGCGGAAGAGGACCGATACTTGAGGAGCCTGAAGTCACAGAAGCCTTTCCAGTGCTAGAAGGTAATGCGGCCAGCAGGGTGAATCGGTGGTATGCCCCTGTTTCGCCCGTTCCGTTTGGAACCATTGATGTGGATGCATATTTCCCTAACACGCTTCGCCACTTGCTGGCCGATGTTTACTACTACCACTGCTTGATGCAAGATATTCCTTATGAGCTGGTAACCCATGGTTCCAACGTGTACTATGGTTTTAGATTGCCGGATTTATATTTCCCGCGTCATTTGAGGAAACTCTTTCTCTTGGGTAATGGACCTGTTCAATTACCACGGGTAAACTTCTCTACCTATGGGACGCTACGGGAGCTACGGTTGATTAATATATCCTTTGGGGGATGTCGCGCAAGCTATAAGGACTCGGAAGCATCCATGGTTGTGTTTCCGCCTGGTTTAGAACGACTCAGTATTATGTCTAATCCACAATTGACCGGTTTGGCGAGCCTCCAGGCGCTCCCGAAGTTCTTGAAAAGCTTGACCATCAAGGACAACCACTTGCCTTGCTTGACCCTGGCTGATTCTCAGGTCTTGCCTCCGGGCCTTGAGAGCTTAAGTCTAGAAAGCAACGGTATAGCATTCTTGTCGGACTTCAAGTTCCCTGCCGGTTTAAAAGAGTTGGTGTTGCATTACAACTGTATCACTAGCTTCATGGATGGAGTCGAGTTCCCTGAGAGGATGGAGACGTTGGATGTGGATGATTATGGGTTGTACCAAGAGTACTTGGACTCCCGGTGTGAAGTGGCGGAGTGACATACCGCGCGCGAAGGGTGATAGGAGACTGGGTTTCAGAGTCTGGTCGCTATTGGGGAAAAAAATACAAAGCTTGAGGGTTTGCAAGATTTCGGCCGTGTGGTATGATACCCGCTTTGGGTGTAAGCGGTCCAGGGTTCAATTCCCTGCTCGGCCCGGTCTTCTTTTTATACAACTGGAAAATATATTGCGATTCCAAGCGTCTCAAATTATTGTTGAGCGTGTACTCGGATCGAAGTGGAAAGGTAATCCTATTTTCTGAGAAAATCAGCCGGCGGTCGGCTACCCCCCTACATGTTCGTGTATTTGGATGGTAGCCTGCTTGATTGTATTATGGACTAATAACCTCATTAAAAGATCGCATTAAAGTAGTATAGCCAAAGACGGGTCCCATGCGTGAATTAATTTGTGGTCATTGGTTGGAATCTAATCCAAGAGAATTGTGCTGATCTGTCCTTCCAAGAGCTGAAGTTTCACTTTGTTTACAGCTTCGGTCATCAGAGGAATAGTAATGGAATGATCGTCATGTATGGTTCTGGCCTCAGACTCATAAAGCTCTAATTATCGAAACCGCCGGAACAAAAATCTCTGTGGTGCATCAAACTTGGGATATAGGGTGAGTGCAAAAGAGCATATGTGACCTAATGGATTCAGGGCGGAGGTTTTTAAGATTAGGCCCATAGTTATTCCCCTGCCATTAGAAAATCATGGCCCTTAATATCTGGGGATATGTTTTTTACCCCTCGTAAGCCAAATTATACGAAGATGGATCTCAGGGAGATGTAGGTCGGTGCTGCGTTTCAGGTCCCAATTTGCTAACTTGGTGCTATAGCTGGTTGTGGTTTATTCTAGAGAAAACACCTGGGTTAAGCGATCTGTATAGGTGTAAAGTTGAAGAGGCCAATCACCCTGCTATGCAGAGCTGCTTTCCTGTGACCTTTGGACCAGAGAAAGTAAATCATCCCCTGGTTCTGGGTAAACTCTGCACGGCCTTTCTGGCGGAGAAACGAAATGACATTTTTTGGAGCCAGGGGAGAATAAGCTGTGCATACAACTAGGAACACTGTTAGGAAAACTGTTCGGGTCTCCGTAGTGCCAAAGCGCTTGTGGCAATGCAATTCATGCATGAGGGGATGTTGTGTAGACCATAGAACTGAACATTGTTCGTTTTCATGCGGGTAAGCGGTGTTGTTGTCATTCATTTATCCGTGATGACGGCGATAATAAAATTTACATTTTCGATTGGTGTCACACTAGTCTGTATTCCCACCTATCGGATTATTTATCATCGGTTATCGAAGTGTGTCGCGATATTCTATACGGCTATCAATTGGGGTTGGCACGTGCGCTTTCCTTCGCCCAGGAAACCCTGCCACGAAAGAACAAGGGTGAAATTACATATGTTTACAACTTTTTATTGCGCAACGAGTGAATTTGTTAACTTTCAATAAAAGATTAAGTTTGTCGAGTGTAACTCATATACTCGAGGGGGTACGTTACCAACAGCCATGGTGTCGACAAGTAGAAACCCCAGCACCACCGGATAAGCCCCTGGTGCCTATCGGTACGTATTAAACGCTAGCTAGCCAAGCGGTGTCCATATAATAATTTTCAGAGCAGCATTGTGACATGTGAAATTACTTTTGGGAGCAACGGGAGCATTTCTAGGGTGCTGAATGCGCAAGCCAAGAAAATTAGGCTGTTCGGAGAAACTGAAAGTTTACCTTAATTTGGCAGCCGCTCACCGCCTCTGAGGTATCGTATGTTCGCCCTGTATATTTAGCCTTGCGTCATGCGAAAAGTTAGACGCACGTCCACCCGTTGCCCAAATCAACAGTGCTCAAATGGCGGAAAAGTCGTAAACGGAGTTGTGCATTTTTATCCCGAAATACTTGGATAATATCTCTGTTTTCCCGTTTCCTGTACAAAAAAAGTTTGGAGTTCTATTTTAAGTTCCAGGGCTGACCAAATGGTTATTTCGAGGGTATTCCACCCGGTGCGGAAACTAGCCCCGTGCAACCCCGCATCCCCCTGCACGTCGGAGTCGAAGCTAAATCTATATAAGGCGAGAGAACTGCATTTTATTCCCAGATCTCTGCTCTGAACTTCCTGTCCACAATCCCAGCAGAACTTAACTCCCCCTAAATACATACTATGACTGTGGCACTTGCTCAAAGAAACATCAGAGAATTGGATGCTACGGACGATGACATCCTCCTTGTCAATCAGTTGAAGGCGAAAATGCACGCAGCGGATGCTGCATGGAACGCCGAATCCAACTTTGACCAAGAGAAGGACAGGGACGTATTTCGCCAGTATGAAACAGCTTGCGATCTGGTCAAAACCTTCTACAAGGAACAGCACACGAAGCAAACCGTCGAGTTCAACATCAAAGTCCGCGAGGGCTTGGCCAAAACCAAGCGTGACTCCATGAGCGTCTGGGACGCCTTAATTAAGTTGGACGGGCTCGTTGATGATTCTGATCCCGACACTGAACTGTCCCAAATCGAACATGCCTTGCAAACCGCTGAGGCTATGAGAAGGGACGGCAAGCCAAGGTGGATGCAGCTTACCGGGTTGATTCACGATATGGGTAAGATGTTGTACTTCTACGATGCCGACGGTCAGTGGGATGTTGTTGGTGACACCTTCCCAGTGGGCTGCAAGTACTCGGACAAGATTGTATACCCAGATACGTTTGTGGATAACCCAGATTATTGCCATCCGGTTTACTCTACCGAGTTGGGGATCTACGAGAAACACTGTGGCTTGGACAATGTCATGTTATCCTGGGGCCACGACGAGTACTTGTACCATCTTGCCAAGGAGCAATCTACTTTGCCGGAAGAATCCTTGGCGATGATTAGATTCCACTCCTTCTACCCTTGGCACTCGGAAGGGGCCTACAGTTACTTGATGAATGGAGAAAAGGACGAAAGGGCTATGAAGGCCGTGTTGGCATTCAACCCTTACGATTTGTACTCCAAGAACGACGAAAGATGCGATGTTGCCAAGTTAAAAGACTACTACTGTGAATTAATTGATGAATTCTTCCCAAACAAGTTGGTGCAGTTTTAGATAGCGACGGTTATCACTAGCCCTCACCATGCTTGATTTGGCTCCATGTTCTCTTCCCTGTATGGGAGCCGCTTATTTAATCCTTTTATTCTCACTCTCGTCTTACTATTCCGAATTTGTTTGGGTTTCAGTTCTGAAAAGACATATAATACAAATAACCCTCTAGCATCTTTCGGTAGTTATCCAAATGGCCCAGATAGTTGGTGAAGAGTGTTTTCGGTCACGTGTGCAGCTGACTAGCTCGCAGGTTGTTCGGTATCCTGTCAAATCTACATATTACACGTAAGGTTTGAGTCCATGGTGCGGCTTCAGTAAATATACAAATATTATATGGTGTCAATTATCGCTCTATATATATTTAGATCCAAAGAATATATATTGCTGTATAATGCTAGTATTGGTTGAGTTTTAGCAATCTGTAGCTGAATATTGTTGGTGCCTATGCTAATAAACGGTAATTACTCATGATTATTTACTTGTCCTCAGGCGAGGTAAGAAATTTTTGAGTACATAAATAAAGTGTGTATGTTTGTCAATAACGAGAGTAAAAACCACGTATGCCTTTTTATAAGCAATTAATTCGTTCATCAAATTTTTGATTATACTAAAATCTTGATCATTGTTTAATGTTATTTTGGTGCACAGTATGGAGTTCCTTTTTACAAGTATAAAACAATCCTGTGACATTTGTATATTTGAACAGATTCCAATATTACATTTATGCGTATATGTAGTAAATTATGAATACAGATTATATTCTTACTTGGGAGTTTTATCCAGTTACCGTTATAATCAAAATATGTGATGGACGTATAAAAAGGATTAAAGATTTTATCTAGTGGCGATTTGCCTCATCTAAATTAACGGCCGTTTGGCCGAGTGATCTAAGGCGCCTGACTCAAGATCAGATCTCAAAAGACGTATGCTTTCGAACCACTTAGCGGTCATTATCTCTTTAAACCTTCGATATACAAGGCTCTAAGCTACTTTTTCAACCTGTTCTTTCTGGGGGTTTCATTTTATAAACCGTTTCGGACCTGCGGCTCTACTACCGGAGAATTTCCAAGGGCGTGAAAGAAAAAAAAAAGCATCGCTGATTTAATTTGAGACATCGACCGTTCTAACTAGCCTTACTCATAAGTTATGCGTGGAGTTTTTCCCAGTAAATGCTAAAATATGCTCGTTATCCAACCTTCACGTGGACTGATGCTTTTTGAAGACTTCAGGAAGCTTCACCGTTTTCGAGTTCATACAAACGGACAACGATATTTTGTTCGTGTCAAGAAACCTCTGAAGCATCTTGATGGAACCATCGCGCGTAAGCCCGTTACGAATGCCGTTCTCCACCGTGTCATACACTATCTTCCGCCTTCCGTAAGTCTTGGACAGTGTGTAGGCGGACCTGCCACGCCAGACCTCTCCATACCGCCTTTCTAATTCCAAGGGACACGGAATATTGTTTCTTCGCTCGCAAAACTCTGTGTATATTTCTTCGATAGACTCCGGTGCATTGGCGAAGCGAAACCCATGGCCATCTGGGTATTCAGCTTGCACAAGAGCTTGCCGCATATGTTTGGGTAATCCTATGGCTGGCTTTGTCAAAGTATCAGGGCCAGTCTGCGTGTAGGCGTTGCTGCGAGCCAAAGGGCGTGGCTGTGGCTTGGATTCCACCTGCATGGCTCTGTATTTACTTCGCAAACGATGAATATCCTGGTGGAGCCTTTCGATTTCTTTGGACATGGCATCGACTGTGCCCTCCAATCTTTCCAATAGCCCAGCATCAGTGGGGCCCTTTAGTTCCGTGGGACTACTGGGGTTCAGATGAGTCATCGAAAAGCGGTCCCCCACAAGAGAGTCGGGGGTGAGACTTAAATACCCAGAGGCGATTCGTCTTGGAGGGGCAGGGGGAAGATAACGAATAGGAGTGGTACTGAACATCAGCAACAAAGAGTTATGTGGTATACTGAATATAACGAGAGGCGTAGAATCTATCCAAGTGTGGTCGAGGGTGAGCTGATTAACGAGCACGGCTCTCCTGATGCTAGGGACTACGCAGAGGTTTTTATAACACCTCAGCCGCTCCACTCCGATCGGCCGTAGGCTCGATTGTTTTCTTATCCTGGTCAAGTATGCAGTGTCGGTGTTCCAGAACATGCATAATACCAGGGCCGGGATAAAACCCTTGATCCGTTAGGAGCTTAGAGCCAGTGTACCAGGCACGACAGCTTTAGGCGCGCGAAACAATAATCAAGCGTAAAAGCTTAAAAAATACAACGGGCGATCCCACTATTTGGCACCAGCACAGGCCGTTGTTTCTAAACGCACGGTAAACAATAGGGTATGCACCGACTCAAAGAAAAACGCGGATGTGGTGGACATACAATGTCTAAAGCATCACGGCGGATGAGGTTTGGCGTTCTTTAGTTATAGGCTACCCTTATACATGTCTTGCAATTGCAAAAGAATTACAATCTGAGGGAGATGTTTGCCCGAATATTTTCTTGCGTGAGAAAGTGGAGACGGTTCAATAAAATTGCTGATAGCAAAATGACAAGTATCAGCTTAGCGCAGGCTAGAGTTTAGTACTGGACTCGGGAAATGGTGAAGTACGTACTTGCAGATTTTGCGGGGCGGCTTTGCTTAGCCGAAATCCGGAGGTGAGACCCCTGAGGCTCAGACCACATGGAGTTTCGGGAAGAAAATTGCGAAATAGCCAATGGAATCCATACCTAATATCAGAGTAGGGCTGACTCAAAAGAGGAACCGATATACGAGGAGTGGAAGTCTGCGCAGGGAAGAAGTTGAAATTCCGAGGTGCACAAGTAAGCTACTACTGGGTTTAGAGAATTGAAGGGCACGGCACGCAGGGCTAGAATTACACTATAAATTGGTCTTTAGTGCCCAATATCTGTCAGTGCGTTAAGCCGGGCGTCAGCACAGGCGAGGCCGGTAGCTACAGGGTTTATGTTAGAGAAGCACAAACCCTGTATGCACGTGTTGGAGCCATGTGGTTGCTCTACCTCTACGTAACAATTTTCTATAACCCCAATTTCTGATACACAAGAAAGGTGGAATAACGGTAACTCCACTCATTTTTGAATTATTCCAGGGGCTAACATCAGAGCTGAGACGAAGGAAGATCAAAGGCTCGGGAGACGGGTGAGTGGCGGACCTAGCCTTTGTGGGGATCAGTGCAGCAAGACTTATTTTTTATCTTCGAAAATCTAGGTTCGCAATTTAAATGTTTGAGAGGAAGCCCAATTAATTGTGGAGGTTCAAAAAGCTTAGAGGAGGATGCAAGACAAACCTTTGATCCCTGGTGGCTTACATTGGTACCCATGCCGTCTTGTACCCTAGACATGCTTTCGGTTACTATATCGAATCCCTGTAACAGAACCCATAGAGCCGATTTATTATATACCGCCTTTGTTCTGTTATCTTCATACAGATAACGATGCGGCATTACAAGCTATTTGTCTTACCCCAGTAAAAGGACCCACACTTAGGGCGTGAACCAGTTGTAATACCGACATGCTTTCCCGCTGCAAACGTAGACTCGCACTGTCAAATTGTGAGTTACGGTCTAAAATAGTCGAAGATACCCGCAGTGAGTTTGTGGGGACTGAAAAATAACCGGCTGTAGCTGTTAAAGCCGCTCACCGACAATTTTCTGGGGTAAAGATGTATAGGGCTGATATCATTGGCACATGGCAGCCTGTATCTTTTGGTGTCTCTACGGGGGAATATCGAAACCATACTATATTACACCATCTTCAAGGCGTACATTCTTACCGGGAACAACTCTCTTGGCAAGCCCTTCTGTTGCTCCACGGCAATCAACTTCAACCCCGCCTGCTCAAATAACTGTCTAAACTTGGCATCGGTTCTGGTCACAGACGAATCCTCCTCGTCAAACACATCTTCACCCAGGGAGTTGTTCTCCTTGACCACGATGGTTCCGTTTGGCTGTAACCCGGCCTTACATCTGTCTAAGAACTTTAAAAATTCCTCGTCAGGCAAATGCCCCACGCACCACTGGCACCAAATCAACCAATATTTACCAGTTTCTGGCGTCCAGTGTTGCATCCCGACCGGGAAGATCTCCCCAATCTTGCCCTCGGTGTATAATGGAGCTAACTCTATCAGCATCTGCTGCACAAATGGCACCACTGGCTCAACCAAATCTACCTTATCGCAGTGTTTGTGCAACATGTCTCTGGTGACACGGCCGATACCAGCGCCGATGTCCACCCCGTACTTGACTTGACCCGCCGCAGGGGTCATTCTGGTGCGTAACTTGCGGAGAAATGTGGACGAGCCGATGGCGTCTGCCTTTGGCACCGAGGTGTTGCCGTAGCCCCCAAGAACGCCGTCCACGGTGGCGGGGATGGAGGTCCAATAGTCGATAGCATCGTCATAGTTGATCTGAGAGTCTGGAAACTCTGTAGGGCTCGGACCCGGGGTTTCTGAGCTGATAGTTTTAGCTGGCATGTAGAAGGGTTAGGCGTGTGAGAGGGTTATAAAGAGAAGCGGTTCATGTTTACAAATTTGTTTTACGCGCGTATTTTTTTTCTTTCAACGCGCATCATGCACGCAGGTGGGATACACGATTCGGGTTAGTAACAATTACCAACTTAGATTGTGTATTAATACTTGGGTAGGGATATGATAAAGTCCAAAGTCATGGACTGAGAAACAAAGAGAGCCAATAGTGGCAGCTGACAGGGCCTTTGCTTATCTCTAGATATGCTCCCGAGAATGGATCTACACCTTCACCCTTGTCTACACAGACTTAGGTTATACAAGATATATATATATATATTTTTGAATTATAGTGGCTACTGGGCACCGCCCAAGACGCTGGCAAACTGGGAAGTACCGCCTTGCTGGAACTCAGACACAAAGTCCTCCAAGAAGACAAAGCCGGCACCCACGGCGATGACAACGGCGGCACCCTTGCCCAAGCCGCCGAGGTACTCGGTAACCAAGGAGATGACGGCGAGCAAGGCGGCACCGGTGACGGAAGCAGTCAAGATGACCTTGTTCAACTCCTTGATGACGGAGGCGTCTCTCTTACCGTTCAACGCAATGCTCTGCTTCTTGAACTCGGCGGCGAGCTCCTTCCCAGCGGAGCCGGAAGTGAGGGACCAGACACTGGCGAACCAGACGGCAGAGAGCACAACAAAGGCGCCAAACACAACAGTTCTGATAGGCGAAACCAAGGTGCCGACAAGCGAGGGTGGTGGAGACAAGTAGTACAAGACGTAGTCGGTGACAAACGTGGCGACCGGTGCCGGGGCGACGGCCGCGACAAAGTAGCCCGCCAAGTGGATGTTGAAGAGCGCAGTATAGGCAAAGAGGATCGGCATGGAGCCGGTGAACATCAATCTGACCGGGTAGGCGGAGTAGATCTTGCGCAACTGGGTGGATCTAATTGGCAATTCCACGCGGAAGTTCTGGAAGTAGATCAAGACAAGGATGGTTGCGAGCGCGAGCACCACCTGCGGCAAGTTGGCGAGGTGAGTTCTGGTGCAGACGGTCCGCAAACTAGCGATTGGGGAGGACAAGATGTTACGGACAAGGTGCACCAAGACACCGCGAGACTCGTACGTGTCTGGCGCGACCAAGACCTGGTCCAAGCCGGCCACGTCGGTGACGATGGAGGTGGCCACGTTCAAGGTGATGAACGCGAGTGCACCAGAGCCGAAGCCGTAGCCCTTATCCATAATCTCAGACAACAAGGTGAACACGATACCGGTTCCGGCGACCTGCAATCCGACGAACGCGTAGGCACCGGCGGAGGCGAGCGGTGGGTAGTACCCGGAGACAAGGAGGATAACGGTGTATACGATAGACAAAACAATAGAAAGCAACTTCTGCGCGGTCTGGAACAACTCACGGTCCAGTCTGACCGACAAGTTCACAGAGATGTACTTCAAGCCCGCGAGGAGCTGGAACACGAAGCCTGCGGTGACAACTGGCAACAAGCCGAGCTCCAAGAGTGTCAACGGCTCAGCACCAAACACCGGCGTCAACCACAGGAAGGGGTTACTTTCGAGCGCAAAGTCCTTTGGGAGGCCGTAGATCGGGAGGCCCGCGAGCAAGTACACGAACCCAAGCGAGACCGTGAACAACACCTTGTCGTCGAAGGTCACACGCTCGATGGGCGTTTCGATTTCCGGCAAAAGCGGAAGGAAGGGCTTGACCAAGTCAAGAAGACGGAACCCACTCATTGTATGGATATAGATAGGAATTGGGAGATAGAGGACCGTGGGGTTTTTTTGTGGGAATCGTTAGGCGTTTTGTTATCGGGTGAAAAACCGGCGCGAACGTCGATGGGAGTGTCGAAAAAGGTCGTGTGTGGCGAGTCGTCATACGAGCTCCCACCGGGAGGCAGGGCCTGGTCACGGGACCTCCAGCCACGGAGAATACTTGACAAGGCTTGGACTGAGTCCGGTATTTGACGAGAATATACCGGTAAGAAAAAAACAACCTTGTCAGCCGTATTTATTGACGTTTATGTATATGTAAAAGCATATATATGTAGGGGGAATTTTCCCAAGATATCTGCAAGGAATTGCTTAAATGTGACATCGGAGGAAGGTGTGAGCTAAGGATAGATTGATAGTATTAGATTATACATATCCATAAACCCCAGGAAAAAAAATTAAACCTCCAGTAATTGGTCAACTCCTCCAATAGTTTCAAGCTGGTGGGATAAACCATTACTCTAGTATGAATATCAAACAAGGTACGGATGCCTGGCGTGGAGATTGAGCGCCACGGGCTCAAAGCAGGGCAGCCGTGGCGTAATATGGCGGTGCATGCACGTTTGCCCTATCTACTAGACTGAAAAAAGTCCCGGATTCGGCATTGTGGATGCGGTATATCGGGAGCAACAGCCTTAACAAAGCCGAGAGCTCGTTCCCGGTACCATCACTACGTATCCTTTCCTATCTGAGGATCAGCGTCCTTTTAAAGTGCAGCGCTTGCCAAACATATTCCATGCCCGAGACCCGGTCCGTGCGGTCCCACTCAAGGTCGCCCTCCATCGATGCCCTGAGCTTTGTGGTTGTTCCCGTTGAAGACGATACCGAAGAGTACGTTTCCGACGCTTCGTCATCGCTTTCATACGCAGGAAGTGTCAATGAGGGGTCTCGACCGTTCAGTTCCATTGACTATCTCACCAACTCGTTGCACAACACATTACAGTCTATCGAGCTAGATCGGGCGATGGTGCTCCAGGCACAGTTTAGCGGACGGCTAAGGGCCAAAAGCATGGAGTTGCACGAATTGATGACAGAGGTGGAGGAAAAGTTGCGCGAAGTGATCCAATTGTGCACCGAAACGAAACCGATCGTCAGGCAGACCAAACAGGACTTGCAATGGGCGGACAAACACGTCACGAAGTTGATGAAGGTGGCGAGCAAGGAATGGCCCATTGAGTATAACAAGGGCAAGGATAAGGTGATTAATCGCGTGATTGACGAAGACGGTCCTTAGGGTTCAGAGGCAGGGCCAGCTGGCTCTACGACTATCATAACTAATCACCTCGCCCATAAAGCCCCGAGCGTGGACAACGCACCGAGCTGGATCCTCTCCGTCATAAAATCTAGGCGGGGCAATGTTAACTGGAAGAATATCCGATTTGTTACTATCCAAGATTCCTGTTACTCCCCGACGACCCTGGGCCTCTGACCATCCTGCAGAAGCATGTTCACCATTTGACCCCTCACACAGTTTATAAAACATAGATGGTGAGTGCCATTTCTCATACTGCATTACGATACAAGTGTTATAGCTATAAAAGTCCACCACAGATGTTGGGATGTAATTGAAGGGCGCCGAAAGATTGCTACAGGGCCGACTCGCAATAAACATTTAGACAATAAGGTATAAGTCATATTAGCATATTCAGTGTAGTAAGAGCAATACACCAGTAAGCGCTCAGATATCACGGTAGCCCAAGATGGACAGACCACACAGTGGCGTTGGGGGCAAACAGAGATCTATACTAGGAGGGCCAAGGCTGGGCAAAACCAGTCGCCTCCTTTCACACCCCCAGCAAATTCCTCCCTCCATTATTACCTCTAGCTCCCTACGCGCCAGACCTCCAACCCATATATCTTAAACTTCTTGCCCGCATCACTCAAGCACTCGTTGCCAAATGTCAAGCACGGATGACTGTATCCGTTTTCAATATCTGCATCAATCCACAACCCAAACTGGTTGGTGAGGTTATCGGTGCCGCCGCTGCCAATGGCAATCGAGTTCCGATTACTGTAAATCAAAAAGTCGTTCTCCCCCGTGTATGGGAACGCTTTAAACTGCATCGTCTTTTCAGTATTACTGTGCACGGTGTGGTGCACCGTACCATCAGCGCCCTCGTACTGGTTCATCGCTACAAACGAACACTTCCATAAGAAACACTCTCCGTTACCGTAGAAGCGTCTGGATTCCACCGGACGGAGATACTCGTTCAAGTAGGCCCCAAAGATGTTTCCCGCATGATCCTTGATGACCATTACGTAGCCGTTTCGGCGGAGCGGCGATAAGTCGGCCCCATTTCCGGTGGTAATCACGCGTTTGACTTCGCTGCCCATGAACCCCTCATCGCTGCCCAGATACAAGCTCGTCTTGCGGCGGAGCGCCACTGTGGGGTCGCAGTTCTGGTAGAGGGTTTGCAATGACGTTCCGTGCTGTTCCATCCCGTAAACCAACTCCCATTCATGGTACAATTGCAAGCGCACCGGCATCAAAGCGCGAACTTCGTTCGCAATCTCCACGTTTAGGAGCTTCCGTTTTGTCGCTCGGCTCCATCCCACGAGAGTGAGCTCTGTTAAGTAATCGTCAACTTCATCCGGTTCGATCCTCTCTACCTGGTTCGTTTCTGTGTTCATTTCCCGGTTCAAATCGCTGTGTTTGCGGCTGCGGCTTCTGGGTCTCCAGGGCCACGAATCGGGTTTGGTTGACACGTCCGATGTATCGGTGTCCTGAGTGGAGGGTGGTGTTTGGGTCTTATGACCGCCAAATAAGGAGCGTAATCGGGAGGGCTGGCGTCTGAGGAGGGGGTCTGTGGTCCCAGGAGTCGTCATGATGAGCCGTGTTGCTAGAAGGAAGAGGAAGGCGAGAGCAGCAGCCGAGTTTTGATTGCTGCACGTGCGCGAAAGCTGGGGGCTGAAAACTGGGTCATGGGGATTACGCTTTGATACAACCATGGACCGGAATTTAGTGTCATATACACTGTCAAGTATTTATATAATGGCTTAGCTAGAAATAAAAGCGACACTTGGAGCGAACGGCTTGAGGGTTAATATGGCTTGCTGCGGTATGATGTCTGGATAGCCCCACAGATGAGTTTGTACTGCTAAACCACAAATTATTGAAAAGGGGCGGTATTTATTCTTTATAACCGCAAATTGGAAACTCTTTAGTTCGTGAGAACCCATGAAAGCTCTTGGACTTGAAATGTTTCGGAATCCATGTGTGTATCTAAGATGCTGTAGAGATAACGTCATACTGCATATCTTATCGTGGGGTGTGACAGATGAAGGGGACCCTTTTACAGCACTGTTATGTCCCTGAGTTCATAGGCACTATTAAAAAAGATACGATATATATTTGGATAAATCCGCTACGATAACACACCCGAATTGAGTTTCCAACCTTACCGTAGCTCGAAGATAAGAGGTGGGTCATTTCCGGACTAGACCAGGAAAGCAAATGGAGTTACGCCTAAACTCACCAATTAATGTGTAGCGTACATATTTTCACCTGTCATGTAATATTTGTACTTTTCTGTGTATTCTGATAGAACTTCAGCGACAGGAATGCCCCCAAAACCTAATCAATATTGCAAAGTATCCCTTGTGAAGGTTAGAGATATGTAGGATAAACGGATATTGCTTAGCCACTAAGGGCAAGATCCCAGTTAAAGCATGTAAATAAACAATCCACCTCAGAGCATTCCCTTCTCTCCAAGTACTGCAATAAAGTCCAAGACCTCCTCGTTCTCGGTCTCCAACTCCTTTCTGATCAAGTTCTTGAAGAAATTGTTTTTACCTGTCGCACCACTGTACTTTTCGGGAATTACAACAGCCACACCGTTGATCGTCTTCCGCACCTGCTTAAGCTCTGTCGGTGAAACGTGTTTATTTTTGCACTTGCTCCCAAACTGGCACTTCCCGTTCCGTAAAAAGAACTTGCACAGTCTCTGTTGAGGCTGTGGTCGTTTGGCGGGAGGGCCGTCGAGGACCACTTCCGACTGCCGCTTTTCTGCTGCTTCCTTGGTTTTCTCTTGCTGCTTTACTCTTTCATCCTCCTTCTCGGTTAAACGTTTCCGCGACGGCCATCTTTTCTTTCTCTCTTCGATCCATTTGGCAATATCCTCCTCAGACTCCAAGGTGATGTTGGTGCCGTGGATAAGCACAGGTTCTCCCTTCGGCTGGGCTGGCACTAGTGATTCTACCGAGATATCCAGAGTCCCGGCAAAGGCAAACTCCTTGGTACTGTTTTCCTGGGGCGGTTCGTCGTCCGAGCCCGAATCAGAATCAATGTAGCCTTGGAGTAATGAGATACCTGGAGACGGGGTCCGTTGTTCGTTGGACTTGGGGAGATGTGTAGGCAATCCAGGGAGGGCAATTGGACTGTGGGACTCGCCCGATTGGTTTGGGATATGCTGTGGAAGTGACATTGGGGAGGTGGTATTGTGGTCTAGAGTAGGAAGGAAGATAGATCTGTCAGACGCACGCTTTTAACAAAAAATATGGTGCATAAAAAATCCTGCAAGATGCAGGTTGGGAAGTGCTCCTAACTGACATGTCTTTAGAAGCTCTGGAGTTATGTTTCAACACCCTTTGATTAGAAAGAGGCTAAGAATAATGTTACTCAACGATCCAAGCTGCTATATATCAATGGGATTATGTGATAAACGATGGGTACTGAGGTAGGGGACGAAGTGGAGGTGCCTCATCTCCAAGATTAGATTAAATATGCGCTGTATAATTAGGTGTCTTATGTGGCTCAAGGGACAAGCTGGTCATGAATCCCTATCATACAGTCGTAAATGTGCACCTAAAACTTTAGCACCTTTTTAACAAACTTTGCCAAACATAAACTTAGCTATTGCCTTGATATCAACTGCCACTCAATCTATCTCGGTTTTAAATACAGAGCCCAAGTATATAAAAACTTGGCCTCACAAGGAGCTAAAGGCGGCTTACAGGTTGAAGCTGTTATTTGCAACCAAGGCACAGATTTAACCTAAATGTGAAATGGCTTGGTAAGGATTCGGAAGGCCGGCTCTCCGTGCGTGATCCAAGTGGGGCTAACTGGCACCGTCACTCTTCTAAAGATTATACCCCTCTTATACAGCCTCAGCGTAGTAACAAAACCTCTCCATGACTCCCATATCAAACTTACCAGCCATCTTATCAGCCTGAAGATTGGTATATCCAACATTCTCCCTTCTGTCGACTTACAATGCTTGTCCGATGGTGTCCAGATAAAGTTCCGCATGCCATACTCTGGGTTGGGTTAAGATTACGCCTGGGCGAGCCGCACCGGGCTATCGCATCAACATGCCTAACTGGGTTCCAGAACGCGGCTTCTCCGCGTTTCACAGTCGATAGAACCCAAAAGCTTCCGTACCTCGTCTAAAACCCACTTTCAAATCGGTTTGCAACTATTACCCCTCCTGCAGATTAGAAAACGCCAGTGATAAGATAGATACGCGTGTCACGCAGCTACGGGTAAGCCGCGACGAACGTTCCGCTTGGTTCCATTCCCTTATCCTTTATAAAATTCTCCTCTATCCCCTCAAACTGATTTTTTTTTTTTTTTTTTTTTGGAGAAAGCCATTAACAAAAACATCTCAACACAAATATCTCCATACCGCCATGACTGTATCCCCTGAATCGTACTTCACCACCTTCACAGACGACGTCTCCAACAAAGACCTCTACGAAAGCGAATGGGTACCAAAGATCCAGGCCTACAGGAAGAAACTCGTGGCCGCAATCCCGTCGGAGTACCGCCTCAGCAAAGACTTGGTGGCAGCTACCAAGGCCAACAATTTCAACGCTATCCAGTTTATGCGCGACCAAGCGTTGTTAACCGCGCGTGAAATCGAGCTCACCGAGTTTACCGCGGCTAAGTTATCCAGTCTCATTGCCAGCGGAGCGCTCACCTCGGTAGAGCTCTTCCAGGCGTTTGCCAAGCGCGCCTGCATCGCGCACCAGCTTACCAACTGTGCGATGGATATTTTCGTCCCTGAAGGTCTCGCTCGTGCGCAGGAGTTGGACAAGATCTTTGCCGAAACAGGCAAGGTTGTGGGACCCTTCCACGGATTGCCAGTCTCTATCAAGGAGCATTACGGATACAAGGGGAAAATCACTCACGGCGCGTATGTCTCGTTGCTTGACAGTGTTTCCGAAGAAACCGCGGACGTGACGCAAACAATGATGAACCTCGGGGCTGTTTTCTTCATCCGGACATCGCAGCCTCAGTGCTTGATGCACTTGGACTCGAACAACAACGTGACAGGCCTTACAATGAATCCGTACAACCTGGGGTTGTCACCGGGTGGCTCATCCTCCGGGGAGGGTGCTTTGGGAGCGTTCAGGGGTTCCGTCTTTGGGATTGGGAGTGACATTGGAGGCTCCATCAGAACCCCTGCTGCGTTCTCCGGATGCAACGGTTTGAGACCCACCTCCTTGAGGGTCTCTCTTACCGGGGCCGTGGGCCCGAGCCCTGGACAGGAGTCTGTGAAGTGTGTTGTGGGTCCGTTATCTGCGTATATTGAAGACTTGCAGTTTTTCATGGATCATTACTTGAACGACGGAAAGCCAGCGGTCCAGGATCCCACCTTGGTGCCGCTTCCGTGGAGAAAGACCAGTCCCGTGAGCGGACAAAAGATCAAGGTTGGGATTATGTCGGATGATGGTATTGTAAAGCCGCTACCACCAATCGCCAGAGGCTTGCAGCATGCGCGCGCGGCGTTGGAAAGATTACCCAACGTGGAGGTTGTTGATTTTCTCCCCATCAAAACCCAGTTGGCCTACGATACCGTCCACCAGATGTACAACGCTGACGGAAATCGCGGCCAGAAGAACTTGTTGAAGGGGTCAGGCGAACCACTCGTGGCATTGACCAAGTGGGCGTTGGCGTATGGTAAGGGCGATGCCGCCCTCTCGGTGCACGAAAACCAGGACTTGAACTATATCCGAGATAACTTGCGGGCGGAGTACACCAAGTTCATGGAGGACAACGGGATCGACTTCCTCTTGACTCCAACCTACAACAACGTGGCTCCCCTTCACGAAAAGGTGTACAACTGGTCATACACGTCCTTGTTTAACCTCTTGGATTTCCCAACTTTGGCGTTCCAGACCGGGTTGTTCCAAGACCCAATACAGGATGTGAAGGGGGAACACCAGTGTAGAGGTCCATTGGAGGAATTGGAGTGGGGTTTGTATGAGCCGGAAAAGTTTGCAGGTGCCCCAATCGCCTTGCTGTTGGCGGGGAAGCGTCACCACGACGAGCAGGTCTTGCAGTTCGGTAAGCACATCCAGGATGCCATGATGCAGTAAGCTAGCGGTTTTTGTAGATTTGTACTAGAGATTGAAATTGCTGTTTTTCAAATAGATGCGTTCTGGTTTCGATAATCGACCGGCAATTACTCTTTGGTCGTCTCGGACCATGCTCTGACACCTGTTACTGACTATGACCGCACTTCTTTTATCAATTAAGTATAAAGATTCAGGCTTACCAAATTGTAAAGCGTACACTGTAAGCATTGGATAGCTCCTTTGAGCACGAGTTTGAAAGACTTTACAACCTTGGTGCAACCAATCAAGCCCTATTGTTTTCTCTTACCCAAAGGTCCGTTGGTTGGCTAAGACTCTGAGTCACTGTGAGTCACATATTTTCCTAATACGGCAAAGATATCGAGTCACATGCATGAAATCTCCCAAGGGATGCAGAATGGATACCGCGAGGTGTGTAATGCTTCCCCATTGATTCGCCAGGATTTTGTTGGGAACTTTCACTCTTCTTTCTGATATAATGTTGAACCACGTTCAAGTTTCCGGCCTTTTGGTTAAATTTTCCCTTAGTCTCAAGCTTATAAAACCTGGTATTTTCCTCGAATATCCGGTAACCAGAGCATTACACTGACAAATGAGCCTCGTCTTTTCCAAAACTATTAAAACAATCACCGCCCTCTCTCCGTTTTTGCGGTCGGGCTTTGCTGTTGCCAGTGATGTGTCTCCATTATCCCGAGTGCTCTCGCTCCCTGCTCCGCATAACCAGTGGACCAGGCACGAGATCAGAGAACTCTACCACTCACCCTTGATGGACTTACTCCATTCGGCCCAAATCCAGCACCGCCGCTTTCACAGCCCGCTGGAGGTGCAGTTATGTACCCTTCTCTCAATCAAGACCGGGGGTTGCACTGAGGATTGCTCTTACTGCTCGCAATCCCAGAAGCATGCAGCCACCACCGGCATGAAGGCCACTCCTTTGATGCCGGTGGATGAGGTTATTACCGCTGCTAAGGAAGCGCACTTGCATGGGAGCACTCGTTTCTGTCTTGGGAGTGCCTGGAGGGAAATGAAAGGACGAAAGTCCGCCTTGCGCCGAATCGGTTCGATGGTCAAGGCCGTGAACGATTTGGGTATGGAGTCTTGTGTCACATTGGGTATGGTGGAAAAGGAACAGCTCGAGTATTTGAAGTCCCAGGGGTTGACCGCTTACAACCACAATATTGACACCTCCAGGGAACACTATCCGAAAGTGATCACGTCAAGAACCTACGACGATCGTTTGAACACCATTAGAAACGTCCAGCAGTCAGGCATCAAGGCGTGTACTGGGGGCATATTAGGTCTTGGCGAAACCGAAGATGACCATGTGGGGTTCTTGCATACGTTGGCCACGTTGGACCAGCACCCCGAATCGTTGCCGATTAACCGTTTGGTTCCAATCAAGGGAACCCCGCTTGAGAATATCGAGGCATCTAAGAAGTTGGAGTTAGATAGTGTGTTGCGTACCATTGCCACTGCGAGGCTCATCATGCCGGAGTCAATCATCCGGTTGAGTGCCGGGCGGTACACCATGAAGGAGCACGAACAGTTTTTGTGCTTCATGGGCGGGGTGAATGCCATTTTCACCGGTAAGAAGATGTTGACGACAATGTGCACGGGTTGGGAGGAGGATAAAGAAATGTTGGCAAAGTGGGGTATGAAGCCAATGAAGTCTTTCCGCGAGACTGAGAGTAAGGGTCTAGATGAAACGGTTTTGAAATAAGGTTTACCTGAAGCTGAAATATACTTGCTTCATTTTGAATTAGAGAAATAGAAAATGTGGTAAGAACTAGGTGAAATATGGAACTTTATGGATCAAACGGGGTATTTTATACCACAGAATAATTTAAAGTGTGTATTATACCTGTCCAATGGTATGGAGACTATGTCAACTATAGTCTTTATCCTTCTGTCTAGGTTAAACTTGCTTTTAAAAACCTCCTGAGTTGGGTGTGATTGCACACCTCTGGCTTCTTACAAAGACAATGGATCACGGGTAGGAACACTTTGACGCTTGGTTAGACTCCGACAGCAGGCATTGACTGCGATAATATCTATCATATGACGGCTCGCAGAGTTCCCATCGATTTTATCCCTTTTTATGAAATTCAAAGTGTCTTGTGATTTTCTGCATATTCGTAATTATAAGTGGCCTATGGCTACAGCTTTGCACCTAGAGAGATGCGGTGGCTCAATGGTAGAGCTTTCGATTCCAAATCGAAGGGCTGCAGGTTCGATTCCTGTCCGTGTCATTTTTTCCCCTTCTAATATGTTTTATTGTTGTCTTGAACCATGTGAAAGGGTTGAGTTTCGAGGTTAGCCCCTCCACGTAAACTGAGTTACTTAGATATGGCTTCCTGAGTTTAGCATTCACCATATTTTCTAAAGCCTGGATTGAGTATACTAAAGGGGAAGTAGCCCATCTGTGGTAGATATAGCAATAAAAACGGTCCATTTAGACTAAAATAGGCTATTTTCCATGTATATAAATAACATGAGAAAGGGGAACACCTCCCTTTATAGGTCAAGGTAGACAACGCAACTAGATCAAGGTGCATGAGGATAGTGTGACAAGACGTCACGTGGGACGGCGTACACCCAATTCTACCTGATATTGAGACCAAAATGTCCTATTTGCATGACTTCCCTAGTGTAAATGGAACTATATCTAACTCTTTTCAGGGTGAATCCTGAAGCTTGGGTTAACAATTATTTTGTATAAAAGGGTTCGGAGGATTATTGGTTTCGCCGGTGGTGCGGGGATTTCCGTGTGAAGCCTCAGTGTTGGAAACAAGTATCCTTTCAGGGCCATACTTTTTGGCCATGCCGGAGAATGACTTGTTGCAAAAAGGGTCTTTGTGGCCGGCATCTATAGGTAGGTGCTTCACTGCCCTGCTCGTGCCTAGAACTGTGTTTCCAAAAATCTTGGCGGTGCTTCGCACAACGCATATTTCATTCTCAGATTATTCTTAGCACATAAGTTGTCGATCTTTGAATCGCCTCGTGATTCATCCGCATGAGAAATACAAAGGAATATACGTTCACACTATGAGGTAGTCAAAACAATATATGCGTGATTTTACTTACAATATCTCTTATTGGCTATGAGAGGAAATAACGAATTCCTTAAAGGACGATTTACAACGGTTTCCTGGTGTGAGCTTGGACATTCACATGCACCTCTCCGTTCATAGCTCCAATGGGGTGATATTCAGTCGTATATTACTTCTATCCATAGTAATGCTCTCAGTTACTATACTTTCTACCACGATTGATGATGGTACTCTGAAATGTCGTGCTATTCGGCGCCCGCCGTCACGGCTGAGACAAGTGGAAGATGTGATGCATGGTATATATTGTAAGGTTTGTCCCCTGATTTTTCCGGTACTCCGGATCTGCAATCTACCGTACAGGAGACTCCCAAATGTGAACCGGAAGGGAAGAATGAACATTATCGAGGGAAGATAGTTACTTTGGTCGTGGGTGCCCTCTCAGTGGTGTTGAATATGCTGATAATTTAATACGGCGGTGGAAATAGCATAGTGGCCTTGGTGGCCCCCACGACCCTGATGGCTACCCCTGCACCTCTACGTAAGCCACGGGTCTTTGAGTTGTCTGTTGGGTATCTCGCTTCCCCTCGATACTGGGACAAAGCCCCGGTATTGCAACGTAAACATGGCTCTGTTTGGTTTCTTTTTTTGCGACAGCTTTCTCCGGCTGGCCTATCCCACGAATAGGATTCGCTGCCAAGAGCGCCCGGGTTCCAATCTTGCAAGAGAATTCACACCTAAACATATACCCGATGCAGTACACATGTTGCTGTATCTGGCAAGTGAGAAACTTCTCTCCTCCGATTGGCTGGCCAGATTTTAGAGTTCAAATTATCCGGGATACGGTTCCGGAAAAAAAAAAAGACCGCACAAGCGGGTGGGTGGTTGTATGCAGCCGTGCGGCAGCACGCTACAATATGATGTACGTGATTCGGGGGCCCTTCCCAATTAGGCTTCTCCTCACAGAAAATTAAGTTTTTGGCAGAGGTCGGCTGCATAATTGATCCGCAGAGCTACCCACTCTTGTGCATGCAGATAGGTTTGGAATAACAATCCTACTCCACTCTCTGGTCATCCCCTCTATAGTTGAAAACTTTAAAGAAATTGGTTTGTGTACCTTGTGTAACACTCAATAGATTTACAGGACTTGTCGTGAGGGGATGAAGTTGTTGGGAAAGGCCCGAGTAACAGGCATACTTTATGAGGCAGTATCTGTAAAAATTATGGCCCCTCCTATACATAAACACGCTGACCACATCCTACCTCCGCAATACCATCATATCCACCATGTATGCATGTAGAGTTTTAGAGTATTCCCCGCTTGTCTGCAGCTGTACAAGAAAGGGTAAATTATGCAATTTCCCTGTGTTACAGCCTTTTGATTCCGCACCCTATATCGTAGACGAAACTGACAAAAAATAAGAAGCAGACACAGACCAGAAAAGTATATAAAGCAGGTATGTTCCCCCAAATATAAAGGTAATATCATCCTTCTCCTCACTCACCTCTCCGGTTCAAGACAAGGAATTACATCACACAATGGGGATCAGAGACTCTCGCTTTTACAAAATGCTCGTTAAAGACGACGAGAAGGAAGAAGGCTCCATCTTTATGGGGATTTTTATCGGTCTCTTTGCTGCCTTTGGTGGTATCTTATACGGCTACGATACCGGAACGATTTCTGGTATCCTTGCCATGCCATACGTGTTGAAGGAGTTCCCAGCCAACAAGGAAAGTTTCACCTCCAGTGAGGATTCCTTAATCGTGTCCATTTTGTCTGCCGGTACTTTTATCGGTGCTATTTTCGCTCCTTACATGGGCGAAAGGTTCGGTCGTCGCTTCACCATCATCGTTGCCACCTGTATTGTTTTCAACATTGGTGTTATTCTCCAGGTGGCATCCACTAGCATTCCATTGTTGTGTGTCGGTAGAGTCATCGGTGGTCTTGGAGTCGGTCTTATCTCCTCTATGATTCCGTTGTACCAATCTGAGACCGTGCCTAAGTGGATTCGTGGTGCCGTCGTTTCTTGCTACCAGTTTGCCATCACTATCGGCTTATTGTTGGCCTCTTGCATCAACCAGGGTACCCATCTCAGAAACGATTCGGGTTCTTACAGAATCCCCCTTTCTATCCAATTACTCTGGTCATTAATTTTAGGTGTTGGTATGATTTTCTTGCCAGAATCACCAAGATTCTTTGTCAAGACTGGAAAGGCTGAAAGGGCAATTGAGTCTTTAGCCACAATCAGAAGATTACCAGCAGACCACCCCCAGATTCTCAAAGAGTATGAGGAAATTAAGGCCAACTATGACTATGAAATGTCTGTTGGTGCTTCTTCCTGGATCGACTGTTTCAGAACATCCAACTCCCAGTTGAAGAGATTGATCACCGGTGTGTTCTTGCAGGCCTTCCAACAGTTGACTGGTATCAATTTCATCTTCTACTTTGGTACCACCTTCTTCAAGAACAGTGGGATCAAAAATTCTTTCATCATCTCTGTTATAACTAACGTCGTCAATGTGGTCATGACCGTCCCTGGTATCTTTTTAGTTGAAATCTTGGGTCGTCGTGCCATGTTGATGTACGGTGCGATTGGTATGTGTGTTTCCGATTTCATTATCGCCATTGTGGGAGTGACCACCGACAGTGCAGCTTCCAACAAGGTCATGATTGCTTTTGTCTGTACCTTTATCGCTTCCTTTGCTGCTACCTGGGGCCCAATTTGCTGGGTTGTCGTTGGTGAAATCTTCCCGTTGAGACTTAGAGGCAAGTGTGTGGCAATGTCTTCGGCCTCCAACTGGTTGTGGAACTTTGGTATTGCCTATGCCACCCCATACTTAGTGAACACCGGTAAGGGCAACGCTGGCTTGCAGTCCAAGGTTTTCTTCATCTGGGGTGGTTTCAATTTGGCCTGTCTTGTCTTTTGCTTCTACTTCGTCTACGAGTCCAAGGGTTTGTCATTGGAGCAGGTGGATGAGATGTACGAAGTTTGTGACAACGCCTGGACTTCCCACAACTTTGTTCCGACTAAGAACGGGTTCAGCCAGCACCTTAATGACAAGGAGACTGTTAACCATTTGGAGAAGGGCGATTCAGAAGTTTCCGTATAGGCTTAACAAAAACAGTTTTATTTCATTCAGCTTGTGAGAGGTATTCCCAGGGTCCGGGGTTCTGGTGATTTCATTCGGTTTATTTAGCTTATTAATCGAGATAATACAGATTATGTCAAACTTACGTATGAGCAGGCCTAATAAAATTTGAGTGAAAAAAGATACAACAGACCAAAAAAGATTTCCAATTTAGGCCTTTTTGAAACCGGATTGGAGAGGTGAAAGCGTGTGGCAATTGGGGAGTGGGAATCAGAATACAACAGGGTACAGTTACGAAGCGAAATAATGTGACATAAATTCAATACACAAGCAATAATCTCACTCTAGCTCGAACAACTGCATTGCATCATGGCCCTGGCGTTATCCACATCTTCTTCCATCCAGCGTTGCACTAATTTTTTATCAATCCCCTCCCCTGTCCACTTCTCCTTGTCGTACGGATGCAAAGCCATCTTCATCAACGTCTCCAAGTGCGACGTATCGGAACAGTTGTTTGACTCCATGTACTCCACCACCTCATCGAGGATCCAGCTACGAGGGAGAAAGTGAGGGTTCGCAGTGGCGGCCAACTTCACTCTAGCAGCATCAGAGACTCCTTGTTTGGCCAATCTCTCGCGGTAGAGCTTCAACCAGGCATGAATCTCTTTTGTAAGCTCCTTTTTTGTGAACTTTGCATACGTAAAGTCCAACGACTTAGGAATCAACGTTTCCACAAACGTGTTGTCCGTAGGACTAGAGCTGAGGTCAGCATAGCCCTGGAGCTTGGTGAAACAGCCGTTGTAGTCGGTCTCGGACTTTTCCAACCAGTTAAGCAACGGGGTGAAGAGCTCATCTCTGTCGGTCGCAATCAGCTTCAATCCAAGACGGTTCCCCATCAACGTGTCGTACGTGGCCAAAAACTTTTCCTGAAATACCTTCTGGGCAATCTCGATTACCTTGGTTGCGCGCTTCACAACCATATCTTCCTGGTCGGCCGTGATCCCCTTCTCCATGAACCGTTCGTCCTGGAGAAGCGGCCCGGCACCGATGAACTCCGCGAGATCTTCGCCCAACCGCACACAGTTCCACATTATCGAATCAGGGGTGTTGCGATAGCCATATCGCAACGACGAGTCATCGTGGTTCGGGGTGTAGTCCGGCTGGAACTTGTCCATGATCGCAAACGGCCCAAAGTCCATGGCCAACCCAAGCACAGACGTGTTGTCCGTATTCAACACGCCGTTCAAGAAACCATAGCATTGCCAGTAGCCCACACTAACGGCATTGCGCGAGACAATTTCCAAGTACATTTTTTCGTACGTCGTGAAAGCGCCCAAATCCTCCGTGTATTCTGAGAAGGCAGGCAAGGTGTTGTGGAAGACTTCCGCAATCACGTAATCGGATAACTGCCTGAGTCCCTGGCGGTCACCACGGTACCGGTACAAGTCGAAGGTTCCGAAGCGGATCCAGCTCGGTGCGAAACGCGCCACGATTGCGCACTTTTCCGCGTGCGAGCGTTGCGCGTACGTTTCTGGGAGGTAAGTGAGCGCAAGCGCCCGTGTGGTGGGAATGCCAATCGCATGGAGCGCCTCTGATATCACGTATTCACGCACCGAGGACCGGAGCACCGCTTTTCCGTCGGCAAAACGCAGGAATGGCGTCTTCCCCGCGCCCTTGAGCTGTATCTCGTAGCGTCCGCTGGATGTGTCAATCTCAAATAAGTTCACCACACGCCCGTCGCCAAGCTGGCCCGCAAACTGCCCAAACTGCCAGCCAGCGTACGCTTGTGCGTATGGATACACGCCGTCGGCATCCACAACCGACTCGCCACTGACGATCTGGTGGAACTCTGGGCTGTTGGCTTCACTAGCAGCAAGACCTAAGTCGCGCAACGCTGCTGGACTAGTAGAGAGGTACTCGTAGCGTTTGCGTGGTTCTGGTTTGGTCCAGCAGAAAGCGCCGCCTGTGAGCTGGCGTGGGCGGTTACAGATCCCAGCGACATTTGCTCTCGCGGCGTCAACCGTGGGGACGCTGGGGTCCGGCTGGAGCGTCGTAAAGGAGGAGGTTTTGGGAAGTGAAGAAAGCGTGGACATTTTGAAGGAAAGAAACGGCGATCGGTACAGATTGACTCGACGAAGCATTATGGGTGTTGAGGAAGACCCGGAAGAGTTTAGACGGCAAATTTTATGTGGGGGGTAGAAACGTTGGTGCGGCGGGTCACGTGCGGGCCAGGATGATTGTGGAGATATTGAAAAGAGGTGAGAGGATATCAGTGGACTAAATTTAGCTGAAATGGAAGGAAACTGAGCTAGCTTGTATATATTGCGGAAAATAAATAAGTTACAGGTTTACACGACGAACAAGCCAGTTAGGCTGCACACTAATACCATTGGAATGACAGGGTGGGAGTTACAAGACATGTACCACTGAAAAATATACCACAAACCAAGTGATCAGAAATGACATCCAGAGTTATTACATACCGATAACACCAAAACTCTTTGCGTCGACTGATTTCTGAGTCGAGATTCGGTCAAACAAACGTAGTTTTCCTATTTATTATCCCACGTAACGTCGTACCATTACGATCTAACAAATTGGCACTATTTAAAAGATTGACGTGACAAGCATTATCAGGAGCCGTCACATTAATCCGAATCAAAGCGTTATACCACACAATACCCTATTATATCCATCCCAAATTTTGGTCCTCTCTGGGACTAAACCTCGGCGTATCGTTTAACTTACCCCATTCACTGCTCCTCGACATGACAGTTAAACATAATTACTCATTATAATATAATCAATACGATTATTTACTGCCCGCTGTTGCCAACCTGCCACTACCCCCCGACACACCCAGCTCTACGTCACATGCAACGGGAAATCTCCTCCGCACTCCGGACCCGGCCGTTCGGAATCGAGGACTCCCACCCGCAGCTCCGTCGCGTCACATGACTGCCCACTGGCTATCAGCTGAAAACGTGATACCGCTTCCCCGGATCCCGCGCGTGCAAATGCCATATATAAGACGCATTCCCAAACAATTCCAAAAATTCTCGCTAATTTTCCCTTTATCGATCTGTATCTTTACCCTTCGCACCAACGCTTAATTTCACGCTATTTATCACACAATGGTTTTGGACACTGCCGTATACCACCCGTCGTTATTAAAGCTCATCCGCTTCTTGGACACTACCGCTGGCCGTGAAAAGGTGCTCCGTGGGGTCCAGTACCTCTGCCGTTTCCTCGCGTTCTACCTGTTGAGAAAGGGCTACACCCTCGAGACGTCAAAGCTCTTTTCCTCGTTGCAGAAGAACATGGCGTTCACCAGAAAGGCGATGCGTTTCTTGAAGCCGTTGAACCATTTGCAGGACGCCTCCAAGGCATACGACAACAAGCTTATGGACCCGGTCTTGAGATATGCGACCGTTGTGCGCAACGTCTCGTACATGGGCTACTTGAGCGCTGACTCGCTTGCCTGGTTCAAGTTGTTGGGTGTCATGGACACCAAGCGCTTGCCACAGCTCTCCAAGGTTGCCAACTGGTTTTGGTTCGGCGGCTTGATTTCCGGCTTGGTCAACGAACTCCGCAAGCTCCAGATAGATACCTTGAAACGCACCGCACTTGTGTCGGAGGAGAAGGTGGAGCAGGCCGAGTTGGTCAAGGTGAATTCCGCTTTGTTTGCTGCCAAGAGAAAGACCTTTGCTACGCTCACCGACTTGTTCATTGTGTTGAACAACTTGGGATACTTGCATAACGACGAGGGTGCTATTGGTGCTGCTGGTACCATCACTTCTGTCATGGGTCTTCAGGACTTGTGGAAGGCCTGTAAATAAAATGAGTTAATGCTAGGCACCAAGCAATAGTATATTAGGCTAAGATTGTTGTAGCTTTTAATGTATTATTGGAAGGACCTGACAATGTTGTTTGTCTTTGGTAATTGTATTAGGTTAGTCGAGATGTGAAGCTTCCAGGCCACAAGTTTCCGGGCATGCTGTTTTCCATCAACAGAAATGACATATTACAAATTTCTTCTTCGTTATTCTGACCAAACTATGTAGTTGATTAGTAATGTTTATAATTAAATGCCTAAGCTCGAAATAGAGTAGAGGCTAGTTTAAATATAACAAACGCGTAATCCAAAGACAGATAAATGACGCAAGGTACGACCAAATCTAGCGCCAAGCAACATAATCCTCTATGATCGAAATTCCTGCTATCCATTGCTTGCTATAAATATTAACCAGTCCGGCGATGAGTGAGCATGGCGTGCTGTCATTTAATTATCGCGTATTTCAAACTATCTGAATGATGGGTCGTTTAACCATTACATAACCCTTGGATCTTTAATAAATCACTTAGATTGTTACCCCCAGTAATAATCCCTTGTTTCACTTCGCCGCTTACATCACCTCAATCTCGTAATCAATCTTCACTAACAACGACGAGAAAATATATTCCTCGCCGCTCAAGTCAAAGATCGGCAAGTATCGGATGCCCTTGCTGAGATAGTCCAACTTCACCATCAACAACCCGATCTGTGCATCTCCGGACTTGACCATGAAGCGTATGAAAACCAAGTCGTTGAGCGCCTCAATTGTAGCAACAAACCGGGTGTTCCAGATCGGGTTGAACCCGTTGTCGAACACCGTGGGTGTTGCAAACGGCAGAGATCCGGCGGCATTCACCATCCCATCCTTGCCCTCGTCATCGCCTCCACGTTTGTCGCTGAGGCATGCGAGCTGCGTCATGTCACTGAGCCGATGGCTGGTTATCGTCAATTTTGTGAATCCAAACACCTGGAGCTCGACATACGGGTTAATCTTCTCGTCATCGTACTTAAACTCTTTGGGCTTGGGGATCTGCTGGCCGCTGATGATGTCCACGGTGAGTGTGATCTTGCGGCGCTGATGACACGCCACAGAGCGACGGCGCGTTTTTGGCCTGGGCGTGCGGAGGGATTTGGGCTTGAGAAGATACCCCGCCTTCAGCCCCACAGAAAACATGGCTTCGTTGATCTGCTGGCCCACGTCGTATGTCTGCCAGTTGGTCGACACCATCTGGACACCATGGGCCCAGTACGCCACGGGTGAAAAGTTGGACGACGCGAGCCGGAAGCGCGAGGGGTACACACGCATCAAGAATGTGATGTTATGTTTGTCTACGGATTCCCGCTTGACCGTGTCTTTGAGCAAAGAATTGAGTTTCTTTTCGTTGAAAGAGAAACAGTGATTGAACGTCTTGGACTCGGGGAGCGAGAAGTTATTGAATTTCTGACCGAGAACATACACTCCGAGAGCCGAAAGCTCCTCCGTGACAATCCCCTGCAGCCGTCTCTTTCGTATAAACCGTCCCTGGTCTTCGAGAGAGCCAACAGCGAATTTCAGATCCTCACTATGAGTGCTGGTGGCGCTGACAGTGAGTCTCAGCTCTTCAGTGCTGGTGGTTTTCAGTTCTTCAAAGGCACTGGCGGTACTAGTGCTGGAGAATGACGATCCCCAGGGTTCCCTCAGCTGGTGTTTTTTCACCTTGACCAAGATCTTGTGCTTCAGGTCCAACGGACTGGGGAGCTTGGGCACCCCGTCGAGAGGCGCCATGACCAACATTTCGCCAAACACTTCCTGCATCATCGTCTTTACCTGCAGTTGGTTCGCCGGAGAACAGTGGACCTCAAGGCTGAGAATGAGTGGGAACGGGGTTGTGATGAAGGCGTACTTCCGGATCGCCTCGATGACCAGCAATAAGTCGATGGGAGAGGTGAATGAGCGGCCGTGCGAGACAATAGGCACGGTGCCTGTCACATCGTCCCAAATGTCAATCTCCACGCAGCGGCAGCCACGTTGCAACGCCTTGATATAGAGCTCCACCAGCGACTCGCCCCCGACCTGGCGCCCCAAGAGATACGTATTGTGGGACGACGAGATGAAATACTCATTGAGCGGCCGCGTCATGTCCTCGGGGATACTCTTTAAGTGACTGGAATAGTTCGACATGAGATAGTTGTTGAACGACTCTGCCGTCATGTACGGCTCGTCGCCGGGCTCAGCAAACTTTCGGAACAACTTGTACGCGTATTCCACGTCATAGTACTCCTGTTGAACCCGGACGAGAAACTCAAGAAAGCCCTGAAAATAGAGCCTCGGTCCGTAATTGAGCCCTCGGAACACCATTCCGACATCGCTACGCTTCTTCAACACCCGCACAAACTCCTTAAACTCGCAAAAGTCGAGATAGCCCTTGCCGGTATCGATCTGGGAAAAGATCTTGCGGAGGTACTGTTCGCTGAGGTTGATATGCAACTGGCGCGTGATCTTAAGGGTGTCTTCAAACGTAAGACAGCTCTTCTGGGGTCTGGGCGACAGAACCGGGAGGCTTCCCGTGACAATGTCCATCAAGTCGATTTCTCTTTCCGAGCTGTCGCCTGGGGCCGCTTCGGGGGCCTCGAGCCCCATTTTACCCAACTGTAGCGCTAGAAAGTTGTCGTCGAGGAGGAAGTTGTTTATGAGCTCGCGCTGGAACGTGATCACGCTGTTGAGGGACCCCACGATGGAGGAGAGATCCTTCTCCGAGCTCATCACTAAGTGCAACGCCTTCAACTTGGACATGTCTTTCTCGAGGTAGATGATGGTGACCCACTTTGCCGCAAACTCTGCCGACACCTTGAACTCCTCCCTGTAGTTTTTCGCATCGGCACCGGTCCGGATCTGCTTGATGTTGGCGATGGAGAGGCTGTTGGTGGATTTGCGGTTGTCGCGGGTCCAGGAGAGCGTGAAATCAGCCAAACTGATTTTCAATACTCTCTGCGACTTTTTTTTGTGCGTGAACCGAAGCGCAGGCACTCCTTGCTTTAAGATCGCTTCTGTGGCGATAAGCTTCTCCCGACCAGACGTGCCGGGTCCAAGCGGCAGAATCTCGCCTCTACTGACCGGTCTTGGCTCTTGCAAGGTATCTATGGAGCGGGGACTTACAGGGTCAAGGGATGAAAGCGTTAATCCGATAGCAGCTGAGCGACGGGCATTGGGCTTGGGGTGGCGCCTGAGAAGGCGGAAGAGGTTGTGGCTTTCGGAAGACGAGGAGTGGGACTCTGAATCGCTGGAGGATCGGGTTAGTTTGGTAAAGAAGCTGCCAGAGGAAGACATGCCAGGTCTTTCCTATCGTTAGGGTGTAGGTTGCAATATGTAAAGCGGAGTAGGGCAAGCTTTGGCTCTTACGGATAAATGTTTAAGAATATCTGCGTGACCTGTACGTAGTGATTTACGTTTGAGGGTACAGCCGTAAAACGGTTGCGGTTGCAGGGACATTTAAAAAAAAATTTACATCTGGAGAAGTTAGAGAAGGCACGGAGAGGTTAAAATCGGACAATATGAATGTGTTATGCAGCAAAAATTTATGTATTGGTGCCATAGCCTCATTGTCTGCACGTTATCATACGTTGGAGACTTGTCTAGATGAAGTATTAGTATGAGTATCCTTGGGCCTGGGTCAGAATCTATTCAACAACAAGAAAATACAACGTCAGTAGGACCTGATATACCCAGTCTAAGTATATTTTAATATGCTTTTAAACAACTATTGGGGAAATATGTATGTGCATCTGTTGAATCTTGTCCCTGTACACATTTGATGTCGCAAGATCGTTTGATGTCTGAAATATTGCATAGTGCCCCAAAAGGAAATTAAATAATGTCATAGAAGTGATTTGAGTATAGTCAAACGGTATTTACTGAGTGTACTGATTGTTTATAAAAGGGCGTACGGATCCTTACTTTTATCATCCTTAGTGTTATAATTAACTAAAATACTTTATTTACATGTTCAAGACTTTCCCACCTTACCAAAGGATATGTAAATTAATATAAATATTAATTACTATTTATTATTTACCATGTATGCCAATGTTATTCAGCGGCAGATCGTTAAAAAATCAACATCCTCCACGAGGGGTGTTAGTGCCAATTAAGAGCTAAGGTTAGGGTTGGTTGCTACCCATTTCTGACCTCGTGGATCCTACCGTGAATATTTTCCTCTAAAGTTCGCCTCTATGGCCAAGTTGGTAAGGCACCTCACTAGTAATGAGGAGATCGTCAGTTCGAATCTGGCTGGAGGCATTCCTTTTTGTTCTTCAGCAAGGACTACCTCTATGGATGATATTTTTCACCGCACCTATTAAAGCTGAATCTAAGATTAAACCAGAGACGGGACTGGGTATAGAGGTAAGTCAGCCTTTTTTTTATTCGTGGATGATACGAGAGTCATTATTAGACTAGTTTGTTATATGATACCGAATATACCTCGTTGGACCACCCCTGACAGTATTCTAAATATTCAATGCCATTGAAAAATACAATATATTTTTATATTAAGTTAGCGCGATAAAAGAATACTAAAAATTATAAAAGCAAAACAAACTATATTTCGGGGGCATGGGATAACGCGGTAAATGTAAAGGCGGAGCCTGCCACTAAAAACGCCACATCCCTCTTGTTTAGAGTAAAAACCTTCTTCAAAGCTTCCACAACAGTTGGTAGACTGCGGCGCTTCTTACAATGGGAGACATCATCGTTGGAATCATCCAGCTTGCGCTTGTTTGATGTGGTTTTCTCATCTTCCAAAGCTTCCCAATCGCTCGAGGTTTCACCCGCGAGGCTCTCACACTGAGCTTCTGAATTCGTGCCTGGAATGAGTCCATCACAAACTAGTTGCGTCAAAACCGACTCCTTTGCATCCAATTTCTCGGTTTCACCAGCAAGGTTCTCACACCAAGCCTCTGAATTCGTGTCTGGAGCGAGTCCATCGCAAACTAGTTGCTTCAAAACCGGCTCTTCGGCATCCAACCTCTCGATTTCCTCCCTGTCAGATTCGATGCTCGAGTTGGAGGCAATATCAAACTTATAGTTGGCATCAGATTCATCTTCCAGAAAGCCTGATTTGGAAACATCTGAACCCGACAAGAGCAAGTCTTCATCCATGCTCTGCGTCTCCTCCAAGTCGTTTCTGTCTTCGGCTTCGTCTATGAGGGTGTTTATCTGGAAACTTACCCTCCTTTCCTTCTTGTCCAGGGAATCTTTTTCAATTTGGGTCAATGCCAAATTGCCATTAGTGTATTTCCCCATATAGTACAATCTGTACGTTGGAATCGGTGTTGCTTTGGGAAAGATGCCCTCAATAATCTCCGGTGACTCTGCCTTAGTGTCAATCTTATGCGAGGATGCCAGTTTAACAAGGCAGAGAATAAAGTTCTTGCGCGTCACAACTGTCGGAGTCTCCGTGAGGATTGTCTTAGGTACCTGATTCAAATACTTTGCCAGGTGTGCGTTGTATATGATTACAGGATCGGTGATGATGGCAGACCCGTGGAAACTGCCGCCATCGCGAATGCTCAAATGACTGTCTCCTTTCTTGAAGTAGATGTGCCTCCTGCTGAGCAAGCTGTAGTCAACGGCCAAGTCCAGGCCAGTGGTACCGTCTCTGTGGGACTTTCTTCCGAGGCTAATTTCGTCTTTTCCCAAATCCTCAAAATAGTACTCGAGGGAACTGCTAGCGTGGGGTAAAGATACCATGGTTAATACTTTTGTGGATTTGTGATTAATTTAGTTGCTTTGCGGAATGATTAAATATTGCTTCGTAACTGGGGTTAAAGTAGTGTTGTGTTACGTGGCGTAGTGTTACTTTGCAGAAAGTGGGGGAGCGCCACTGTATTTATACTTTGATCTGTAACTAATCAGCCGCAAAAAGTGACACACTTCTGCGGGCCTTATCAAAACTGTGAGTGACGCGCCTCCGTATGCATAAATGGATAGGGGCTTCTGAGCGATAAGAGAATTGAAGGCTTGTAGTGTATGCCCCCAGTACGCGTTAAGAAACAATGGCTAGGTTCATTTCTACACAGAATTATACACTACTGATGCTAAGGAGGAAGGATTAATAAAAAGAGAGAGGATGCACTGATAAGGGGAGGTAGGATCGTTACTCCGGACTAGTGAAAGTCGCAAACTAAATACATCACGCACGTGAGGCGTGTTTTTATCTCGAAATTGATTACAAGAGACGATACGTATACCTTGCAAAAGTTTGATCTGCTTGACGTGTTTGTGGATTGTATCAGGAATACACCTTTCTGACTTGGTCAAAAAATACCTTGAGTATTGCTCTTAGTTTTCTAGAATGCTGCTGTACTTGTAAGGGTATGTCTGTTACTTTCTCTGCTAGTCACAATGAAATATGTTGTATATTTCCTTTGAGTTCTCGGTAGAAACAAAGGCAGATATATCTATTGCTTGAGCTGGATATATTCCCCCAGCTTCTTGTCAAGAAATGCCTGCGTAGCGTAATGGTTAACGCGTTTGACTTCTAATCAAAAGATTGCGAGTTCGACTCTCGCCGTGGGTTTCCCGGCGACTTTAGCTCAGTCGGGAGAGCGTTAGACTGAAGATCTAAAGGTCCTGTGTTCGATCCACAGAAGTCGCATTAACTTTTTGAGTACCCACGAGCTGGTACGAAGAGTAAACCACAATGGTTGTTTTGCCACTACACGTACAGCCGAATCGTTTCCCACCATCTCCATGCAGATTCGTCTTCAGTTTACAACGGTTGTTATAGAAAATTGATTAAAACTATGTATACAGATGGTCGACCTAATCCAGGGAGCAAGACATCGTCAATCTACCTTCCAACAGCTGCAGAACAGCCGTCGATTGGTAGATAACTTGTCAGACAGCCATTTGTACCCACCCAAACCCGTCACTCCCGAAGAAGCAGACGGGAAAGGGTCAAGATCATCGCTCCTTTCTGACGAAGAAGCAAGCTCCAACACACAAACGAAAGGCAAAATATTTGTAGATGACCGGACCGCTAAGGATCACAGACAAGCTAAAACTTTCTCACTCTAGGGTACAAAGGTATCTACCTCATCAACCAAGTTGGATTCAATGGCTCTTTTGAAGAGTCAAAGAGGGACGTAAACTATAGAAATGATCCTATGAAGTACGTCGACAAAGAAAGAAAAGTTCTAAACCGTTAGAAAAAGAGGATGGGGAATGGGTCCTTTTATAGCATCCGTGATAGAGTCTATGCAGGATGAAAATTTTCAAATATTTTTTGCCGTACGCCATGCGGCGAGTTTTACAGTTAGGGCTTTCACCGGTAAAGGGCTTCGTAACCATTAAGACATGCTCGTAGCCCTGATCACGTTGGACTGCAAAGCCGTTGAGACAGTCACCTCTTTACTAATGATGGCCACAAGAGTTTCTGCATTGCCAGTCCATATGTCAAGACAGTTTTATCAGAACTGCTTAAAATAGAATATCTTCAAATTAAGAGAGCCCCGAACTCATAAAAAAAGTCGCTAAAATACTCAAAATGAATGTGGGAATAAAAGCCATGCCTGATCAACAACGATAGTTAGGGGAACATTTGATCAAATCTCTGGAAGAGTGCATAATGCCGTGAACAAAGCGAGCGAGCCTGCAAACATAAATGCCAAGTCCCGCTTAGTAATCGGCAATAGTTTCCCAGGAACCAGTGGTGTAGGGATATCAGAGTCTGCGGTAGAGGGAGTCCTTTCGCCTGGAGATGTTTTCGATCGTTTGGCGCTTTTGCTGACTTCGGTCACCTCTCTTGTGCGTTTCAGGTTTTGAAAGATGTGGATAGAGCTCGTAGCGGATCTTTCATCCAAACATGATACAGATTCTGTCAATCCCCGAGGGATACCCTCATTTATTGAGAGATCCACTTCAGAGCCTTCACTCTGTACGTTATCCTCATCGGCATCTTTCACATACAAGTCTCCAGTCTCTCCATCATCGTTACCACCAGATTCGGAACCTCTCTCACCGTGTTTCCGCCCTTTGTCGTCATCGTCGTAGAACACTTTCACAGAATCTTGCTCGTAACACTGTTTGTCAGCTCGTTCATAGATCATGTCTTCCTCAGTAGCACCTTCGTATACCTCATCCTCTGATGCCTCATGATCATTAGTGATGGCTTCAAACTCCTCATCATTTTCGCTACCAAGACATTCACTATCCGAAAGAACATCACTAACTTCATCTTCCGCTTCTTGCTCTTCCTCGTTTCTCGCTTCTCCACACACTTCCATGAGGGGAAATTCGTACTCTTGATCGGACACTTCAAATATCATACCTCTATCAGTTTCAGCATCCAGTACCTTTGAAACATCATCCATGTCATATTGTGAACCATGATTTAGTTCAACCTCTTCGCATTCGGAATAGACGTCATCTCCACGCTCCTCAGAATCCACAGCAGTCATTACAGGTTGTGTAAACTGGGGTTGGGAACCAAAAGCATCTATCCCAATTTCTTCTGTAGATTTGACAGGCTCTGAATCAAAATCATTTATCAACCAAGACCGGCTACTAGTGGCTTCAGGGTGGTCAGATTCTTGGAATCCCTTTGCAGAATCTGTGGAATATGAGTTATTTCCCGTTACATGCTCCAAACTACTGCCGCTCACAGATTCCACCTCCTGGAGATACTCATCTTCATTTGCCGGGATAGCAGGTTTCGACAGGAAGACAGAGCCGGTCTCCTCCACCTCTTGTGCTTTGTGGATAGCTATGGTGGTATTGTCGGGCTCAGGGCCGGGTCCACTTGTTTTCCGCTCAGCAGGTTGTGACAAACCAGCCATTCTCATGAAATATTCAGTCTTGTTGTGATTCAGTTCACTGTCACTGGAACTATCATCTTCACTGGCATCATTCATTGCAACATCGCCATCGAAAAATGCTTTGGGGCTTCTCAAACCCATCTCAGTTGAATTATCAATTTCTTCATTATCCAGTTCATCCAGACTGTCGATCTGCGTGAAATCCATAATCTGGCCCATTGGATCCTCCGACTGACTCACTTTACGGAATGAAGCAGCAGATATCGAAGCATCTACACCAACTAAAAGCTTGGGATCATAATCCAAATTGTCGGAGTCCGAGCTGTCAGATTCACAAGTCAATGTCTCAGGAGCATTCCTGCTCAGCTCTTCACCTAACGAGCCGAAAACACCAGGCACCGTGTCCCCTTGATCTTGATCGCCGCTGTCAACGGTTCCAGAAAAGAGACTCGGTACCTTGGTTGTAATCTCCACTGCAGATTGTGCAGTCTCGCTTGCTGTTTCCACAGTCTTTGATTCAAACGCTGATGTCGTTTCATCCACGCCGTCATGGACCTCCCCCGAGTCACTGAGGATCTCTACAACTTCCTCGGAGGAATTCGACATGCCTCCATTCTTCGTTGCAAAGTATAATTGACTCATTCTCCTCAATGTCAACTGCTTGTCAGAAAAAGTTGCGCGGTAGTAAAGCCGGTACTTTAGCCCGGGGCTTTGCTTAAATACATCCTCCAGCCTTGGCTGGGCAAGACAGAGGATGAACGGTGACAGCACCGGGGTTTCCTGAGTCGTAAGCTTTTGTTTTGGGCACGCGTCCAATTCGTCTAGCGATCCCAAGCTGTCAATTTGTTGTTGGTCGGTAATGACAGCACTTCCAGTCTTGCTGGAGCAGTCACGTACCGCCAAGTTGAGCGGGAGACTCGAAATGATGAACTGGGCATGGAGGCGGCTGATAAACTTGTTGTCAATGGGAAAATCCGCGTTTTGAAGGACTTGGGTGGTAGAGAAGCGCCCGAGACTGATCTCGCGTTTCTCCGGCTGGGTGTCAAATGTGTATGTGAGCACTTTCTTTGGCTTTGGTTCCGTCATTCTGAAAAATCTGAACGTTTGGTAATACTGGAAACTACCAAATAATAGCTGAGAGACTGGTTTTTTTTTCTCCTTCAAGGAGATGAATTGCTGGATGACGTGAGTGGCGAGATAAGCTTTGATCTCAGGCCAAATTTTCGAGACGCACAGTTGTATTAGACCGAATCCGGCCTGCGATAAAAACACAGGTAAATTACCTGCACGTGAGATAGCTTATCTAAGTACATTTACTACTGAAACCTCGGTTCCCTTGTTTGAATACGAATTTAAGTTTAATCGGGGGAGGGGTTTCACATTTTAACCAAAAATTTACGTGGAACAAACCATTTATGGATGACTTAAAACCTGCAATAACCAAAAATACGTAGAGTATTTATAATGCGAAAGCCAGGAAAACGCAAGTTGAGAAAACACGAGTCAGGAAAATACAAGCCAGTAGAGCTTAGATCCAGTAAACACCACAATGAAACAAGCACTACGGCCTGTAGAACTAAACCAAACTACGTAAATAAATACTGGTTGAAAAGAAACATGCTAGGGGCTACGCCTCCAGCACTATGTATACAACCTGCTGAAGTTCCCTGCCCCCACATTGATAGCGTCTCCCGTGATCTCCCCATCTACGTTGGTCGGAATCTGCAACCAGTTCAACAGATCATACACCACGCCTTTACCACTCTCTGGTCCCTCCACGATATGGAACGTGTATGCGAAGCGCGACTTGTCGCTGACATTGTCCTCGGACTTGTGCAAAACACGGTTGTGAATAAGCACAAGCGTTCCCGCAGGACACTCCACCAGCTTGTAATCTTTCTGCACATCTTCTGGGTTGACGTGCGTCTCCATTCCGGGGATGACCGCAAAGTTAGTGCCTCGCGTAGCGCCCTTTTCGTCCTTGACCCGTACAAACCGTTTCGTGATCTCATGCGTCTTGTGTGTCCCGGGGTTGTAGTGCAAGCAGCCATTGGTTAACGTGCAGTCTTCCAACGCAAACCAGAACCCAATGCACGAAAGGGGGTCGGTGTACAAGAAAGCGCCGTCGGTGTGGGAGGGCACGGCATTGGCCGAATGCTTGGACGCCGAGGGGTGCTTAAAGATGAGCATCGACTGGAGAATGCGTGGATCGGTAAATTCGAGCTGACGTGCGATTGCCTGCACCCGTGGATCAAAAGTTATCCCAGGACACGGATTGTGCGGGTCAACGGCCAAATGCAACCCATGTCCTACTTTGTTGACGCTTTGCGCAGCGGGCTTTGTAAGCGCACCCGCGGCATCGAGCGCGTCGGTGTCGAGAAAGTACCGAATCTTGTCCGAGCTCTCCAAGAAGTACCGGTCGCCGACATGGTTGTCGTCGTTGGTGGTAAACTTGGTCATCGGGTGCGTAGCTGGATCAAACTCGGCCATGAGCTTGTGAGAGTACCCCATGATGCGGGAGAGCTGCTCGGGGCTAAGGAAGCCTGGGATGGCAAGGCACCCCTCCTCGTGGAACTGGCTTAGTTGTGCGTCGGTAAGGCCGGACATTGATGCTTAAGCGTGGCTTGGGAAGGAAAAAATGTGGGGGCGCTGTCTTTATAAGAGGGAGAGCTGCCTGCGTTACCCGGATGCTTTTCCTTTTTGGCGGGGATGCATACCGCGGGAAGCCGAGGGATGTGGCATGAGAGAGTTGCCTAGCCTAGTAATTGTAAGCGGAAACCCTCTGTAGGCATGGAGAGAGACAACTGGAAAAAGACAGCGGAAGAAAGACAGCTGAGGAAAGACAGACTCAGAACTTAGAGCCTAAACTCTGACGGGTATATAATAAAAACCTGGTTCAAGTTCTGGACAGGTTTTCCACATGCTCACCCGTGTAGAAGCCGACTTGGAACATGCACATCGACTAGGTCTGGTATCATGTGATATGCAGACTCTGGATTGAAATCTGCATACTAAGGCCATACGACCAATCCTCTTGTGGATTCAAAGCTCCACATGGTAGCCGGCCTTCCCGGGAACATGCCCTGAGGGTACGATATATAGCCAAAAATCTGTCCAGGCTACCAAATTAAATAATTTCTAAGCAATTTGCTACGTTTCTGATAAAGACCCAAGGAGGAAAGTACCCCGGAAACGCAATCGAGCGGGGGTGTTAGGTGGAAGTATGCACGCGAATAGCACATGCCGATTTACTGAGCCTAACCGCGTTTACCGGGACACTCGAGCACATGCAACGGACTTAGGCAGTTTGAAGGCTTTGGTGCCTCATGAGGAAATATAAATACACACGATGTTTCCCTTTTATGTATCGGTCTTGAACATATCATCAAGAAGAATCACCATTCGTTTATTTATCCATACATCATGACCGTTTCCGAAGTCCACCCAGATTTTGAGATCGTTGGCGTTTACGTTAACGTCGAAGGCAAGGAGCCGATTTTCCACGACCGTACCATTGTTCCATTGCCAGCCTTGCATTTCCAGATCCCAGAGAAATCCAAGTACTTTTTGACCCTCAAGTTCAAGGTGAAGAACCGGACCTTGAAAGACTTGAAGTACAAGCAGGTAGTCAAGGCCGCCGGGATCACGGTAAAGTCTCGCGAATGTGCGATTGGGCCAGAGTTTGCGCCAATCGAGGAGTCAGACGACACTGTGTACACCGCGGAGTTCCCGGAGGATGTGACCCCAGGTGGGTTCATGATCAGGGGGAAGTACAACGCCTCCTCCACGTACTACGCTGGGGACGAGGCATTGTTGGAGGGTCCATGGACTTTGGAAATCACTAAGAAATAGATTCCGGCGCTACTGTTTATAGAAACAAGCCATACACCAGATAGCTACAATGAGGTACTACGAGCGTGTTTAATTATAGTACACCTAATACCATGGAAATGAATTCACACTAACGAGATTGTAACTTAGGGATCTGCTATCGGCGATATACCGTGGTAGGACTCTCACTCTTGCGCATGGTGACCTAATAAGGGCATGGAATTTGTAAGGGTATTATAGAATTTTATCCATACCCAATCTTTGTAAAATTTCACCCAAAACATTAATCTGTGTATAATTTAGTACGCGCTTACGCCTTGAAGGGTCCAGCCCGATGCTCAACGCAGGGGAAACCGCCCCGAAGAAACTATTCAGTCCCCATCCACTTGAAGGGGCGCATCATTGCCGGGCTCATACCCTTATCTATTCATGACTGTTAATCGGTGGTTTGCCGGTACTGGAAAAATACTGTTGGCTTGTCTATCTCAATAGCACCTGTTCTGACCGACGATCTTTATAGGGGCAACGCATTTCCCCACTCCCCATCAATCGAGAAAAAGCAGATCACATTGACACTCATACGTCATATTTATGGCCTTTGTCCAGGGAAAGCATCGGATCGATAATAAGCAGTATACCGGAGTGGCGCAACAGCAAAATTGATGAGGAATGACCGTCCAGTCACTTTCTATATCCCTAGATCTGTCTAACGCAAAAAAAACCCCCCCGCTCATGCTCTTGTGCCGTTCGTCTAAGGGCTGCCTGACACAATAGCAAGTGTGTATCGGTTCCTCCAACCAGCGCTTATCCGCCAGATTGCTCTCTTGACGGATAAGACCGTCCCGCGCGGCTGCCAAAACGGGGTTCATGCTCCTGTACAGCCGCATGACCCGGTCCGATCCCGAGTCAGTATCAGTTCTCCTCACGTTTTTTTCAACATGCAGCTGACTCATGTGTGGGAGATCTTTTCACCATCAGTTCTGCCCAGCCTTTGATATATAGTGAGCACGTTCTGGATCAAACTACCCCACCCATCACATCCTCGTACTATTAATGAAAGAAGCCCATTCCGAAAAACTCCACTTGCAAAACAGCGGCGAAGACGTCTACTCCTATGAGGTAGAGCTGGAGGGCTCAGATACCAACACCGACGCCATCCAAAAGAACTTTTTCTCATACTTCCGGTACATCTCCCGCAGACTCGACTCCTTCGGTGTGGAAACGCGCGGGATCGAGCGTGTGCCGTCGTATGAACGCTCCACCAACGTGCGCAGACAGTTCCTCCTAGCTTGCGGTCTCTGGCTCTCGGCGGCGGGTGGTTTATCCTCGATGTCTGTATTCTTTCTCGGGCCGCTTCTCTTTGACTTGTCACTCCGGCAGTCACTTATTGCCGGTCAGATTCCCCAGCTTATTGGCTGTGCCGTCGCAGCGTACCTCTCGCTCATGGGTCCGAAGTCGGGGTGTAGACAGATGGTGGGCGCGCGCTACCTCTTTGGGTGGTACTTTGTGCGGTTGATTGCGCTCTGTGCGATTATCGGGGTCATCGGTTGGTCTGTTGTCAATAGCGTAGTGGGGGGTCAGATTTTGAACTCTGTGTCTGATGGTAAGGTCTCACTTGTGGTGGGGATCATCATCATCTGCGTGATTTCGCTCGTGGTGGCTGTCTTTGGGATCAAACAGGTGTTGAAGGTGGAGATGCTCCTCTCTTTGCCAGTGTTTCTTGGTTTCATGTTACTCTACATCTGCGCTGCCTGGAAGTACGGCTCTTTTGTCACGGTCGATAGTACCCCCGATCACGAAACCACTATCGGTAACTCCTTCTCTTTTGCCTCCGTTGCTTACAGTACGACCGCTACCTGGGGTTCTATCTCTGCCGATTACTACCTTCTTTTTCCGGAAGATACAAGCGACACCTACATTTTCATGTTGACCTTCTTCGGGTTGGCTCTCCCAACCACCTTTGTGTCTGTGCTCGGGACCTTGATCGGGAATATTGCCCTTGGCTACCAGCCGTGGGGTGATGTTTATAATACCACCGGTATGGGCGGTCTTCTCCACCAAGCGTTTATCCACTGGGGCAAGGTCGGCAAGTTCTTTGTCATGCTTTTGTTCTTGTCTTTGATCTCCAACAACATTATCAACAACTACTCTGCCGCGTTTGGTATCCAATTAGCGTCTTCCTGGTTGCGCAAGATTCCACGTTGGTTCTGGGCTATCATCGTTACCTGCATCACGCTTGTGGGGGCGTTGGTCGGACGTAACGAGTTCTCCACCATCTTGGGTAACTTCTTGCCGATGATCGGCTACTGGATCTCCATGTACTTTGTGCTTCTCTTGGAGGAGAACACCATCTTTAGAACTGCTCGCTTCCACCACTTGTACACCAAGGAGTTCCCAGCGGGTGTAGACAGCACCATCGAGGAAGAAAAACCGTCATCCACCGGCAGGTACGCCCTGTCACTCAGACGCAAGAAGCAGTATTACAACTGGAACTGCTGGAATGACCAGTCCCGCTTGACCCACGGACTTGCTGCCACGTTCTCCAGTGTTGTCGGCGCTGTCGGCGCTGCTTTGGGGATGTCCCAGGCTTACTATGTCGGGCCAATCGCCAAGGCCGTTGGCGGTGAGTTCGGCGGTGACGTTGGGATGTGGGTGTGTATGGGTATTGCCGGTTTGTTGTACCCTCCGTTGAGATACTTGGAGTTGAAGCGCTTCGGGCGTTAACCGTAGGTTCTCAATGACTTTATCACGTTTTAGACTTTTAGATCTAGATATCATAACTATATTATTCAAACTTTTCGATCGAGGTATTTTACGCTCACTACGTCTCCGGCTTTTGGATCCCGATATGTGCTCATATGAGGAGTAATTAACATCTGGATAGTCCTTGTAATCTTCTAAACAACTGTATCAATGCAATTACCTTTTCTATCAAAGGTAATTGTATTGAGTCATTCCTTCCACTCAGTGTTGCTTATTAATGCGCTGATTCTGTCACGTGCCCTGATATTCGTAATAACCTACTCATCGACATTTTTCGCGGCCGCCCCACAAATCCGAGGCAAGGGAATATGTATGGACATATCTCCTTTTTAATCATCTTCACAATACACAATGGCTGTTAAAGGATTAGGCGAACTCGATCAGAACTATGACGGTTCTAAGCTCCGCATTGGTATCATCCATGCTAGATGGAACAAGAAGATCATTGATGCGCTCGTCGACGGTGCCGTCCAGAGATTGAAGGCGCTTGGGGTCACCGACGCCAACATCGTCATCGAGTCCGTCCCCGGTTCCTTTGAGTTGCCGTATGGCTCCCTTCAGTTCTTGCAGAGACAGCAAGCTAAGGGTGAGCCGTTGGACGCTGTCATCCCGATCGGGGTCTTGATCAAGGGCTCTACCATGCACTTTGAGTACATTTGCGACTCTGTCACCAAGGCCTTGATGAGATTGAACTTCGACGCAAAGGTGCCAATCATCTTTGGTGTTTTGACCTGTATCACTGAGGAACAGGCCGAGGCCAGAGCTGGCTTGATCCAGGGCAAGATGCACAACCATGGTGAAGACTGGGGTGCTGCCGCCGTCGAAATGGCCAGCAAACAGCCAAAATAAGTCAATGAATTGATATATCTGAAATTTGAGCTTGTGTAGTTGTAGTTTGTGAATGATTTTACTGAAATTCTACATGACTAGGAATGGGCCTGAGATGACATTACTAACGGCTAATTTTGTTGAGCCCGAGAACACAGATGGTGTTCGTGATAGTTTGGTTTATGCTTCGGGTGTCGAAAGGTGACATGTAGCTGAGACTAACTAGATCATTATATTTACACTAGTCTGAATAAGTGGCCAGATGTAGTCTTAGAAAACAATCATGAATAGAAATCCTATGTATCTCCACCGTGAACCACAAATTTAAAAAAAAAATTCCTATTCATTAAATTGGGATTGTCATATCTATATGATCACGTTGAGACCATTACTCTGGATTTATACCATAACTGGCTATAACCTCCGACTACTTCTTGATAAAATATCAGGGGTATACTGGTACGCTTTTCCCCCATATCCAAGCCAGATGAATTAATTGAGGTATGAAGCATTTCATAGCACGGATTTATACAGATAACCCAGGTAAACCCATTTGAAAGGTTTGCGGACATTCTTATAGGATTTCACTTAAAATTGCCCATTTTACACGAATTAGTTTTCTTGTAAGTCTTGCCCCTGATGGTCATCTACATACAGAAAATAGCCTCCTTTGGTTCAACGGTATGAACGCGGCCTTTCTAGCACAGCCGCTATATGTACCGTCGTTGCATAACATGTGCGTTGTACAGGAGCCGGCCCTGGTAGCCCTTCAATCTTCCCTCAAGCATCTTCATTGCCAACTCTACCAGCGATGCCTCATTTGTCTGTCCCCTCGAAACGTATAGCAGTAGTTCGCCAGATTTGCCAGATCCGCCGTCGACAATTTCTGCCCCTGTGTGGGCCATAATCCTCGTAAGAGCTTCGTTATTAAAGGCACTTATACCGTCTTTCGGCACACGGAAGACCAGCGTCTCCTGGAAAATCTGGTCTCGCAACCTCTCAGCCTGTCGATGCAATTGCTGCATCACGTCTGCGCTGGTCCCATGGATGGAAATTTTCTTTTCATTGTTTCCCCTATACGGATCAATGCCGTAGCATCCGTCGAGCTTCTCCACAACTGGGTCAAATAGCCGGGTAAAGCTTTGGAGCATGTACACAGGGATATAAATCTGAACGAGGTTAGACTCGAGGGCCGCAATTTGGCCCACCACAGCATTCTCACAGGCCGCAATGTTATCATTGGAGATGCCGTACACCACCAACTGGCTGTATGTCAGATGGGATTCGAGCTGCAAAAACGCATTCGTGAACTTTGGGGAGCGGAAAAAGCTCACTAGCGATGTGGGGATCCTGATGGTGCGGGGTTTGTGCGCCATCAACGCCTGCAACCTCAGGGTGAGCATTTCCAAGGCCCCTGCTGCTTCTACTTCGCTGATACTAAAGATCGTCAACTGCTTCCCAAGCTGCCCCGTTTTAGTCTGAACGTCAACCAACGCCATATCTTCCTGAAACGTGAGCACCGCAGACGTGGCTGCTTCGATCTCGTGGATAGCGTGAAACTGGTGGCCACAGAGGGCTGGGAAGTAGGCGTATGGCACGTCCACCTGAATACTGTGTCGGCCTAACCTGCGTACCAACCGCTTGACCGCCTGTACGGCAGGTTTCACACTCATAATCTCATTGAAGATGTGAATATCGCCAGCAAAGATAATGTGGCAGCCCAGAGAACGCTCTATATCGTCAAGATGGCGTCTCTGGAGGGCGGCTGCATATGTCGGCTCTATATGCACCGTGTGTGCAGACGCAGCTAACAGCTTTATGCGTGTTATGAGTGAGAGGACTGAGGATACCGTTTTCGTATTGTTTTCCTGTAGGGGTTTTTTCTCTTCCTGTACCACTAGTTTTGAACGCCCCTGCTCCAACTGTGTGGAAACAGTTTGGCAGGAATACATCGAGGAAAGGGATATGTACAAGCCTTTGTATTCCGCCTGGAGTCTGGCAAGGTACCCTGACGTGAGCAACACTTCCACCGCAGGAGGTACGTCGATTAGATGCAAGGATGGAGTCTGGAAGAGAGCGATAGCAGCAGATATGTTGGACTCTGACCCGTGGACGAGAAGCACCGTGGGGCTGTGGGACACGATAATGGTATCTGATTCACGTGAAATGCGCGCTATCGTGTTCATAGGGGGACAGACGGGGAGATCGAGCAAAAACGATGTTTGTTCGATGGTTTTAATTCTTTGTTGGAGGGCCTTAACCGCACCTGTCAAGCCATTGGGGTCCTGGCACACCACTGCAAATGAGTGTTTCAGGTCTCTTGGCTCAACGATCGTGCACTCATGAGCTGCTTCAAACTTAGCCCTCCATTTTTTATCCATAGACATGCACCGGTAGACACCCCGGGGGAGCTTCGGGAGGTATCGCGTGCAGTTTTCGTATCGGGAAAGTCTGACGCTGAGGTCCTCAATGGTACCGCAGAGTGCGGTCTCATCCACCCCAGAAATGTGCCATACCCGCGCTCGCCCTTGAGGTTTCACGTCGCATGTGAGGTGTTGGTCCGAGAGCAGCGCAGCACTTTCGCGGGAGAGCAACTGGTGAAAGACTAACGGCACACGTAGCTCCTTGGTATATCTGATCGGCCGTTGAATCGTGGCAGCATAGTCGTTAAATACCAGGGGATGCATCGGGGAGGAGAGAAGGAGGTTTGCACGGGTGAAAGTCCTGGGATGGGCTTCCCTCATTGGCTTGGCCATGGAGAATCGTCGCCGGACTGGGAGCTGTCCGGTCGAACATCCCAAACGTATTATTCGGGAGACCGCTCTAAGCATGCAAATGTGAGCCAATGAGAAAACCAATATAGTAGCCTTAATATGATCCCAGAGCCAACATTCGTGGATGGTTTTTCAGTATGCAGATTACCTAAGTGATGAGGTAAACCATCACGTGCAGGAAAATATTTTTTTTTGCATATTTTCTGCATACAAATAAAACATTCACTGGCTCTTCCATTAAACATCTTTTCCTATCCCCAAATGGCTGAAGAAACTATTGTGGATGCTCCGGCGCATCTCCGTATATATATCGGAAACATTTCCCCAAAGCTTGTGGAGAACATCGACAACTTGTCTGCGCGTATTGCAAAGATCTCCACGCTTGTGAAACCGGTCGAGGTGCACACCAAGCCGTTGGGTGACGTTTCGTTCGCGTACATCACGATTGAAAACGACACCAAAAATACCGCGTACGGGAAAATCAAGTCCACCTTCCATGGCACCAACTTCATGGGCAAGAGTCTTATTGTGGATCGTGCCAAGCCGGACTTCCACGCCCGTTGGGAGATGGACCAGAAGAAGGAGGACTCCAAGGCTGCCGACAGAGCAAAGAGAGAAAGAATCCGTGAAAGAAGGGAACAGAGAATTCAGGAAGCCAACCAACTGTATCCCTGCAATTCCATCACCGGCCACTTGATCAGCACGACTGCTTCGATTGCGGCTCAGAGAGACGCGTACGGGTACCAGAAGTCCGCTCACACCTTTGCCAACCTCTCTGGTAACACCAAGGCGAAACCGCCTGTGAGATCCTTACGAGGTGAGGATTCCTACGGGAGTCTCACCAGACCAAAGTCCAAAACCATCCACAGCCAGCACTTTGGCAGAACTTCCGGCAGAGGAACTGTTGTGCAGGGCCGCTACCGTGAGAAGGCCAGAAGCGTCAAGGACATGAAGGCCTCGACCTTGCGAATCAATGTCAACGGGAACATCCGGTTGATCAAGTGCTACCAGACCAAGGTGTGGGGGTACGCGACCCACAAAAAGCCGCGCGACTTGGTCGCCAAGTTTGTCAGGGGCGAGTGGAAAGACGGGAACGACCATATCGTGGAAACATTGAGCAAAAATGTGATTGTGTTCAATGAACAGGGATCCATTGAGGTTGTTGCGAGTGTTGATAAGTTCGCGGGCGAAGAGGCCAAACAGGACTTGGCTAATAGTGAAGTCGAAGAGGAAGAGGAGAATGACGAACAGGCCAAGGCGAGACATGTTCTTGCCTCTTTGTTGAATAATTTCGACTTTGATAAGCCAATGGTGGTGAACGAGGCTCGCGATGAGGAGTACGGCCACTCTGACTATGAGTATAACGGGGCTAGTGATTCGGAGAATGAACGGACCGATGTAATGGAGGTGAATCTTGATGCGATTACGCAGTTTAAGAGCAGCCACCAGGAGCCAAAGGGACTCGTGCCGTACGGTGAAGACGACGAGGGGAACGAGTTGGACGGGATTCCTAGATACACGACAGAGGGGTTTTCCAGGCAATATGATGCGGAGCATGGAATTGCGAGTGAAGCGAACGTTGTTCTGATGGATGAGGTTACAGAAGATGTCCGAGCGGAAATTACAGAAGATGTCCGGGAGGAAGCTACAGAAGATGTCTGGGAGGAAGCTACAGAAGACGTCCAGGTGGAAACCACAGAAGACATCCAGGTGGAGACTGTAGAAGTTAGAGATGAAGTTATGAAAGATACTGGTTCTGACTCTGCTGAATCACAGGAAATCTCCTCGTCCGAGGAGGAATTTATTCCTACGTTTGGGGGTGCTCCAGACACAGAAACCAATGTCACCGAAAATTTAAGATCTTTATTCAACCCAGCACAGTCCTCTGAATTTAAGCTCATCAACGAGTCGGACAACGAGGACATTGACACCACCAAATCTGTCACTGAAGACAAGGAGCTTAAAGCGCAGATCCAAGCACAAATCCAAGAATCCTTATCCAAGTTAACAACCACCAGAGCCTCTAATGGGCTCTTCTTTACCCACTTCAACTCGCCGTTCTTGGTGGCCCAGACGCAGATCAGCAAGGTCGGCGCCGGCGCCATGGAAATGGTCGATGACGCGGCCCGAGTGGGAACCATTGAAAACTACGACGCATGGTTCTGGGAGCAAAGAAAGGAGATCACCAGAGAGTGCAAGAGAAGAAGAAGAGACGTTCTCAGACAGATGAACAAGAAGAGAAGCAAGGGTGGAGCCATGGTGTAAGGATACAGGAGATAACGCATATGCAAGGTAACCGCGCCGCACTCGGCGAAAATCGCTATCAGCAGATAGTCTGAGCTTTCACACATAGTATATAATGTACAGTACACCTTTGTAAACATAGGTCAAAACTAAGTCTAGAGCAATGCGGTCTGTTTGTGTGATTAATCCCAATTCCTCGGTTTCCATGACAGAGAACTTGCAGGTTCTCTTGTTGCCGATGGCGAAGGAGTGCCACCTTGAGCTCGCCTTTTTCACCGCCCCCGAGCCCGCACCAAAAGAGATTGATGGCTTGGAAACGTCGCGGCTCTCAACTGAGGTCTGTCTTCCAGTTCTCCTCCCCCTCTTGGATGCTTACGACGGGTTCTTGGTAGGCTGCTACTCGGACCACCCTCTCATTTACGAACTACAGCGGAGAACCGACAAGCCGGTGTTGGGGATATTCCAGGCCAGCTTAATCGCAGGGGTGGGGATGCTCGAAAAGGCGCAGAAAATGGTGATTCTTACGTCCAACAACGAGTGGGAACGTATTCTAGATGATTCCCTTGACTCAGTGTTCCAGGTCGATCCGCAGCTTGTGGGGCATCGGAATGTGATTCTTCCTACTAAGGCACTCGGTATCAACGTGCTCAGCTTGTCAGATCCGCACGTCTACGGCCAAATCAAGGCAAAGGTCCGAGACTTGCTCACTGCAACGGAGGCTACGTGTATCTTGTTAGGCTGTGCCGGCATGTCAGGCTTAGACCTTAAGCTCAAGCAGGAACCTGAGTTTGCGGGGGTGCACTTTGTTGATAGCGTTCGAGCAGGGATACAGCTCCTAGCAAGGTAAACTAAATCTACAGTTGAACTGATATATCACATATATTTGTTATAAAGATTCACAGCCTATTAATGTTAGTAATTGCTTAACACGGACAATGTCCTTCAAGGGTATTGCTCTGACTCGGAATATGTTTGGTATCAGATAGGGGTGAAAGACTAATTTCGATGGTAATTTTTTTCTGTCATGAATTTTCAGTTGAACTATGCAATAAAAATTTTCATCATCACTTAGAAAACATATTCTCGAGGGCTCAAAGGGCAATTCAGATTGGGGAATGTGATTGAAAACTTACTCTTTGAGTGGATATCTTAATCACATAAACATATTAGAGTCTTGCTTTAGAGATAAAAGAGTTTATAGCGGGTGGTTAGTCTTTTATACCCGCAGGGTTTGGTGGGCGAGCGAAAATTTTGTCAGACGTCGATTCCGTGCGCATCAAATTGAATGTTAGGGCTTGGTGGAAGTCTGTAAGGTGCACGACCTTCTGTTACAGTTCATGTGGTCTAACTAAACCAGTAGGAAACATCTATAATGAGGTAAATATATAGCCATAAGGCCAATCAAAAAAAAAAAAAGAGAAAAGAGAAAAGAGAAAAGAGAAAAGAGAAAAGAGAGAAAAAGAAAAGAGAGAAAAAGAAAAGAGAGAAAAGAGAGAAAAGAAAGAGAAGAGAAAATGGTCGTATCCGGATTCAATGGATCACAACCGATAGTGATAACCACTACACAACCTCTGCACACCTGAAGACTAAAACATGCACTTTGTGGCATATCTCTACCTCGAGGGTAGAATATCTACCTATAGCAGTACATTGGTTAACTATATAACTTATATAGGAAAAAGGAAGGAGAGGTTGACCTCATTATATAAGATATCAATCCCCACCATGTAACCACTACACAATCCACTCTACACCTATATAATCATGCTATGCTTTCCCATACTCGTCACGGGGATACCGTTCAGACACTATTTTATCAGACCAGTAATCTATTCTATGCTTTTAGCCATACCTATTAAATTACTAGATGGGATTAGATCCATTCCAGCCACATGGTCACCTACCTGCGTCTACTCCACGCTTCAACTCGTTGGTGTTCATTTTAGAGAGCACTGGGTCAAAAAGGAAACGATCCAGATATTTAAGTTGGGAATATATATCTCTATTGTAAGTCAAAACTTAGTTTGGGAATAGTGACCCAATAGGTGGTTGGGGTTTAGCCATAAACGCTAGCAGTATATGCCATGAGCACCAAAAGAGCGATTCCACATCCAAAAACATTGAGGCTGCCTCGGTTGAGACCAATTAACACGTATATACCCGGCTGGACGATGGAAATAGCATTTTTAGCACTTCTCTCTGGGTGGCTGTGTCCCAAAAAGTAGCTAACTAAAATGGCCTGGCCCCACATTAATACCCCACTGGTAATCCACACCTTGTATCCGTCCGCAACAGTGGCGCTCTTCCCTCGCGGTTCATCCACACTATCAGAATCCTCGTCTTCGAATGTACTCTCCGGATGGTCAGAGTAGTACGTGAAATCGTCAGAGTCCAGTCCCACTCGAGAACTCTCCGCCGAATCGGTTCGAGCAAGAAGCAACGTGTGTTGGCTCCCGGATGATATCGTACGCGATAAAACATCCGTGTGCACAGCGAAAGCCGCGGGGTTTCCGAGGAAAGGGATCACTTGGTGGTCCAAAAGATGTAAAATCTCCTCGGTTAGCGGTCGGTCGTGATAGTCCATTGAAACCATCCGCACCATGAGGTCTATAAGCGCAGATGGCAACGGATCGTTGCGGGGATTTGCCAGTCTTTTCAGCATCAACCGGCCTAGCCATGGGGGAGAACCACTGCCATCAACCTGTAGATAGGCCCCCACGACATCCTCAAATGTCACTGCCTCATCTTTACGAGCAAATGGTAGCTCACCAAAACAGAGAGACACCAAAATGACGCCCAAGCTGTAGGTATCACTTTCTTTGCGGAATTGCTGGATATGGTCTGCATCAATGGGGAACAATTCAGGCGCAGTGAACTCCACTGTACCGGTGTTACCAGTGGCCGTTCGAGCTTGACCCTCGAATTGGGTTTCGCCAAAATCAGACACAAGAATGGTCGGTAGCAGCGCCATCACCACCGGAACCTGGTCCCTCTCAACCCCAACATTTGTCCCTGTGAGTTTCCCAAAGTCGCTTCGGTCGTACTTCAGGCTTAACAAACAGTTGGATGGCTTGAGATCGCGGTGTAACACGCGGTGAGAGTGCAAATCGTGCACCCCGTTGACGATATCCCTGAAGAACTTGACAATCTCGACGGTATTCAACAACCTGGAGTCCGACCCCTTCTTTACCGTCTGTTTTCCGCGGGCCTCGCGACGTTTCATCCGCTCCTGCTGGAGGTTGATCTTATCACTTTGAAACTCGTCCAAGAGCACCTCCAAGTCACCGCCCTCGCAGTACTCCATGAGAATGAAACACATAGGAAGAGCCGTGCCCTCGGGAACGCCGAGCCTGCCATCCTCCTGGACGATTTCCAACCAGACATGAAAGTACTTCACGAGGTTTACGCTGTGGAGCTCGTATACTAGCGAAACTTCGTTCAAGCACCGGTACAAGTACTCCATATCGTCGGTCAAGGGAATCTTCTTGAGTGCATACGTTCCAAGCTTGTAGTTGAACAACTGATGCGACACCTTGAGTACCACGCCATTAGCGCCCGTGCCTAGCTTGCAGATTGGGGTGAAGAAGTTGGCAAAGTAATCTGCCGTAAAAATAGAATCAGGGAGGGAAGATCGAGGGCTCTCCCCGGCTGTGGAGTCTCGGAGGTACTGGAAGTAGTTGTGGTTGATGTAGACTGGACCCGGAATGAGCCCATTTTCAGGCTCTGCCTCCAGGAAAAACGAAGCGCTCCGTGCCTTTCCATTGGCAAACTGGAAGCTGTATCCACAGCTGGGGCAGCTGAAAAGCGGGGGTATAGGGGTTTCTGAGCCCCGTCTCTCGTGGGGTTTATACAAGATATCGTACTGAGTCCCTTCAAGCTGAATGATACCATCAGATTCTTCCGACCCTTCGATTTGGAGAAGCTCAAGCTTATTGGTTTCTTTGTTGTACACCACAGCGGCGTGTTTCGTGGGGTCATGGCTAGAGGTGTTAGTAGGCTGCGGGATAAGTGGCAGGGAAATGCATACATCACCACGTCAAGCGACGGATTGTATAATACCAAAGACATTAAAGCAATACTGGAGGAGATTAACCGTGATTAATTAGCTTTTAGGATCCAGAGTAACCAACAGATCGAAACGAGGTTTAGATCTGGTATATGCGTAGGGATAGCCGTGCGGCTCAGCAATAGTGTGATGTTTGAAATATAGGATGTGACAAACACGACGAAGCGGAACAAAGCTCAATCCTCAAAATAGAGATTATATAAATAAATATTGATATATTTGAAGAGGCGGACTGATTTTTTTTATGCAAAAATATTCCTGAAATAGCCAGGATCGCAATGTAATTGTGGATGCGAGGACTGGAAGACCACGATAATCACTGAATATGCAAGACAGGCCACGTTAATGAGAAACAACGTTATTAAAAGGTATGATTTAAGCCTTTTTAAAAATAAATAATTACCGTTTTAGCCTGCCTGGAGAATCCTGAAGCGTACCAGTGTGTAGTATACACATTTGTAGGATATTGTCTAATTGGGATATATCAGCTCCAAATCTCAACTGTCAATCCCCATTATAAACCTCAATTGTCAATCTCCGTCGCACAGAATACTCAAACCCATTTCTATATACACATCATAATACAAACACATACAATTCATATAATTCATACAATTTATTCAATTCATTCCCCTGGCTAGACCCCCTGCTTCGTATAGGTCGTGCACTGCCCAGTTATATCGAAAAATCGGCGCCATCTTATAAACAAAACGGCAGCCGTCTCGTTTTGCTCTTCATCAACATTTGACCCACCCAAAATGACAGACGCGCGGGCCTTTTACGTCAAAGACAGCAACAACACATTCGTGTTGCCCACGTCCATCGACATTCCCATCTTGTCGGAGCCCGGCCAGGTGGTGAGCGTGGACATCACCAACGACTTGCCGGAGGGCTCTGACATTGTCAACTTGCTCCAGAACGAACAGGCACCGCAACAGTACTGGTTGAACTTTGCCCAGGCGTTTGTAACCAAAACCCAGTACAATGATGCCGAGGAGGTGTTGACCAACGCGGTGGCATCGCCGCAGTTTGCGCTGGCGGACGCGGCGTTGGCGTTCCACGTGTTTTTGGCTTGGTTGTACCTTCGCCAGAGCGAGGCGGGCGGGCCTGGGAGTACGGCGCTTCTTCGCAGCGCAACGGCCGAATTGCAGCAACACGCAAGCCTGCCGCTATTTGTGCTCACGCAGGCCATCGTACTGTTGACCACCGCGCACTACGACCAGGCGCTTGATCTCTTTGCCCAGGTGCTCGTACTCCAGCCCAGCAACACCGTAGCCCTCACCGGCCGCGCGCACATCTTGCTCCACCGCCAGCAATACGGCGCCGCTTTGAAGCTCTACCAGCAAGTGCTCATCTTGAACCCGCTCTTGACGCCCGACAGCCGCATCGGCATCGGCCTCTGCTTCTGGTTTCTCGGCGACACCCAGATGGCGCAGCGTGCGTGGGAGCGTTCGCTTGCGGTCGCTCCATCGGCCGAGGCACGCTTGTTGCTCACGTTAGCGCAGTTCGACGCGCTCTTCACGCGCTCCCTCAGTGACGCAGAGTTCGTCACGAGCTACCGCACGGCCCTCACGGCCGTCAAGGACCAGCAAGCGCTGGACCCGGAGAATGCGACGGTGCGCTTGATGTTGGCCGCCCACCACTACGCACGTGGCGAGCACGAGGAGACGGCGCGCCTCGCAGGTGCGGTCATCCAGCAGCTTGCCACCGCGGCACCGCCGGGCTCGCGCGAGCAGGCGCATGCCAAATCGCACCTCGCAGTCGCGCACTTTCTCACCGCGCGCGTGTCGTTCGCGCAGCAGGACTACACGTTGGCGCAGAAACACTTCCACGACTCTATCCGCCTCAACGACCAGCTTGCAAGCAGCAAGCTCGGGTTGGCGCAGGCGCAGCTCGCGCGTGGCAGCCCAGATGAGGCCGTGATGACTTTGGAGTCCGCATTGAAGGGTGCCGCGCCCGGCCGCGAGCGCGCCGAAACCGTTGAGCTCATATACGCGTTGGGTGTGTTGTACGCCGCGAAGGCGCTCGCAGATGCACGCGCGGTGGAGCCACGCATCAAGGCCATCGCGCACTTAGAAAAGTACGTGCGCGCAGCGGGCAAGGAGCCCGTCATCCTCAATGTGTACTTGCTCCTCTCACAACTCCATGAACAGACGGACGTGACCAAGGCGTCCGCGTACCTCCAGAAGGCAGTCGTAATGTTGAAGAAGCAAAAACGTGAGATCCCACTCTCGATGATGAACAACTGCGGGGTGTTTGAGTTTGGCAAGGGGAATTTCCAGAATGCGAAGCAATTCTTTGAGCTTGCGAAACAGCAAAACGACGGCGATGCCACCGCAATCACGTTGGACTACAACTACGCACGCGTGAGTGAGGATCGCGCGCTCTACGACGATATTCTCGTGCGCTGTCCGTCCTACACCGATGCAAAGTTGCGGGTGTTGTTCCTTTCCACGATCGAAGCCTCCGGGGATACAGACAAGCTCCACTTGTTGCACGCCGAATTGAAGTCTTTGGTGGATGAAAACCCGGATAGCACCGCGCTGCGCTCAATGTACGGCTGGTTCCTCCACAACCACGCAAAGGCGTTGCAGTTGGCGCCGGAGTTGGAGAGTTCGCACCACAAGCTGACGGTCACCAACGTTGACTCGCACGACACATACGCGTTGATGTGCTTGGCAAACTTGTACTACACGATCGCAAAGGACATCCGCTCTTCCGCAAAGAAGGACGTGGAGAAGAAGAACCAGTACTTTGTCCGCGCGGCGCAGCTCTTCCAGAAGGTGATCAAGGTGGATAAGCTCAACGTGTTTGCCGCCCAGGGGATCGCCATCTTGTTGATTGACTTCCAGCACTCGGCCATGGGCTTGGAGATTTTCCGTAAGGTCAGGGACTCGCTAAACGACTTGTCCATCTTTGTGAACATGGGCCACACATACCTCCAGTTGCACCAGTTTGCAAAGGCGATCGAGTGCTATGAGCTTGGTCTCGCGCGCTTCACCACTGGAGACGACGCGCGTATCCTCTCGTTTCTCGGCAAGGCCTGGTTGTTGCGTGGGCTCGCCGAGAAGAGCTTGAGCTGTTTATCCGAGTCGGTGAAATATGCCGAAAAGGCGTACCAGCTCAATGACCTCCCAGCGTTGAAGTTCAACATCGCATACGTCCAATTCCAGATTGCGGGCTTTGTGTTGAAGATGACTACCCACCAGCGCACCCTCAAGGACTTGGAGGACGCGGCTGTAGGGTTGGAGGACGCGATCCAGAGCATGGCCGCGTTGGCCAAGGGCACGCATCCACCATACCCAGCGGATGACTTGCAGGCGAGAGCCAATATGGGTGAGAACACTACCCGTAAGCAGTTGGCCGACGCGATTCAGGAACAGCAGGCGTTCGTTTCGTCTGCCGAGCAGAAGCTTGCGGAGGCGTTGAAGCAGAAGGAGACAGAGCAGGCCAAGTTGCAGAAAGAGCGGGACGAGCAGTTGGCTCGGGAAACCAAGGCCCAGGAGCAGATGGCCGCCGAGCGCGCCAAGTTGCAGGAGCAGGCGTCCGAGTGGGTCAATGAAATGGCGTCGTACGTTGATGGAAACGTTTCTGATGATGATAACAAGGACTTTGAGGCCGAGCCGAAGAAGAAGAAGGGTGGTAAGCGAAAGAAGAAGTTCATTAACGACAGTGATAACGAGGAGGAATCAGACGACGGTGCTAAGAAGCCGAGGAAGAGAAAGGAGTCAGCGTTGAAGCCGGATTCCAAGAAGCGCAAGGTCATTTCGAACGACTTGATTGAGGATAGCGACGAGGAGTTGGAGGGCGAGGGCTATGCTGAGGAGGAGGCTGGTTCCGACGAAAATTTGTTTTAGTGTATTATAGATAAAAGCGGTTATAAGTTGGGTGTAGTAGGTATTCCGTGGTGAATAAAAGACTCGCTGCTAAAGGAGCTGAAGTAAGTGTTGACCGATAACAATATCCAAGTGAGAACGGCCAGGTATGCTAACTATAATGCTGGCAAGGTTTTTTTTTTTTTAACTGACTCTATAAATCATATAGTCAATACTCATTGCAGACTTCAGACTGTACTCCGATCATGTATTCCTACCGCCAAATCAATTCATAACATCATTAAACTTATATACGACTAAGCTCCCTCAACGGGTCTCTTCCATGGCTTGCAAAATCTGATAAAGCCTCAACCTCACTTTCCTCTTCCCGGCATCCTCTAACTGGCCAAATCGATCCAACGGAATCGCCTCCAAGACTTCCACAAGGCCCATGACACGATCTACAGAGACGGAGGAGACCTCGTTCTCGAGAGCCTCTGGCTTGGTATCAGACACCTGTTCCGTGGTGATAACAGCCTTTCCGGTCTCGTCGACCACCATCACAGGAGTGATTGCCTCAAAGGAAACGACAGATTCGGGCCCATGCACTTGGGATAGCTTTCTACACCCAGTGGTTTCCTGACCAAATGCCGTATCAGCCTTGCGCTTTTGAGGAGAGACAGAAACGTCGGGGATTTCGGGGGTGCCTCTCTCATTAAGCTTGTCGTGGAAGGTGGAAGGTTTGCTATAATCGTAAAAGGCATCAGCACTGCCTTCTCGAATGTCATTAGCTCCGGGTTCATTTCCTCCCAGGGTCAGGTCTTTGGACTCGGCCTGAACTCCAGAAATAAGAGGATTCATCATTGGCTCGGCAATAGTTTCAAATTCCTCAAGTTCTGTCTGTTTCCCGAGCCCCATGCCAAGGCTTGCGTCTGGTTGCTGGTTGAGAGGGCCATCCAGGGTTCCATGATTGGGCATATCACTCTCCATTGAGACTCCAGCAGCCTTTTCGGGTACTGTTTTGCCCCTAAAGACATTCTCCGCGGACACATCCACGGATATATCTTTGTTCGAGGATTCATCTTTATTTAAAGTATCATTGACGAACACTTCGTTCACCGCAACACCTTCAGTTATAGACTGAGCTTCGTCCAATGGCGCAGAGAGTGTGGTATGCGTGACAGACATATTCTCCGACAGAACAGAGATAGACGGAATGGTTTCATCTGATAGAGTAGAGTTGGCCTGCGACGGGCTAGAGACCTTGCTAAGCGCATTCAACAGACCAAACGTGTCCCCATTTTCAACGAAAATCTCCTTTGCGGTCGTTTCAGTCTCCTCGCATTTCCCTTCGATCTCCCACATTTCCATTCCCAAACCGTGCTCACGCATCGTCGTAACGTGCTGGTCGTACACTGAAAGCGTGCCCCGCGCATGCAACGAAAGGAGATATCCCCTCCAAAGGTTTGCGAACGCTGGTGCATGTGCGACTGCCTCCACAATCACCCCGCGCAAGAGAAGGAACAGATCGTCAAACGCCTCCGGCGTCAAAAGCGGCCATAGCTGGTGGAAGAACACCTCCGGGGTCTCGCACTTCACGCGGAGCAATTCCACCTCAAACTCGCGCGCGAGCCGCGACGCCACGCCACGACACACACGCAACATCTTGGCCAGCGCCTGAGGGCCCCAAGTTGCGACGGACAAGAGCTTCAAGCTCTGGATGGTCTCAGCTTCCGGCAAGGCAAAGAGATTCGCCACGAGCGACTCCAAGATTGGCGATGCGACAGTGTAATCGTCCGCAAGAAACTTGCCGAACGCAACGTACTCAAGCGCTGTCAACTTCTTGTGGCTCTTGTCTGCAAACGTCGCAAGACAATACGCACGAAGTGACCCCAGCGGATACTTCCGCAGGATGTCGCCTACGAAGATCAAGTTCTTGGTGCCCAACATGTTGCCGATGTACTGGACGAGCTTGACAAATTGAGGGTCGTCGGGACCAACCGCACGAAGAATTACGTCGATGCAGTTCTCCTCGTTGCCAAAGAGCTGGGAGAACCCAACCGCGTCGCTCAAGAGCGCGATGAACCTGTAGAGCTGGGCGAGCGCAAAGGTGTTGGTGGCGAGGATCGAGCGAAGGATGGCGGGGAGTGACTTGACGTACGCGAGCACGTCGGTGTCGCGCACAAAGTCAATGTCTGTACGCGCGGCCGCAACATCCCCGCGTGCGCACTCCTTCTTCACCCAAGGGCGCGCGCACGCGAGGTAGCTGGCAAACAACCCCATCGCCTCCTCGCACCCCAACGCACTGTTGGCGACCACCGTCGCGAGCAAGTCCCGCAAATCCTGCGAGTGCGCAAGGGCCCAGCGCAGATGAGGGCCCGCGAGCTCGTCGCACGCGACCGGCTCCGCTGCCAAGCACCGAAACGGATTGAACGAGGGCGCGGGCGCCGCACGCATCAAGCGGTTCACGAGCTGGAACCCGAGGCGGTGCTGGTACGCGGATGAATTGTGCGCGTTGAAGTAGAACGTTGCGAGTACCTTGACCACAACTGGCTCCCAGAAGCGCTCCAACTGGTCGCCCATGCCTTTGAACGACTTCGCGCACGGGTTGAATAGCGTATAGAGAATCGCACAGAACAAGCCGTGGAGCTCGTCCACCATCGCCTCCGTGTGCTTGTCGTTGTGTTTACGGTAGTTGATGGACATGCCCGTGAATGGATGAAGGAGGAGCTTGACACACGCGCTATGGTGAATGAGTTGCTTCTTGGTCGTGGGATGGGGTTCGAAGTTGGTGCACACGACGTAGACGAACGACTTCCAGGCTTTGAGCGCGAGAAGCTTGCCCTCGTTGCTGTTCAGATTAAAGCAGGTTTTGTGGATATTGAGCCACTTGGCAAGGCGCGCAGTGTCTGCACTGCCAAAACGGAGGAGATGGGGACCCATAAGGAGAGTGAGGGAGAGCCAGACGTCCATGGTGGGCTTGTGGTAGTTGTGCTTAAGCGCAAGAAGGAGTGCGTCGTGAACATGGTCCAACACGGAACCGGGGGTCCCCACAATCCTCGGACCAGGCTCCCTGGCGGTAGGTTCTGCCGCTGTAAGCTCGGTTGGAGTCTCCACGAGCACCCGCAGAGGTATCGTGAGCATTCCCGCGGAAAAAAAGCACTTCACCTCCGGAACCTCTCCATTCAACACCCGCCAAACCACAAGTTGCACCGTCTTGTCATCCAGGAACACCTTGGCCACCTCCATCAAGAGAAGAATCGCGCCGTTCATAATCTTCCCACTCACCGAACCCTCCTCCAGATCGCCCACAATCGCCACCACATTGAGCAACACATAGCCGACCCACACAACGGCATTCTTGCTCATCATCGGGCCGAAGCGCACAACAATACGCCGTAAAAGCGTCAATTTCTCCCAAAGAAGGGAGTTCGACGGATAAAACTTCATGTTCATGACTGCGTGAAGCGTCTGCTCCTGGAGATCAAACGCCAATGTCTGGTGAACGAGCAGCCCCGCGGGCATGGCCATGCAGCACTTGAGTGCCGAAATGTAGCACGACATGAGACTCTTAGGGACCGTCGCACACGCAATCACTGCACATGCGCGTGCGTAAAACCACGTCACGCCACGCGCACCGAGAAGAGTCTGGAACTCGGGATAACTAATAAGAAGCTCGATAATCTTAACCGCCTGGACGGATGTGCGCGTCACAAACGGGTCCAGAATATCTCCCTCTTCGCCCGTTTCCACGTCCCTTTGGATGAAGCGGAAGAGTTTTGCGGCGTGGTCACTGCCCTTGGCGGGGCCCAGGGTGCTGGCGCTGCGTTGGCGTGTAATCCGTACCGGAGAACTGTGGGAGGAGCCCTCTTTGTTGAACAATCCGAACAAGACCTTGAATTGCCCGTCGTGCTTCACGCGCGGATTGGCGGTGCTTTCCGCCGGAAACATCGCCTCTGCTGTGGTGAGACAGTAGTGAAGAGTGCCGTAGACTTCAAACTTGCGGTTTAAAGCCGGGTTGGACAAACCTTCAATACATTCATCGACGATGACAGTCAATTGTTGAAGCCGCTGACGATCTGTGGCAGGTTTTGCGGGCAACAGGACGAAAATCCCCCGATCCCAGAAGTCGTCTGTGGTGGGATACCCCTTTTTGCGTGGTGAGTTTGCCGGTGAAACAAATGGTGAGGAAAAGCGAAGGATGGACTTGGAGCGGGAAGCGTCGGAAGTAGGGGTTCCAGAGGGGGAAACACAGTCCTCGGAATAGGCTTGAAAGTGGATGTTATCACTGAAGGTGACGCGTTTGAGGGGGGACGAACGAGAGAGGTCCGAGCGAGAGGGATCCAAGGGGTCTCTGTCGGTGACGGGATCGGAATGGCATACAAGTTCCGAAGGATATGTGTGTGGTGGAGGGAGCATGAGTGCATCAGTGTTGTGTGCACACATGGAGAGGGAAACACGAGATGGTTTTGGCTCCAAAATGTGCGATGGCGTTGCATCAGCTTGGCACACGGAGGGCGATACATGTGGGCTGGTTTCGCACAAAGATGGCGCATGTGCGGAGGGTGATACATGGTCAGCTTCGCACACAAGTGGTACTTCACCCTCCACTAAAGGTGCTCCATCTTCCACTGGAAGTACTTTATTCTCTGTACTTTCCATTTCTTCCGGTACATCAGAACCGATCACGTTGAACAAATCCATACCAGCCTCGTCGTTCGGCACAACCGTGGATACCTTGGGTCTGATGGGTGATGAGTTCAACTCGTGGATTTCGGGGTCTTCGAGAGGCGTGGTGGGTCTCAGAAGGTCGCTGTCGGAGGGGGGCGTGACAGAGTTCTTAGTCCTCTTTCTTTTCTTGGACTTGGGTCTGAAGGGTTGTTGGTGGACGGGAGGCAAAGTTGAGCGAAGCGGCGACAGCTCTGTGTACGCTGGAGTCGCGCGCGTAGTACCCTTGTCGAGGCTCTGCTCCGGACTCAGACTCTCTGAACTCGGCCCGTACTTTTCCATCGCCGGGGCCAAGTCTGGTATTTGGGTTTTGAGTGCGAGGTATTCGCGTAAGCGCTCTTGGAACATGGGGCTGGGCGCGTACTTGGGTGTACGGCGGGCGCGCGCGGGCGTCACAGGTGAGATGGTTTTGGTTCCGCTCGCTGCTTCGGTTTCCACCACAATTGGAGCGTCCTGACTACCTTCTTGGATTTCCAGTACAGACGCTTTGCGCATCTTGCGCTTCTTCGCAACGCGCCCGGACTTTTTTTTCGGCTCTTCCTTCTTTCCGACGGAGCCCAGCTTGGACTTGAGCCGCGTCGCGCGCACAGGCGTCTTTTCGGGTTCGCTCGTCATGGCGGGCGTTTCAGCGACAGAAGGCGGAAGGAGACTCTTGAGTTTGGGGTTTTTGGTGGGAGACCCGGTGTTGATGGTTGGGGGCTGCGGTGAGTTGTGCTTCGACTTGAATTGAGAAAACTGAGTGTTTCTGAAGTAGCCGGATGGTTTCATGGAAGTGAGAGCTAGGTCACAGGTGGAAGCTCTGCGATGTGGCTGAGAACCTACTGGGGCTGACTAACTTGTCAAATAGAAAAGACCACGGTAATATGGTCTACAAAAAGATGGATCTGCTTTATAAAAACTTCCTGTGTACAAACTTGGATAATTTTCCCGATCGGGCGCTTACTTAAGCTTGCGCACGCGTACGCGACGCGTTTCTCGCGTAGACTTGGTCGCGCGTCTGGTGGGTGACACAACAGTTCAGAGTGACAGCTCCCTGCGCACCGGGAGGCGTACCTGCGTAGGGTACTATTTCTAAGTGCCCCTAAAAAATCATCTAATATTTAGCTCATGTCCACCCTTAGTCTGAGAGTATTTGGTCCAAGGCCGTTTACTAGCTGGTATGTTCTGATATATACTATAATGTTATCTTTGCATATGTACCGTCCTCCCTTTCACTTGAGATACCCGTTACCCAACATAGCTATGTGGAGTATGCAAGATTCAATGACATCAGTAATTTTTGGCACCAAATGATTTTACCAGTTGACTCTGCTTAAAAATTATGACAACCGTGCAACTAGCTCTGAGTGCCTATGTGCGGGAGACCATCCGAACATGACCTTACACCCAAAGCTTGGCATCCTTACGGGGTAAGTGACCTCACTTATCTAATATTTGACTGTTGAAGTTTCAGAACCCTAGATACGAGAGAATAGGATGCGTTGGTAATTAACCGTGTCATACCATTGTCATTGAAGTTTAAAGCGTGGTATTCACAGCTGTTTGTTACACTGCTATGAAAGAAACAAGTATAAGCTATAGCTGAATGTCGCAAATGTACTGAATCTGAAACCAGCCAACATCTTGGAGACCTCAGTGAAAATTAACTATGTACCTTGAATTAATTTCTCCCATTCAATGCAAATTTCAGCCTGGGATACTTGCCAAATATTTATCCGGAAGAGAATCTTTAGTATGACAGTTTCCGCGTGTCCATTTCTCCCTAAGCTTGACCTCGGTTATGACCTTCTCTGGAAGCGATAGACCATTTTGTAATAGATGGCTAAAATGAATATAAATGTTTCATATACGGTGGTTGGCCTATTTAGACCGTACCTTTTTTGAGCTACATCTGTTTGGAGCTGGATTTTAGAGATACTGTTAGACCTTCACCTCAGGTTCTATCCAGATACCTATAGTGCTTAAGCTTGAACTTATGTAAACTCAATATTTTTTTTTCCTCTCTAAATCAGCCAATCATTGAAAAGGGCTAACGAGGAGTGATGGTGGAGATGCACTAGCATATGCTACTATTTAATACCTATCTACTGTCACACTTTTATGGTGGACCAGACTACTGAGGAACAGCAAACGATAAGCTTTGACCGGGAAGAATCAAATCCCCAGAACAATTACCTCGATTAAGCCCAGATTATAGCGCATTTTCAACATATCCTAGTTCCATGATTTAGCTCAAAACAGATGTCTGGCTAAGGAAATTACCAGCACAAATCAACGTCACTCCCACCCATGCATGCCAGCCGTTATTCTGCACAGCGGTAAAGACGTGCGCCACCCGCCCTGAAAATTTTCTACACAGTGTGCACGCAAAAGAAATTCGGATCTACAAAAATTTGTGCCCTATTTATACCCCAATCATCGTTCACTCAGCATTACGAATTAATTATATTTCAGTTCTTTCCCCTTATTGACTTTTCCGGTTCCCTTAATTTATTTCTCTCCCACCATGTCCTACGCCAACGGCTACGAGAACTACGAGTACGATGCGTCGTCCAGCTACCCGTACCAACAGGTGTACCAGCCGCAGTTTGTGGGCTACCCGGGCCAGGGCTACTACCGGCAGTCGGCGCAAGAGCTTGAGCACGACTCGGGCGATTCGTCCGCCAGACAGTCGCCGTTTGACCCGCAAGCAGAAGCACCAGCGCCGTTCCAGGGTGACTACGGCTTTCAGCCGTTCGAACAACCAGAGGAGTACGACCGCGCCTTCGCACAGGAGTACGCGCGCGAAGAGGCACCTTCACGCGCGCCCGTCGTACGCGACGAGCTCACCACGAGCGCTCCCTCGCGTACGGTGTACCTCGGCAACATCCCGCAGTCATTACGTGCGAACGAGCTCCTTGACTACGTGCGCTCCGGGATCATTGAGTCGGTGAAAATCCTCCCGGAGAAGCAATGTGCGTTTATCTCGTTCATCGACTGCCAGAGCGCGTTGCTCTTCCACAGCGATGCAATCTTGAAGCGCTTGAGCATCATGAACCACGATATCCGCATCGGCTGGGGCAAGCAGTCGCCGATTCAGCCGGTGGTGATGAACTCGATCACACGTGACGGCGCAACGCGCAATGTGTACCTCGGCAACCTCAGTGTGGACATGCGCGAGGAGGAGCTCCACGCAGATTTGGCCAAGTACGGCCCGATCGACACGATCAAGATCATCCCCGAGAAAGGCATCGCGTTCGTACACTTCCTCCTGATTCTCAACGCGGTCCGCTGTGTGCAGCACCTTCCACTTGTGGATAAGTACACCGACAAGAAGATCTTCTACGGTAAAGACCGGTGCGCGTTCATCACCAAGACGCAGCAGCACAACGCGGCGCAGTACCTCGGCCTCACCCCCGGAATGGAGCACCTCGTGCTGACCGCTGATCGTGAGTTCATCTCGAACGCGCTTGTGCAGCAGTCGGTCGCGGCCGCGGCCATCGCCACGTCTGCCGGCGGCGCAAACAACCTCGGCAACCGCACAGTATACCTTGGCAACTTACACCAAGACTCCACCATTGAGGAGATCTGCAACGTTGTGCGTGGGGGGTTGTTACAGTCGATCCGCTTGCTCTCTGAACGCCACATCTGCTTCATTACCTTTATCGACCCGATCTCCGCGGCGCAGTTCTACGCGATGTGTGTGTTGCACGGGCTCACCATCCACAACCGCAAGATCAAGATTGGCTGGGGAAAACACTCGGGGCCGTTGCCGCAGGCGCTCTCGCTCGCGGTTAGTAATGGCGCGTCGCGCAACATCTACGTCGGGAACATTGCAGACTTTGCGTCGTTTTCGGCGGATAAGTTGCGCGCGGATTTCGGGGCGTTCGGCGCCATGGAGCAGATCAACTTTTTGAAGGAGAAGAACTGTGCTTTCGTCAACTTTGTCAACATTGCCGACGCCATCAAGGCCATCGACGGCGTCAAGTCCTTGCCGGGCTTTGCCGCCTTGAAGATCAACTTTGGTAAGGACCGCTGCGGCAACTTGCCCCGCCTCTTCCAGCAGGCCCAGCCTGACGCCCCGGAGTTCCGCGACGCCTAACAACCGACCCTGCATCTACGACCCTGCATCTTTTCTTCTCTGTAGTTTATCTTTTGGCCTCTTTTCTTCTGTTCTGTGTATATACTTTTAGCTTGTATAAGACAGACTTCCATGGAATCACTCATGAAAGAAGTCGTCTACTTTTTAACCTTCACTAGGAGAATCCGGTGGGTTTGAGCTTTTGTCATGAGCCCATTCCGTGTGTATACTATTGTAATATTTCCGTGGAATCCCTCTGTAGCCGTAGTACAGGTTATAGGTGTATTGGGCTATGATTAGCTATACACATATTTTTGTGTCCGCCGCAACGCTCCACAAACATCCCTCTGATTCTATACTGACATTGGGATAGCCCCTATCAACGAGATGCACACCCTATGCCTTGTGTCATCGCTAGTCCATCAATCCTGGTTGTGAAACCACTCCTTTGACAACTTGTGGCTCTCGGTGCTGATCTTATATAGTCGCTTCTCGAACTCATCCAACGAGTATAGAAACTTGTTGCCGGCCATGGAACTGATTTGCTTCGGATTCTGGCCATAATCGTTGATTTCATTCGACCGTTCCTTCAACATCTGGGACACAACCTCGATGAGCTCAACGTCTGAGAACATTACGCACCACTTTTCGCAGAGCTTGTAGTAGTTTGGCAAAATCGAATGCAAATCGATGTTCACTGCGTTTGCGCGGATAGCGTTGATCACCTTGTTGTTAAAGAACTCGGGGTGGATCAAGTCGAGAAACGTTGTCTGGGAGTCTTGGGAGACTTCACAAATTGCTAACACCGATGAAAGCCAGAGTGGCAAGTTCAACTTCGTGTTGGCATCTAGCGGCTGGCCGATGTTGCCCTCGAGGTACCCCAAGCCGGGCACCGTCACGTTGAATTTGCACGGTAGTTTCTAAATTGTTAGTGATTTTCTCTGGGGAGGAGAGCGTATACATACTTGATTATCAGCTATGATGTCATCAAGGTCGTAATAATTTCCCATTGTGCGGTGAAGTCCTTGTCAGAAGAGCAGTAAAGGTGGAGGAAAATTTCAATAGATAAATAGCGGGCATGACGCGTAAATTCGCGAACGAAACGCGTCGCGAAAATGCTTGTGTTTTTAGCCGTATCAGGTATTCTGAAAGTTGAGTGATAGATTATATTATATGTTCTCAGGCTCTTTTTTCAGATTATACTGTTTGTACGCGTCAAACGGAATGGGGTGGCACACCGAAGAAAGTAAACTTTCAAAGCCCTGTCTTTGGTGTTTACAAAACGCACCAAATGTCGAGTCAACGGGATTTGTCATACCCGATACGTATGCATACTCTAGATTGGTTTCTCCAACACCTCAAGGAGTTGGATGTAGCTCTGCTTCCAGATATGAAACTCCTCGTCCCCGGAGTCAAGCCACAACTCGGCTGTCTCGGACATTGCCGGATCAATAATCCCCGTAATAACCTTCTTGCTGAGGCAAGTCAACTTTCCAATCCAAACACTTCTGCTTCCGGGCGATGCTTCTCTGCAAGCTCCTTCAATTGTTGGACGTAGTAAGGCTTGATGTATCTTGTGAATTCGGGATCGAGCAACCCCCCGCTGGTGGAGGGAAATCTCCAAATGGCAGTGAGAAGAGCAGTAATGATGCTATATTCGGCATCTTCGAGGTATTTACTGGTTGAGTCCTTTTCGAGCTCCGACACAAGATGTCTAAACGGCTCCTTCACTCTGCTGGGGTTCTGCACGTTCCCGTAGGCGTCCAACATTATATCGCTGTCAAAATATCCGTAATCCCAGGTGCCCATATTGTTCGAGTCGTATCGTTCAGATGAATAGGTAAAATACGTAACAAGCATATAATCATATCGAGCTCGGTGGCAAGTGGTATTAATTTTTTACAGCCTGCAGGGTCCTCACTAGTCGCTGCCATGGACCATGTAGGGAGGTGTAAAGCCGCATGAAACAAAGAGTTACTCATATACTACGCTAATTAGCTGGTGACAATAAACCGCAGGGCTTGCCAATACTCTCTGTCACAACATTCGGTTAGGATTCCTAACTAATGAGTAGGTTATAATACTTAAATTGTCACATTTATCGATACCACATTTAGGATAAGGGGTGGATATTTTAATTGATATATTGCGTGTTTGGCTTTTTGGCACGGATTCATGACTGGTTAGCCCTAATTGTTGCTAATCCGGGTATTCGTTATGTTCGTTGCTTTCAGCCGTTTAAGAAATTCTCCAAAACAACCTCCCTGTAGTAAAAGTGCCATTTAGCTAGACGGAAGTCGGAGTCCATCATCTTCTTACCTCCGATAAGCAGACACCTTGGCATCGTACCCACTTCTGTATATAAGGCCACCGACTACCCTTCCGAGTGCATCTTTCTGGTTATAAACTGAAATAAATTGTATTCTCCTGGCAGTTCCCTCCTTCCGGTTATTCCTTCAACAACCCCTGAAGCTGGGTGATGCTCCGTTTCCAGATTTCAAACCTTTCGCTACCAGTTTCGCTCCACAAGTCCGCCGGTTCGGAGTGTTTCGGATCCAAAATCCTTGTAAGGGCTTCCTTACAGAGCTTTGTTAGGTTTTCTAACCCAAACTTCTCAGCCTCCTGGCGGTTCTTTTCGGCCGCGACTCGCATCTTCTCCACGTAGTATGCTGAGATGTACGGCTGGAACGCTTCGTCTAACAAGCCCCCGTTTGTCGAAGGAGACCTCCAAAGAGTCAAGAGGATTGCAGTAAGGATACTGTCGGCGAAATTATCCTCGATATAGTCGTTTTGTAAGGCATCCTCCATCAGTGCAACTAGACCTTTCACCGAGTCACTTTCACCGTCGCAGAGGTAAGACAAAGCATTACAAGTAGAATCGTTATCAAAGTATCCATAGCCCCAGGCACCCATATTATCAATTTAGTTAGACTGAGGGATAGTATGTAGGGTTCTCAAAGGTCGGAGTTATGACAAGGCATAGCTTATCTGTACCCGTGGGGGACCCCTGCATATATGGCACACTCCATCCAGACACCCAGATCTATACTAGTCTTGACATACCGGAACAAAAATACCTCTGGATGAGACAGACCTTTGGTAAAAGGCATACGATATTTATTATCACACCGGAATATTAAACATATCTCATGTTCTACGATAGGGCGGATACCCGTAGGGACTATATTACTCTAAAATTACGTGTGCATCCCGAATTACACGTGCGTTTCGTATTCCACACGTCTGTCCCATCACGCGCCTGACGCAACACTTTAAGAATCAGACTACCCAGCTCGTACCCATCTCAACCATTCCACCCCATCTTTTATGACTCTCCTCACGCTAGACCTCTCTCAGATCGACCAAGTGCTAACAGCGCTAGATGCAGAAGTGTCGGTTGTCACGCGAAGTACCGACCCGGAAAACTTTGTGAATGCGCTCAGATTGAACAAGATCGAGGCCAATTTGGACCAGCTCCGAAAGGAGCTCATCTCCTTAAACTATCACCAGCACAAAAACACCGATACATACAAACAATTTGTCCGGTTGACGGAGCTAGTGGCGTCTGCCAAATTCCGGTACCAGGCATCCATAGAAGTATATGAGGGCGTCCAGACAGAAAGACAGCCCGAACCGGTAGTCGAGCTGAGCCCTAGTGACAGCGGTGAGAGCTTGGCAGAATTGAGGCGACGCTTGTTGAAGGACGGAACACAGGCAAAGCTCCTCGACAGCTCGTCGCCAGTGGCACAAAACAACTACCACGAAAGTTTGCAGAATGATTTAGTGGAGGACATCTCGTCTCTTGTGTCGGTGTTGCGCTCCTCGGCATTGCGGTTCCAGGAGGAGTTGCTTGAAGACTCGGAGATTTTGCAAAAGACCATGTCGTCGATTGATGAGAACTCCAACTTGATGAGGAATGTGAATGGGTTTTTGCGGCAATACAATTTGAACACGGGCGATAAAGTGTCGTTCTGGTTTTTGCTCAAAGCGTTGGGGTACGTGTTGGGGCTGTTTTTACTCATGTTCATGACTATCCAGTTGTTCAAAAGCTAGGGGTTCTAGAGTCGATGCCTTATTCCTTCAAGCGATACGTTCAAGGGTATTTGGAAATAGTAAATGTTAATGGTATGCGTGTTTTTTTTTTTGCAGATATATCTCCTAGTTTTGTTGGCTATTTATCCCCTGATCTCTGAAAATCTCTCAGCCAGGAAAAGGATGTAAGTCGAATGGTGAACCATACATATAGCAATTGTTTTCCTGGTATCCAACGTGCAAGGGGTGATTTTGAGAGTTCAGGCGGTATGATAACTGTCCTTCTCAAGGTCTGTTCGACCATGGCTCATAATTATGCCCTTGGTACTTTTTTATTATGGGAAAGCCACGTTTTCGATTTAGGCTGCTCTGTCTTACAAACTGTCCTGGTCCTAGCGGAAAGAAAGGTTTTAAAAAATCTCAAGCCAAGTCTGTAAATCCTTACATCCTTGGTACCGATAGCTTGAGAATAGATCGAAAGTACCTGATTTTGAAATTACAATACGCAACCCCAAACAACTCTTCTGGTTCCCCAAAACTCCATCCTTCGAGAGTGAAACCGTATAGTGAATTTTACGGAAAATTTTACCCCCACATCCAATATATTTTATCAGCCATATACCAAAGTTTCAAATAATATCTAATTCCTAACGCTCCGATTTTCCATCCCGAGGTCGTGCGCGGCGTGTTAAATTCGTCATCTCCAACCTTTTCCAGTAAGCCCCTAAAACGGCACGCCACAAGTTCAACTGCTTTGACCCATTCAGGCATAACTGGAGACCAGGCATACAGTTACATCTGCATAACTGGATATTTACAGCTAAACTGTATATCCATCGTTCATTTACCCCCACTACCCTATCTGAACCTATCAGACAAAACTAACCCATCGCTTCGCCTCAATCAACCTCCAATGTCCTCCACTGGTGACTTTTTGACCAAGGGGATCGATCTCATCCAAAAAGCGATCGAGCACGATACGGCAACACGCTATGACGAAGCCTACAAGTTGTACTACAGTGGGCTCGACTACCTCATGCTTGCAATCAAGTACGAGAAGAATGCCAAGTCCAAGGAGCTCATCCGCTCAAAGTTCACCGAGTATTTGAAACGTGCAGAGCAGTTGAAGGAGCATCTCGATAAGCGCGACAAGGCGCCGGACGCGAGCGCGAAACCTGCGAAGGCTGCGGCCGACGACGACGACGCGGAAAACAAAAAGTTGCGCGGTGCGTTGAGCGGCTCGATTCTCTCAGAAAAGCCCAACGTCAAGTGGGAGGACGTGGCTGGGTTGGAAAGCGCTAAGGAAGCGTTGAAAGAGGCGGTGATCTTGCCGGTAAAATTCCCCCACTTGTTCAAGGGCAACAGAAAGCCAACGTCGGGAATTTTGTTATATGGGCCACCTGGTACCGGTAAGTCGTATCTTGCGAAGGCGATTGCTACCGAGGCCAACTCCACGTTCTTCAGTATTTCGTCGTCGGATTTGGTATCGAAGTGGATGGGGGAGTCGGAGCGATTGGTTAAGAACTTGTTCCAGATGGCCAGAGAGAACAAGCCGTCGATCATCTTCATCGACGAGGTCGATGCGCTCGGTGGCACCAGAGGCGAGGGCGAAAGTGAGGCGTCCCGGCGCATCAAGACCGAGTTGTTGGTGCAAATGAACGGGGTGGGCAACGATTCGCAAGGCGTTTTGGTCTTGGGGGCCACCAACATTCCCTGGTCCTTAGACAGTGCCATTAGAAGACGTTTTGAAAAGCGTATCTACATCCCATTACCAGAAAAGCAGGCCAGATTAACCATGTTCAAGTTGAACATCGGCGATACCCCGAATAACTTGACCAGTCTGGACTTTACTCAGTTGGCATCAGATGACTTGACCGACGGGTACTCAGGGCATGATATTGCCATGGTTGTGAGAGACGCGTTGATGCAGCCGATCAGGAAGATCCAGCAGGCAACCCATTTTAAGCAGGTGGAGAGTATATTCGACGGTGAGCCGAAAGTCCAGTGGACTCCGTGTTCGCCAGGCGATGCGGGAGCCACGGAGAGGAGTTGGATGGACATTGAGGGTGATGAGTTGTTAGAACCTGGACTTAGCATCAAGGACTTTATCAAGGCGATCCGTACAACCAGACCGACCGTCAACCAGGACGATTTGGTAAAGCATGAAGAGTTTACTGCAGACTTTGGTCAGGAGGGAAACTAGTGTATGGAAAGCTAAGCGAAGGAGTTGATACTGAACGAAGCAGTTAATGGATGCATAAATATAATTACTCGGAATGTAGCGTAACTGTTGGTAGATGTAGCATATCTGCTAGTAGCGGAACTGGTGCAAGTCGAGCTGGGAGTGAGTTCACATCACGAGGTAAAACTGTGAATACTCGGAAGCGCCGAGGTCTGGTTTGGTAAAACCTGAAGGGAACAAGTTTGGGCGGCAAATGGGGAAACTGGGGGTGAAAGATGGGCTGGAAGCGGTGTTGGCGGCGTGAGGTAGGTGGTTCGAGACAATGTGGTTGTGCCATAAACTATGCCTCATTCGTTGAGGGAAAGGACTGGCGTATTGAGATAAAAGACATAATGTGGATCTGTGAGTCTTTCTCATAACCTTCGTTGACAGATATCAAGATTTGCTCTGAGATATGAGTGATATTACTGAAAAATAACCCGTCAGACTCGATCTAAACCTAAAAGTTGTCTGGAAGTATACAAACAGCCTTGGGTATTGCTCGTGGAAGGTAAAGGCCATATCTTATGACGTAACCTAATGTTGCGTTTTATTCGTGGCAATACATTGAAAAGGATTGAAGGGTCAAGAGTTTCTACGGCAGCTAATTGTAAATTTCAGATTTCTCTTTACCAGAACGAGGAGCAGGTTTTGTACCGGCTTTGCAAAAGTTTGATAAACACTCGGAGATGCCTGACAAAGTCACTGAAATTCTGCAATCTCTGCTGCCCTTTGATCACACTTTACATTTGGATGCGCTACCGCATGAATAGTCCGAAAGCATATAATGAGAAAACACCTATCCGAGGCATGTATCTTTTCGTCTACAGTATGGAATCGTTCCCAGCAAGCCATTCTACGTAGCCTAATTGTATGAGCAGACGTCATACCTAGTTTGTTCAACAAAAATTTATTTGGATATAAAAGGGTGCAAGAAAGTAAGCCCCACCAAAACTAGCAGTGCCAACTCTATTGTGGCATTAGTCTCAGTCCAGGGATGTGTACGAATTAAAGATCGGCGATACGCCAGATTAGAAGATGAACATTTCTCTGGTTGGCTCGGTGACAACTGGGACGTTAGCAAAAGCCTTGGAGACCTCGGCGGCGATGTCAGCAGAGACGAAGGAGACCAAAGTGGCGGCGAAAACGATGACGGCGGAGAATTGCATTATGATGTGTGATACGTTGAGGAAGGAATCCCAACCAAATTATCGGGGACCCACAGAGTATTTATACCTCGCCATGTTTGAGAGTTGCATGCACGTTTTAGAGCTTGGCATTCTAGTCTCAGGGCGCAAGCGCCTAGGCACGCTAGCTGCTAATAATATATCTCGACGCTGTTTGCAACGGGAGGGGCATGCTTAAAATGGATAGCCCCATGCAGTGATACCTTACCGAGAGGCTAAAACATGGAACTAATCCCATGTAGACTAGCTATTTATTCGCTACAAAGTTTCGCCTATGCGAAAATGGTGCTACTGCGGCAACTACCCGCATGAGACGTTGTGTACCAACGTTACCGAGAGGCGAGACGCTGCATGCTTTATGCATCATGCGCCCGCCTCGTGCCCGGTTGGGCTGTTGCCCCTGTATAGAACGCCTACTTGTGCAGGATACATGCCCGAGGCTGTCAAGGCGGCCCCTTAGACTCCTATAACCCCATCGACTGTTACTACGACCAGTCGGTTAAGCTAGTATGGAATTTCAGGAGTCTGGGCGCGCATCTCTCACTTTCACATCAATCCGGTATGTTAGACCCACTGTGAAGTCTCTATTGTTTCAGAGCAGCTTCACATAGACAATAATCGCCAAGCAACTGGATTGGGCAGAGAACACCATTGGATAATAGCACGCCAACACTGTGGATTTTGTAAAAATCGTCGTATGAACACGAGTTGTGTGGGATGCACCAATTTTCCAAGCTACGCACGATTGGAGCTGTCACTATGAATGGGTAAGGCAGCGGAACCTCTGAAAATACCTTGGAAGAATCTATTCGCACTGTTACGAACAGTAATAGATTTCAAAAGGCCCAGTTACTTAGTCGCCTATAAGAGCAAATTTCCAGGCTCCTCTCCCTGAGATAGATCCGTGTTTAACATTTGGCCATAACGGTTCTAGCGCTGTCTCCCACCCCTTCTGCTAGGCCCTGCCGGTATTTCTTCCTAAAGGCTCTGACCGATCTGTAGCTGTAGCTCTTGGTAGCTCAAAGTCACACGTAACCCTCAAAGATAGAGAAAAGCTCCGTAAGTCCCTTGGTAGATACCATAGTGCTTAATGGCAGAGTCTAATCACTAGCTTGTATGCTAATCACCTGTCTGGTATCAGCTCACATTTGAACATATTTGATCATTATACGGCCTTCCCAACCAATAACCCTTAGTCGTTACATTTTTAAGAGTTCTGGCCTATCCCTGGGTATGAATATTACTGGTGTGTCGAAGATCACAAAACGAAACTTAATATAGATCTAGAGAGAATGCAACTCGGAGATCTCTCATCCTAGACGATACTACAATTGGACCTCATCTCGGGTTCACAAATATGTAGCACACCGGGGCCTGGCCCGGTGGAGTAAGATCCAGTCTGACCCCTCAGATAGATCAGCAACCTCCGACTTGGCGGTTCATTTTCTTAGTGTTTCCAGTAATGGCCGTTTGGCCGAGTGGTCTAAGGCGTCTGACTCAAGATCAGATCTCGTAAGAGGCAAGCGTTCGAACCGCTTAGCGGTCATTATCTTTTTGGGCGATTTTATCAAGGTTTGCTCTTTATGCCCCTTGGAGTGCTTTCTATTTGTTTTGTCTGTATATTTATTTTTCATTTGGGAGTTGATGTTTTTCGGTCGCCGAGACCTACTATAGGGTATATTCCGGGGAGTCCGACTAGATTCCGAGGGTCGTACCTGCCCTTACCGGGGCCATTAGCTATCCTCCTGTGGTTCATGTATCTCCAATATTGCGTAACGGCTAGCATGGTTCGCTTTTACCAGTAAACCCCAGATCCGACTCCCAGTAGCGAAGCTAATCTTTTGTTGCCGAGACTGGCATCTATTCGGAGCCTGTAGGCTGTGTCTTCGGGATGATTTGACCCTGTGGTTGGGGATTGAAAGTTTGCCGTCGAAAGGCCCCTATTGGAAGTTTTAGATTATGGCTCAATATTCTCTAGGCCAATAATACCGGATGGACAGATAGAAATCCCTTTGCTAATTGTGATGGCCCATATATTGGAAATGCTTTATGAAGAATGACTCCTAGGGAGGAAAAAATATAAACAGGAATGCGACTTCTGTGGATCGAACACAGGACCTTTAGATCTTCAGTCTAACGCTCTCCCGACTGAGCTAAAGTCGCTCAATCTTGAGAATCCGAAACAGCCTTATGTCCGGAGCAGAAACAATCAATCGTCATATCAGATAGATAGTAGTACATTATTACGGTGTTCGTACATGCCGTGAAAAAATTCTAACCATTCTTCTTCCCATATAATCTACCCTATTTTGTGGTTTATACCTAACTGACTTGCAATATCTCTCGTTTTCTCTTTCCCTGTTCAATTCCTCATGGCATTTGATTTCTGTATTCTATATCTACAACTCACAGACTATAGATAGGATCTGACCCACAGCTATGTTCTAGGAATTACTCTTTTTGCTCCCATTTTCGGATTACTCCAGTCCGCTGACCTTTAGCCACTCTCAGCACCAAGCTCTTTATGTCGTTTAAACATTTATTCTTTATTATATTACACAACCTTAGTAGGCGTCCACCATCTCCGGCTCCTTCTCACCGCCGGACAATCTCGGCTTACCCGCAAGCAACTCCCTTCTAATCTCCGGGCCGATGTCCCTGTGGAATCTCTGTCTCACGGTTTCCAAGAGGAAATCTCTCTGATCATCCGTGATATCGTTCTTGTATCTCTGAGCAAAGGCAAGGAAGGCCTTGTGCCAGACAACCGGTAACGACGGCATAGTTTTGGCATCAACCTCCTCTTCCATAATCATCTCATCGTAGGTGTTGTTCTGGGCCGCCTTTCTGAAGTTCATGAAGTAAAAAACAACGTCATCGACAGTCTGGTACGGCAAGGCATACTTCTTTTCCAACAAAATACGAATAAAAACAGTCCCAGCCGGGGAAAACTCCTGCTTGATCAAGTAGGACAATGCAACGGACGAATGCAAGGCTGGGATGGAAACCTTGGCGAGCACAGACCCGGCAATGGTGGCCTCTCTGACGGAACAGCCGCCCTCAACCAATGGAAAGAGAAAGCCCTTAAAGAAGGCACCCGGCTTATACAACGACTTCTTAACGGCACGGTACAAGTGGTAGTTCAACGAATGGGTCTCGCTTTCCTCGATGTCGGTTCTGAATCGCTCCAAAAGAACGGTTTCGATAAACTTTTCGGCCTCACGGGCCTGCAAGTTGGAAACAAACAACTTGGTGGCCTCATAGCACACATGCGGGGTCCATTTGTCGGGATTGGTCACGAACAAAACGTCCTGCCAGTTGTTCAATGACGGAATAACTTTGAACAACTTTGGCAACTTTCCGTGGGTCCACGATGCCAAGATCTGGCCGACGGTCTCGTATGCTCTAATGACCTTTGGCGGCAATAAAACCCGGTCGGTTGGTCTTTCCATTGGCGCTGGCGCGCTGGCGCCAGCCTCCTTTGCCTGGATCTTGGCCATGATCTTATCGGCCAAGTTGTACGCACCACCGAGCCCGTCAAACTGCTGGTTATTCTGGAAGTAGGAATCGAACATGGCAGCGTCCTTTTCGTCGATCTCAACTTCTTCCTCATCCACTTCGTATTCATCGTCCGAACCGCCGAAATCGGAGATGTTTTCGTAGTCCTCCTCGTCCGAAGACTCTTCTCTCTCCAAGAAACTGGCACCAAACGCGGGCTTTGGCTGGACAGAGGTGTCGTTCTCCTCTTCCTCCACCTCCTCCTGCTGCTCCTTTGCCAACTGGAGAATCTTGCGCGACTGCGTGGCGTCAATGAACCCCTGGTTTAACTCGTCATCGTCTTTCCTGTTGAGCTTCGCTTTCTTCTTCGAGGTTTTGGTTCTAAGGTGGCCCCTGTCTGTGGTCAACTCCTTGTACAAGGAGTCCTGGTGGGGCTTGTTTTTGCCGTCGCTCACAGAGATTTTACCCATGATTATTGTTGTGGAAAAGAGGGTGGAAAGTAAGAGGTTGAGTTTGATTTCTCTTAAGATGCAGGCTGCAAGGTGAAAAAAAATTCAAAAAATATACATCACGTGGATATATATACAGGATGTACATCCTACTATCTTTCTTTGTAGGTGCTGGCAACTGTTTAGACAAGTTTCAAGGCCGGAATAGATTTTTATTACCATTTAGGAATTGGATTGGTCTTGGTGTCGCACACGGTAACTCGTTTTCTCTCGATGAAATGGTGTGTTATTATCTATCTGCGCTAAGGCACCTGATATGCGGTGGCCCCCTGTATGTAACCCCGAGACTTGGCCTGGTACTGATGGCTTTTCGTTTACTGAGCTTCTTTCCTCGACTTTTTGCCATTAAAAATTGCTATTACCCCGACTATAAAATAAGGTAATAACCATGAATACTCGACCTAGGTGGCTTCTCGAGGATCTACACATCAATCCTGGTACTCATTGCAGGGGTCAACAAGCGTAAGCTGGATGACCCTCCAGTTATCCTGCACTCTCCTTGAAAAACTTTCCGGATCAGGCGCAGCGCCGATCTCAGCAAGCCAATATCAAAACATCACATTCCCTTTTCCTTCTCTTCCAAACCTTTTCTCTTTATTAAAATGGTTGCGCTTAACAGAAAAAAGAGAGCTGCCTCTGAGGAAAAGAGTGCTGTGCCGAAGGCGAAGCGCGCCAGATCCAAGAACGCGTCGGTGCTGAGATTGACCCATCTCCCCGAGATCAATCCGCTCGCGGTGGCCAAGACGGAGATCCTCGACGTTTTTGTGTTTGGCACCGGTTCAATGTGCGAGCTTGGCTTAGGTCCTGAAGCCAAGACAAAGGAGGTCAAGAGACCGCGCTTGAACCCGTTTTTGGGCAAGGATTCCGTCGGGATTGTAGACATTGCTGTCGGTGGGATGCACACCTTGGCCTTAGACAAAAACGGGAATATCTGGTCGTGGGGTGGTAACGATTCTGGCGTTTTGGGGCGCGACACGACACTCTCCCAGGAACAACTCCGTGACATGGACGATGACAGCGACGACGAAGATGGGGATCTCAACGCGGTTGAATCCACCCCAGCAAAGGTGGAGGGGCTTCCCGAAGACGTTACCGTGGTCCAGATCGCCGCTACCGATAACTTATCGGCTTGTTTGACCTCCGCTGGTGATGTCTACACGTGGGGGACCTTCCGCTGCAATGAGGGTGAGCTCGGGTACTCCCAGGGTATCAAAGTCCAGCTCACGCCAGCCAGAATGGAGACGCTCAGCAGCATTGTGCAGTTGGCTCCTGGTAAAGACCACATCATGGCGTTAGACACCCGCGGGCTCGTCTATGCGTGGGGTAACGGCCAGCAGCACCAATTGGGCAGACGTGTGCTCGATAGATTCAAGACGGGAGCCTTGGAGCCTCGCGAGTTTGGCTTGAGAAATATCATGTTCATCGGTTCCGGCGAGTTTCACTCGTTTGCAATCACTCATACCAACAAGGTCATGGCGTGGGGGCTTAACCAATACGGTCAATGCGGGATTCCGATCGACCTCAAGGACGAGTCGGTCGTCACCAAGCCGACCGTGGTGGTTGATTTGTTGGACAAGGAAATTGTAAACATCACAGGTGGGGAGCACCACTCCATCGCGTTGGCTAAGGATGGCTCTGTCTATACGTTTGGCAGATATGACATGAAGGAGGTTGGTATTGCCAAGAGCGACTTGCCAGAAGGCACGTTCAGGGATGAGAAGGGGAATGCCAGATCCGTGCCAATTCCAACCAAGTTGGTGCTTCCAAAATGTAAGGCCGTTGCCGCCGGGTCTCACCACACCTTAGCCGTGACCGAGGATGGTCTGGTATTCACGTGGGGTTTCGCCGACACCTATGCTGTTGGTTTGGGGAACACCGAGGAAGATGTCGAGGTTCCTACGAGAATTAACAACACCGCAACAAAGTTCTATGATATCAAGGTTATTGGTGGTGGTGGGCAGTTTTCCGTAAGTGGGGGGGTCAAGATGGACGAGGATGAGGCAGAGGATAGAAATGAAAAGTACGATTAGACGGGACTAAGCCCGAGGAACTTGAGACTAGGGCCCAATATATGAAATTAAACGCGGGGAAGATTATTTGTCCTAGGAGCTAGTACATTTCTGAAAGTTCTAGCAAAAGATTAATAAATGTGCCAATGAATGTTAATTGCTGCAATGTGGAATAAACGCCTGAAATAGGAGATAGGACTAAAGTTTACAGATGGAGCAATCTCCCCAAAAGACCAATAGCGAATTTTCTAAAAACTTCACTAAATATACACACGGTATACAACCATCCAAACTCATTGCGTACCTCAGGGATCTTTCCAACGTTCCTTTAAGTATGCGACGTAAACGGTATCTTAACCATTAGTCTTTACCTGTATAACCGGATGGCTATGTAACGGTCATGAAGCCTGCCATCCAAATCTCGCCGAACTCTTTTCTGAAAGCAAATCTCACTCGCTCATCCAACTACAATCTCATGGTGTATGGCTTTCTATCAAATACTCATTAACGTACATCACATCTCCTAAAACTCAATTTTGTCCAATCTCACACACATCTTCTTCTCGGTGAGATACTTTTTGACGTCGCTCACCTCATACTCCCCTCGGTGGAACATTCCGGCACCCAACGCGGCATCGGTCTTGGTCTTGCGGAAAACCTCTTCGAAGTGCTCCGGTCTGCCAGCCCCTGACGAGGCAATTACAGGGATGCTCACCGCACCCTTGACCTGGTCAATCAACTCCAAGTCGTACCCGGAATTGCTGCCATCCTTATCAATACAATTTAACAAGATTTCACCGGCACCGAGGGCCTCGCAAGCAACCACAAACTCGCGGGCACCCAAGTCGTGCACCTTACGGCCGCCCTGTGAGGTTACCTTGTAATAGCAATATTGTTCGCCGCTAGGGCCTGGGAACTGGGTCTTAATGGTGGCATATGGGACGTCTTTTGGATCCGACACGTAGAAACGCTTTGGATCCACGGAAATGACAACCGCCTGAACCCCGTACGGCTTGGAAATCGTCTCCATGGGCGAAGTTCCATCGCCCTTTTCGCCATTCGCATAGTACTTTTCCGCAAACAATACGGCGTCCGTCCCAATTGACACCTTGTCAGCCCCCGCCGCGAAGTACATGCCCGCGACGTCTCTTGCCGGAACAACGGTTCCATCTGGATCCGTCACATCCTTGATCCCCCCGCCTACCGTCAACGGAACAAACACGGTCTTTGCGGCCAATCGCAAGACCTCGATCATCGGAGCATCCCTCACCGGGGAGTTTCTAAACGATGTGATGTTGAGGAAGGTGACTTCATCCGCGCCCTGCTTAAAGTACTTTTCGGCCAACTCTACCGGTTTCCCAAGGTTTCTGACGTCGCCACCTTCGGACTTTTCACGCACATCGTACTGGTCACCCTTGGTAACAACCAAATCGCCGTTGTCGTTGGTGCGGACATCCAAACAGGCAATGATTCTTCGGGTCAAGCCCGTGGAGGTGACCTCAATGTCAGAGGAAACGGTTTCCTGGGCCGAAAGCGGGGTGTGCTTCGTCTGGTCGAGAAAGGCCTTGATGACCTTCAACCCGGCGTGCCCAGACTTTTCCGGGTGGAACTGCGTCGCAAACACGTTTGCACGCGATACCGCCGCAACAAACTCCTCCGAGCCGTATCTACCAACTGCAAGCTCCCAGCCCTGAGCGATGAGCTCATTCTGCTGTTCCGCCGAACACACTGCGGCATAGGAGTGGACGAAATAATACTTTGACGAGGGGTTTAAGCCGTATAACAGCGAGCCGCTCACTGCCGGTAAAACAATGCTGTTCCAGCCAATATGCGGAACGGACTTCCTTCCGCCATCGACAGAAGAGTCGAGGGTCTGGAACTTGGACAACTCGTAAGATATGTAGCCCAATCCCTCACTACCGGCGCCCGGGGACTCCTCAGAACCGGTAAACAACGACTGGAGTCCAACACAGATGCCCATCAACGGGCGCCCGCTTGCAATGTATGCCTCCAACGGCGCAACAAAACCGCGTGCACGAACCTGCTGTACAAAGTGCCCGTAATTACCCACGCCAGGTAAAAACACACGCGTGGCCGTCGCAAGCGCCGGGTCGTCCGCGCGCTTCACGATGCGGGCCTCATAGCCGAGAAACTCGATTGCATTCTGTAAGGAGCGGAGGTTACCGCTTTCCACGTCGATGATGTGGACGATATTGGACATCGATAAAATGAAAATGTGGAGAAAGAGTGTGAGGAGGAGCGTGGGGAAGAGCGCGAGGAAGAGATTTTGATATACTGGGCGCTGAGTCACTGGGTGTGGCGGTATATGCATAATGGGATGTGGCGGTGAATATGTGGCGCACCGGAAGAGTCACCCGGTAATATACGCAGATGTGACTCGGGGCAAAACAAAGGCTACTATATTTTGCAAGAGGGTTTTTTGGGGATTGAGGCAGAATATTGTTAATTAGGTGTCGAAGGAGGGTTTAAGAGAAGGCGCAAAGAGATATGGTTGTGAATGAACTGTAGGGTGGTGGTCTCATGGTAATTGGATATCGTAATTATGGTGATGTCGAAAAGAAAGGAAAATCTTGGTTTTATCGGAGAATTACTTGTAAGGTTGATCTATCCTCGGTAGGTTATGTTACTTGAGGGTATAGACAAGGTATGGTGTTAAAGTCTAAGTAGATCAGGTTGACCCGGTTCGGCAAGCGTGCTACGCCAACAAATTGTGGGCACATTATCGTACAAAGGTGACGATAAGAGTTTTTGTTTTTTTTTTGTTTTTTTTTGGTTTAGAAGAGATAATCCTGTGAATATTAAATTGGTATAATGTATTTAGTAGTAAGTTAGCCCAGTATGACTGTTCCAATTCGTTGGATGTTGGAATAGCCAAACGAAGTTATCGGGTAATATGAGTTGTAACACCGTTAGCTCTGTCCAGTCTGATGTGATATACTGCTAACTTCCGCTAAACCATATGGAAAATCGGCTTAGTTCCGTTTTCAGCTCATCGTACTGGTCAAGAATCGTACGATCATTCAACCATACTAGTTGTGATATCTCCGGAAACCTCCGGAGATACCGATGAAGGCCCATATACATTTAACAATAGCGTTCCTTATATTCTTCCTGTTAGATTTACTAGAAAAATTGCTTGAATAAGCTAAAGTTTAAACCCCCGCATTTTTGAGAATTCATACTTAGTTAGATCAACGTTCTTTTCATCCAGACCTCATATGACTGTACTCCCCAGATGTAGTGAGGCTCGCCGTCACCTTACGTTACGTGCAAAGGTACAACTTCGTCACTAAATACACGACCGTAACCTAGAAGTCGGTACATCTCCCGTTGAAGGAGTAGTCACCGTGTCTCAACGGATCCTGCTTTGGGCCACCGATTTCGCCAGTCACGGGGTTGACCTCGCCTTCAAACTCTGGAATGGTTTTGAAAAGACCTGGGGCAAACGAACCCACGCTGTTGGTCTTTAACAACGGCGACTTGTCTTCCACGGCATCCTCGTGTCCGTGAGAGGCGTTGTACTCGTCGATGGCGGATCTGGACGAGGCAAGCTTCTGCAACGCCTCGAACTCGGCCTGGTCCTCCTTCGCGAGCTTCGGTGGACCCGGCTGGTGTTGGGGCTGGTATCTAGGCGTGGAGTTGGCGCGGACTGCCAACACAACCGGTCTGTAAACGGTATTGAGGGTTCTGGTGGTTAAAAAGGACATGCTGAGGTTGAGAAGTGGACGTGAAAGGAGGGAATCAGGCGGATTCTTTCATGCGGAAAAATGAGCGCCGAATGCGGCGCAATCTCCGAATCTCCGGGGTAGAGGGGCCATAATTGCTGATTTCATCCTGTGAAGACATAGATTTTACATCTATCCCGCAATAGATTTGCTTCAGTTTTTTGCCGTATCAGTGCATTAATTTGGGGTGATTAAATTGGTAGCTGATGTTGCGCATGTGAAATAAGCCTTGGAAGTTGGATTCTCTGTACTAAAGGCTCTGGCTTGGATCGCAGGCTGTCTAACATGTGTACCCCTTTTCCACGACGCGTGAAACTTGTATATGGAAATACAAATTCTCTCGCCTTTTAATGGTCTAAGGTTTGGGCGGTGGGTAAGTCCCTAGTATCGCACGTCCACACCAAACCCTCACAAATCTCTACCAACTTGATCCTAATACTCCACCTACAACAGCTCTATTACATTTCTAAATCAATTTCTTTCACTTAAGCCTCCTTAATGACCTTTTCGGCGCTGGAAACGTCAACACTCACGTTATCTGGCTCCACAAAGGTCTTGACAACCTTCCCGTTGTTAACCAAGATGGCGGATCTCTTGTATCTCTCGTTCCCAAAGAACTTGGAGGCGTCGAACAACAAGTCTGAAGCCTTGCCGAATTCGCCCTTGTGGTCAGCAATGAAGCGGACCTGGTCTGGGGCGTCCAAAGAGGCGCCCCACGCCTTCATCACGAACACGTCGTTATGGGCAACAACGAAGAACTTATCGTAGCCCTTGGTGACAAACTGGTTCATCTTGGCGATAAAACCCGGCACGTGGGAGGCAGAGCACGCCGGGGAAAAGGCACCTGGAACACCAATGATCACAGACTTGCCAACAGCCGTTTCATCCGCAAGGTTAACGGAGTTACCTGGAGAGCCTTCCAACACTGCGGTGGCTGGGATACTGTCACCGGCCTGGAGGAAGGCTGGAGTGGAAGTCTTGAAGCCTCTGGTGAAGGTGCGAGGAATGGATCTCTTTAAAGCAAACATTGTGTAAAGAGGATGGCGAATGGAGGAATTGAAGAAACTAAAAGAAATGGGTGTTAAGTAGCAATCGGATTCCTGTGGAGCGGCATTTCCCCTCAATGCTCCCCTGGAATTTTCGGCACAGGAGAAATGATAGAGCATTTTTCATCCAACAGCACAGTTGGTTATACTATTTTACATTATATTGCTTATAGACAGAATTCCAAAGGCTTCCAGACTGAATGATAATTGAGGTTTGTTGCATTCCAGGAAGAGGCATGTGTGGAAAATTTGACAACCGTTGATGTCACCATTCTGGTATAATAAAGTACCGACAAGTTATGATTGGGATTTATGAGTTGCATCAATTCATCGCCATGAGGTTAATAAGATGTTGTTTATTTCCCAAAATATAGACGTTACAGTTAGATATTTGGTTTATTAATATATTACATAATATACAGCCGCTACGCGTGGTCATATTCAGTCCACCGTCATGAATCACCCACTAGTAAGCCCATCCTCGGTGTTTCGCACAAAGGTTCGTGAAAAAAAAATTCTTCAAGCTCTTTGCAGCTCCCACTTCAGCCACCTCTGACTATTCACGTTTGATCTTGCCCCGGTATTAGCCATGAACTGTCCAGTCAATGGTTAATTAATCACAAAATGATTAAACCACCTTGTTCAACCTCGTTCTAGATGCTTGCTGAACGCTCGCTGACACCCACTAGACACTCGCTAGACCAACTTGATTGGAGGATTCTCCAATACATACCTGAGTGCCTTGAGCAACTCCTCGCGGTCCTTCTTGTCAAATAACCAGATCCCATACACATCCTCCTTCACGTCCTGGATAATCACCAAATCGCCCTGCTGCTCCACACTCATCAACACCGATTTCTTCCACTCGCTAATGCAGTTCGGCACGATACCGATGGAGAAATTGGCCGGGCTACTACGGTTCAAGATGATGAGCCCATAGTAGAAGTCGTCCTGTACGGCGTGAGGGTCCAACGGTTTGGCGGGATCATAGTTCAGGCGCGAGTAGACCGAAACCAAGCCCAGATATTCGAGTTTCTCCCACTCTTCGCTGGCCTGGTCAAACTTGTAAGCGACAGCGTACGGCGAGTCGTAGACCACATTGTTGATCTTCGGGTCGTACCGCGAGATCACGTTGAAGTTGAGAGTATTGCGGTAGAATTCAAGTTGTTGTTGCTGCTGCTGCTGCTTCTGCTGTTCCAGCTGCTTCTTAGATGTGGACATTGTGCTGTTTTGATTACAAAGGAAGAACCAAGGTGAAGGCTCTCGTGGTTGTAATGTAGTCGGCCTGCACGGAGCGTGGATGAAGAGAGCACGTGACAGAAATATTCATGGCTTTGAAATAAAATATTAAATAGGATTCACAGAATGAATAAATTGAGGGATGGTGAATTAGAGAATATGAATTGATTGACAAAGTCACTTTGTTTTGTCAAAGCATCAGAAATGGGCCGTTTTCCTAGCACCTCTTTAAAAAAAAAAAAATGACTCAAATCCTCTTGGTTTTCCCTTTCACGCCGATTGAGAGCTCTACGGTCGCCTACACCTCTTTTACATATGCTCGTGGAATAAATGGACACCTATACCATGCACTAATATACAGAAACAAAAAGTGACCTAGAAGTCATCAGTGACCTTCATTCTGTTCCCCTTACTGTTCTTCTTGCCATGCTTCTTACCATTGCCTGCGGCATTCTGGAGCTTGTGGAATGGGGTGGCGAAGGTGCCCTTGACATTGTCAGACAAGAAAAACTCCTTGTCCAAGGCATCACCGGCGCTGTACAACGCAGCCTGCTTACCACCATAGTTGGATCCGGTCTGCGCAGCGCCACGCGAGTTGTCAGAGGCAGAGCCACCGATATGCGCGGAGAAATTCAAGGATGCCAAGTCCTTGGACAAGTCGAGAGAGTCAATGTCAAGACCCTTGAGCTTGGCCGCAGCGATCAACTGCTCTCTTCTGGATTCAGACAACTTGTCGAGCGAGAAAAGGTCCTTGTTGAACACAAGCGCATCCTCGCGGCTGATTGGAGCACCGGTGGGGTCTGGTGGCGCCTGCACATACAACAACTTCCCAGCCACATAATCCTTCAAGACATATCTAGCGGCTCTGCTCTCATCTGCGGAACCGAAACCGGCGGTCATGTAACCTCTGGCTCTGGCGTACGCGGTCAACAACTCCTGGGAGGTTGGCACACCGGTACCACCCTCCTCAATTCTCTTGGTGGGGATGGCAATACCGTAGATGGCCTCGAGGAAGTACTTTGGAATCCGCTGTGCCACAAGGGTGCATGGCCCGGTGTACTCCCTCAACTGATCGATCGGAAGCACACCGTTGCAGACCAATTCACCGTTGGTGTAGGCAAAGTTAGGGAACACGAGACCCGGGCAATCGCACAACAACACGGACGGCGAGAGGTGGATGGTTTGGAAGTGTTTGGTCTTACCTGGGGTGGACGACACAGACACCTTCTTGGAGCCCACCAACGCGTTGATGGTGGACGACTTCCCGACGTTTGGGTACCCCACCAACCCGATCTGGGTGATCGGTGCCTGGCTCGGGTCTCTTGGCTTGGTCAACGGCTCCGGCGCTTCCGCGAGGAACAAGTCCTCCAACTGCTCGATACGCAAAATTCTGATGCGCGGATCGACGTCTTCATCGTTGTAGATCTGTGCCACGTCAACCTCCTCACCCAAGGACTCCAACTCCAAGATGCTGTTGGCGGTCTTGGCAGAGAAAAAGGTGTATCTGATGTCGTGCGCAATAAAGTACTCGGCCCACGCAAGCCTCTGTGAGTCACTCAACAAATCTGCCTTGTTCACCAACAACAAACTCTTCTTCAACGGATTCACCTCCTTAACATACACGTCCAAATCGATGGAACGGAAGAGCAACGGGTTACGTGCGTCCACAATCTGCACCACAAGATCGGATCTTTCCACCACACGCCACAACTGTCTCCAGACCTCGAGATTTCTCTCGAACGGCGTCAACAATAAGTCGTTGTTCTGCTGCAATACGGCCAACTGGCGTCTCCACTCCAAAAACGCCACTTTCTCTTGTCTCTCCAACTGCGTTCTGGTCGTCGTGGCGTCCCACGCCGGTCTTCTCGGGCATGTCAACTTGTCCGCAAACTCCTTGTGCAACTTGGAACGCTCGAGCTCCTCCGCCTTCGTCAAAAGGTACTGGTTCTTGGAGGCGTCGATCTTGATAATCTTGACCGAAGCTCCCCTTTCGGCCGTGAAATCAGTGTCAGCCAACTCGGCGGTATTTAAAAACTCATCCAACGAGTTTTCCTGCGTGACCGATCTCAACTTGACCCACGCGTCCTCGTGCTTCTCCGTGGTGTATCTCAACTCGCCATCCGGGAGGTACTCCACCTTGTTCTTCTTGACGTTAGCGATCGCTCTCCCGAGCCCGATCAAGTTCTTGTTCTTGTGGTGCACTGGCTTGGGCCCTTTTGGGGCCTTCCACTTCTTCACTGGTTCCTTTGGCGGCATTTTGTGTGTGGTCGGGAAGAGCAAGAGCAAGTTTCGTTAATTTTTTTACATAATTATATAGGAAGAAAAAATAATTTTGTGCTTATGTAAGCCTCATCGCTGTTTGTGCAGGAGCGGATGAGTAAGCGAGAAGCAGGTATTGAAGGGGCCCCTGATATCTGTCCGTTGATATTACTACTAAAATGGCGTAGGTTGAATATAAATTCATGGCTGTAAGCTATATCGACCGAGGGTTTCTGGATCAACCACAACTGTGAAACCGGCATAGTGGTCAGGATAATTGTCCTACGTCCTGCAGGTAGCCGCTTGGTGTATGAATAGTCATTACGGCTGCCAGTCTCAACCGAAAGAGCTAGCCAAGCCTAAATGCAAAATAAGGACGTATTTCGGGGGGCGTTTCTTATTAAAAAGCTGGAGTTTAAAGGTGTCGCAAAAGCCTCGGGGTTTCCTTGTCTATAAAATTATTTTTATATTTTACGTTCGTATGCTATCGGCGGCGAAGAGATCAGTCTGATCGAAGTTACCATATATATAGCCTGCAGATACCGGATATACCTGGTGCAATACACCATTATAGTGTAGTATTTGGTGAAAATTGTTGGCGTTGTTTCTATCCTAGAATTGGGGTAGTGACGTGATTTTCCTTGTATAAAATTCAATAAATCTTTATAATATATTCGACATCGACAGTTTTTCGTATGACACAGCACAATGTGTTTATTCTCCACTTGGCACACCCGATATATACCCTCAGCATAAAATTACGGATAATTCATTCGTCCCTCAGGCAGAATAAAGTGCAGCCTAGGTGGAATTTAGCGCCTATCAAACATGTGCTATCACAAATAGAAATTCAACTAAAAAAAATCCTCAGGGACTATTCTGAAGCGCTACCAGTCTATCGCCAACTGTTCACCAAATGGCAGATCATCATCTTGAAATACAGCCACCACCTGAACAATGCAAAATGGACAACGGTAGCCTTGTTTCTTTGGGGTCCGTCCTGGGTCTCCTCGGTGATAACCGCAACTTGGTCGTTGTCAACTTCAGTCACATTGGCCTCTCGCAAGGCACCTAGTTGTTGCAAGACCAGGGTTCTGACCGTCTCTTCCAGTTGAGCAGACGCACTCACGATCTCAGGTTCCGAGTGTAGCGATTGGATCTCCTCAAACACCTCGACTGAGGGGTTTACCGGGGTGGAAAAAGGGGTGACGGATTCTTCATCCCTCTCCTCGTCAGTCGTACTCTCAATCTCGTCCTTGAAATTTTTCAGTAAAGAGGTGGAAACATCAGAGCGGAAAGTCTGGTTGGGACCTTCCTTATTGTCGTGCAATCTCACCGGTGGAGTTTCAGGAGCTACACTTTTTTGGTGAATTTCGGTCGGAATCCTCTCTTCGGCGACTGCTGCTTTTTCACCAGAAATTTCAGCAGTTTTAGTCACTTCATCTTCCTCCAGTCCATGTGAGCTGCTTTTGATCGGTTGGAGTCGCTCGTGTTCCACCGTTTCACTCACTGGTCCTGTTTCCGTGTCCATGGGAGTAGATTCTGGAGTAAAGGTCAGGGGTGAGTTTTGCCCAGTGTCTTTCTCGGCCTCAGGGCTGATGCCCTCGAACCTGTCAGAGCCCTTTGTGGCTGGTGCCAGAAAACTTGATTCCTTGGTATACGACTCGTCAATCTCTATGTTCTTACCTTTGGGGTGACCAGCGTTGGAAGCTTCGAGTTCTTTGACTTCGAAAATAGAGTCCAGTCCATCAATTTCACCCTTAGACGATGTAAGCGCCTCGTTTGGCGGCGTAGCGGTGGTCTCATTGCTGAACGTCGACCCAGAGCTGTCGGCGTCGTCATAGTATTCCTCTTCATCCGGCGACGCGCTGCTGCGAATCCCAGTTTTCGGTAAAACCAAGTAGTTGTTAAAACCGCCAAACCCATCGTCCTCAAAAGACAACCTTCCGTCGTGGAACCAGCCGGCGCCACTGTCGCTGATGAACTTGAAAGTGAGCTTTTCCAGAGCAACGTCTTCGGGCTCAACGTGCTTTGATACGTTAAAGTTCCAGGTGTTGTCAGTGGGAGAGTACTCCATTGGTAATGGGGACCAGTTGGTGAACGAGCCAGCTATCTGGAGATGGCCGTTCTCTGATACGGACTGAGTGGTGATTATGACATCTGGCAGTGACATTGTAGAGATAGTCTAGCAGCAGAACTGTAATGGTACGGTCCTTTTTGTCTTCTACAGAGTATCGCAAGGTTTAGGGGCTAAACTATGTCTGGAAAGAGTTTTGTTTGCAACTTCCCCCAGAGCAAAAGGATTGTTTTGCTGAGGAGGTGTCGGGTCGATCCCGAGCATAAGGGGGTTGACGCATGTCGCTGCCGAGCCCTCGGAGTACTAAAGACCCCGAATATCGGAGGGGAAACACAATAGGTATCTCGGCTACTTTCCTTAGAAATGAGATACGAATCGTGTTGTCTGGGTAATGGAACTCTAAATTGTGGGTCTCGGGGGGTCTGGCCCGGAGTGCGTCAAACGTACTCTGGAGCGCATCGGATGATGCATCACCCGATGCATCAGGTAATTAAGGTTCACTGAGTTGTGAGGGTTTTCTGGTGCGATTTGAAAATTCGCTTAATAAAAGTAATATCCACACCTGATTCTAACTGGTTGAACTATGGGTGGGAAGAGTGCTCAAATGTATGAGTCCGGGAACTTTTACGGTATAATCCTAGCCTCTTTCAGAGTGTATGATAGCATAGATGGGTGAGCCTTCATCCTTGGTATCGGTCTGTCATGTTGTTTTTCTACAGACGCGTAAAATTGAGCTTGTATATTAAACGATCGCCTGCAGAGACGCGTGGATCTCGTCAGGATACCGTAGTTCTGTGCATAGTTGAAAGTGCATTCTGTTGGGTATGCTCATGGTTAACCAATAGGAAGGAACAAGAGGATCATAGCGCATAAAAGCATACATAGATGTAAACAAAGAACTCAGGTGTGAGATTGTAACTTGAACTGTATATTGCATTTGCCAGGAACATTTGCTTTTTCACGTAGAATTTTGAAAATGCTATCCAAATTGCATGCAAATACACATTTTCTAGAATATTTTTTATGTAAACAATTAAATGCTGAGAAGACTGGATAAATATATATGGTATTTAAACGAAGAAAACCACACACACATATTCATTTAATTTTGATTATTAAATGGTTATAGGTTACCGATATTAATGCACATGCACTTTGGAATCTTTATTAATATTTATTTAATAAGCCTTAACGCCTAATGGTCTCTAGTTCACCCTCTTTTTCACTTCAAGTGTTAGCTCGCATGGTCTAGTGGTATGACGTCTCATTCACTCTGAGAAGGTCAAGGGTTCGATCCCCTTTGTGATCATCATTTATTTTTTAATTGCCCATCCAACTTGGCCTGTATTTCTGCACAGCACTTTAAATCTATATCGTAGATGGAAATCAGATATGGCTCTGGAAACAGTCCTTCCTCCGGCATGCTTTTTGGGACGAAATCGACATTGCAGGATTTTGTAATTAAACCAGCTGAGGGAGGATACTCTTGGTATTAAATCTATACATAAATAATAAGAACCGTGATTTATACACCGTGAGGTGTCTACGCCAACCTATTCTCCGTAAATGGCAAGTAGAGGATTCGTAACATGATACGCACGAACGTAGCTTTAGCGCAAAACCTATCGCTCCATGCCCCTAACTATAGATCCAAGCCCTTAACTATAAGTATCAATGTATACCAGTAATAAAGCTCACTCCAGTTCCATTAACCAACTGGGAATTGCGCGTTTCCCTCCCTTGAACGTATACTGACTTATATCTACACTTTATTAGCCATAGGACTGACCAAGATACGTTAGATAAACATCATATATCTAGACGTACTAGTTACGAGTTGACTTTAGTGCTATCATTAATCATCCTATGCATTTGGTATTCGTTAGGATACCCGAGCTGTGGTATATCTAGCAGGTGCGAGCGGATACCATTTGCTAACTAAATATAACTTTCTAATCTCAACCCGGACCGCGGGAGATCGGCGGTGTAAAACGCACCAGCGTGCTGCACCGAAGGCTGAAATGAGTCTTTTTTCTAGGGCTAAAGGCTGCCGTCGAATGCGCCCAGAGCACGACCCCGGAGATAAGGCACCGTAGAGTGATTTTTAGAAAGTTTTTCCATAGGCAAAAGCCTGACTAATCTTATAAACGTCATTCTCCGTATTACAATTTATACACCAATAAAGCCCTAAGCAGGATTGATTTGTCGCCCAACGTTCCACTATACACCACCTGCCATGTCCACCAATAACAAGTACGCCAGCATAAGACCACTTACCATCCGCGATTCTAGTAAGGCCGCCAAAACGCTCTACAAGGCCTTCAAAACAGATGTTCTTTCTCGGTACGTGTCCAAGCACTTGGAGGACCAGCCAGAGTACCGCCAGAAAGTTGACATCGCGTTGTACGAAGCGTATGTGTACTCACACATCTTACGGGGGCTTGTGTTCGGGATTGAGTATGACCCAAGCTCCGCGACGGAAGAGGTTGACGACGGGACAGGAATTTCCAACGCCGAGTGCTTTGAGACAGTTTCGCTCTGGGCACCTCCGGGGGTAAATATTGATGATCCCATCACCTTCGCGCGATCTTACTATAAATTCGCATGGTTAACTGGTGCTGCAGGCCGCAAAAGAGTTTTTACCACCTTTTTCGGGGCTTTGGTGTTTAACTTTCACGATGCTTTGGGTAAGGAAGACAACGACGCATATGCTTTGGTCTATTTAGCCTCCACACCGGCTGCCAGAGGTAAGGGCAACGCTAGAAAAATGTTGGAGTACATGTTTGAGACCCACATTGACAAAGAGAATAAGTTGACTTATTTGGAAAGCTCCAGCGCTGTGAATATCCCAATTTACGAGAAGTTCGGATTCAGGTGGGTCAGGGACATGATTATCGGGGACGAGAACGACCCAAATGGGGACTTTGCCCGGTTGAACGTGATGGTGCGAGGGGTCCAGGGCGAACAGTGGGTGCCAAAGACCGATAACGCGTAGGCTCGCGTATGAACGGATCGGGCCACCAAGTCCGGTGGTGATGGGCGGTAAAAGAATTAGCATATTCGCCTTAAGCATTCCCTCAAACCGGAGGTCCTACGAGTATTTAGAATAATTTATTAACCACGCTGCTTTTATGATAGATATGCGAGCGGCACCTAATTCAGTGAACCTGTGCGCCTTTCGCAGAGCCTTTTCTGTTTGCAACCAAGCTACACACCGAGTTTTATGTGTCACTTCTAATGAGGCCATCGAAAGGTATATCAAGGCATGGTGGTGCAAAAATAAGGGCATGTGTCGGTGTGAAAGGTTAACCACGGTGAGATTTAAGGGGAAGAGTTGGCATATTATATGCTACCAATGTCCATATTTCGGTATACAAGGATCCGTCCTCTTCGTATGCCGTTAATATACCGGGTCCATCATTCCTTCAGCAAATACTCTGTGTTAATACCAACCTCGTACATATTGTTCCCGGCTTACAGATTGCATAATGTAGTGCCGTAATGTCTTGATCCGAGAAACAACTTGTTCTATTAGGGAGTAAAACATCACTCATTATTGTACTCTAGAGGTACCCTATACGTACGCATGGACCGATTACCATGGATCCCTGATACACTTATGCACGGTCTAGTACGTTCATATAAGTGCTTGTTCCGTTTCTATAACGGGTATATTTCAATCGCGGCAAACCCATTTGTCTTTGGCCGACAATTCAGAGAAAGGAAGCAGGGGTGGCAGGTGCGAATGGGAGGCAACGGTTGGGCTGGTAGTAAAGGGCTTGTTCCTTGCAGTCCATCAAATGTCTAATTTAAACACAAGTAATTAATTGTATCTAGTATTTACAATTTTCAGCTCACCGTCTAAGCCCTTCCCTGTCCGGCCCACGCGTTCGTATCGTGCAACAATCAATTTGGCAGGCAAAAACGAAAAAGCGCGGGCGTTTTAACACCTCCACTACATCGCCATTTCTCACCCGTTAACGTTTAGAATCCCTTACAATGTACCACCCTAATCAGTCTAGACAGGGGTTCACCGATCCGATGATAATGAGACAGAACGCACCGCAGTTCCAGCAGCAGTTCCACCAGGCGCCGCCCCACCTCCAGCAGATGCACCCGATGCCGCCGGCCCACCAACTCCATCCCCAGGCAAGAACCGGTCAGGCGAACCAGGTGAGCGCGGGGCCAGAATCGTTCCAGAACAAGGCGCTACACGATGAGAAGATCTACAGCTGGATTATCGAGTTGGTGTATGGCCCGAACAAGGAAACGGCACTCTTGGAATTGGGAAAGAAGCGCGAGGAGTACGACGACCTAGCCTTGGTGTTGTGGTACTCGTTTGGCGTGATGACATCGTTGCTTGAGGAGATTGTCGCGGTGTACCCGTTACTTTCGCCGTCCAACTTGAACCCAAACAACTCGAACCGTGTATGCAACGCGTTGGCGTTGTTGCAGTGCGTGGCGTCGCACTTGGAGACGCGCAACTTGTTTCTTCAGGCACATCTTCCATTGTTTTTATATCCGTTTCTCAACACAAACTCGAAGCAGCGTCCGTTTGAGTATTTGCGCTTGACATCCTTAGGAGTCATCGGCGCGTTGGTGAAAAACGACACCCCAGAGGTGATCCAGTTCTTGTTGACCACTGAAATCATTCCTCTCTGCCTCAACATCATGGAGTCGTCGTCTGAGTTATCCAAGACCGTGGCGATTTTCATCGTCCAGAAGATTTTGGTTGATGATGCCGGTCTCAGCTACATCTGCCAGACTTACGAGCGCTTCAACGCCGTCACTGGTGTTTTGAAGACCATGGTCGAGCAGCTTGTTAACCAGCAGACCGGAAGGTTGTTAAAGCATGTGGTAAGGTGCTACTTGAGATTGAGCGACAATGTTGAAGCCAGGAATATCTTGAGGCAGCAGTTACCGGAGCCTTTGAAGGATGGCACGTTCGGGATGATTTTACGGGATGATGGTGCGACCAAGAGGTGTTTGGCGCAGTTGCTAGTGAATTTGTCCGAGTGAAGAACGAGCGACCTGTCAGATCTCTGAAATTACCGAGTTGATTATGTGAGATAATTCTCATTGAATCACACCACGTGATATCTTGTTTCTCCGAGGGGTATGGTTTCTCTGAGCGATACCTTTGTGTTTCCGGATTGATACTATTGTCTGCTAGTGGACGCATTCTCAGACCCAGTCTACACTCATTTCTGAGTTCATTCTGAGTTAATTCTGAGCTAATTCTGAGTTCATTCTGAGTTCATTCCCTAAACAATTCTCTTAGAACATTCTCTCCGAACATTGTCGTCTACGCTCTAGCCCACCTTGCTAACTCATCGCTTTCGGCAATTCACACCTCTTCCATTATGAATTATGTATTTTAGCTTCTCCATGAAAATTGCATCTGTTACTTATTTTCTTTTTACTCGTCACGTGTTGTGTTTTTTTTCCATAGAGTCTCTCTGTTCGGTTTTCCTGTTCGTTTTTTGAAGGTCTATATCTCAGATCTTATTTCTTATTCTTGTCGCATTTTGACTCAGATTTTACGTTTCGTTTCTCCTATATAATCCCGTTGGGTCTTGCCTACAATGAATTTTTTTATCCTTTTCTATAAATTTTCTCATTTCCTACACTTTATTTGGAAGTAGAGACATGTACCAGTCACGCTAAATTCACTATTCAATGCTTCGCAGACGAAATACTATAGGCTTGGCCCTGTCGGTGCAAACAGTTGAGTGTGAACCCCGGGAAACGTAAAAGTATTTCCCGCACCCCCAAGATATAAACACATTTACTTTGCAAGGTTAAATCTTTTTCGGTCTGATAAAAACCCGCTCTAAGCACCGAGAGAATTACCAGAGAGCTTCCCCTATCCACACATCACGTGACAGCACTCAAAGTGAGCTATTCCTTGTCCTAATAATCTACAGATTAAATCTTAAGCCAATTGTTTATTTCGCCATAAAAATTTAGCAAAGACGATGCAAAAACAGCCAAATACTGAATACCTCGATCTGGCTCAAGATTCTCACCAGCTCATCCCTTTCCCGACAGCGTCGCTTACATAAGCACCAATAGACACGTAATCGCGAAGCAAAACGATCCAAAAACACACGCCAAGGCGCTTTCTTCTTTCCCATCTCTTGATCCCGAATCATTGCTAGTTCATTGATCTTTTTGCCAGTTCATCATGTCCACCCACAGCTACAAAAAGCACGACGACGCCGAGGGCGGTGCGCCGGACAAGATGACGGTGTTCCAGGACTGTCTCCTGGGCTTCAACGCCCTGCCAGTGAGCGCGAAGAAGTGCCGCGGGCTCCTTGCAAAGTTGTTGCGTTTGCTCTACAGCGGGGAAACGTTCCCAGCCTCGGAGGCCACGACCCTTTTCTTCTCCATCTCGAAGTTGTTCCAGCACAAGGACTCGTCGCTCAGACAGTTGGTGTACCTCGCGATCAAAGAGTTGTCGCTCATCTCGGACGACGTGTTGATGGTCACCTCGTCCATCATGAAGGACGTTCAGAGCAACGAGCTCGTTGTCAAGCCGAACGCAATCAGAACCCTCGCACGCGTGCTTGACGGCTCGACCGTGAACGCAGCAGAGCGTTTGATGAAGAACGCGGTGGTGGATAAGAACCCGATTGTCGCGTCGGCTGCGCTTCTTTCGTCTTACCACTTGCTCCCGGTCGCGCGCGACGTGGTGAAGCGCTGGACGAATGAGACCCAGGAGGCTGTCACGGCACAGAAGCTCCTCCCGAGTGACCAGTTTGCGTTGCACGAGTACTACGGCTCCAGCAACCTCCCGAGCGCCACCTACAGCTACCAGTACCACGCGTTGGGCTTGTTATACCTCCTCCGCAACCACGACCGCATGTCGTTGATGAAGATGATCCAGCAGCTCTCGGGCAACAACTCGCCGTTGAAGAGCCCAATGGCGATCGTGCAGTTGATCCGCTTTGTCGCCAAGATCGCTGTTGAGGACCCATCCGCCACCCAGGCGCTCTTCCCGTTGCTCGCGGCTTACTTGAGACACAAGTCGGACATGGTCGAGCTCGAGGCGGCCAAGGCGATTGTTGCGCTCAACGTGACCCCGGAGCAGTTCCTCCAGGCTATTAACACGTTGCAGGTGCTCCTCTCGGCGCCACGCACGGTCACACGGTTCGCGGCGGTACGTGTGTTGAACCGTATCTCCATGAAAAACCCGGAGAAGATCGTGGTGTGCAACGCCGAGTTGGAGGGCTTGGTCAACGACCCAAACCGCTCCATATCCACCTATGCCATCACCACCTTGTTGAAGACCGGCAGCTCTGATAACGTGGACCGCTTGATCAAGACGATTGCCAAGTTCATGGGCGACATTTCCGACGAGTTCAAGATCGTTGTCGTCGACTCCATCCGCACGTTGGCGTTGAAGTTTCCTGAGAAGCACGGCGCCATGTTACGCTTCCTCAACGAGCTTCTCCGTGATGACGGTGGCTTCGCCTTTAAGAACTCCATTGTCGAAGCCTTGTTCGACATGATTCGCTTCGTGCCGGCCTCCCGCGACGGCGCCTTAGAGCACTTGTGCGAGTTCATCGAGGACTGCGAGTTTACTGAGTTGTCCGTGCGCATCCTCCATCTTTTGGGTGAGGAAGGCCCGAAGACCAACTCCCCAACGTTGTACATCCGCCACATCTACAACCGGGTAGTGTTGGAGAACTCGATCATTAGATCCTCAGCCGTCATTGCGTTGTCCAAGTTTGCTCTCCTCGGCGACGCCGCCATCAAAAAGAACATCCAGATCTTGTTGACCAGGTGCTTGAACGACGTGGACGACGAGGTCAGAGACCGTGCGGCGTGGTCGTTGAAGTTGATTGCGTCCGACCTCCCAGAGGCCCAGTCGTTTGTCTCGCCGCTCAACTACTCGTTGCCGGTCTTGGAACAGCAGTTGGCACTCTATGTCGCCGGCGACAAAGCCACCTTCGCGACACCGTTCGACATCCACGCGATTCCGGTCATGTCCGAGGCCGAGTTGAACGCGATCGAGTTCCGCGAAAAGACCGACGCCGAGCCGGTTACCGAGAAGGTTGAGGAACAGTCGGACCTCCTCAAGACATCGCTCTTGCAGCAGAAGTACTCACAGGAGCTCTCGGAGATTCCCGAGATTGCCGCGTACGGTTCGTTGTTGCACTCGTCCAAGGTGGTGGCCCTTACCGAGAAGGAGACCGAGTTTGTTGTCACCACCGTTAAGCACGTGTTTGCCAACCACTTGCTCTTGCAGTACGATGTGGAAAACACGTTAACCGATATTGAATTGCACGACGTTACCGTGATTGCCCAACCCGACAGCGACGCTTACGCTGAGGAGTTCAGCATGCCGATCGACGTTTTGCGCGCGGAGTCCAAGGGCACCATCTACGTGTCATACACGAGACCAACTGAAGTTGGAACGGACTTGTTGGCGGCATTCGGCAACACCTTGTCGTTCATCACCAAGGAGGTCGACCCAGACACCCAGGCCGCCGATCCGGAGGACGACGGGTTCCAGGACGAGTACCAGATTGAGGACTTGGAGGTTGGCCCCGGCGACTTTATCGTGCCGGCCTACATGGCGAACTTCACGAGCATCATGGACGCATTGCCGCACCAGCAGTCGGCCGTGTTTAACTTGGGTGACGGTGCGTCGGCGTTGCTGGACACTGTTGCGAAGTTGGTCACGTCGTTGTCGATGCTTCCGTTGGAGAACTCCGAGGTTGTGGATGGGAACAGCCACGTGTTGAAGTTGTTCGGGAAGACGATTTGGGGTGGCAAGGTTGGGGTGAGTATCCGCTTGGCACACAATGCGGCAAAGGGCACGTTGGCGAAGGTGGAGGTGCGTGCGGAGGAGGAAAACGTAGCGGAGATGGTTGTTGAGGGGATTAACTAGCCGGGCCTAGCTGAATGGTGCGGTCTCCCCCCTGAGCGACATTCTAGACTCTTCCATTTATTTGTTTTATCTAATTTTTTTTTATCAAAGTCAGACTTCCTGTAGACACATATGGGCTGGCGCTAGATGCTTCCGCATCTCCATCCTACAAGTTTTGATTTTTGTAATATATTAGCTGCCAGAAGTTTCAGACGGCGCTGATCTGGCTGCTTTAGTTCTTACCAGCAGCGGCTCTGAAGTAGATAATGTCACCGTCTTCGACAACGTACTCCTTACCCTTCTTCATCAACTTACCGGCGGACTGGACCTCCTTCTCAGACTTCAACTCCATCAAGTCGTCGTACTTCATGACGTCGGCCAAGATGAAGGTGTTCTTCAAGTCGTTGTGGATGACACCGGCGGCGTCTGGGGCCTTGGTGCCCTCTCTGATGGTCCATTCTCTGACCTCGTCGGCACCGGAGGTGAAGAAAGAAATCAAGTCCAACTTCTTTCTCATAGTGGTGATGATCTTTGGCAAGGCAGAGGCACCGTTGATGGCCTTTTCTTCCTCCTTGATCTCTTCTTCGGTCATGTGGGACAATCTCTCCTCCAAGCAGACCGAGATAGGAATGATGACGTCACCTGGGGAGTACTTGTCAACCCATTCCTTAATGGCCAACAAGTACTTGTTTTTCTTTCTGAGGTAGTCTCTCTCGGACAAATTGATCAAGTAGATGGATGGCTTGGCGGTCAAGAGGAACATGGTGTTGATGACCTCGATTTCCTTGACGGTCCAGGTGTGGTTGGCGACTCTCTGGCCAGATTCCAACAACGCGATAATTCTCTTGACCAACTCAACCTCTTCCTTCAATTTCTTCATCTCCAAGGACTGGCCACCTCTCTTGGTAAGTCTCTCGGCGGCCTCTAAGTGCTTGGTGGCGAACTCAATGTCCTTCAATCTCAATTCGTTGGAGATGATTTCCAAGTCACGGACCGGGTTGACATCACCTTCGATGTGGATGATCTCTGGGTCGTCAAAGACTCTGCAGACCTGGTAGATGGCATCGACGGCTCTGATATGGGACAAGAAAGCGTTACCCAAACCTTCACCGGCGGAGGCACCCTTGGTCAAACCAGCAATATCGTAGATGGTGATGTGGGCAGGGACCTCGGACTTTGGCTTGTACGCCTCGACCAAGTTGTCGAATCTTGGCGATGGGACAATGACTCTGGCCTCTTCTGGGTCAATGGTGGCGAACGGGTAGTTGGCCGGGTTACCCAAAGGACATCTGGTGATGGCTTGGAAGAAGGTGGACTTCCCGACGTTGGCTAAACCGACAATACCGGTCTTTAAATTGTTACCTGGACGTCCCAAAAGGAGCTTCTTTTCTTCGACCTTCTTCTTTGGTGGCATGATGATAGTGTGTACTGAAGAAGACAGCAAACCGTGGTGCAAATTTTGTGGCCGCTTTTCAAAAAAGCGCCGACGTGGAAAATGAAAAATTTCGTGAGCGTCACGTGACTGGATTAGGGATCAATCCCTTGATGGTTGCTGTGAGGATGCTTGATGGCAGAAGTTTGGGGGGGTCAACGAGGGGTAGATTGGTTAGGGCGGTAGACAGTGAGAATTGAAGCGGGTATTTGTGCAGATTTGTCAGTAAGCCGTTAGTTTGGTACCTGTGACTGTAGGATTGAGATTGGAATGGTGCTACGAATGTGCAGCTCGACAAGAATTTCCCTTACCGCTATTGCTAGTGTATTTTTCAATCCACTTTTACATTGTCTGATGGTTGCGGTTCAGAAAGGACCTATTAATACCTTGATGTGATGGTTTGCTGCTATTGTAGGTACTGCAGTAACAGAGTAGAGGGAGTTCTGGCTGTGTAGATGTAAAGCTCAGAGTATACGTTTCAGTAAGGGTTCGGGGAGCGTTAAGAGGAATAGAGTATATTTCACCGAGTGATCCTATATTTAGCCAGTTTATCCTCAGCGGTCACGAAATAGGCCATGTTCAGAGTTTAGACACGTATACGTAGAAGAAACAAATATTAGCAATCCGTATTTAAATCTATTTGGTCAAAAGGATAACTTCTATCGTATTGATCTTTAATAAAGCTAGATGTCGAGATGTAAAAAAACGTTAATCTAGTTTTATATACCTCAGATATAACCCCGATATATCCTTGGCAGCTGCCGAACCATATCTTTGAACCAAGGCTGTTCTTCTGTTCATCTGTTCTCTTGCTCATCTGTTCTCTTGCTCATCTGTTCTCTTGCTCATCTGTTCCCTATTCACCTATTATCATATTTTCCTATTCTCATATTTTCAGTGACAGAAGAGAACTGACTTGGCTCACCCACTTCGCTTGAATTGCTGCCCGGAATAGACATACGCAACAAGCCTTTTCCCGTCAAAACTGCGCCCATTCATTCTAGCCACACACTTTTCCGCATCCCTTCTGTTTGTAAACGTCACCTTAACCACTCCCCTCGGCTCCTGGTTATAGAGCACCACATTTGTGATTTTGCCCACAGATCCACAGCCCTCACGCATGTCCTCCTCAAGCTCGCTGGCGAGCTCTGGATCCCGCTCTAACTCGCCCATATCAAACACGTTTTCAAGCACCACGACACGCTGCCATTCCTCGCGCGACTTTGCGTACGCGTCGTCTCCCTCCCAGTCCTCGACCTTGTTTTTGAGCTTCTGGAGTCTTTTCTGAATCAACTTCTTTTCATCGGCGTCATATGACCGTTTAGCTTCCTTCTCTACGGCCTGGGCCGGTTTATGCGAAAAATCGGCCTTTCGAATCTGGATTTTGCTTCCATTAACCCGGAGCTCTGTGTCGTGTAGCAAGGCAATCGCCAAGTCGGTACTTTCTTCCTTGAGGTATATAATCAATGCATCGCCCTTTACCAGCCCATGCTCTTCCCGGTAAAGCTTTACCTTTTTGGCACCGGTAATGAGATCCTCGGCAATAACCCCGTACTTGGAGAAAAGCTCCACAAGCTCTTCCTCGGTTACATCCGCCGGTAGCTGTGAAATGTACACAGCGGTATTTTTCTTGGGCGCCTGCTTCCGCTCCAAGTCTTGTTGCTCCTTCTCTTGCCTCATTTCCTGAAGCCTTTGCTTCTTCAGCGCCTTGATCTGGGCCACGGCATCTTCGTCGTCAGATTCCTGTCCTCTCTTCGCCTCTCTGGGGTCAATCTGGATTGCCGAAACACTGGGAATTTCTGCTACTTCAGGAGTATCGCCTAAAGCTGACATGGTAATATAAGGCGCGTTGAGTGGTATATCTTGCCCGGAGGCCTTTAAGAATGAAAATATACATCCCTATCCTGCATGTATCCCCATTTTATTTTAGGGTGTACAACGAGGCATCCCGTAGGCTCAAAGGTTCCTGGAAATTATTTGCCCAAGCCTCGCTAAATTTATTTTCTAATAAACAATAAATCTGAGCCTTAAAAAAAATCTGTTCGAGCCAGGAGGAGTCTGTCACCCTGTGTATTTGAGCGCCTTCCTCTGTTATGGCGTCTGTTGAATATCCTGCATGTATCGACTTGCTTTATGCACAGTTTTTTCACCCTTCTCTCGGCTTCCACCCGGTTCCACCTTGCCACCTATATAAAGCCTTCTTCTCCAACAGAGGACCACCAACTTCTATCATCATACCTAACAATGGATGCAAAAATCAATCGCTTACTTGCCTGGGCCAAGGAGCACGGCACGGTCATCGACCCCTCAATCAGCTTCGCCTACAGCGCTAACAAAGGCATTTCGGCCTACCGCCTGACGGTTTCCGGTAATAAGGAAATCGAGCTTCCGGTAACGTTGGCCATGACCCCGGAACAAGCCATCGCGGAGTTTGGGGTGGAGTTCTTGGACCAATGCTCTGCTGCCCAGCTCAACATCAACGCCATCGGGAAGCTCTTCTTCTTGAAGGAAAGAGCCAAAGCCGACTCTTTCTACCATCCATACATTACCTCGTTGCCTTCCTTAGTGGAAATTGGCTCGCCATTGTCATGGAGCACGGCTGAAAAGGCGTACCTTAAGGGCACCAACTTGGGCTCGTCGCTCTTTGAAAAGTTCCAGAGCGCCGTGAACGAGTGGCAGAGCGTGATGGCCTTGTTACAAGGCACCGAGACCCTTTCCGCCGCCGACTCTGCTCAGCTCGCTTCCAACCTTGAATTTGCCGATGTGTTTGCCAAAAGCGCTGCTGGCCACGACTATTCTGCTTACTTGAAGGAGCAATCGGAGGACGCGAACAACTGGACCTCTTTTGCCAACTATCTCTATGCCTCGCTCATCTACACCTCCAGAGCGTTCCCATACTACTTGGTGGATGCGAAAAAGTGCCGTCAGGGCCAGGCAATCTTGTTGCCCATCATTGACTTGTTGAACCACGAAACTGGGGCCAAGGTGGAGTGGGGGTGCGCCGATAATGTGTTCAGCTTCACCAACTTGTCTGAGAACGGCAATCTGGAATTGTGCAACAATTATGGGTTGAAGGGCAATGAGGAATTATTGTTAGGCTACGGTTTTACCTTGTCCAGCAACTCCCAAGCGAACTCTGTGGCCTTGCGGATCAAGCTTCCAATAGAGAGTCTCGGCGAGGTGGAGACCGTTTACGGGATTAGGCTTCCGGATATGAACGATTACACCAGTTTTGCGTTCGACTCCAAATTGAATGACCACATTGAGGAGAACGAGCTCACGGAAGAATTGTCTAGGACCAAGCTTACCGCCCATTCCGACTACTCCAAGTATGCCGACGGATTGCTCTACTTTATCACCGAGTCAATCATCCCGGACAGCTTGATCAACTTATTTGCCTATCTTGTGAGAAACGACTGGGAGCAGAGTGGGGATATCACCTTGCGGATGAAGCTCGACGGCCTCGCAAAGTTGCGCACCGCGCTCGAGCAAAAGATCACCGTCGCATCGCAGCATTTCCAGAGGTCACAAGCTTCTGACAACAGAAACATCACTAATGCGTTAATCTACCGCGACTCCCAGCTCAAGGTGTACAACAAGGCCATCAAGATCATCAAGCACTTGGAAAAGACATTGCTCACCAAGTACAAGTCGCAGTTGGTGTCGCTCTCCAAGATCTTGAAGAAGGACGTGCCGTTCGTCGAGGCGTTGGCCAGAACCATGGGAATGGAGGGCTTGGAAGATGTCGAGGCATCCCAAGCCCAGGACCAGGTCATGATCATGTGGTTGGTCAGATGCTTCAACAAAGATCAGTATGAAGAAGGCTACTGTCCCGAGTGGATCCGGCGAGCGTTTAACAAATTGGCGGGGGAATACAAGGTGCAAAGTGAGGATGTGGCTGAGTACCAGCCGTTGTACCAGTTCCTCTTCCCGAAGTTGGCCAACGAGGCGCCGGAAATCTTTGGTAAGGGCATCTGGACCGTCAAGGAATTGATTATCGCCGGTAAGTTGATGGGTACCGTCAGCTACACCAGAAGCAATGACGATGTTGTGTTGGTGGAGGATGGTGTGAACGTTGGCTTGGGCTTTGAGGTTTAGTACATGGCTTGTATATAGTAATGAACGGTAATGATGATAATTTGATCACCCAGACCGCTCGGCGGTCGCACGGCTTCTCAGGTCTATATGAACCCCGTGCTTGGCTTACTCGGTGGGCTTTGAGCCTAAATAAGCTTTCAATCTCAATCCGTAAGACCGTTCCTCCGCAATCACAGGATACTAATCTTCACCTTCTAAGCGGCCCCAACTCTGATCTACAGAATCGTATCGCCTCCAGTCCCCTTTATTGAGATTTAATATATTACAAGTCAGGCGCTGACAGACAACTCATATATAGCATATTATCTTTGGCTGACAGAACCGGTGCCGGTTCTGCCTACGTTGTGGTTTTATGGACGAGCTTATTCTTCCTTGACACCACCGTTACCGGACACCTCAGCAGTTTCGATGGTATGCTTGTCGGTCTTGGCTGGAGCCGCGGCACCAAACATGGAGGCGGCGGCGAACGGTCTCTTCAAGTCACCGATAGCTGGCTTGCCGAACAAGTGGATCTTGACGATCTGGGATTCCAACGCGGACTTGACCGGAGAGATCGACTGCATCAACAATGGATTGGTGTACTTCATGTACAAGTGCATGAAGCCCATCATGGCCAAGCCGGTGAACACACCCTTGATGGAACTCTGGATCTGCTTGAGATCGTAGTCCTTGACAGTGGTGACGATCAACTTCTCCTCAGAGCTACCACCGAAGGGAGAGGCTGGCTCAACGTACTTCATAGTGGTCAAGTCGTTCTTGGAAATGATCTGCTGTCTGACATACAAGTAGACGGCAAGGCAGAACAAGGTACAGACGGAGTACAAGATTCTGACGTAGAACACGGTGGATGGGTTTTCCCAGTCCATCTTCTTGGACACTTGCATCATGACAAGCATGACACCCAAATTGGTAAAAGCTGGATTCATTATATAACTGGCGTTTGGTGCTAGAAGAGTGTGTATTCGGGTGTCTTTATCGATGCATGTACTTTTATCGGTGGATGGCGATGTCGCCAAAAGTGAAAATTCCGAGCTGCAGCCTGGAGATCTGTTTACGTGTTATCAGAGAGGGTAACGTCGTGCGGGGCTCAGAGCGCACCAGAATGGAAGGCTCTAGAAACGTAGCGGGGAAAAGACCGATCGTATAGCGGATACGGCACGATAACGATACCGGTGCATGGGCTGGGCTTAAGCGCCTCTGGTGAAAATTACTGGCTGGTATATTTTATCATAACCAGCGATACTATTTTAGAGCTGACGGGGATTTTATTTCTCTTAGACGCCAACCCTAGCCCTAGCGATAATGGAGATGAAACCAGAGAGGATTGTTAGTGACAAGTGCCCATTCATGTAATGGACACCTCAGAGAACGGAAGGCCATAGTGGCATAGGCAGATGTAGGAACCTATGTTGGTAAAAGGATGGCTTCCTTCTAATATCGTAAAGACCTGATTCACGCACAATGCTAAGTTAGCACGTGTATTAGATTTGAAAAGGTTGCTTGTATGGGATATTTCTAAGTCCTATAATATACTATCTCGTGGAATAGTCATTATTGATTATTCACTCTCAAATTCTTTCTTATCCAAGAAATGATTTCGTGGCCAAGTTGGCTAAGGCGTGTGACTGTTAATCACAAGATCGTGAGTTCGACCCTCACCGAGATCGTTTTTCTTTTTCTTCTCCCTGCAGCATTCTGCGATGTCATTACACGTGACCGCGCTATCGGGCATCAGACACCGGGTAACGGTCCTAGTAGCCTGCATATAGGGCATGAAAAACCGATGAGTCAATCATGCAGCCTGCGTACAGTGAAAGATTACGGGTATATATAGCAAGAACTGTCCACCGACTAACCACGATATATGACCAATTCCTATTCACTTGCTGTATTGTTGCCTTCCGACCTCTTCGATAGACAATCGACCAATATCTGCCTCTTATAAAAACGATTCTGTGTATCGATTTTTAGTCACTGTCCTATGTCCGCTGCATCATCTGTCACCTCCACCAGAACGTCGTCCAAAAAGGGCTGGATCGTGCAAAAATTCGGGGGCACATCCGTTGGGAAGTTCCCTGAGAAGATCACGGATGAAGTCGTGCAGGTTTTCTCCAAGTCCAACCGGGTAGCCGTGGTGTGTTCTGCCAGATCGTCGCAGACAAAATCCGAGGGAACCACCTCACGCTTGCTACAGGCCTCCGATGTTTCCATCGACGGGGGAGACTTCCAGGCTATACTTGAATTGATTAAGGTGGACCATGTTAAAAATGCTCATGAAAAGATCTCCGACCACGCGATCCAGCAGCAGTTGATTGAAGACACCATCCACGAGGTGGACCACGCCGCGGAGTTGCTCCACGCGTCGCAAATCATTGGCGAGGTGCTGGCGCGTACTTTGGACAATATCATGGCCGTGGGCGAAAAATTATCATGTTTGTTTATGGCGGCGCTCATGAACGACCGCGGGGTAAAGGCCCAGTACGTCGACCTCTCAGAGGTAATCCCCAATAAGCAGGAGGGCGCCCATGCGCTCGACACCGAATTCTACATGTTTCTAGCCAAGGTTTTTTCCGAAAAGGTCATTGAGCTTGAGCCAGACGTGGTGCCGGTGCTCACCGGCTATTTCGGGACCGTTCCTGGCGGTTTGCTCAACGGGGTGGGCAGAGGATATACGGATTTGTGCGCAGCTCTTCTCGCGGTAGGGCTCGGTGCGGATGAGTTGCAGATCTGGAAGGAAGTGGATGGTATTTTCACGGCCGATCCGCGCAAGGTGCCAAACGCCCGTTTGTTGCCGGCCGTGACGCCGGACGAGGCCGCTGAATTGACCTACTATGGGTCTGAAGTCATCCATCCGTTCACGATGGAACAGGTGATCAAGGCGCGCATCCCAATTCGCATCAAAAACGTCATTAATCCAACCGGCACCGGGACGATCATCTACCCGGACGATGTGGGGAGACGCGGCGTGGATACACCGCCGCACCCTCCTACCGCGTTGGCTGCCATGCCACAGCAATTCCTCCAGAAGAAGAAGGCCGCCACGGCCATTACCTCCAAGAACGAAATCGTCGTTATCAACATTCACTCCAACAGAAAAACCTTGTCGCACGGCTTCTTGGCCCACATCTTCTCCACCATGGATAGGTACAAGCTCGTTGTGGACTTGATCTCCACCTCTGAGGTCCACGTCTCCATGGCGTTACAAATCACCGCTGAAGGTGAGCATGCTTTGCGCTTGTCCTGCAACGAGTTGCGTCTCATGGGCTCTGTCGACATCTTGAGACACATGTCGATCATCTCTCTCGTAGGGAAGCAGATGAAGCAGTTTGTGGGTATCGCCGGGACCATGTTCAAGACCTTGGCCGACTCTGGGATCAATATCGAGATGATCTCCCAGGGTGCCAACGAAATCAACATTTCGTGTGTTATCAACGAGGACGACTCCTTAAAGGCCTTGCGTGCTGTGCACTCGAAGTTGTTGGAGTCTTCGGTCGTAGATCTCAGATTGGAGATGTTGCGGTCCGGTGGGTCTCATTAGTTGAAAATAGATAAAATGGCAGTCCTGTGTATAATGAAGTTATAAAATTCAAGAAATGATGCTCTCGTACGTAGATATGGATAGCACAGGTTCTGTATTTTGTTGAGACTAGGCAAATAGATATGGAATTGATACCACAGACCAAGAGGTTACTAGGCAGTTCATCCGGGAAGTTGTAGGGTAATGGGCTAAAAGCAACTAGATTGGTGTTTACAAAATGGGCCGTATAAAACTGAATCTATTTTTGCGTTGCATTATATTCAAAGTTCCTTAAAGTTTCAGGTAGATTCCACATGTTTAGGTCAGGCCATTGCCTCTGCATTTCTCCGCAATCACGCGCTTATTCTATTACAAGGTCCCGTCAATCGATAAACCGATCCAGTCGCTGACGGTATCCTCCAAAATGTACCCCGCGACTTCGCTGCCCCCGTATCTGAGTTGCTTGGCGTCATCTCCCACCACCTGTTTCAAGTACTTGAACCACATATCCATTTCCTTAATCGTGACACCACCGTGTGGCGTGACGTGGAACGCATCGAGGTAGCCCCTGGAGACTTCAAACGTAATGTCAAAACTATGGGTTGTATTGGTAAAAGTGTGGGTAAACTTTGGCGAGCTGCCGAATTTCCACTCCCAGGACTTGAGATTCTGGGCCTCTTCCAATACCTTGGGTGGTAGTTGCTCCTCAGACACAATCTCCACAACCTGGGCAGGACCGTACTCCTGTTGGAACCCGTAGATGACCTGATCAATAAACAAGTCAGCATCCATGCCCAAGTTCATCACGGGAGAGCTCACAGAATCCACACTGGCGGACTTTACTACTCCCAACTGCGCCGGGTCACGGCGGAGAAGCTGTCTCAAGACGTCCAAGTTTGACTCAAGAAGCATCGTCCCATGGTGGTACGACCTGCCCTTGGATAGCTTGTAGGCACTGCCACTGATTTTCTCGCCCGAGACGGCATTAACAATGTCACCTCTTGCATTCAACTTAACGGGAAATTTTGGCGCCCCTTCCCCCTTGGCAACATTCACCTCCTTTACGATCACCGAGCCAAACTGGTGTCTGTCAAACTGTTCCTTGGTGGTCATAAACGAGTAGTTTACGTTTCCTTGATCGTGCACCACGGTGCCGCCGCCACTCTTGCGTCTCACAAAAGGGATCCCCAACGACCTGAGGAGCGGGAGGTTGGCTTCCTTGTACGGGTTCTGGTTCTTACCGATAACCACACACGGAGTGTTGGTGTAGAACAAAAGTCTGTTGCAGTTGGTGATTCCGGGTGTTTTCAGGGACGGTTTGAGCGGCATGTTGTTGTAGATGTAGTCTTCCAAAGCGAGGTTCACGTAAGGATCTGACATGCGGGAGATGAAGGCAACTGGCTCTTCCGCCTTACAGGTCGCTTCTAGCTGGGGAAGAGACATGCTCTCCTTTTGTGGCGAAATGTGTAGAGCTGAGCCTTCATCTGGTAATGCAGCCATCTGAGGGTACTCGGAGTGCATTCCTTTTTCGTTGATAACCCCAGCAGCGGGAGTATAGAAACTGAAGGCAGACAAGCCAAAGTCGTCGTCCACAGAGGTCAAGATATTGTCGTCCACAGAAGTTAAAACATCACCTCCCACGGGTAAGACATCGGATAGGGACTCTGGATCGTGAAAAACTGTATCAACCTCTGAGTGCCCTTCGTCTACTGGTTTGTAGTGCTTAAAGTCCAGCAAGCCAAAGAGGTCGTCGTCCATTGGCGTCAAGTCGTTCTGAAACGGAATGCCCGCCATGCGTCTCCAGGGAGTTGCACGAACATTCCTGGTCAAAAGAATGTGTCTTGTAGACCTAAGCAAAGACATTTTGGGTGATCAATATCTTTACCGATGAGTATCCGTGTATTTCACCGACATCTATCTGTGTATGTTTGTGGGGGGGTTGAGCCCGGTGTTTGATGCCCATAGTGAAAAATGGCCTGCATATAAACCTTCAGGTGATGACCTGCATTTAACCGGCTTGAAAAACAATCTTAGATATCAGTCCAAAAATTTATCACCCTTCACCGATACTCCGCCATACCACTTACCCAGCCAATATCAAAATGAATAGAAAAAACGAGCTTGAGACACATCTCTTGTCGCGGTCCTATTCCAACGAACACAACAAGCTCGCCCAGCTCTTGCTGTCGAGATACAGTGCGAACGGTGACCAGAAGTCGTGTTTGGTCTTGGAACCCACCCAAGGCGACGCCAGACCGGAGAACGTCAAGTCCTTGCTCTATGTCGGGAAGAACGCCAAGCCCGATGCTGAGAGACACACAATGCGGAAGCTCAACACCAGAAGGGAGTTGAAGCGGTATTTCGCCACCGCCACAAAGAACCAGGCCAAGATGGTGAAGAAGCTCCGAGAGTTTTCCAAAAAATCGTTGGCAGACGAGGCCAAAGTGCGCCATCAGGCCGCTCAACTTGTCAAGAAGTATAACCTTCCGCAGTTTCAGGATTTTATGCCGCTACACAAGCTCTGGGTTGCGTACATGCAGAACCTCCTCCAGCTCTCCAACCAGTACGCCGTGAACAACCCCCAGTCGCTTTTGACAAAGATCTCCTCGGCTGACTTTAATGGGGCTTTTATTACCGTCACCCAGTCTGTCAACCCCAATAATGTTGGGATGGCCGGGATTGTGATGTACGATGCACAGCATCTGTTCATTGTTGTAGTTCCCAGTAATGATTCGTGGAAGCACGACATGGTGTTGCACCACAGTCAGGAGAGTCCGAAGTTGAGTCCCAAGGAACTTTTGGGGGGCATCAGAATTATCGAGAAGAAGGGTACCGTCTTTTCGTTTGCCGTTCCGGTGGTGAGCGAAGAAGAAGATGTGGATACGTTGGAGTTTAGTTTGCTCGGGTCTCGCATTGAATTCAGATCTGTGGACAGATCTGGGAAAAAGTTCAAGGGAAAAAACGTGGATGATTTGTCGTAAGCCATGGGTTTATTGTTTCGTAATGAGACAACAGAGGTTTTGTGCACTAAAATAATGGTATGTGATCCCACACGGGTTTGAATATGCATTTTAAAGCTTACCAGTGGGTAGGAAGGCAAGGGAACGAGCGTTGGTTTTTTGTTGTTTTTAGTGAACCCGATAGGAATGGTTTAAGCTGGAATTTCTGGCTTATAAATGGGTCTTGATCTGGCGAGTAGTCGGTTCAAACAGCCTTTGAAGCAGCAGAGAAACTAAGCCCCTAAATGGGATGTACGCTTCGGTATACATAATACATCTATTACACATTAAACACAGAGCCTTGTTTCAGGAAACTCAAGGGTGAAAAGATCGCCAGGCATTTTGGTGAAAGTCACTTTACGGAGCCTTAAAGGGTACGCGGAATCTCGACTTCTGGCATGCTATCTGGGAATGTTCCCCCGCCAACACCGTAACTTTCTCTAATAATTCTCATCTTCTTCATAGTCATTCGTCTCCATATCCATAGAATCGTCCTTCTTGACGCAGTCGGATAACTTCTTCAACTCGTCCATAACCTCTGCCACGTACGGCCGGATTTCGTTAATCTCCATCAAAGACAAGTTATCCAACTGCAAATACGCCTCGTTCAACTCCTTCAACCCCTTACGCGACTTCACCAACCTGACCTCCCGTAAGTCCTGGATGATGGACCGGATCAAGTGGGGCGCATCTGTGAGATCATCGCTGGCCTTTGTGAGGAGCATTTTAGAAAGCTCAAGCCAGTGCCACGGTAAAGACGAAAATCGGTTGGGAAACTCAAGTTCCTCGTCGTATCGCGCCTTCAAGTACGCCACATTAAGCCATATGGGTGGGATGATCTGGCATTTGTCCTGTGCCTTGAGGATGAGCGCGAGCCAGAGGGGAATCTCCTGTCTTCTCATTGCGTTTAAGTTGGGCAAGTTAGTCTAAATAGGTTAGTACCGTTGCCGAACGTGGCAAAGATGGTTTGCCATTACTATGACTTACGCCGATGAGCTCCACCGATTTCATGGAGACTCTGGGCAATATGGTGATAAGCTCATTTTCCGCTAGAAAGTTGATTTCCAGAGGTAGAAACGAGGTTTTGAACTGAAGTGGTAACGCCATTGGTTGGGGGCTTTAAAGGTTGTATTAGTGATGTATCCCGATGAAACTTGAAGGCCTATTGCTGGCTCACAAATGACGCGTGCCAAATCTTCCACTAACGCGTAAAGTCCTGCACAGAGCCAAAGTGGCGCGAAGCCGTGTGTGAGAAACAACTAATCCCTGATATTTGCCTGTACCAAAACCATTCGAGCTTTGGCTGGAAGTGTGTCTGGAGCGTGTAGAAGAAACTAAGGCAGACCTCGAGCATGCCTAATCATAAACTCCAACGGCCGATGGTACACTGTCTGGTTGATATTAAACTAGTTGCGGTTTCGCTCACCAGTAGGGGTTTCGCTCACCAGTGGAGGTTTCACTCACCAACTCGAATCACTATACTGTAGGCTATTTAAAATCGTTTCCTTCGCATGTCTTTCGCCAAAATAATCCTCTTGTGCACCACAATTTTTGCAGCTTTTCACTCTCGGATAAACTTCCTGTCCACGCATTATTGTGCCGCTCGATCCCGCACACCGCGGCAAAGGCCCCGCCTTATATGTCCGTGGGTTACCTAATTGGGCCGTACGATGCGAGAATTTTTAAACGGTTACGTCAAACCGCCCGAGGCAGGAGGCATTCCAGGGATTCTTGTTGGGTCATCAAGCGGTGGAAAATAAAATAACTCAGAAAGGAGTATATGATGTATTGTGAGATTCATAAGAAATGCTACATTCCATATTTTGCGAGATATACACTGTTTCGTCTACCTGTTCTTAGTGCCTACGTTGTCTATTTTTTTTTTTTTTCTTTTTTTTTCTTTTTCGGCTTCCAGACTCCTCGGGAGCTCCTGCCGAATACGCCAAAGCATATTTCGCTTCTTCTTCTCCAGGCTTCAACAGATATGTTATCATTGCAAAGAGAAAGCCCAAGAATTGTCCAAAACCGGAGTCGTATCAATTCACCCAGCTGAGTTAACCAATCTGAACTGCTCATCAACCTTCTCCACAAACCATCTATAAGATTCAAGCCATCCATCACCTAGATCCATCTTGCTTACACATCCTTATGTCATCTGACAAAACAAAGCGCTCCAAGTCCTTCACCGGGTGTTTCACGTGCCGCTCACGGAAAATCCGTTGCGACTTGCAGAAGCCGTTCTGCCAGCGGTGCCAGAAGGCCGGGTTCGCATGTGGTGGCTACGACGTGAAGCTTCGGTGGTCGCACCCGCTCCAATTCGACAAGATGGCGAACCAGATTGTGTCGCAAGGTCTGCCGGCACCGCCTCCAAACGACGGCGAGTACTTCCAGCGACGCAACGTGGAGTTTGTCACGTATGACAAGGAGTATGAGTACTACGAGGACATGGATCAAGATTTAGCAAAGCTCCATAATGCGGTGCTTCCTGACTCACAAACCGCGATGGCGGGCCCGTTCGGCGTGTTCAAGGGCCTGGAGGACCCCACTAAGAAGCGGAAGGAGAAACCATACCGCAAAAAGCGCAAGATGTCCGTGAGCCCCGCCACTACGAGCACGCCCTCTTTGCCGTCGCTTTTTGCGCCGCCCAAGACCGAATCTCCTAAACGCAAAATGCCCTACACGCCGCCCGCGTTTTACCCGCCGCAGCCCAACCCGCTCTTCGAATCGCTCCCTAGCCTCCCGGGACACGAGTGGTTGGCGCAGGAATTGCGCGACGACGCAATTCTCTCGGCGGCGGCGATGAACGGGGGGCTCGACTTTCTCGACTTTCTTTACCCAGAAAAGCCGCCTGTCAGCCACTTCAACTACGGTGGTGGCAACATCCTCAACGATAACGTCAGCACAAACAACATTCCGGTGCTTGATCTCTACAGCAAAAAGACGTCGCTCAACGAAGACGAAATCCTCAACTTGCTCTTCCACAAAAGTAACAGCTACCAGGACGTCAGCCACTGGAACTCGCAGTTGGGTGTCAGCGGCAACGGCTACGAACAGCCGTCAAAACCGGCTCCAGTACGCACACCACCCGTTAGCACGGCGTCAACCTCCACCGAGATCGACAACGACATCCACTTGCACGCCTCTGGCATCACGGAGATGCCCGTAGACATCATGCAGGTTGTCACGCTACCTCCGCTGCAAGACATGCCGCAGGGTCTTGCACTCGCATCGTACCCGTTACCTACAACCACACTCCAGATCACGCCCCTCACACGCTACCTTCTCAAGTACTACCTCGACCATGTGGCAGACTTGATGACAGTGATCCCGCTTCTGAACAATCCCTGGAAAAACATCTACTTCCCGCGAGCGTTGAGCGCGATCGGCGACCTCGCAGCCATCGGGCGTACCAGTAACGCGAAAGGCGCGCTCTTGTGCGCGCTCTTGGCCGTCTCCGCCTTCTATCTCCAGGGCCGCTTTGTCAAGCACTCGCCGCAGATGAAGTACTATCTCCAGCTCGGTATCCAACTCCGCCAGCAGGCCACGGTCTTCTTGCGCAAGTGCTTGACGTCACCCTCGCCGCTCCAAACAGAAAAGTATAAGGATGTGTTAATGGGAATCTTGTCGATGGTCACGGTGGATACCGTGTGGGGTACCATGTCTGACTGTCGCTTCTACCTCGCATACGCGCAGGGCATGATCGGCATCAAGGTGCGGGACAAGAAGCTTCGGAATAAGACCATGTCACGCAAGGCGCGCGTGTTACACCGCATCTTCAGCTGCTTGAAGTTGATCCAGGATAGCACGGCCCTTGAGAGCTATGTGTCGCCCATGTTTCCCGGTTTGTCGCAGAAGGACTCCAAGGACATGGAGGAGATCGATGAGGATGTATTGTATGGGAGCAAGAATGAGCGGAAGAAGGTGCATCTCGAGTTTATCGAAAAACTGAGCAGCACCGAGCCGCTCTTTGGGAGCGTTCCGGTAGAGCCTTCATTTATGGACAGAAAAGTGAATAACGACAAAAATTCTGAAGAAAATTTCACCACTGATGCGTTGTATGGCTTGCCAAACTCGCTCATCTTCCTCTTTGCCGAGATTTGCAAGCTCTCGAAGCAAAAGATGAAGTACAACAAGATCAACGAAAACCCGCCCGAAGAGTTTCATGAGAAGTTGGCCACGGTGGAGAAGCGCTTGATGCACTGGCTGTTGGACTGGAAGCTCTTTGATAACGAATCGTCCACCGCCTCGACCCCTATGTCTGTCTCAACCACCCCGTTGCTCAAGGCGACGGAGGGCAAGTTCATCTCGCTGATGCATGAAGCCGTCTACCACCACATCATGTCCTTCTACCACGCACTCATTATCTTCCACTATCGCTTGTTGCGTCCGCACACGCCCATCAACTTGCAGCCGCACGTCCTGGAAACGTTGTCGCACTTGAACTCTATCCAGCGCCTCGTGGAGCTGAAGCAGTCGAACATCATCCCGTTGTTCTGGCAGGGTTTTATCGCCGGCTGTGAGGCCCTCGACCAGAACTTGCAGCTCGGGTTCAAGACCTGGGGCGCGAGTATCGCGGGTAGTGGGGTGGGGAGTTACTGGGGAGCGAGGCAAATCATGTTGGAGGTCTGGCGCCGTCGCGCGAAGGGCGAGAGAGGAGACGGTTGGGTGAATGTTGTGAGGGAGTGGGAAATGAATTTGATGTTGAGCTAGAGAAAATTCCGGGAAATCGTGAGGATGGAATCTGAGAAATGACAATAGTAAGATCCAGAGCGTGAAGATCCCGAATCCAGGTCTATAAACCAAGAACGGAGCTGTTGATAAGGTTACGAAAGATGAAGGCAATAGTCGGAATCATACGTTTGTTCCTCTCTCTTTCTTGAAAAAAAATTATTATTCAACAATCATTCCCTCGGAGGTTTTAATCCGTGCATGTTTAGAGAAAAAAATTTGATGGTCGGTTCTAGGTAATTTTATCTCATATTCTAAAAACTTGGCGGGTGTAGAGTGGAATTATCCGGGGTCCGATACCTTTTCTGGTTGTTTTACTCGTCTAGATCACACGTTTAATTTCGGTGGATTCCTTCTAACAGTAGGTCAGACTTTGAATAGAGATAACTTATAAACCGCTCAGTCTAGGACAAAATGTGTGTATAAATCCCATGACTGTCCCTGAATAGGCACCCAAAACGCAGCAGCTTTATTTCTGTTGGTATGGCGGCCAGGGTCATATTCCAAATAGATTCCTCTATCACATGTAGAGTCGCAGAGTATGAAAGGTGCGGTAACATGGTGTTGGTTGTGGGCACAGTGGGCTACTCTATGTGACTTGGAAATGGCATCTCGTATCTGACTTTCAACTGCTTCGTCGCACCCTTTCAATGCATATACCGGTGACTGGAAACAGTCTCTCCACCGGGATTAGCCCCACCTCCCGCTTAGGCCTTAAACTCACCTATGGTCAACTGGAAATCAAAAGAATGGAGCGCCACAACGGTATACCTTGGCCTACATGTTTATTTTTCAAAATTAAAGTATACTAAAGTACAAGTCTTAGTGTATAGGGTAGCCGTACTACCGCCCGTTCGGTGTTTAGATGTATTGGGACAACCATCTAAACCCCTCACCGTACCCCTGTCTCATGACAACGGAACACATGAACAAACCGACCGGTCTAGAACCGTCACCAACCTTGGCCTCGGTGTTGTAGCCGTAGAGACCCAAGGAGGATCTCAACTCGTTTTCGGAAACGGCATTTGGAGAGTCAATCTTGTTACCCAAGACGATGAAAGGCACCTTGGACAACTCTTCGATGGCAAACAAGGCGTCCAACTCGGCCTTGGCTTCCTCGAATCTCTCCGGGTCGGCGGTGTCGACCAAGAAGACAATCCCGTTGACCTCTGGGAAGTAGTCTTTCCATAATCTTCTAGCCTGTTGGTGACCACCCAAGTCAAAGGTGGTGAACTTGACGGAACCGATGGCCAACTCCTCGGAGGTAGGGTGCAACGTAGGCTGCAACGTAGCCAATCTGTCGTTCTTCAACATGTGCAATAAGGTGGTCTTACCAGCGTTGTCCAAACCCAAGAACAATAACTTGGCGTGCTTATTCCACAACCCTAAGGAGGACAAAATTCCTTGAACTAGAGAAGTTAGTATTTGTGTGGCAGAGGATGGAACAGCTCCGAGAACAGTTTGGGATAGCTCTGGGAACAGTCTGGGAACAGTCTGGAACAGCTCTCCTCGACAGCCTCAATATCCATCCTGCTTTCCTCCCAATACATACACCAATCGAAAATCCCCATTTTAATAGCGATATATGATACCGAAACAAACCAGTGTCGCCTCCGTCATCGATGTACCCTGAAAATGCCAGCGCGATCTGCTGATACGGCGTGGTACCAAAATTGACGCGGTGTTCGCGCATCGCGTTACGTGTACGTAATTGAAAGCTATTTGGTTAGCCGCTGTGCAAAACAGCCATCCGATTTATCTCCCCCACTTTACTCCAATTGACCACAATGAGATTGGATATTAACAAACAGTTTTCAACCACCTCCGACAGGGTCAAGGGGATTGACTTCCACCCGTCTGAACCGTGGGTGCTCACCACGTTGTACTCGGGGAAGATTGAGATCTACAACTACGAAACAGGCGCCAAGGTCAAGTCCATCACGGTCACGGACGTGCCAGTGAGAGCGGGGAAGTTTATTGCCAGAAAGAACTGGGTGGTGGTTGGCTCTGACGACTACCAGGTCCGGGTCTACAACTACAACACGTCGGAGAAGGTGGCCCAGTTCGAGGCCCACCCCGACTACATCAGATCGATCGCAGTCCATCCTACCAAGCCTTACGTACTCACGTCCTCCGACGATATGACCATCAGGTTGTGGAACTGGGACAGCAACTGGAAGAACGAGCAGACGTTCGAGGGCCACCAGCACTATGTCATGTCCATCGCGTTCAACCCGAAGGACCCTAACACGTTTGCGTCCGCGTGTCTCGACAAGACAGTCAAGATCTGGTCGTTGGGCACCAACGTGCCAAACTTTACGCTCTTGGCGCACGAGGCGAAGGGTGTCAACTACGTCGAATACTACCCCCAGTCCGACAAACCGTACCTCATCACCGCGTCCGACGATAAGACGGTCAAGATCTGGGACTACCAGACCAAGTCGAATGTGGCCACCCTTGAGGGACACATCTCGAACGTCTCGTTCGCCATTTTCCACCCGGAGTTGCCGCTCATCGTGTCCGGCTCTGAGGATGGCACCATCAAGGTCTGGAACGCCAACACATACAAGTTGGAAAAGTCCTTGAACTACGGCTTGGAGCGCGCCTGGTGCATCGCCTTCCGCAGGCACTCCAACTTGATCGCCGTCGGGTACGACTCCGGTAACGTCGTGGTGAAACTAGGCTCCGAAGAGCCGGCGTTGTCCATGGACAGCATGGGCAAGATTGTGTATGCAAAGCAGTCGGAAATCTACCAGACGGTGGTAAAGTCTACAGAGACCAAGGACGGCGAAATCATTCCGCTCAGCCAGAAGGAGTTGGGCTCCGTCGAGGTGTTCCCCACCACGTTGAAGCATTCACCGAACGGCCGCTTCATCGCCGTCACCGGTGATTCCGAGTACAACATTTACACCGCGCTTGCGTGGAGATCCAAGGCGTACGGCAGTGCGCTCGACTTTGTGTGGGCCCAAGACGCCAACTCCAACCTCTTTGCCATCCGCGAGAGCCCGTCCGCGGTCAAGATCTTCAAGAATTTCACCGAGCGCCTCAGCAACCCGGTGCAGCTTGTGTACACTGCCGACAAGATCTTTGGTGGTGCGTTGTTGGCGGTCAAGTCCGAGGGCTTTGTCTCCTTCTTCGACTGGGACTCCGGTATGTTGGTGCGCCGGGTTGATGTCGAGGCCACCGATGTCGTGTGGTCTGACAACGGGGAGTTGGTGGCGATCGTCTGCGCGGACCAGGTTTACGTGTTGAAGTTCAACAGAGACGCATTTGTCGAGTGCGTGGAGAGCGGCGAGCATGACCCTGAGGAGGGCATCGAGGATGCCTTTGAGGTACAGTACGACGTGACGGATGTTGTGGCCTCGGGGAAGTGGATCGGGGATGTGTTCCTCTACACCTCCACCAACATGAGATTGAACTACTTGGTCGGTGGCGAGATCATCAACGTGGCCCATTCCGACAAGAGCATGTACTTGTTGGGCTACCTTCCTAGAGACAACAAGGTGTACATCACGGACAAGGATTTGAACGTGGTGTCGTACTACCTCTCCTTGTCTGTGCTTGAGTTTCAGACCTTGGTGCTCAGAGGCGACTTGTCCGAGAGCGAGAAGGAGCCATCGGAACTCACCTCCGGGGACTTGGATGAGTCCATCTCCGGGTTGTTGGCCAAGATTGCAAAGGCCGACATGGGCAAGATTGCAAGATTCTTGGAAAAGCAGGACTACACCACCTTGGCCTTGGAATTGACCACCGACAACGAGCAGAAGTTTGAGTTGTCGGTTGCCATGAACGACTTGGCGCAAGCGTTCGAGATTGCCAAGATCGACGACGCCGAACCGAAGTGGAAAAAGTTGGGTGATGTTGCGTTGAAGAATTGGAACGTCAAGTTGGCCGCAGATTGCTATGACAAGGCCAACGACTTTGCCTCGTTGTTGTTGATCCACACCTCAACCAACAACCAGGAAGCGTTGAACAACTTGGCTGAAAAAGCTGTCGCCAATGGCCACTACAACGTCGCTTTCAACTGCTACTGGACCATGGGCGACTTGGGCAAGGCCACCCAGTTGTTGAAGTTAAACAACCGTTTACCGGAGGCCGCCATTGTCGGGTTGACCTACGGTTTGGAGGCCACCCAGTTGAATGCACTTGTCAAGGACTGGGAAGCTGACTTGAACAAGAGCGGCAAGAGCCACGTCTCCGCTCGGTTGGCCAACCCGGTGGATGATGCCGCCAAATTCCCGCAGCAGGCCAACCTCATTGATATAGGCCCTGGAAATGAAGCTAAGGAGGAAGTTGAAGAGGAAGTTGAAGTTGAAGCTGGAGAGGAAGCTGAAGAGGAAGTTGAAACTGAAGAAACTGAAGGTGAGGCTGAACAGGTTAAAGCCTAGTGGCGCATTAAGATGGATTCTCAGATAGAATAACCTTCCTTTCTTCCTATTTTTGTTTTGTATATTGATTTAATGGATGTGTCCTGTTTTAATATGCTGTAGGAACTAGTTCTCAGACCGCCTTTAGACGAGACTAAAGGGGTATCAGGAGCTCTACCATTACTAGTATGGCACGATCCTGTAAAACTATGCTCCTTAACTCTACAGTATAGACTGATCGTCGAGTCCCCTTCCACCCTACGATTTGTCCAGTGTTTGACAGCCGTATGATGCATCCTGCATCCAGATGAACAAACTACCGCTTATACGTGATATCAATACTATACAATCAAATTTATACCCATCAGACTTCTATCGGTTAATTGTTTCCAGTTTTCAAAGTGATGCGCTTGCTTTTGAACATGTTTCTCCTAGTTCCGGAATTCACACACCTTCCCACTGCTTTCCGAACAGCCACGCGTTACGCCCCTGTCAGCTCTTCAACACGCTGCTACTCTAAGAAAAAGGGCGCCTCCTCTTCCCGATGGCTAGAAAGGTCCAGAAATGACCACCATACAAAAGAAGCGCGGATTGCTGGCTACAAGTCCCGCGCTGCCTTCAAGTTACTCAGCCTCCACGCAAAGTACCAGCTCTTCAAGACCGACCCCTCCAGACCTCAGGCCATCGTTGACTTGGGGTTTGCTCCCGGCGCCTGGAGTCAGGTTGCTGTGCAGGCCACCCAAGGCACCGGTAACGTCTTGGGAGTAGATATCTTGAACACGCGTCCGCCCCAGGGGGCCTCGTCGATGCAGGGAAACATTTTAAGTAAACACACCCATGAGCAGATCCGCACGTTCTTCATTGAGGAGGATCCGATCATCCAGGGGTTGGTGCGAAACACTCCCGACAAAAGAGACGAAACAGCCAGCCTGGAGGTCGTCGAAGCTGAGGAAGATATCCGCACGGTCAGTGTTGATGGTGAAGACAGAATCGTGGTTGATGAGGATATAACGTCGTACTACGTGAAGGAGGCGGCCAAAATCCACCAGGAAGAGGAGATTGAAGAGGCGTTGAAGAAACTTAGCCTTGAAAACACGGAGACATCGAAACCACCCATAGAAACAACACAAAAGAGCCCCGCTAAGATGAGTATAAATCAGCAGTTCCCGGTTGATCTCGTTATCAGTGACATGTGCGCGCCCGTTCCACAACCCCAAGGCGCTTGGAATAACACTACTAATATGCCCATGTATAGGTTGGCGAATACGACCGGAATTCTGTTCAAGGACCATTTGAGCAGCATGGTGAGTTGCTTTACGCGGAAACCCTCCTTTACAAATACTAACAGCCCACTATTTTTAGGACTTGTGCGATGCAGCGTTGATATTGTGCATCGACTTGTTGAGATCAGGTGGGAACTTTGTGTGTAAATTCTACACCGGTAAGGAGGACGGTTTGTTAGAGAAAAGGTTGAAGAGGGTATTTAAGAGAGTCATCAGAGAAAAGCCAGTGGCTTCTAATGCCGAATCCAAGGAGTACTACTTTGTGTGCTTAGGAAAGAAGCCTGGTGCGACCAAGATTGATGTCTTTAGTTGAGGCACGAGACGTTTAGCGGGTGCATTGCGCATGATTGGTAAAACCTGGCCGTGTCAATTTCTCAGAGCCATCTACGAGTCCCCAGGAAATCGGTGGTCCCAGAGTATGCTGTATTAGGAAATAAATCGTCTGCGCTGGGCAAGCCTCCCAACAGCGTATAGCTTGATCCGCTTCAGGCCACCCTGATAAATGCATATGCATGTAGTTTACGATGGACCGAATAAACGCGGGGGGTCCCTGTGACTTTCAGCCCTAAGACCAGGCACGTGACATTCACCTGCTGGAATGAATAGTCAAGAAATTCTTCGCAGCTTTTCTTTAGGTTTTTCGGTATTCATGCGTATTAGTAGTCACGCACACCTTTCAGCACTTTGTATAGGAAAAAAAGAAACGACGGGCGTTTTGGAAAATTCTGCTGCTCTCAGCTGCAGGTGGAAAATCTGCTCCCAGAGAGGGCACTAGGTCTAACAGTAAATTTGTCATTCCTCTCTACCACTTTGTGCTACTGTTATGGCTTAAAAAGTATCCTCGTCGAATCTATTAATATTACCAGCTTGTTTGGAAGACGATAACTAACGAATATGTCTAAGATTACTTCTTCTCACGTTCGTGAAAATGTTCACAAGTTGTTGGATCACTCCATCAACACCAAGAAGAGAAACTTCTTGGAAACCGTCGAATTGCAGGTCGGGTTGAAGAACTACGATCCACAAAGAGACAAGCGTTTCTCTGGTACCTTGAAGTTGCCACAGATCCCAAGACCAAACATGTCCATCTGTATCTTCGGTGATGCCTTCGATGTTGACAGAGCCAAGTCTTTGGGTGTCGACGCCATGTCCGTTGAGGATTTGAAGAAGTTGAACAAGAACAAGAAGTTGATCAAGAAGTTGGCCAAGAAGTACAACGCCTTTGTCGCTTCCGAAGTCTTGATCAAGCAGGTCCCAAGACTTTTGGGTCCTCAGTTGTCCAAGGCTGGTAAGTTCCCAACCCCAGTCTCCCACAACGATGACTTGTACGCCAAGGTTAACGATGTTAAGTCTACCATCAAGTTCCAGTTGAAGAAGGTTCTTTGTTTGGCTGTCGCTGTTGGTCACGTCGAGATGGAAGAAGATATCTTGGTCAACCAGATCATGATGGCTGCTAACTTCTTGGTTTCTTTGTTGAAGAAGAACTGGCAGAACGTCGGCTCCTTGGTTGTTAAGTCTTCCATGGGTCCAGCTTTCAGAATCTACTAATTTCTTTCATATTTGATAATTATCTTCATTGATAAGTGTATAATAATTTAAGTTAGTAAACACCCCTTCAACATATCTGTAGATTTGAGAGCATTAGTGAGTCTGACTTGAGAAAATCTTGATGGACTTGACGTTATCAATTGAAATATTTCGGCAAATCAGCGTTCTATAACTGCGGTATAAAGCCTTCAGTTTTGAGTCCATTGAATGACAGCAATCCATACCGAGAGTTTGGCTATACTGTATGACCTGACATCGGGTGTAGACCTGAACGGAAATATTCATTTACGCTCTGAAGCACTCATTGGTGTGCATCCTACCAAGCTTCAAAGACCCTCACCGGAATGTTAGCTAGCCAACTTTCTGGTGCCCAATCCCCAAACATGTTCCCTTGAAAGAGAGCAGTATTTTTAGCACCTATCGTTCCCATCTCTGGCACATCGGTTTGAAGGAGAACGGCTCCACATAGGTTTGGAGTACGGCTCCGCATCGGCGCTTACCCCGGAGGGCCTCGGATTTGGTTCATCACGTGCAGCCGTTTGGCCAATCACCCGCGCCTGAAAACACTCTCGATTACGCTGCTTAAGTAAGCATCCCGCATTTCTTACCTAAGCATGTTCTACCACACGAGAAAGTCCCGGGACTTTGGGCTGGTAGAGTTGCAAGCACAAGCCTATGAATATTTGATAAAAGTGATCCGTGTGAACACACAGAATACAATTCACCACCTCAAATTATACTACATTCACAATGATCGCACGTGTCGGTTTATCTAACTTGGTTCGTCCGGCCCACCAGCTCGTCAGACCATCTATTGTCCGTGCCCTTAAAACCATCCCAGAACCGGCTGGCGGTATTGTCGGTACCGTTAACGATGCCTACATTGTCCCGTCAGCCCAGAAGTTGGAGGGTTCCTACCACTGGACCTCCGAGAGACTTGTTGCCGTTGGTTTGGTCCCATTGACCGTCATGCCTTTGGCTGGCGGCGACTTCTCCGCTACCCTTGATACCGCCTTGGCCTCCTTGTTGTTGATCCACTGCCACGCTGGTTTCCAGGCGTGTATTGTCGATTACATTCCAAAGAGAGTCTACGGTGCAATCCACAGCTACGCCATGATGCTTTTGACCTTTGGTACCATGGTCAGTGGTTACGGTATCTACAACTTGGAGAAGGAGGATGGTTTGACCGGTTTGGTCAAGAAGCTCTGGAAGGCTTAAATCCCTGGCTGGTTTTTGTTCATAGGCGCCATTGCTTTAGCCCTCATTTCAGTTCATGCACAGTCTCTCCCTAGAACCTAGGTGAGTTCGCGACGCGGAAATCTTCTTCTTGCGCTTTTCCATTTTGCACGTCATATTTATTATTATTATAAAAACCTTAAACACAAGCCGTGTAGTTGTGAGTAAGCAGAAGAAGGAATTAGTCCTTAGTGGTTGTCTTACAATAGCTTGCGTATTTGAGGGTGATTTGGGTACTAGTACAATCATAAGAATTCTAGGTGGAATCCAGTAAATGTATCGAGCTAGAGTGCGTCATAATGTGTTATAGCGTTCAATACCAACTACTGGTTTTCGATACAACCAAGTCTTCACTTTACCATGCTAAAGAGCAAAATTAGCAACAGAATCGCACCTTTTAATTCTGTCGCTTCCCAAGTGCACATCTCATAAGTCTTTTGGCGCCCTTGCTTATGCCATGAATATGGTAGCTTCCCCACGGTGAATGAGACGGCGAGTTAACTTTTCTGAATCCCCATCCTCCGGTCAACAGGCATATCTTTTCCAAAAGATCTTTGCACGAATGCTAAATTTCTCGGTCTACAGAACAGAGGTGAAAACTCCCTTCATTCTGATTATCTAAGATTTCTACTACAGTTTTCGGGGATCCATAATTTCAACCTCGTCATCCTTAACTTTCTTTGTACGGCTTATCTCCTCGGGTGCGATTTTACCCATTAAATCTTTGCTCTCTCTCTCTCTTTATCGTTTCCATCATTACGTGACTCGTTTCCTAGCATGCTAAATCAAGCTATCGGACAAACCGGTGTTGCCATTCAGACTTCCAGTGTTGTAGTTGGTCTGAGCTGGAGTGGACCCTCGCTTTTGCGGCTGGATCGGCATCATCGAGAACCCAGGCGGTAAATTCCCGTTGTTCTGAATCTTGGTTGTTTCCATCGACCAATCGATGCCAGCAGGCTTAGCTGGGGCCGGTTTCTGATAATTGGACGCGTGTGTTGGGGTCAACCCTACCGGAGTGGACAAGGAACTGCTCAGAGCGGCCTGGAAATTGCCAAAGTTGTCGTCCATAATCGAAGGACCACTCTGCACCGGCTTGGTGGCACCAAAGGATAGAGGGATCGACGGTGTAGGTTTGGTCCGCGGTGACGGCTTGAGGGCCATCAGCTGGATTTCCAGAGACCTCTGAGGCTGAACGGTTCTCTGCACTGGCTGTTGGGCACCCTGGGGCTTTTTGACAGGCTGGATAATCTGTTCGCTGGGCTTATGAGAGGCGATGCTATCCTTGTTGATCAAGGAATCAAAGTTCAAGCCTGTGTCGGCGTTAGGAACACCGACGCTGGTTGGCACAGTACTGGTGTCTCTGGACAACGACCCCATATGCTGTTCCTCCACCTTGCGCTCGATCTGCTTGATCTTGTCCATAAACATGGCAAATTGCTGTCTGGACAAGGTGTTGCTTATGCTCAAGGCCCAGAGTCTGGGGATGATCTCGGTGACAATGGCCTCTATGTCGAGCAACTCCACACACGAGCTGTAGAACCGCAACATGGCAAGTAAGACCATTGGCTCTCTGGTTTTGGTGTTCTTGAGCAACGGCAAGAGGTTTTCCACCACCATGAACTTATCAATCGCCTTCTTCGTAATCATCAAGCCAAACGCGTTGATCGTGGAAATCTTGATGGATAACGTGGTGGTTTTCGAAAAAATCGTGCACACCTTGGGGAAAATGTTGTTCTTGATTGTAGGAAAGTCGGCGTTTTCCAAGAAAACGGACAACTTCTCCAAGGCCTGCTCCTGGATGACCGGTGAGGCGGCAACATTCAACGTCTGTTCGAGCAACGGCACCATAACCTTCTGGAACTCCTTCGGTGATGTTTTGGTTTGCAAAACATCGATTTTGTCGAGAACCACCACCTGGGCCTCGGTCAAGTCAAGCACCTTGATGATGGTGCCCAAGACTTTATCCTGAAACGTGAGCTGGGACATATGGGCGCCAATAGCAAATACGATTTTGAGAGCTGAGTCGACCAAGACCTCGGCCTTTTGGGTCAAAAGCTCCAACATCAACGGCAACATTTTCTGCTGCTGGATGCTGGTGGGAAACGACTCCAACAAATTGATCAAGCCCTTCAAAAAAACAGTCTTTTCGTCATCCGACTTGGTGGGAAACTCCTCCAAGAACTTCATCGTCTTGATTAACGGGTTATTGAAGTAGGCCGAATCAATAAAGTCACGGATCGCAATACGGTCGTGCGGGTGTCTGGCAACCAACTGCGGGTAGATAGTGTTGAGCAAGGCGGGGATCTTACGGAAAACCTGTTTGTGCGCGTTCAGATTCGCGCTCATCTGCTGGAAACGGGTCTCGAACTTTGCGTACTCCTGCTTGTACTGGCTGAGAGACTCGCAGTGGAGAAACGTTTCACCGTCGTTGTACAAGAAGTGGATCAAGCAGCCCAAACTGAAGAGATCGTTCTCCACGCGCATGTGCTTGTCCATGACCAACTCGGGGCTCGCAAAGTTCAAGTCGATGCTAAGGAAGCGCGGCATCCGCGGGTCGTAGTTGTTGATGAAGTACTCCAGCGCCGTCTGCTGCTGCAAAAAGCCGAACCCACTCAACTTCCAGTCGCTGTTTTCATTGATGAAGACCGAATTGGGCTCGAGGTTCAAGTGCACGGCGCTAGCCGTGTTGTGCAAGAAGTCCAACGCCTGACTCACTTGGAGCAACCCCTTCTGGATCACAATATCCTCGAGGTCCTTGTGGACACTGCGGTTATTGATGCACTCGGTAAGGTACTCCGTGACGAATAAAAGTGACGTCTTGTGCTCCTCAAGCGGCTCGATGAGCGTGAGGATGTTCGGGTGGCGAAACTTTGCCAAGTTGTTCACCTGGTTGCGCAAAATCTGGTAGATCTCGTTTAAAAGCTCCCGGTTCCTCTGCATCATCACACCGTTCTTCACCAACATGTTTTCGAACTTTTTCTTGTCAAACATGAACACCGACACCAACTTCTTTGTCGACCGCTGTTTCGCCGAGTAGACCGACCACGGCTCCGCGTTAAAGGATGGTGTGGCGGCAATCGAGTAGCTTGCCTCGATACCTGTTTTGAATACCCTGAACATCGCTTTGGGTTAGCTATATGGCTGTGAGAAGCTGGTGTGTTGTTGTCTTTTTAATACGTACGTTGAAATAAGTCCTGCAATTAAGGCGAGTGAGTTCACTTCCGGCTATCAGCCATAACGTCCTAGGGGTTGTAAAATAAGATTGATCGTGGTGAGATTGCTACGAGAATGTTCACAAGTAACTCTGGCAGTGTATGTGGGAATTGGGCACCCATTTGCAGAGGTACGAGAGCCAAAAAAAAAACATGTAATAACATAGCCGGCACTGGTGCGAGCTAGAGAGTATAGTATGTACTGCATTCTATTTTCCTCGGTATAGATGGTCAATTTGGTGTATTTAGCTAGCAAATGCACGCCACAGCGTTCTATCGGATACCATATAAATGGCGTGCGTATATGACCATATGTATCATAAGCAAGATGAATGATAAATGAGGGTATATTATACATATATATGTTTATGAAAAGGAAAAAATGAGATAATCTGTAAAAATAAATACATATATATGACAATATATATATAAATTTATGTTTAATATTTAAAAAATCAAAGTATTTTAATGTGAATGGCTCTTTTTTACTTTATATGTATGTTTTTCCCGTGGAGGCGAGTAACACAAAATCTTTTCTTACTCAGTACTACCGGGTGGATCTCAACATGAGTTTATGACAGATACCTGGTGACCGTAATAAATAAAAAATATATCAGAGTGATTTCGCCCAGGATCGAACTGGGGACGTACTGCGTGTTAAGCAGGTGCCATAACCAACTAGACCACGAAACCTATCCGATGACTAAAATCTTTAGCCTGTAGTCTCACTGTCCTTTATGAATTTCATCATCCTTTAAGGATTTCCCCCCGAAAGAAACTGTTCGGAAACACCTAACACTCATGTACTCAAAACAAACCTAGACGATAAAGGAAGTTGTGAGCTCCTAATCCACCTACTCCCTTTCGTGTCTTCACATGATAGAGCTTGAAACAACCGTACGTGACATGGATCCAAGATCCTCCCCAAATACCTCACTTCATCCTTCGGAACAGATCCCATAAACTACTCTTAAGCTACAACAAATAATACATGAGCTGCTCTAGCAGCATATTTTCTACTTACAGGATCGTTATATCGTCATTAAACCTTTGGAGCATCTTCCGGGGCCGGTGGTGCGGACTTCTGGCTCTCGTCCACCGTCAACCCACCGCCGATATACTTGTTGAACGCATCGTTCTTTTCGACAAACGGCCTCTGGCCCAATAAACGCACCATGTCATCTCTGGTGATCACCTCCTTGGCAAGCAACTCCTTCGCGACAATGTCCACCAACGCAATCTTCTCTTTCAACAACAGGGTGCAGTCGCTGTACGCCTCGTCGATAATGCGCTTGATTTCCAGATCAATCGTCTGCCCGGTCTTTTGTGAGAAGGGCTTGTTGATCTTGAACCCTTGCTGGTCCTGGGTGTCGTAGCAGATCTCCCCGACCTTTGGTGACATCCCGTAGCTCAACACCATACTCTTGGCCATCTGGGTAACCTTCTTGAAATCATCAGAGGCACCGGAGGTGACAGAAGCAAAGTGCAACTCCTCGGAAACACGGCCACCGAGAGCCATGACCATCTTGTGGCGGAACTGTTCCTGGGACACCAAGTACTGGTCTGGCGGAAGGTACTGAGCGTACCCCAACGCGCCCTGGCCTCGAGGAATGATGGAAACCTTCAACAACGGATCGGCATACTCCAAGAACCACCCACAGACGGCGTGCCCGGCTTCGTGGTACGCCACGGTGGTGCGCTCTTCCTTGGACAAAATCTTGGACTTCTTTTCCAACCCGGCAATGACCCTCTCGATGGCAAGCTCAAAGTGCTTGAACTCCACGGAGTTGCACTCGAGTCTGGCGGCAATCAACGCCGCCTCGTTGCAGCAGTTCGCCACGTCGGCACCCGCAAAGCCGGGGGTCAACGCAGCCAACTTTCCGCACAAACGGTCGATCACATCGGCCGCGTTCGGCTCGTCCTTGACCTTCAACTTGAGCTTACCGATATGCACGTGGAAGATGGCCTTGCGGCCCTCGATATCCGGGCGGTCGAGGTACACGTGTCTGTCGAATCTGCCTGGTCTCAACAACGCCGGGTCCAAGATATCCGCTCTGTTGGTACCGGCGAGCACGATGACGTGGTCGTTGGTGTCAAAGCCGTCCATTTCGACCAAAATCTGGTTCAAGGTCGCTTCCTTTTCGTCGTTTCCACCCATGCCACCGCCGCCGCCTCTCTTCTTCCCGATGGCGTCGATCTCATCGATGAAGATGATGCTCGGGGCCATGGAGCGCGCCTGCTTGAACAAATCGCGCACTCTGGAGGCACCCACACCCACAAACATCTCGACAAACTCAGAACCCGAGACGGAGAGGAACGGAACGCCGGCCTCCCCGGCCGTAGCCTTCGCCAACAACGTTTTACCGGTACCCGGGGGTCCGGAAAGGACGGCCCCGCGCGGAATCTTAGCCCCAAGGCGCTCAAACTTGGCTGGGTCCTTCAAGAAGTGCACAAACTCCATGATCTCTTCCTTCGATTCGTTGCACCCCGCAACATCCTTGAACTTCACCTTAATATCCGTCTCCTGGTTGAACAACTTGGCCTTGGACTTGTTCATGGAGAACATGCCGCCTGGCCCTCCACCGCCCTTGCCCATCATGCCCATCTTCTTGTTGAGATACACGAGCCCCCCGATAAAGAGCACGGTCGGCACAAACGGCATGACGTACGCCATGAGTGGCGTCGTGCGCGTGTACTTAACCGGAACCCGGTCGCTCTGCGGGATTCCCAACTTGTCTTGCATCGCGTTGAGCTGTTCCTCGAAGATGTTGACGCTCCCGATGTCAAAGTGGCACACGGGGAAGCCGCCATGGGGGCCGTTTGTGCCCGGAAGTAACTCTGCACGCACGTGTGAGTTGTTATCGACGGTGATGCTGCTAACGAGGCCTTTTTCGAGGTAGCGGACCTTGAAGTCCTGGAACGTGAAGAGGTTCTCCTCGGTGGGGCGGTTGTTGAACGCAAAAAGGAACGCAGCAACCGCCGAAATGATCAAGCTGTTGCGGAACTCCGGCAGTCTCATATACTCTTGCATTGTCGGCGGCGTCTTCTTTTCATCCTTGTCTTTCCTGTCTTTGTTGTCTTCTTCCTGGGTGCTGTACTGCCTCTGGGCCCTGTAGGCCGAGCTCACGAACGCCTGGGCAAAGGTGGGGCGTGTGACTGCCTGGAAGGTGGGAAGTGTCTTTGCCTGGAGCAAACTAGCAGCTCCGCGGCGTCTTAGGGCAAACATGTGTGTGGTGTGGAGAAGAATAGGAGCTGGTTTTGTGTTGGCTGTTCATGTTTTAAAGCGCGCCACCAAGTGAAGATTTTGGGTTACCCGGATATCCTACATGGTGTGTCGTGAACGGGATTGGGAGAACGACGAGGTCGAATCAATACCCGGCGATTATAAGATTAAAAAATAGATGAGAAGAAGCAGGAATATTTTGAGGTTGGAAGGTTCTAAGCTTATTTAGGGTCAAGCCAATTTTGCTCTGCATCTGGTATAGGCTTACTTTTTACTGGGGGTGTCGCTAAGATCTTGCGCGTACTAGGTCAATTTAGACTTAAAATTTAGAGCTTAGATGCGATTGTTAGATTCAGCCTTAGATGGTGATGGGTAACCCAAGCTGGAGATACAAATCATCAGGTTTGATACACAAAAAAAAAACAAAAAACAATACCCGAGACTTTTGGTTTTCCTTGAAAGGTCTTAACAAGTTGCATGGCAGCCCGACTCAATGCCATCGCTTCTGCTCTGACCAATGCAATCCTGCACAGAAAGTTTCCAGACTGAAACTTTTTGTTACCATTTCAGTTTAGCAGTTTTGCGATACACACTGGTTCTTTCATAATGTCAAAATACTGGTGTAAACACTGCGCTGTTGTATGTACCTCTAGATACAATATCACCCCCTCAAAATACGAAATCTCAGTACTAACGTCTCTAGTTTGTCGATGGTAGCAAGTTCGGCAAGCAGCAGCACGAAGTGTCTTCTCGCCACAAAAGAGCGATCCAGTTCTCCATAAACAAACTCCACACAGTCAACAAAATTGAGAAGAAGAGCGAGGTGGAAGCCCAGAGAGAGTTAGATCGCATCAACAAGGAACTCGGCAGACCGAAGACACGGATAGAGAACTCAAAAAAGGAAGCACCTGCAAAGAGAAAGGAAGCGGTGGAGACGGAGGAGGGCCAAGAAATTGGCGAATGGGCAGAGGTAACTGTGGTAGAAAAACCGCCCGTGGAAGAAACCGCAAAGAAGGTCTCCAAAACAGTCACCGTGGGCGACAAGGAAACCCAAAGCTGGGACCTCCAAGGGACAAAGAAGATCCAGCTCGATGATTTGAGCGACCTTGAGGATTTGGAGGTGTCAAAGTTCAAGAAAACGAAATTCAAGAAAAAAAGTGTTTAAGTTGCATCACGGGACACTGATAACCGTTTTTCCATGGTTTTATCGGAACACAAGGACCAGGGCTGCCTGCGGGGCATCTGATTCCTACCCACAGCATACAGTGAGTTGTTGTCTATGCGTGACTTATCTCTTCGATATCCAGGCGCATGATACTTGTGCTGAAAGTGTACGGCCAATTCTATCGTCTTATGGATTTGATGTTTATTAATAATTAAGACGCTGGTTAAGTGTGACCTAAATCCAATAATTGTCTATATAGCTATGTTTAGTGCAGTTATTTCAATAGCACAAGCTTTAAACACCTACAACATAGACCAGAGATGATGATTCCTACGTATTTATCGTAACTTCTAGGTGGCAACAGAAAATTACTAACACTAAGCGTTATCACGTATAGATCAAACATAAGGGCAGTTCTTTCTCGTTTCAATATGCATCTTCCCAGATTGTCATATGCGGGTGCTAAACCTGCATGCAACCTTCAACCAGCTGGCAAACGGTATTTTTTTTTTTCATCCGATCATCCACGCCGTTTCATATTATACCCATGGTGAACCCCAAGATGGACGAATTTGATCCCTTGTCGTTGTTTTCAGCGGCAGAGCCTGAAAACCCCCTTACAATTATCCCGGCGTTTGTCCAATCTTGTCCTCAGGACACACGTGACGCGGCTTCCCAGGATGATTCGGATACTGAGGTGTTTCCCATCCACATCCTTGATATGCCGTCATTATCCACCAAACCGCCTGCGGCTATCCTTCTCGTCTTACTTAAGCTTCTTGCTCCAAACCAGCAGTACAACTTTGCTACCAAAACAAAGAATCTCAGCACAGACGAGATCTTGGTCACAAGAGGTTTGACCCTCGCTCAGCTCGAAGCGGTCCTTCCGTGGCTCTCCGCGTACGCCCCAAGCCTATCCACCGTTCCTCAGTTACTAAACCTCTCTCAATCTGCAGCCACACTCCTTTCAACGCCCGACTTCATGAACTACATCACCCGCATCATCTCGTCCCCGTTACTCTGGATAGACGAGGAGGACGTCCAGTCCATCCAGAAAGAGGCCAGTTTGCGTTTGTCAGAAAACTGTGGTCGTACCGCTCAGCCGGAGATCATCCGCCAGATCACGCTCGAGGGGTTGGAGGAGAAGACTGGCAGAAAAAACATCGTGCTCAAGGAGCCATCGTTGACGGCAGATAACTTGGGCTTGAAGACCTGGGGGTCTTCCCTCATCTTGTCCCAGCGCCTCTTGACTGAGTTTACCTGCAAATCCAAAGAGGACGGAGGAAGGGTGTTGGACGAACCAGTGTTGGAGTTGGGCTCAGGCACCGGGTTGGTTGGGATGATGAGTGGCATTTTGGGCTACGCCACCTGGCTCACCGACTTGCCGGAAATCGTCCCTAACTTACGTGAAAACGTCCGTCTCAATGAATTATCCTTGGTGGTGGAGGAACTAGACTGGTCACAACCCCAGGGCTATGAAGAAAAGCACCAGCAACAAACCAGCGAAGGATTCATGACGATTCTCATCTCCGACCCGATCTACTCCTCCAGGCACCCTCCATGGGTCGTCAGCATGTGTTCTCGGTTCTTGAGGGACTGTCCGACGGCCCGGGTATACTTACAGATTCCCGTGCGGGAGAAGTTTGAGGCGGAAAGGGCAAACTTGTGGCGGTTGATGGAAGTAGCCGGGTTCGAGACATGCCGCTCTGAGTTGGAAGACGGGTACGACGACTTTGGTGAGCAGCTGTTTGTCTTCAAGGAGTTCAAAAGGGCGTGAATAATTGTCAATATTTCGCCTCGGAGAGTACCGCAGTCTCAGAACGCCGTTTGCCTTAGACTTAGCCTAAGAGCTAATCTACTCATAAAGACGGGGCTGATAGCATGTGAAGGTAGCGAACCCCAAGCTGGCGGTCGTGACAGATATGCATTGATAGAACCGTGTAAATATATAATATGAAAAAAAGGAAGCTAAGCCTGGGTACAAGGTCCCCACCATTGAGTTTTCCCAGATATACAGAACTAAATCAGATATTTGTAGCGATAACCGGTACACTTGCAAAAAGTCGGGTAATGGTTTACCCTGGTTGTGCTTATGGCTTGATGCGAACATGTTTCCTTTAGGCTCGAGATCAGTAATCCCGAATTGACGGCCGAGGTCATCATTCGACGATAGAATTTGCTTTTTTTTTTTTTTAGTGTAAATGCTCAATTGCGGTGTAAACTCACCTTCCATGAACCAGCCCCCCTTCTTCGTCCTTGTACTTTTCAAACATCGCATCTACACTTATCACTTTCTTCTGAACAAACCCCGGAGCATACTCCCCAAACCTTCTACTTCCTGCTGAGTAGGCGTCACCTGCCTCACCTCGTACTGCTGCGAGGTAAAACTTGTTCCCTTGACTTTGATGTTGGACTCTCCGGCATTCCTTTCGTGGTGTTTATGATACAACTCGGCCAACTTGTCCTTCACCCTTGCATAGCACTGCTCCACCTCTTTATCCCTCAACAAGTACAACTTTTGCAACGCCATCGGTGCCTGCAAGTTGTACGAACGGAGGGAGTTGTTAAGGGCGGAGACCTTAGATTCAATATATGCCCGCTGCGATGCTTCCCAGTTCCCATAACTGAAAGTTTGCGCTTCTATTTGCTTCAACCTTCCCGGTAAGTCCATCTTTGGATATCTTCTATCCACTTCTTGAATCATTGCCCGGGCGCATCCGTCGTCCAACTCGCGTCTGAAGCGCGCAATCTCCTCATTAACGCTGCCTTGCTTTTCAACCCATGGAGGGGATACATCTTGCAGCTTCAAGATGTTGTTCATGTAGTACTCTGTAGTGTTGATGTAGGCCGAGGAGTGGGTTTTGGGCATTGGCTTTCCCCGAAGCGAGTTGTGGGAAAAATCTCCCCGAGACTGGCTTTCCTCGATCCGGGCATCGGCAATGCGGTGGATCGCGTTGATGGTGGCACCGGCCGAAATTGGCCCGAGGATCTCGGGACCCAAAAGGCGTTCCCGATACATCTCGCGGAACTTGGGGTCTTCCTCGAAGGAGGTGCCTTTGTTCAACAGGTAATCGAGAGACTTGTCTCTTGCTTCAGCAATACGCTGTTTCAAAGGAACGGGAGGGGTAATGATTTTATTGAGGTTTGGAGCGTGGGGATTGGTATTTGCTCTGACCTTGACCGGCTTATGTGCATCCTGTAACATCCGGAGGGCGGTGTCGTGGAGATGTTCTTCGCCCGTCCAGGGAGTTGCCATGGCAGTCTCCCGGATAGTTTTATCAGCTGATGCAGGTAATTTCGTAAGTGAAAGCTCCCGCTGGTATTGGAGGTTGTACGCTTTGGCGTCCAAGTCACTGGGGGGCAACCGTGAGAGGCGGGTTTCGTCGAGGATCGACTTCTCCACGCGGGCTTTCAACGCTTCCAAGCCAGAAGGCTCGTCAGTAAGCATCTGTAACAATTTCTGGCGCTCGGGATGGGTAGGTGGCATTTCAGAAATGGCATCCTCCGCCATTTGTCTCATGCGATCGTGGATGGCAGACCTGTTTCGGGCGAGGGAAGCAGTGTGTAGATGCCCAAGACGTTGTTTGAGCATTACTGAGGGTGTACACTTGGAATGTAACGAGGGATTTGTATCAAAGGCGGATTATAGATGGCCGATGAATAGTAGACCTGTACCCTAACTGCCATTATATCATGATCGTGAAACTTGGGGTAAGCATTATTTTCCAGTGGCCTGCATATTACCTGCACAACCAGATTGGATGGAGCAGTCTCTTGCTTACTCGATAGAAGCTGTCAGGCATATTTTCACCTCTGATTATCGTGAAGTAGGGTTTGAAACTGAAATTAAAATACATGGAGATGACACAGGCAGGCTTCGCTGCACTAGGCGAGGTAGCTCTACCACTCTATACTTGGTCCTTATATGAATTGTTAACGGCATGCATGCCTGATGGCTGGTTCTCGTAGTGTTGGACATGGTGAATATCCAGGGTCGAATACAGGACGGCTCAACTCCAGAGTTACCGGAGTCAAGCACAATCGCAATCTACCCATCGCATGACAACATACAGATTTTCAAACATTTTTTATTATTTATCCAGTGTCAGATGTATCTAACAAAACCCAAAAGAAAGCGGAAGAGATGCGTGTAGTATGTACAGCGGGAGAAGTAAAGCAAGTAAAGCAGGGCTAGCTAAGGTTTTGCATGCCAGTGACCTAGTCATGGCTGAAGACGCTTGTGAGAGGCAAAAGGTTGGCTCTTGAAAAGGCCTGCGACGAAAGAGATTGGAAGCTCTTACAACAACAAAGCCAAGAAAGGAGCCATGACCAAAGCAGCGTAGCCTCTAACCTGGACAGCAGCACCGGTGAAGTTGATGACAGTTGGGGCAGCGGAGGTGTTGTTGGTGCTGGTGTAGTAAGTGGCAATAGTTGGGTGCACAGTGGTGGTGGACTCAACACCAACAGAGACAGTGACAGTTGGGGTGGTGGTGACATCGACGTAGGTGACTTCGTCGGAAGAGGCGGCCACAGGAGTTGGAGCAACGGTCGCGGTGGAGACTGGAGCAACGGCTTCGGAGACCTGGGTGGCTGGAGCAGCGGCCACGGTGGAGACTGGAGCAACGGCTTCGGAGACTTGGGTAGTTGGAGCAGCGGCCGCGGTGGAGACTGGGGCAACGGCTTCGGAGACCTGGGTAGTTGGAGCAGCCACGGAGATCTGGGTGGTTGGAGCGACATTGACCTCAGCAACGGTGGTAGCGGTCAACGGACAGTAGGTGGTGTAGACGGTCTCGACGTCTTCGATGGTAGTGGTCAAAACCGTGACACCAGTAGTGTGGACGGCGGTGGCACAGGCGTTGTTAGCACATGAGGTGATGGTGAGAACGGTGGTGGCATTGTCAACAACAGTGGTGGTGCTTTCAAGGGCAACAGCAGCGGTAGCGAAGGTAGCGATGACTGGGGCAGAGAACTTCATTGTAAAAGAATGTGGTGGTTAAAGAGTGGTGAGACTAGTTGAGTTGATGGAGGAGGGAAGAATAGGGTTTTCAAGTGGGAGCTGAAGGAGTATTTATAGGATAATTTGAGAGAATAATTCAAGTAGGATGTTGGGGAAAATTTTACGCGTATGCGTACGCGATGGAGGTGTGGTGTATGAAGCTGGAGAGACAACATGCAAGGTTGCTTAAGTGGTGTTACATGAATGGTTGTCTGCAAGATGACGACCCCCTGGAGGCGTTGCCCATGGGAGTCCCCTCTGCTTCCGCATCAATTCTATCCCAGAATTGCCGTGAGAGCTGCAAAATCCGGTGCTAGTGTATACAAAGATGGAGGCAGTAAAACTGCGTATCAGAGCTTGACAGGCGTATGCATGCGTAAGGAGTCGTGCCTGGGAAGGCTTGCGCCGCACGGAATCTACCCTGTACAGAGACCGACTGCATATGTAAGGCTTTAAGCCTGTGTGACTGGCTTCCACCATGATCACAATCAGGCGTAGGGCAATACCAGAAGCGTGGCTTGATGTGGGTGGCCCAATATAACCGCTTTGATGGGATCGGGAAATTAAAGCTAGAGGCCGAGTGGAGACCTTACCCATGGTACCAGCACTCAGGGCACTCCGGTTTGGGTTCTGCAGATATGAGCTTCGCATCCTAACCACCCAGGGGTAATTTACTTTTGTACGAAATGGTTACAAACGCGTCTGGAAAAGGCCCAAAGACTCGAGGATTTGGTCTATTAGTCGGACAACTCCTTTGCAGCCGCACGGAGTTAGAGACTGCGTTTGCAGGAGCGAAGGTTCGCGACGCGTCCGAAAAGGGACAAATTAAGACCAAAAAGGACCGAGGCGCATCCTGGAGCGCACGGAAGGCCGAACATGAACGCGAAGTTTTAGGATTCAATATGTAATTTATAATTTATGTTGCTCTTTTTAACGCAGTGTATTTAGTACAAACCAGGGCGCCTAAGGCGATGCATCTATGTCCATTTAGGGCTACAGAAAGGGTTGGCAATCGAAAGCTCGCTGGAGCTGTATGCACCAATGTGGCGAACGCCAGTTGGATGGAGAACGGTCTAGAACTCATAAACGGGAATAACCCTGGATGACTGTCAAACAGCATGAAAGGTGGACAGTGGTATATTACAGGATGTGTATGCCAGAGTATCTGTTACAAATATCGATCATTCTGAGTCATTCGCTTCAACAGGATTCGTCGGTTTGCTTTGACATAAAAATCGGCCGTGTGGTCTAGTGGTATGATACTCGCTTTGGGTGTGAGTGGCCCAGGGTTCAATTCCCTGCTCGGCCCGATTCTTCCTTTTTTTGCCTTCAAAATCCGTGTAACACGCTCTAAAAGCTCTATTTTCATCGCAAGGTACTCTTTCGTTGAGAACCATGGAAATGTACTCAACCAATTGGAGATGTAAAATTTCAAGTATGGCATGGTACATGTTTTTAGATAGTGCCTCTAAGGCTGTTTGCGGCATGAGCCCAAGGTACTAGATTCACATTCTTTCGACGTCTTTATTAGGCGACTCTAATAGTGCTACTGCTGACCCTTTTCGCCTAAGGTCAATTGGGACTTGGTCGGTTGAATGGTATCCCTCGGGTAAAGCCAAATTATCATTGCTTCATAGAGGCAATTCGATTGTACTATTTTAAATAGATGCTGCCTGGCTTGCAGGAGCCAGTTAGCCGTCGCGTTGGCAGACTGCTTGATCCGTATTTAGCCTGTAACTTACAGGGCTAGACCTGAGTTAAACTCGAGTTTCGTTAGCTTGCATCTCGATAACCACTCTTACTCACATATGACGAATTCTGGCAGAGATTCGTTACATGTGAGGTTTAATCCTTATGTGTAACTGCCAATTTCTCTTAGAACGTTGGAATTTTACCAGAGGATCGGCTAGAAGTGACTTAAAATGTCGCCCTAACACCTGACACTGTATTTTTTTTCATGTAGCTGGGGCTTTCGAGTAGATTTAGTCTGATAACTGAAACTTCCAGTTACAAGAAAGATGCGGTGGCTCAATGGTAGAGCTTTCGATTCCAAATCGAAGGGCTGCAGGTTCGATTCCTGTCCGTGTCAATCCTTTTTGCTCCACAAGCTATGCTACCCAACCCATTGTTCGTTTTTCCTCAGATGAACCCTAGGAAGGTCACAACTGGGCCAATCACTTTCCTGTATACGCTCATACAGGCTATTTTTGACTCTTGTTTTCCTTCCACCAAATCCTGCATTTAACCGCAACGTGAATTAACGTTTCCAAAGTATTTAGAGTTTGGCTTTCGCGAGCTTTTATACGTAAAGCTTAAATCCAACCGATTTAGTTTTTACGGTCACATGTCATTAGGCCAATGCTGATCCAATCAGAAAACTAGGATGCGGTGGCTCAATGGTAGAGCTTTCGATTCCAAATCGAAGGGCTGCAGGTTCGATTCCTGTCCGTGTCATTTCTTTTTCCCAAATGTTTTGTAGTCGGATCTTGATTTGAATGTGTTTCTATAACCACGGATAAGCAATCCGGAAATTTCCGAGTGTGCAAGAATTCACACTAAGGCTAGTATACTAAAGATGATTTTGTAGTGCAGTAGCATGAAAACCTTATCGGGACTCAAATTCGACATTAGGAAGGAAGCATACAAGGAGCCGATGCCCCCTCTCTTGGACGAATGGGCTAAGGCATCACTCAGAGTAACCTCTTGAGAGCCGTAGATGCGATGACAAAAGTTCTAATGGCGCTCAATGTATTTTCAAACAAGAATTTACTGCAGTAAGCGCGGTCGCTTTGTGTTATGTTCCCCTAGCAGAAGGCTATTTAGCAAAGACCTGTTATCTCGACCTGGTAAAAACTTATAACCAGACTCCCTTTTCAGGGTCTTTATGCATTTTATATACAGCTATAGAATTAATTGGGTGAGCAGCCTTGCCACTTTTACAATAATATTCGTTATCTAGCCTCCACTCCACTGTTATGCGCGGAATGCCACATTTGCGATGTTGCATCTTACGCTACATTTTACGGTGCATTGTCACATTCAGGATGTCACTGCAATTCCACGCTTACAATGTCGCAATTTGTAACCTTGTGCGTCGCGTTTTGCATTTCCCATGTGCCACTTCCTACCCCCTCCCCTTCTCCATTAATGCCACACGGTTCCTTCCTTACTTCTCTTGTTGTGCTTTATTTACATAGACCAATGCTCTACCTAGTGACATCCATCTAAACACGCTTTTAATGCATTTTATTGAACCTATACTTAAGATCCAAACCTTTGGGCTACCCCTAGAGTTATCCCCGCTTATTCCTCCTCGTCGACATCACCAAACTCCCAGCAGCCCAATCTCTCTCCCCTGGCTTGATCCTGCACCACTCTCAACTCCTTCGCCTCCTTGCCGTCGCCCTTGACGATCCCAAAGCCCTCGGCAACCAAGTCTTTGTTGATCGAGTGGCTAGCATCACCAATCTTGGAGGCGTCGTACAACACAACCTCAAACTCCACCTCCTGGCGGATTGGAACGGCAGCAGCAACCACTTTCTTGTCCATGCACAAGTCCTCGAGCGCGTAGAGCGCGTCGGTCAAGTAGTCGGTAGGCTTATTAGGAGGCAATTTCACGTGCGCAAGGCGTGCGGAACGCGCCTGCGATGCCAACGCCGCAACGCCGAACTTGCGCGGAAGGTATCTGAGCGCGTCTAACTTGACGGTATCAGTGTTGCCGAAATCGATGTGTTGGACCAAGAACTTGCCGGACGGGTCGACCGCGAGGACACGTGCACGGTAATACTTGCCGTTTTCGGCAAACTTGGCACTCACCACGTCGCCCTTCTTTGGCGTAGTCCCCGCCGAGGCGAGGTTCACCGGCGAGGTGAGGAGGTCTGCGGACTGGATCAGCGACGAGACCGCAGGCTGCGAGTTGTAGCTGTTAAATTCCTGGGTGAATCCCTTGAACTTAGTCACGCTCGCAGCGTCGTCAAGCTGGAACGAAATGGTCCCGGAAAGACTAATATCCGTGACCTTGATGTCCAAAAACTGCGTTGCAGCCACAGTCTCCACCTTGGGAACCTCCTTTGGCTCCTCAAAGTCCGCCCACAAGCCCTTGCGCGCAGCATGCGCCGCGTCTTCTGCCGCAGCCATCTCACTCGCCGCTGGGTTCTGACTGAGGGAGAACTCGTGCGTGCGCACGAGACCCTGGGAGAGGAGGTTCACCTGGAACGGCGCCTTCTGGCCCGTGAGGTAGAGGTTCCCGATGAACCCACCGACTTTGTCGGTGCCGTAGGCTTCGAACTGGACCTCACGCTGAAGAAGTTTCTTCGTGGCAAAGGCGAGACCCGCATTGGGTCCGGTGCTCGCGCCGGCGCTTTGGAGACCGCCGAGGAGTAACGTGAGCTTGACACCACCACGCACAGCAAGACGCAAACGCGTCGCGGAGAGTACATGTTCCACGACCGCTGGAGAGCGTGTCGCGAACGAGTTGACAAACGTTTTGGCGCGCGCGACCGACTCGGACGCATCTACTATGCGCTCAGCCGCTGGCGGCTTACCAGAGTGGAGCCCAGCCTTGGCCGCGGTGGCCTCAGTCTCAAGTTCAAGGAGAAGATCCCACGCGGCAGCACGCTCGTCCACGGTCTGCTTGTTGTGGCGGATTACCGTTGCGAAGCCTGCGCGGACAACGGTCGCGGAAAGGTCCGCACCAGCAAGCGTGACGCTCACGAGCGGACGCGCGTCGAGCCCGAGCGCCTCATTTGGCGTGCGCGTTGCCTCAACGCACACGTCGACAGTCTTGCCGATCGCGAGCTTGCGCACATATTCGCGCGCGGTAGGCACGTATGGCGCGGTGGCAGGGTTGGACGCACGTGGCGCCTTAATCGACGCAAGCTGCACGGTGTGTTCTGAGTCGTCGTCCAAGCGGATCAAGAGGGTGTCGGAGGACACCACGCGTGCGACCGTCGCCGTGACGGTCTTACCTGGCGCCAAGGGCGCGCCGGAGGTCTTGGTGGTGGCCTTAGGGGCGGTTACACGCTTTGCCTGTGCCTCTGCACGGCGCAACAAACCCATGGCCTCGCTGCCGATCATACTGGACTGCCAGTCGGCCACCTCTGCGTACCCCGCGGCAAGGAGCTTCTCGGCGACGTTGCCGGCCGGATGGAGCACTATCGCGACGGGAGTGCCTGTCTGGTTCGCGCCTACGAGCCCAACCTGCACCTGGCGGCCGAGCAAACGGGTCGCGACAAAGTGTGCGGCCTCGTTTGCGTTCGGCTCTGGGGTCTCGCCCGTGCGCGGGCAGCGGATCCCGGCAATGAGCACCGGCGTGAGGATATGCGTGGTCCTGTTGACGATGATGCGCACGATGATACGGTCACCACTGATGACCTTTTCGACCGTCGCAGTCAATGGCAGCTTCCGCGACTTGGCTACGGCCTCGTCGGTCGGCGCGGTCAACACGGTGAGGTTCGCGAAACCGGTACCCTTCTTAGGAAGTGCCCACACGCCGAGCAGCTCCAACTTGGCCTTGTTTTCAGCTGCCTCGAGGGAGGTGAGGAGTTCCTCCTCGGTGTCGGATTGTGGACGCGCATCCTCCTTGACCTTAGCGTAGCCCTTGGCCACGAGGTGTTCGGCGAGCGACGCAAAGAGCGGCGTGGCTACGTCGCCAAACTCACGTGTTGCAGCCTTTCCAAAGACGCGGAACTTGACCTCCTTGCCGAGAAGGAGTGCGCGGAGGTACTCGCGCACCTCGTACGCACCTGCTTCGTGAGTCTGCCACGACGGCGTGCGGATGAAGGAAAGTGTGAGCGTGCGCTCTGGTGCCGGCGGGAACGGCTTGGTGTAGTTTCCCGGCACGAGCACGAGGGTGTCAGTCGATGGAACGTGTTTGACCTTGGCGATGAATGACATTTTGTTTTGGGGGGAAGAATTGGGAGCGAACAGCGGGGAGGAAATGGCTTTATACTTGTGCGCGGCGACGAGCCGATTCGCACACGTTGCGCGATCGTGCGGCGCCTCATGGGGCAGGGCTAACAACAGCTGGGGTTTGATCGGATTTCATGCAATAGTTGAAGTAATTGTGGAGAGAGGGACTCAGAGCAGGTGGATGGAATATCTGCAAATTTTCAGTTCGGCACTAATCGTAAATGCCCTGGAAATATCTGAAAGTAGTCTGGGCTTCGGACACAGTTTCAAGGCCCCCGTGAGAGTCGTACGGTTTCTGTGAGCCCAAATCCTATATTCCTGCATAGACAGAAGTGGCTAGAGGCTTGGAAGAGGACAAGAGATTAGGACAGCAATTGAGTAGATATTGACTCCATGCTTATAGCAAATGCTCGCTGATCGAATATCGAAAGTTCTTATCTATATGATTAACCCAAGTAGGAAAGCGTAGTGATCGCTTGAACAGCAAATACTGCTCGCTATAGATTTACTATAAAAAATAAAAGCAGGTCTCTGCTTCTCAGACCCATTGTTTGAGGTTTACATATATGCAAGGGTTTGAACTTTAGGCAGCCATGAAGTAGCGGGGTGTATATTAGTAAATAGCTTAAAACCAATATAACTCGGAGTGGGCTGATCAAGCAATCTGTTTATGATCCCTTCGAACTCAGCATGGCAACAAGACAAATATTTTTTGCTAACTCATCCGAAATAGTGTAATGGCTAGCACAGGGCGCTCTCACCTCCCAAATCCGGGTTCGATTCCCGGTTTCGGAGTTATTTTTCTGTCCCTGCCTATGCTTTTTATTGGTGTTTGTTTTGGGTGCCTTAGGGACCTTTCTTTGTGTTTGGTAAACCCGGTTTCCAGTCCCCCAGCTGGTATTAATTGATGACATAGTTCAAAAGGGGCATACCAAGTTTTACATCAGGTTTTGGCAATGTTTCTATGCTGGGCTGTCGAAGTTGGATACTGTTACAAAACAATTATTTAAGAGAGATTCTGGGTTGAATGTTCACGGGATAGACGTAGACATCTGCCGTCCCACTGGTACAAGTTGCTAAGGGTGGGAGTGCCGCCGAGCCAGAAATACACGCGGCAATCCAGCAGGAAGGGTAATTAAATCTTTAAAAGATATTCTCGCCCAACGAGCATATTCCAAAGTATATATCCTATTTACAAAAGATACCAAGGTGCACCGCGTTTGGGAATTGACAAGCCTTTCCTTATTTGAACAATTGTTCGTTAGTTGTACATTTACTCGTGTTAAGGCAAAAATCAATAAATCACTTGGATGGTGATCATGGCTAAACGTAAGGGTGACTTCTAGCTATATATTCATATTTAGGGATTAACATTAGCAAAGTTCATCTGCTCTGCTGTCCTATAAAAAATTGTAACTGATCCTCCATGATTTGGAAAGAGAGGTATAGATAAACGATATATGACTAGACTTTACCAGGAAACCGATTTTATGATGATAATTACATAGCAGTTCCAGTGCATCGGCATGATTTTATTTAATAATAAACTTTGAACAAGTATCTAACTAAACGAGATTGCGAATGTCTAATTACATGAAACCTAAATATAACGGTCACCGCAATGTATAGTTAAAGCAGCCCGCATCCTTGTACCGGTATAAACAACGCATACAATATCGGCTTCTCGGGTAGTTTTTTTCTTTCCGAAACACGCTCTATACGCCGTTTTCTGGGTTCGACTTACGAACCAAGCCTTTTCTGTATCGACGCACTATATGGGGTATGTTCCGATGCCAGACAGCGGGCTTTTGGCATCGACGACTCCTAAAGACTGGCCTGTCGCCCTTGGTTACCTTACAACCGGTCGCTGTGTTGTCACAAATCATGAACGGTGAGAGAAATTTATCTTGCTGGCAAGTATGCTTGAACTTCCTATTTGAACAATACCCGCCAGAAGAACAAGACCCTGAAAGCTTGACCCCTGGCTTGTTTGCTTAGCCCTGGCGTGGAGGATGCGCCGCACGCGGGAAGCCGGTAAATGTAAGTTCCGTGCCGAGACTGCTATCTAGAGCTTAGACACATTCGGGACCGGGACTGTTCTTGTGCCGAAACAAGTATGAAACCACACTTACGTATAACAGGTAAAATATAGAGGAACCCAATTCGATTACCTGATATAACATATAGCTTAATCGCAATCTCACGGAGCAGCGTGGCTATGCCAATGCACGTCATGCTTCGGAGGATTTCGGGGAATTTTCATTAGTAGGAGCCCTTTGAACTTCAAAATCTAGGCGACTGTTGCTATTATTTCCTTTTGTTGGTGTCTCTGAGATCTTGTTCGTGGGTGTTAGTGCGATGGGACGAACACACCTAAGATACGTCATCTGGAGTCTAGGGTTTATGCACTACGCAACGGAAGATCCGTCCAGATAGTAAGTCAACAGCGGAGAATAACACAGCGGATAATAAAAATGTACCAGACTCTAAGGAGGCTATCTCCTGGGGCACACAGCCGACTTGGGGCTTGGTAGGTTTCTTATTCCCCAGATCAATGCATGATCCTTTTCGAATAAGAGATTCCAACGTTTAGCATAGGTCATTTTTTGGCCGTGTCTCGGAATAAAGACATCGGGTACACAACTAGGGGTTTCCCTCAGTACCATATCTCTTGTTTTTAGCCAAGAATATTATGCTTGAATATGGAATAGACAGCAAATACAATTGAGACATTTACCTAGGCATAATGGTAGGCATGCCTCACCCTATGCTTGAGATAACGTTGTTAGTTGCTTCAAATATTCCAGAGTAGATGGTGGGAAATTACAACTAGTATTTTATCCCCTTGGTGTTAATGATACCCTCTTTAATTATACACAATCAAATATTGCGACCAGCTCTTATGATCAGTCCTGCGACCAGTATTGCGGCTGTGCTTGGCAACTTCGTACACCTATGCGCAGTGTGTTACGGTGTTTATCCATCGTATATCGTTGCCAGTTCAGCTTGGCTGTGAGTAAAATACCGCGCTTGATTCACCAATGTCTAAGCTGTTTACACATTGAGTGTCGCAGACATCCACCAGGCTTGTCCGGATGTTTTCCCTCATCCGGCGCTGTGATATGGTTATCCCTATGATTTTAAAGAAGTTCCTCGCTCTCCTTTTATATTTTCGGTGTATCGAGCAACATCATTCTCTATTAAATAAAGACACTCAAAATACCTACTAGATATATCACAGTAAACGTATAAAAAAAGACTTAGATCGTGGTACAGGTATTATTGTCGTTACAAGAATCTGCTCTAAATACAAACGTTTTTCCGAGCTCTCAGACCGTAATCGAGTAGTGTGTACGCTCTAAGGGCCAAGAGTTTGAACGAAATACTTGCAATAGCAGCCCCATATTGGGACCACCACCGGGAGCTCAGGGTTTCCGTTTGTAGCTCCTCTTGCCAATTTCCAGATTTCCTCGAAACGGAACCAGGCCAGCTAATGAGAATATCTACCCCTAGCCACCTGATGCTATTTTTTTGTTCGTAATAAAGCCAACACTCTGGTTATGTCTCCGGCACGGGAGTGGTGCCACTCCCGTACCAGAATGCGACTCAAAACCTGCATACATACTTCCCGGGAGTAAACTACCCGAAGCGTTAGAAAGAGACGTGCATATGCATGCACCAGTGCCGGTGATCAGACGGACAGTTAATGGCACCATGTTTTTTTACCCGAAACCTTTTAATCCTTCCATCAACCTCCTTACCCGTATATATAAACAGCAGTTCCAGCTATTTTCTTTTGGTTTAATTGCACTTCATAGACTTCCATATCTAAACACCAAAAGGTCTACCGATTTGCCAGAACCCTTAAGACACTCGGACCTACCCCAGACATTCGAACCTACCCCAGATTCTGTCATGTCCCTTAACTTTCCCGGCACTGTGAGAGTGGATACCCATTCCACCGTGGTGGTTTCTCATGATGACAAAAACGGTGTCCCTCGTTACGAGGGCTTTAACGATACGACTTCCAAGGAGGTCCAGGAGCTCGCACGCACGTTGTCTCGTCGGTCACGCGCCGATTCCTCCGGTCCGACCTCCACTGCGAAAAAAGACCTCCAGCGCACATTGACCAACATGTCGCAAGTTCCGGGTAAAAATCCGTTCAATACCGACACTGGTGACGAGCGCTTGGACCCCGCGTCCCCCAACTTCAACTCCCGCTTCTGGGTGAAGAATCTCCGCAAGTTCACGGACCTGGATCTTGAACACTACAAGCCGGCCTCCCTCGGCATTGCCTACAAGAACCTCCGTGCTTACGGCGTTGCAACAGACGCCGACTACCAGGCAACCATTTCCAACGCGATCTGGAAGACCGCATCGCAGCTTGCACTGTCCTTCGGCCCTACCAACCCGGACAAGTACTTTGACATCTTGAAGCCGATGGACGGGATTATCAAGCCGGGTGAGGTGACCGTGGTCCTTGGCCGTCCCGGTGCCGGTTGCACGACGCTTTTGAAAACCATCGCCTCGCAGACCTACGGGTTTCACATAGACAAGGAATCCCAGATCACTTATGACGGATTGACACCGGATGATATCCAGAAGCACTACCGAGGTGACGTGGTGTACTGCGCCGAAACTGAGACCCACTTCCCTCATTTGACCGTCGGTCAGACCTTGGAGTTTTCTGCCAAGTTGCGCACCCCCCAGAACCGTCCTGCGGGAGTCTCGCGTGAGGAATTTGCCAAGCACATGAGCGCCGTGGTCATGGCAACCTATGGCTTGTCCCATACCCGCAACTCCAAGGTCGGCAACGATCTTGTGCGTGGGGTTTCCGGTGGTGAGCGGAAGCGTGTGTCTATCTGCGAGGTTGCGCTTGCCGGTGCCTCTTTGCAATGCTGGGATAACTCCACCAGGGGGTTGGATGCGGCCACTGCGTTGGAATTCATCAAGGCATTGAAGACATCGGCAACGGTTTCGGCGGCTACTCCACTCATCGCTATCTACCAGTGTTCCCAGGACGCGTACGACTTGTTCGACAAGGTGATCCTCTTGTTTGAAGGGTACCAGATCTTTTTTGGTGATACCCGCACTGCCAAGGAGTACTTTGTGGAAATGGGCTACGAATGTCCACAGCGCGCCACTACCGCAGACTTCTTGACCTCCCTAACCAACCCGGCCGAGCGAGTGGTGCGCCCGGGCTTTGAGAACAAGGTGCCCCTCACACCAAGAGACTTCTATGACGTGTGGAACGCATCGCCGCAGCGCGCGGCGCTCGTGCAAGAGATCGACGCCCACTTCGCTGCCGTGCAGGTAGCAGGCAAAGAGGGCAACACATTACAAGCGGCGCACAAGGCACGCCAGTCCAATCACTTGCGTCCGGCCTCCTCCTTCACGGTATCGTACTGGATGCAAGTGCGCTACATCATGGGGAGAAACATCCAGAGAACATGTGGGGATCCGTCGATCACCATCTTCTCGGTGTTTGGGAATACCGCGATGGGGCTCATTCTTTGCTCGGTGTTCTACAACCTTGCACCCGTCACGGACTCCTTCTTCTACCGTACCGGGGCCATGTTCCTTGCGCTTTTGTTCAACGCTTTCTCGTCCTTGTTGGAAATCTTCTCACTCTATGAGGCACGTCCGATCGTGGAAAAGCACAAGTCCTACGCGTTGTACCACCCGTCTGCGGACGCGCTTGCGAGCATCATCACGGAGCTTCCGGCCAAGCTCTTGACGTGCATCGCGTTCAACTTGATCTTCTACTTCATGGTCAACTTCCACCGAACCCCGGGTCGCTTCTTCTTCTATCTCCTCATGAACTTTACCTCTACCTTGGCCATGTCGCACTTGTTCCGCTGCATCGGGGCTTCCACCAAGTCCTTGTCCGAGGCGATGACCCCGGCCTCTATCCTCTTGCTCGCCTTGACCATCTACACCGGATTCGTGATTCCGACGCCAAAGATGCTTGGTTGGTCTCGCTGGATCAACTACCTCGACCCTGTGGCCTACTCGTTCGAAGCCTTGATTGCCAACGAGTTCCACGGCAGACAGTTTGCCTGCTCGACCGTTGTTCCCGCCGGCAATGGCTATTCCCTGGAAGCCGGACAGTCCACCATCTGCTCTGTGGTCGGTTCAGTGGCGGGTCAGGACTTTGTCGATGGTGACGCCTACATAAACTCTGCCTTTGCGTACTACAACAGCCACAAGTGGAGAAACTGGGGGATTGTGTTTTCGTTCGTGGTGTTCTTCTTGTTCATCTACATTGTGCTCACCGAGTACAACCGCGGTGCCATGCAGAAGGGTGAGATTTTGTTGTTCCAGAAGAAGTCACTCAAGAAGCTCAAACAGGCCAAGAACCTCAGAGACATCGAGACGGGTGCATTGGAGAGAGTAACTCCCGAACAGGAGAAGGGTGACACCAACTCATCCTCCTCCGACAACAAGCTCCCTTCGTCGACCGACATCTTCCACTGGAGAGACCTCACCTACCAGGTGAAGATCAAGACCGAGGACCGAGTGATTTTGAATTCCGTAAACGGCTGGGTCAAGCCTGGCCAGTTGACGGCACTCATGGGTGCTTCTGGGGCCGGTAAGACCACCTTGTTGAACGCCTTATCCGACAGACTCACCTCAGGTGTCATAACCTCCGGGACCAGAATGGTCAACGGGAGAGAGCTTGACGACTCGTTCCAGCGCTCCACGGGCTACGTCCAACAGCAGGATTTGCATCTTCAGACCTCCACCGTCAAGGAAGCACTCCGGTTTTCCGCCAACCTCCGCCAGCCGGCACTGGTTCCGCAACAGGAAAAGGACGACTATGTTGACTACATTATTGGGTTATTGGAAATGGAGAAGTACGCTGATGCCGTGGTTGGTGTGGCCGGCGAGGGATTGAATGTCGAACAGAGAAAACGGCTCACCATCGGCGTGGAGTTGGTTGCGAAGCCAAAGTTGTTGTTGTTTTTGGATGAGCCTACCTCCGGCTTGGACTCCCAAACGGCCTGGTCGATCTGTAAATTGATGAGAAAGTTAGCTGACAACGGACAGGCAATCTTGTGCACCATTCACCAGCCCTCGGCCGTACTCCTTAAGGAGTTCGACAGACTTTTGTTCTTGCAGAAGGGTGGTAACACCGTCTACTTTGGCGACTTGGGCGAAAACTGTGACACCTTAATCGACTTTTTCGAGAAATATGGTGCCCCAAAGTGTCCCCCTGAAGCTAATCCTGCCGAATGGATGTTGGAGGTCATCGGTGCCGCTCCAGGTTCCCACGCTAACCAGGACTACCACGAGGTCTGGATGAATTCGGTCGAATTCGGCAACGTGCAGAGCGAGTTGAACCACATGGAGCAAGAGCTTTCCAAGCTTCCTCGCGACGACGACCCCGAGTCCCGCAAGGAGTATGCAGCCTCTATCCCGTACCAGTACTCCCTTGTCACCAAGCGCGTATTTGAGCAGTACTGGAGGACTCCGTCCTACATTTACTCCAAGCTTTTCTTGGCCATCTCCTCCTCATTGTTCAACGGCTTCTCTTTCTTCAAAGCGGACAAGTCGCTTCAAGGGTTGCAGAACCAGATGTTCTCGGTCTTTATGTTTTTGGTTATCTTCAACACGTTGGTTCAGCAGTACCTCCCTCACTTTGTGTCTCAGAGAGATTTGTACGAAGCCAGAGAACGTCCATCCAAAACGTTTTCGTGGTATGCGTTCATCACCGCCCAGATCACTTCTGAGATTCCATGGCAGTTTCTCTCCGGGACCATTGCCTTCTTCTGCTGGTATTACCCTATCGGCTTGTACCAAAATGCCGTCCCTACCGACACCGTCAACGCCAGGGGTGCGGTCATGTGGATCACCATTGTTTTATTCTTCATTTACACCTCCACCATGGGCCAGCTTTGTATTTCCTTCATGGAGCTTGCAGACAACGCTGCCAATTTGTCGTCGCTTTTATTCACCATGTGTCTCAACTTCTGTGGTGTACTTGCCGGTCCAGGTAAGTTGCCAGGTTTCTGGATCTTCATGTATCGATGCAACCCGTTCACCTACTTGGTTCAGACTGTCTTGAGTAACGGTCTTGCCAACTCCAGCGTAACCTGTTCTCTGACCGAGTTGTTGAAGTTTACTCCACCACTGGGACAATCCTGTAGCCAATATATGGAGGCCTACATTTCCACAAGAGGTGGCTACTTGGTTTCTGGAGCTTCCACGGATATATGTGAGTATTGTACTATTTCCCTGACCAACACTTACCTTGCCAGTGTCAACAGTTTGTACTCCGAGAGAGGCAGAAACATTGGGATTTTTATCTGTTTCATTGTCATCAACATTATTGGTACCATTCTTTTCTATTGGTTGGCAAGGGTACCAAAGGGTAACAGAGAGAAGAAGTAGGGACAGAAAAGTTTTTGAAAGCGGCGTTTTTTTCCTGTTCAGTATAATATTTGTATCTCATTTGAGACTTGATTTTACTCACGCATTAATGACTAGTACATTTAATCGATCTATGAAATCCATGGTTTGGACTGGTAGCAAGATCTATTGATCATTTGCACACTCGAGGTAAGATAGGGATCCCTACTTTATGTATAGATCTCCCTTTGAAGGCAATACCTTCCTTTTGGAGATAAAACATAAACTGAATATAGGAAAACAAACGTCGAGACAGCCGTGAAAATAGGGGTTTGAGCGAGCAAAGGAAATGGGCACTTGAGGCCCGTTACGAATGAAACAGAGGGTCTGCTCGATAATAACATATATCCGTTACCATCTCAAAGCGGAATAAAAACATGCATTCAAATAGGCTGGGCGAGAGGGATCCAAGGCCATAGCTGCTCTAAATAGACTCTACGACAAGAGAAAGATGGATATGGCATGAGAAAGGTGGATATGGCATAAGAACACGTTTCAGCCTTGGATACCCAGAAAAATCATGAGTAATGATAGCCTCTGCAAGCGGGGAAAGGGGTACTTTGTCTATGGAAACAACTCTCCAGCTCTCTCTCTCTCTCTGCTTAGATATGGAACACGTTAACTACAGTCTTCCCTCCGACACCAGCCATAACCAACGCACACAAATCTCCGTCGGCCCTAATAAACGTCATTGGGAATTCCTTCTCCATTGGCCCCTTAACCTTCTTATTCCCATTGCGCGACTTGAATACCACTCCCAGAGCCCTCGTGGGCACCGACAACTGGTTCGTCTTCCCATTATACACAAACTCGTGAATGAGATGAAATTTGCTCGTCAAAACACGGAATACATTTCCATGGAGTGTCAAAATCACCACAAAGTCGTCCGGCCCCCGCTCGCCGTTTTCGCTTCCCACATCACCGCCAATAAGTGACAACCCCATAAGGTCCGCGTCAAAATCGGCCGCAAAAGTTTTACTGTAGATCCGCGTGTCCGTCAGCAAGTTGTACGAAATGAGTTCGTGCTTGGTTGTCTGGACTAACAATACGTTATCCAAGATTTCTGCGCGCAAAAACATCGCTGTCTCCCCTGGAATGGTGTTCGAAGACACCTGGTAGATGCTGGGAACCACATGTGACATGGTCCTGGTGTCTAGATCGTACTTCACGTAACGATGGGTGGTTGCAACAATGATCTGGTTGAGAAATGGCAACATTTTCGCTGTCAACACCTTTTCATTAAGCGTGGCCTCTTCGCTGATTGACAACTCCTCAAGATCGATCGTTTTGGCACGGGAAACATCCACCCCAGGGCCCACGACTTGCACTTCGTTCAACAAAATCTGGGATCCGTGGTTGACAAAAATCAAGTACTTTTTCTTGGAGGAGGTATGGTGGTCTACAGAGGCATCAGAGATGTAAGAGTCCTCCGGAAGATCGAGTTTTGTGCGGGCAATCGGTTCCAGGGTGTTTTTAGCATATACAAGCAACTCTGAGTCGCCTGTAAGGACATAAAAGTGGCCATCAGCCGACAAAACTGTCAGTGAGGCGCGGTTGGTGCCGGTAGGAAGCTCTAGTCCGCGATGGGCACAGCTCTGGGTAATCTGAAGATCCCACGTGGTGACGGCACCAGACTCGCGCGCCACCACAAGCTCGTGGCTGTTGTGATCCACATATAACAGAGACTCTGCCACCTCTCCCTTAACCTGAACCTGGAAAGACAGAGAGACGTTATCGTCCTCTGCCTTGGCCTTGCCGTTGATAATGTCCTCGAACGGCTTCTTCTTTTTCACGGGCGAGGATTTTGCACTGACGGACGGTTGGGGGATGTCCTCGACGATGGTCTCAGCGTCGGACTCGATGTCTCTGTGGAGGCTGAGGTTATCGATGTCGCGGTTCAAACTGAGCTCAATATCCTCCATGCTTGAGTCGTAGGGGTTCGGGTGCTCGCGGTTCAAGCTCCTCAACTCTTCGCTGAGAAAGTCCCCGGAGCTGTCCCGGCGGATGGTCTGAGCGTTATTCTGAGCGTTACCGGCAATTTCGTGGCTCTGGGCCTGGTAAAACGAGCTGGGTTCGGTCTCACCCTCTTCCTTCACGGGGAAAAAGTCCAACTCCTTGTTGAGATGGAGCAAGTCGTAGTTGTCGATGGCGGGCGTTTTTAAAAGGTACACAATCTCTTTCATCGACCGGGCTAGACTGTCGCGCGACTTTCTGATCGGATCCAAATCAACGTACGAGATATGCAAATCCATGTCCTCGGGCTTTTCTTCCGTCACCTCGGGAGTGTGCTCCGAGCTGAGTTTTAGATTGGTCATGGTCAAACTCTCGCACTTGGTTTCCAACTCGCCGATTCGCCTGTTCAAGCTGGAATTGATCTTGAGCAATGACGCCTTGTCACCCTCAAGCTTGGCGATCTTGAACTTCATTTCCAGTAACTCCAAGTTGTTCAAGATCTTGTACTTTTCCATGTTGGTGAACTCGGTTTGCAAGTAGTGCATCACGCCGGGTAACGTGTACTTCGGGTGCTCCATGGCAGATGTGAACGGAGGTGACTCTGTGTGGTTTTCGATCTGAGAGACGGGGCTAAAATGCGAAGGGGTTTGGCAGGGGAAAGCTTATGTTGACGTGCTGTGATCCTGTGCTGTGGTCGCGTGTCAAACTGGGATTTCTGGAAGTGTGCTCCGGCGGTTGCGAATTGGTGCTATCCAGTATAATGTACCCCTGTGGTGTTATCTGTGGTTACGAGGCGATATCAATGTCGTTCCAAATCAACTCAGTTTGCAAATCGGTTCGTTTTGCGTTGAGTTCCGCGCTGCTGGTGGACGCCAACAAGGACACGTTAGCACGCACAGCAAAGGACATGATAAGCAAGGCCAGGGGAGGGGCTATCGATTATGGCACTAGCGATACTCCGGCACTATATAATGAATGTTTATTTTTATTGTAGACTACGGTGATGGGGGTATGAATATAGTTTGGTGGGGTGGTAAGTGTGTCTGGAGCTATTCGGTGGAGATGCTGCCGGGTACGCGCTACGTGTGCAAGCGCTGAAAGGAGTCGTACGAAGGGTTGAGAACCATTTTTGGTGTAGATATGTGATTCTTGAAATACTTAATCGCCCTCAGCGTTGATGAAACTAGTGGAGCACCCGTCGGTGCCACCATTACGTCCCTCACAGCGCCCCTATTAACAAGTCCTGAATAAGCTCCCCTCTTTCCAGGACAATACCCGTCCATTTCCATACACCTATTCAATCATTTTGTTCAAGTGATCGGCATACCTTGGCTGCACGGCCAAACACTCGGCTTCCACCAACAAAATCTCTTCGTCGATGCTTTTGTCCCATGTCAAGTTCTTGATGTACCCCGAGACCTTGATCTTGCGCTCGTGTCTCTCCACCACCTTTCCGATGATCACAAAGTAGTTATCAGCATACGACGGTGATCTATAGTTAATGTTCAAGTATCCTGTGACCCCCGTCTTCTTCTCAAACAACGGAAAAGCCGTGCGGGTCAAGGACTCGTCTAGCAACGTAGCGATGAGCCCACCATGGATGAGTCCCTGGTGGCCGCACAATTCGGCTCCCAAGTGGTAGAACGTAACGTATTCGTTGTAATCTGCCTCTTGCGAGTTTTCTCTCCCCTCCTGTAGCGAGAAGGAGTAAGCCTGGTAGATTCGTTTCTCGCCGTACAATGTCTTGCCGCAAAGCCCGTGGGGCTGTTTCCCCTTATTGGGCGCAACGGCGCGGAACCGGGAGTCGGCGACCAACTGCTTGTAGAACGGATGGGTCGCAATAACCTCCCGGTGGTGCTCCATCATATCAACCACTACCTCGTTCTCGGACTTTGGCTCGCTCCCTGCTTCCATGAAAAAATGCTGCGAGAGTCTCAACTCCTTGGCTGCTGCGTCTTCGTTGAGCATGGTGTAGGTTGAAGAGCTTCGGTGGCCGGGAATGTTGATTTAACGAGGCAAGGTGATTTTCGATTACCGGTCAATGTTATTTTGTGTGGTTATATTCTGCGTGGATGGTCTGGCATACCCCACTTTGTATGTAAAGTTTCTCGTCAGGCGGTTACGAGGACCCCGCGTTCATGCTGCGGTAACCGGTACCGGAGTTCGGCCCGGCACACCCGGCAAGTCCCTCGCTGTGGCGCCTCTCGTATATAATTATAGTCTAGAGAATGACACTATCAAGATAGCAGCATTGAAGTTGAGTATAGTCCAAGGACTGATACCTGTAAGCGCACTGGAAATTATGCCAAAGCGGTATTTAAGATTACCGTTTAGCGATCTTGGTGGGAGTTAATTCGACCGCAGAATTCCGGGCTAAACTCCGGACTGGTCTAGCCCATACAATAGACTGGAGTAAGGTCCAATAACAAGTATCACTGGGCATTTTGTGAAATGTGTGTTATTAAAGTGTGCTTAAGATATGCCCTGAGGGCTGCACTTATCTTCAGAGCTGATATCAATCGTGTAGACGCATGTGATCGAGGCGAAAGTTAAACCTTCCGCTTTTGCATATGGCCCTTCGTTATTATTTTTTGGCTTACATAGATAGGAGTGGAACTCGTAGAACATCCATATCTACTCCGGTGCAGGGATTGGTTCTTTTGCAGCTGGGTCATGTATCTATCCTCATCATTGGGCTCGGAAGAGCGGAAGCAACTGAGCGCCTGACTTTTCGTCATCACTCTGGCTTAAATTTCCTTAGATTCCAATATTACGTATCGGTAGAAGAACGTTTATCTTAAGGGGAAACGCTACGTTGTGTCTGAAAGTTCAGACACCATTCGAGTATCTTTTCATGGGTGCTCCGCTTAGCACCCTTGCTTGTACCGTTCCATGAACCCCCCGGAGGCCCGTGAATCGTTACACGGTATATATATCTACAGAGACGAGCTAAACGGTTTACTAAATTGATATATACAAGTCGATACAGGTTTAGGCAAGAGGTGGAGGTTAAGCAGTCTTCTTGGCGTTCTTACCCTTCTTTGGCTGCTTGCCTTCGATAAACTTCAAAATATCCTCCACCGACTGGTCGGCCAAGTCTGGGACAGCCTCTTTCTTGACCTTTTTGGCCTTCTTCCCGGTGGCGATAGCGGCAGCCTGGGCAATTTCCGTCAGGGATTTGACCTTGTGCTTCTGGGCAGTGCTGCCGTTGGTAACGGTTTCGAGATTCTTCTTTTTCTGCTCCTCTTGCTGGTCGACAAACGCCTTGTAGTTGACCAAGTTGGCGGCCCACTTGGTGGCATCCTTGGTCAATGAGTCCTCGCCACCTAAGTGGGCGGTGAAGATCTCTCTGGCAGCCTCCATGTGGGCGACAGAGTCGTCCAACTGGGAGGTCATGATGCAGTGCTGGGCGTACTGGAAGTGGATCAAACCAGTGAGCTGAGAGTCTGCACCGTGGACAGTCTCGGAGTGGGTTAACGCAAGCTTGAACAAAGAGGCAGCAACTTCGGTCATGTTCAACTTTTGCAAGATGCTGGCGAGATTGGACACGGTGGTGATGGCAGATGGGTGGCCCTCGCCGTAGATGACGTTCCAGTCGTTTAACAAGCGGGTGTAGATCTTAAAAGAGTCAACGTGGTTACCGTTGGCCTGTTCGAAGAAAGCAGAGTTGATCAAGCTCAACAAGGTCTCGAAAGAGTCGGACCCGAAGCTTCTCTCGGTGAGGTAGACGGCCTTACGGGAGACCTTACAGGCCTCGGAGACTAAGCCACAGTCCTGGTACTGCTGGGCCAACAAGGTGTAGGCTCTGGCAGTTTCCTGGTGCACAGGGCCATAGATTTGCTCGTAGACAGAGATGGCTTCGGAGAATAAGGTCAAGCCGACCTCCTTCTGATCCTGGTTGACGTGGTTGGTGGCTGCCTGGAGAATCTCTTCGGTCAAAGTGGACTTGTAGATGGAGTCCTTGACGACCGGGGAAAAGTTGACAATGTCCTCAGGGACAAAAGTGGTGGTTCTCTCGATAACCCTGATGACAAAGGCAGTCTTCTTGGCCTTCTTGGTCTTCTTGGCCTTTTCGACGACAGTCTGCTGCTGGCCAACCTTGAAAGAGGCAAAGGTTTCGGCAGTGAATGCGTAGTCCTGGGCCTTCCACTGGATACCAAACTTGACAGCGATTTCTCTCAACAACTGCACCGGCTTGATAGTCTCGGTCCACTGGGCTGGCAATTGGTATCTGAATCTTTTGAAGACTTCGGCTTCGAGCAAAGTGACAACGCCAGCAGGGGTCAACTGGGAGACGGAAGAAACGTCTGCGGCAAAGAGGGCTTTGAGGGTCTCGTCAACGATAAATTCCGGCTGTGGGTTGACAGCGGCACCCAACAAGCAGTTGTGGAAGTGCGAAACCACGGCTGGGAGCAATGGGAGCGGAAGGTCCTTGGAAAATGCTCTCAAAACGTGTTTGGAGGCTCTGGCAATCATTTCTTGGACGGAGACGGTGTAGAGAGTGGTATAGGAAGCGATGGTTGGATTGAAGTCGGCCTTGGATGGGACCTTCTCCTCCCTTTCCTCCTTAGCCTCTTCTTTGGTTTCTTCCTTAGCTTCTTCCTTGATTTCCTCTTTGACTTCCTCCTTGGTTTCGGCAACCACCTTCTTGGCTTCAGCAACTCTGACAACCTCAGCATCCTTTCTGGCGGAAGCTTCGGCAGCAATCTTACCCAAGTATCTCAAGTTGATACCAATCTTGTGCAAGGTGGCGGTCAAGTGGGAACCATCGACTGGCGCCATACCATTGGCAGAGCCAACGTCACCCAAGAATTCATTCACTAAAACTTCAGAAATGAACTTGGACACCTCTCTGACGTCCTTCTCATCTTCTCCAAGCTGCTTCTGCACGGCTTCGTCGGTTGGCATGACAAGTGGGAAGGCATCGGGATTCAAGGCGAATTGAGAGCCGTCAACAATGATCTGCTCCTTCTCCTTGTCCTCACCCTCGACCTTTTCAGCATCCAACTTCTGGGCCTGTTCCTTGATCAAGACCCCGACTTGACGTCTCCACCACTCCTCGATAGCCTCATGTCTCATCACGGTCTCTCTGTGCGGGTAGGAAGTCGCATCGCCGGTGAAGTGGGCGTCGATGAATTCAATGTCCAACGGGGTGGTTCTGTACAAGTCAATGAGGTACTTTCTGTCGTCAGTACCCTTCAACCCCTTGGTGTCCTTAGATAAGACAAGGTCGGTGGAGCTGGTTTTGGCAAAAGCGGTGTGCTCCTTCAAGTGGAACGCCTCGGCGATAGGCTTCAAGATCTCGTGGAACCCGGCATCCGCGACAATGGCGGTTCCTTCAGCAGCAGAACCGTACAAAATCTTCTCCTGGGTAGCGGCACCCTCTTCCTCCTGTGGCTGATTCAAAATGCCCGGCACTGGGGCCTGGCAAACGATTCTTCTACCACAGTAGTCAACCACGGCGGTAACCAAACCAGAGATTTGCTTAGGGTCCAAGCGGTTGAGGCACTTGACACCCTGCAAGTCCTTGGAGACGGCGTATCTCGCGGCATCATCACCACCGGCTCCGGCGAACTGGCCGGCGGCGTCGATGCCCCCGAAGGAGTAGAAGATCCCGTTGCGAAGGAAAATGTGGTATTCGGCCGGGTCCTCCGGGTTCATTGGCGCAATATCACCCTGCAAGATGGAAAGAGCGGTAGCGCTCGCGGTCTTGGTGAACTCGAAAGAGGTCTTGGCGAGCAACCTCTCGCGCATGATGCGGGACGGAAGATCGGCCTGCAGCAACTCACGGACTGACTGGTAGTCCTCGTTCCAGTCGTGCACGTGTTCAGCGCCGTCAACACCGCCGGTGAGGTAGGTCAACTGGGACCTGGAGGCGTCTGGGGTGACAGTAGCGGCAGCGGCAACCAACCACGGCAGAGACAACGCGGTGGTCTGCGGCTGGAGGTAGGACTCTGGGGCCAAGGCGGCGAGCTGGGCGATGCTGATCTGCAACTGCGTGGTAAAGGCCGGCGAGATACCCGCAAAGAGGTCGTACAAGCAGTGGGCCTTGGCGAAGGTGCCCCTCTCATTGACCTTCAAGGCTGGGTTGAAGGTGGCGGCGGAAGACTTGTTGACAAAGAAGCCGGTGATGTGGGCAGTGATGTGGTAGGTCTCGTGTTCGAGGGACTGGGCGGTGAGGTAGAGCAAGTCGCCTCTGAGCTTCTGGGCCGCCGGGACCGGGGACCAGGCAGAGACAGCCAAGGACTTCAAGGCCGGCACCATGGAGACCTGAGAGTCGTCAGCGACATGCTGCGACAAGGATGGAACGCCAATGGAGTCAACAAGAGCGGTGATCGCCTCTTGTTCTTCAGCGGACAAGGTCTTCTTGGCTTCGTCGGTCGTCTCCTCGGCCTTTTCTTGCACGTCGTTCAAATTGAGCGCGGCAAACCTGGAGGCACCGGAATTAACCATTGACGCAGCGGTATCGGAGAAATTCAAGCCGATGAGGTCTCTGAAGCGGAGGAGGTGCTCCTGGACGGTTTTCAAGGTGTATGGCTTTTCGGTGAGCTGTACCACAACTTCGGAATCAGAAATACCCAATTCGGTAAAAAGGTCCTGGAAGGTCCCATCGAGTTTGAGAAGGTCGGTGCCCTTGTAGGTTAAACCGTAGTTGGTGAACTTCTGGGTGGCTGGCAAGATATTCAAGGTGGTGACAAGGTCGCCGAGGGTATCAACGGACTGAACCGGGATGGTCAAGTCGTCAAGAGCAAGATGAGACGAAAACTTGACAGTGAGAGCGTAAACGCTCACTTGAGGTTCTTCGTCAGACATGGTTGCTGATCAATGGGGAGAGAGTGAAGGGGAATTGTGGCAAAGTAATACGGGCGTTTTTTTACCAGTTGGGCTTGGGACTGACACTAGCCGCCGGAAAACTGCGTCCACTCGTCGACTTTTTCACTCACGTGACGATGCGGCGCTTTATAACCCGGCGCCGATCTGGGGCAAAAGGTACGGGGAACGCCGTGCGAGAGATGATTTGAGTAGATGACAGGTGTGTGAGCAGGAGGGAAGGATGAGAGGCAACGGTCGGCCACTTTCAGTCCCTGGCTAATCTAGCAAGTGTAGATGTAACGGGAGAATATTCTACTTAGTCTGTAATTTGTATACAAGAGTCACGGCAGCCATCACAGCGTTAGTTTACAGTAGAAGGGTTACACCTGTGTATGGTGTTAGTTGTAGAGACATAATGTAGGAGTTTAGCAACAGCTCAATGGCGCAGCCCCCTGTTGCTAGTACTTTGATTGTGCGGGGTTCAATTTCCAGTATGTCAAGTAGAGCAAGTCGCGAAAACGTAAGCCGTAAGAATTCGGCAAGGAGCTTGGATCTGACTGTATCGGTATATATCTGGACCCGGAGAGCTGACGATTTCGATCTCCTATGGCTCTTGTGACGGGCTTACACCTTTTTGCAATTTTGGGCGATAGTCTACTCAAGCTGCACGACCAGGAGACCTTTTGTTATCAGTCAAGTTCTGCCACTAGTTTTGGAGTATTGGCTCGACAATTGTGGGAGTCTTGTGGTGCAGTTGTACCTGGAACCGCGACGATTAGATACGAAAGCCAATTAGAAAACGGCTCACAGGGGGGCTTTTTTTTGGTTTGTTAATAAACAACACCCCAGGCTAGGCTGATTGAGCGTGGTTTGTTATATGGCTTTCAAGATATGGTGTGTTTAACCTAGGATATTGGTCAGTCTGATTCACTCATTATTTGATTAACCGTTTTTATTAATTTTTCGAGTCTGAAACTTAAGGAAGCGTTCATACTAATACCGGTTGACAGATTATTGATCATAAGATCTTGAAAATGTAACAAACGCCTGTTTACACACATGTTCTCAGAGTTTCCGATTAAGACAGAAACCCTCAACATAATTTTTCCGAGAAACCCAGTTATAGAATGACCTCTTTTAAATCAGGGGTTCACCATACGGCCGTGCTCAGACTAGCACCTCTTCTCTATAAATCGACAGAGGGAAATCAGCCACCAAATCACAACAGCAAGGGTGCTAATCTCTGAGGTGAGATTTAAGTGCGGGTATCAACAGCTTTAAGGGAGGCGAATCGGGGGTTTAAAAGCTCGAATCACGGAAAAGCGGTCATATCAGAATAGCACACTTTAACAGGACAGCTATCGGTGATTAAAGGGATACTCCAAGCATTTCTCAGCTAAGTAAATCTTTTTGTAAGGGATTAAACGAAGTAGAATCATGATTACCACCTACACCCCTTAGTCCTGGTTGAATCACATTTCTCGATGCATAGGTAATGGCAATGAATATGGTGAACCAGTATTAATGAGATATAATTTATATCTCAGCTAGATTTAGTATCTGCCTAAAGGAGCTAATCTGCAACACACTGACTCAATCTGCAGCAACCATATAGCCTTGTAAAGCCACAAGCTTATTGAAACTGTGTAAGATGGAACTGATAGTTTCAAAGCGCGTGCACTTACTAGCTTATGTTTGCTTTTTTCCCCAGACAAGTAAGTTCAGTTTTCTAGTGTAAGTATAGGCATGGTGGATTAATTCTTGTTGAACCCGATGAGTGTGTCCCCCGATTCCGTCTGTAAGGTTCCTTACAATGTGTACGCAAATTTAAACTTCAGTCTCCAGTTGGCAAGCCTGTTCATATGAAGGGTGGCAAGGAGTGAAACAATAGTGGAAAGATTATAGATTCGTAAAGCTTCCTATTCTATGTCAGGATACATTATCTTACGCAAGGATATAGTACTACCGCTAGAATGTAGTATACATTTGAATGTGATTCCCTGAGCTCAAAGGGGTGAACTGTGTTTTATTCAAGGAGCCTGGTTCCTGAACTTAAACTGGAAGCAGCAGCTAATCTCCGAAGCTAAACCAGGGTATGCCATAGCTGCGTTAGTCGTTATCGGCGTTGCGCCATTTTAGGTTTGGAACAGTACATACTGATCGAACATGCGGGAATACTCCTACAGCTCACACTGAATCTTCCACTAAAATCTCCTGAATCCTTCACAAATCAAGTCCTGAGATAACCTCTGAGGCGATCTTTCATGTGCAATGAACCGTGAATTCCGCGTGAGCCAGGAAAGTGGCACGTAGCATATGCAGTCTCGGTATCCTGGGACAACCATTCTCCCAAACGTAGAGCCGCAAAACACACGCTATAATAACCACCGGCCTAATGGTACATGAGAGATAAGCTAGATGATTAATGGCCAAAACTTTCCGCAAAGGTATTTCACCACGCGACTCCGCATCTTACAAGGCTATGGTTGTAACCAGCCATCCTTGCAAGACAGATGTAGGTGCCGATCCCAGATTCTGTCTGCGGCAGTAATTAGGTGGCTGGGGCATAGCTATTCAAACGTCAGATCAGCTAGAAGGGTAATTTCAGACAAATCAGTATATGCTCAAACGATAACTAGTTGGAATCCAGAAATGGACTCCTGATTGCAGACGCTTAGAGATGTGTATTGGCACGCGAATACGTCATCGTTGATTCTAGATCACTAATTGCCTTCCCTCAGTCCTGAAAAGAGGGACGCACCTCGCCCAACACCGTCTATAAAGCGTTCGCGCGTCTCTCTTTAAAATGGGCTCATAGATCTTTAGGGTGCAGGCTAAACACACCGCGAAGGTTGTGCGCAAGGACAAAACAGCGATGCGTTTTAGGACATAGGGAATAAGATCTAGATGTATATATGGATCTTGTGGTGTCTTAAACTTAAAAGTATATGCATGCGCATGTACCCTAGTGTATATCTGTCGTAATGTGACTAGTCGGCTCATCTGCGGGCTTATTTCAAGAATCGCGTCTGAAGCATCTCCCAACTAGCTACACGAGCTAGGCTGGTTATCGGTTTCCGCCCACACCGATAACCACTTCAATTGCTTAGATCCAGCTACACCCCAAGATTTTCATTGATTCATCTATTATCGAGAAAAGGTAAGGATATATAACCAGCGGCCCGTGCGATAATATACGCGGACGGCTTATCGGCAGTAAAAGTACATAGGGGTCAGCGAGGCTGACAAAGAAAAACCAACCCAAAGGAAAGAGAGAATGTTAAGGAAACGAACATAGTTCAAGACAGTGTAAAACACTAACAGCACGAGGCAAACCGAAGAGAAAGAAAGAACGAGGCTGCGTTACTTCGAAAAGAACGTGGTGCTCTGGAAGGTGTATTCAAACGAAATACGTAAAGGGATAGGCTGCGATTGCTATAAATTACAATACGTCAGTTCGAAAGAACGATTCATGCAATTTACAAGAAAAGAACAGCGACCAAGGCAACGAGACCGGAGGCGGCGTTGACCTTGGAACCGGCACCTTCGAAAGTGCTGGCAGTTGGGACAGCAGAGGAAGGCGCAGCGGCGGAAGAAGCTGGGACGGCGGTGGTAAGCGCAGCAGAAGAGACCACTGGGGCAGTAGCAGCTGGGGCAGTGGCAGCAGGGGTGGCAGTCAAAACAACAGAAGAGCCCACGGACACGATGAAAGAGTCATCAGTGGAGGCAGCGGCTGGGACAGCAGCTGGAGTGGAGGCAACGACTGGGGCAACAGCTGGGGTGGAGGCAGCAACTGGAGCAACAGCTGGGGTGGAGGCAGCAGCTGGAGCAACTGGAGCAACAGCTGGAGCGGAAGCAGCAGCTGGGGTGGAGGCAGCAGCTGGGGCAACAACTGGAGTAGAGGCAGCGACTGGAGTCACAACAGCGGCGACATTGGTGGAGGTCTTGATTTCTTGAATTGGCTTCAAGATGGTAGAAGAGATCAACTCACCCTCCTCGTTGGTAGAGGTGACAACAGAGTAACCGGTGGTAACCGAAGTGGCAACACACTGTTCAGCGGTGCAGGTGGTAGTGACCACGACAGTAGTTGGGTTGAAGACGGTGGTGGTCTGTTCTTCGGTGACGTAGACGGTGTTCTCAGTCTGTGGGGCAGCAGTGGCAGACTCAGCTTCCTCAGCAGTGATTGGGCAGTAAGTGGTGTACTGAGTGACGACATTGTCAATAGTGACAGTGACAACGGTGACACCGGTGGTGACTGGGGCAGCAGTGCAGACACCGTTGGAACAAGAGGTGATGGTAACAACGGTGGTAGACTGGGCTGGAGCTTCGGTGGTTGGGGCTACAGTAGCTGGAGCTTCGGTGGTTGGAGCTTCAGTAGCTGGAGCTTCAGTAGCTGGAGACCCGGTCAATGGGCAGTAGGTGGTGTAAATAGTCTCAACCTCAGCAACGGTGGTGGTAATCACAGTGACACCAGTGGTGACTGGGACCTCAGTGCAGGCGTTGTTGGAGCAGGAAGTGATAGTGACAACGGTAGTGGACTGGTCATTCACAGTCGCAGTGGAGGCGGTCAATGGGCAGTAAGTGGTGTAGACAGTCTCAACCTCAGCAACGGTGGTGGTGATCACAGTGACACCAGTAGTGACTGGGGTCTCGGTGCACACGTTGTCGGAGCAAGAGGTAATGGTGACAACGGTAGTGGACTGGTCATTCACAGTCGCAGTGGAGGCGGTCAATGGGCAGTAAGTGGTGTAGACAGTCTCAACCTCAGCAACGGTGGTGGTGATCACGGTGACACCAGTGGTGACTGGGGTCTTGGTGCACACGTTGTCGGAGCAAGAGGTGATGGTGATGACGGTGGTAGACTGGTCAGTCTCGGTCACGGTGGAGTCGGTAGCAGAGACAGCACCAGTTGGGGCAGTGGAGGTACCTTCGAGGCCAGAAGTGGTAAGGGTAACGGTAACGTCAACGGTAACGGTCTTGACCCCGAGAACGGTAATGGTACCGGTACCGGTGGCGGATTCAATAACGAGCTCTCTCTTTCTCTTGGCGGCAGCTGGGGCACCAACAAAGACGGTAACAGTGTTGAACTCAGTGGTGGTAGAGGTGTAGCTGGTAACAGTAGTGTAGGCACTGTAGGTGGTGAGGGTGGTCGTAAGGTCGGTACCGATGGTTGGGTAGTAGCCAGAAGAGGTGGCAGGGGCAGAGGAGTTACTGTAAGAGGCGGCAGTAACACCGAGAGCAGAAACGGCCGCAATGGCAGCAGTGAAGAACTTCATAATAGGTTTAAGCGAATGTGGATGAAATCTAAGGGACGTGGTAGATGACACAGATAAGCCTGGGAGGGGCGCTGTATTTATACAAAGGAGGGAGAGATACGGAAGAGTAAAAAGAGAGAAGCGGAAGAAAGTAAGAGAAGAGATACATGGAAACAGTTGCATAGGCGGTGTATGCGTGTGTAGGTGCATGCATAACTAGTGCATTGTGCATGTCGCATGCGTGTTTTTAGTGCGTCCCAATTAGGAAGAGAAAAGATATCAGTTGCGCGTTAAAAGAAACAGTGGACAACGACGGGAGAAACATACGTCTTGAAGTTTGAGCAATGGCGCAATTCCTCCTGCAGGAGAAAAAAAAAAGATGCGTAGATCCATCTCGAAATAGTGCTCCTGAGGTGTGGCGACCTCTTACCAGGTCTCTCAGAATCGTTTGGGGATGATTATTTCTGGTTTTACGTACGTTTGGGCCACCATAAGCTAGATCTTTGACGAGTCGTTTTTAACCGATACTTAGCCCACTATTCTAGGAGTTTTGTTCTTAGTCAGTTTGCTAGATGGAAAACAGCATAGGCTGCATCTGTTCCTCGACGCGTGTCTTACGTCCCACCTGAAACTTGCGTTTCCCGAAAAAGGACACCATGCAGATTTCATGTATGCCTTGGCCGATACTAATCTACGAGATACGTTACCACAGACACCGAGATCAATATTGCGTAATTGTTGAGAGGAAGGAGAATTTTTCCATTCATACAGTCTAGCGTCACCAATACAAGGCTAGATGAATTGAGCCCAGTGTTTTGGCCCCCGTAGTCGCGGAAGTTGGAGTAAACGGACCGGCTTCGGTGAGACACGCAAGTCCTGCTTCAATTCCCATGACAGAGTTCATTAGTGTAAATATTTTCTGGATCTATATCCAGTATGTCATCAGATTTACTAGAAGCAGTTACTCAGCAACAGCCAGTAGATTACCCGATTTCTCGCATGAAATTTGTCTTGGGATCGACGTTTTAGTCACCAATAAGCTCATACTGTGCCTATATCTTGAAAAAGCTCTTGGGACATCTTTGTTCCGGTTTCTCGTCAATCGAAGAATCGCTCGTACAAGATAGTAATTCTAAAGCGTAACTATGCCGCGATCGATACTCTCAGCGGTGTGCCTGACTTTTCCAGTTGCTCCAATCAACATCCAGCTACCATCAACAGGATGAAATACGGCCGGGTTTAAAGAAAAGCTCGTGTCCACTATAAAACCCGGTCACGCGATGGTATTACTGTTTCTGGAAACAACCGGTTGTGAGGGTACTGTAGAGTGCAGCTACGTCATCCCAAGAGCTTTTTCAAGATACAGTATAAGCAGATATTATAGCACATACCCATCTCCTTGAAAGTTCTCTTATGTACACACATGAATCTAATTTTAACGCGATATGCTCCCTTTAATTGTAGGATACCGGACAATTTTTCACTCTGGCCGGTGATACCCCGAATTGAATCTCACTCCCTCATAGACATTCAAAATCGAGACGAATAGGTCTGGACTGTAGACCTCTAGCTGATAGTTTGGTTTTTGACTACTTCGGCAAAGTTGGGTTTCGGCCATCACCCTCGGTCTGTGGCAAATCCCTTTTAGAGCATTGGCATTTCGGAGTTGATTTACGGCAAACTGAAACACTAATTCGGCAAAGCTCGCTTGGCCGTCTAGACTAAGGTAAGGCTCAGTTACGTGCAGGAAGGCCATCTCCCGTGGCGTACATAATCTTGAACGCGACGTAGGTTGAATCCTGGATCCAGGAGTGTAGTCTGGTTTGGGCGATAACCATCCTTTTTCGAAAGGCCAGAAAACGTTTCCAGGCACCCTTGCTCTAGAGCTTAAACTCAAACTATTATAAGGTGGAAACGAAAATGGTGAAGTAGGTACATACACCAGGCCATTCCCCTGGAACCAAAGACACTAGGGTTGTTTTTCAAAGATGCAGGCCGTGAAATAAGGTAATGCATTGCAAAGACATATTCTCAAAACCTGCGCCAAAGCATGTTCCAGCTCGTCATCGCTAGTTGTAAAGGCCTGCTTTACGGGGAATTTACAACCGTAAGTCTAACCATGCTGGGCACCCCATGGTTGCTATTTTGGCTCAGACTTAGAACTCTTGGTGTGCCCTGAGCGACCGAACGTTTCGTGCGTAAAACGTATTAAAGTGGCTGGTTAGAGTCATGTAATCCCTTGGCGTGCTTGCGTTGTAGATTCCACTAAGTCTATATATAGCTGTCTATCCGACGAATTTAAGTATCCACGAGTTTTATCTTTACGGTTATTGTCGGAGGAAATGCCCAAATCGTTCGTTATTAATGACTGAGGCTCAATGATAATTCCTGGTGTATTGAACGGTGGTAGGCCCCTTTAGCCAAGAAAACTTGCTAGGGGTAAAAAAAAAAAAATGAAAAAAAAAAAAACCGAACCATTCATACATGGCTGTCGTGCACCGCAGCGTCTCGAAGCTCCAACGACGGGGATTAAAATAATGTACCTATATATGGTTACGGGGCGAAGCCAAACTAGTCTTGGCCCACGACATAGCACATGAGCTTTGAACTAAGGGGCTTGATTACCAGGATGGTTCCAATCAAGCGGTTGGGAAGATTCTTTTCTCCAGTACCTGTTGGGTTCACATTTAAATAGCAAACCCATTTATTTCCATATATACTCTTTAAAGGGCACAGGGATGTGTAGCTTAGTTTGGAATTGCAACTAAAATGGGTTAGAGCTATCGGGATCAGTCTCAAATAGGGCCTTTGCCCTCATATGCCTAACACAGGAACTATTTTTTCGAGAGAAAATGTTACCATCAAGATATACATGGTATTGGTCGTGTAGCTGATACAATACAATCAGCCTTTGAATCAGTCTTTGAGTTGAAAATTTCCAGGGGGAAATCTGAGTCTTGACGTGGTAATATGCGGCGTACCTACATATGTCTGATTGGAAAGAATCACCCCTAGATATGCTGGAGCCGATAACACGCTACAGAGGCAACCCATGATTGTGGCTAATATAAGTGATTGTGGCTCTAAACCTTAGGGCGGTCAATAACCGACGGCTCGTGTGAAATGACTAAGGCTCTTGCAATCTCCGCGGGCTCGACAAGAAACTTGATGCGTTTGCAGGGCGCATAAAATTCTCTTTTGGGAAAGACGATTGCCTCATTCAAGGAAAGGATCTAGGGCGTTCAAAAGCTATATTTAGTTATTGTACAGTATCTTATATTGGTTTCAGTTCAACTTACGTGCGTTTATTCATGCTATGTTGCTAGTATTTATCGCATAAATCAGAATAAAGGTGAAAAACTGGATGTTAACATAATCGTACCACGGCTGGGGATCCAACTCGGATGTGTATGCAGGAGGGCTCAGGGCGTGGCCAAAGCTATGAGTAAATACACTGGAGCTGTATATCCTAATGTGTTCAAGTAACAGATTTTGCCTATACATGTGGAAGAGTATATAATCGGATACTTACGTATATATAGTTATGGTGGAAGTTTTCTTAGAAATATATACATTACTTTCGGTTATGGGCGTCTTTATATTACCAATATTGTATAATTATTGATTTATCGATATATATCGTCATTGTATATTATTCTGGCCAGTTCCATTTATCGGTAAATCATCACATTTGTATTTCTAAGGACAGAATTGTACGGACATGTACATGTATAATGGCTGTATACATATACTTACGAATGTGCAATGTCAGTTATATAATCATTTGTACGGATAAAGTGACTGTTTGGCCTAATTTTCAATTGAAAGATAAATGACGGCGGATAGGCCGTAATGTAAGTATTGGTACTAGTTATCTGGCCTAGAACGAGCAGACCTATAAACGTTCGACTAAAATCTGAAATGCGCGATTTACTAAATCACGGATGGTAACAATCAGAGTTTGGGAAGGACAGAGACAGACATGGCGGTGAACCGGTATATTATCCGGGTTGCATCGCTTAGCAAGTGTACCTATGCATTAATAAAGGTCTTTTAAGTTTTTCAGGAGTGCGTTAATGAATCGGCATAATAGGCCATATATGCATGTGGCACAATGCATAGCTTCAGCTCCTTTTGGACTTGCTAGCATATTTAATAATAAGAGTATGCCCAAATACTCGGTTAGAAATACGGTATGATAATATTGTAAGATAATCATAATACCCCCTTATGAATTATCTGATTTCCATTGATCTAAGGGGAAGTGGGGTTTCAGACCGACACGAGATGCAGGTTATGCAAGCTGCTTTCATAATCAACATCACAACTATACAGACATAAATCTCCTTGCTTGTCTTACAATCCATTTTAAAGGTGTATATTTAATACTCTACATGCGCATCTCGGACCATGCCCTTTTACCATCGGGGAGTGTCGCAGAGCTAGAGTTTTATTTTCAGTAATGACCTGGTACTTGAGAATCCATGGTTGGGTTATGCAAGCCCCCGCCGGTATTAATGAGTCTACATGAGTTAGCGGCACAAGAGCTGCACTGGGATACATTAATAAGCTTTCAGAGCCACCGAGAGTAAAATTTTTTCATCAAGTCTTGTTACACGAATTTCTGAGATCAAATGTTTTCAGACTTGCACAACCAAGGGATTGATTGCAAGTATTGACCAGAATTCTTATTTCACTGGTACTATGTTGTCGCCAAAAGCAACACGGACCAGCAAGCTTTCCCGATTCAGACCCAACCCCCCCACAATACCTTCGAGGTATTGCGTTAAAAGGCTTCAGCACGTTTAACCAAAAACGCGCATCGCTCTCGAGATTTGCGTATATGAAAAAGAAACGGCATACATTTCCTTTTTTACATGCAGCAAGCGCACGAATCTGTATTAGAGATTACGACATCGTGGGATGATGGTGAAAGAGCCGATGCTTGAGAATTGGAAAGCAGACTGAGTCCATTGATTCATCCAGACGCAGAGGCCACGATGTTCTAACTATTAACCTGAAATAGACGGCACATAACCTTTCTGAAGTGTCTGCAGCTAGCGCCGTATACTTTGATTCGTGTGGTATTCGCATCAGCGTGTTAACTATCTACGTTTATAGGAACATGGAGCGCCTTTTTTTTTAACCCAGAAGAGCGCTAGAGACCATCACTGGTTGGTTATCTGTATTTGGCCACTTACTATGGTAGTATTACCGTGCTATTTTAGCTGCGGGGTATCTGGAGAGAGCCTAATGTTTTCCTCAATACCAAGGAGAGAAAAAGCAGATGAATACAGCAGAGTGTAAACAATAGGCGTTAACCTATGCGGTCAATACTTCCAGCTATAGTTTTCTTGCGCAAGCAGGCTTACTATTCAGTCAGTTGAAACCACACCATCAATACGGTATGAGGAACTACGTCAACACAGAGTCCATCTTTTTAAAGTCAGCACCACAATGAGCCATTAGGCTCAATACAACGGATGTTCCGGCTGATAACCGAAAACAAATCACTTGTGTGACAAAGTTTAGTTATCGAGCTATGCAAATCCAAATGAAGCTGCATGAACCGGCTTATTGAAAAAGAAGCTTCACGTAATGCTCTGTGGACCGGGAGAGGAGTCTGAGGTTTTCACTTGGTCCTACGAATTTTGATCTGACCAGATAACATACATAAATACAAACACACATGCAGGAAAGCATAGGGTCTTTCCATGGCCGCAATAGAGATGCTTGAACCAGTCTGCCATCTCCCCCACCAAGGGTGGACAAAGGCTCGTAAACCTGACTGCACGCTTTAAACCTAATGGCGACATGCCATTTTTGGCCATCGATATGGCTCAGAACCTAAATATATTGCATAGCGATATTACCTCGGGTTTATTTCCCCTGAAGCTACCCTACACTAGGATCAGATTACTACCGCAGTGAAATTATCGGAAACATTATTCGAATAAAACAGCATACACTTTTTTTTGAAACCAAACTTTATAAAGAAACAAGGAAACAGTAACAAGTAGGGGTTGGTTTGCTTACAAGAGAACCATACCAGCCATACCTAACAAAGCGGCCGAACCAGCACTGAGGTGAGCGGCACCAGCCTTCTTGGTAGAAGAGGAAGCCTTGGTGCTCGAAGTAGAAGAAGTCTTGGAGGTAGCAGAAGAGGTCTTGGAGGTAGAAGAGGCAGCCTTAGTGACGGAACCAGAGCTGACCGAAGAGCTGGCAGCAGAGACAGCGGCAACAGTGACAGCGGCAACAGTGACAGTAGAAAATCTCATTTTGCTATATGTAAAGTAGAATATGAATAAACGATAGAGAGCACCATAGAATCAACCGGAGAAAAAAACTGGAAACTACCCTTTATATACCCTAGATGTGATAAGGAGTGGCACGGAAACCAGGCGGAGCCATTTGTCGGTATACGAAGATCTAATTTGCTCTTAGCCGTGCTGCATGTCACACAATGCCAAACAGGGGCTAGTTTGATGCCCTGTTGTATGCATTCACAGCTGGCAGCCAATTGGTGTTCCAGCATCTTCCTTCCTCCTATTTCACCATCAAAACCCAGCGGGTTGAGCATTGTTCCAGAGGGACTGCGATACTGTACCTTGTATCAAAATTAACGAAATATCGGCCTTCCCTTGGTCAACGTTTACGTAGCCAGTATAGTCTATTTTTAACCATATGCAAGGCTTGGTGCTCTTCAAATGGCAAGAGTGAGCACATGTGATTAGTGCAGCTGCCTGCGGCGTAAAAGGCCCTTGGACTTTTCTGGAAAGACATTCCGATATCCGGACTCGGAAATACGGTTGTCCTTGCACCGCCTCTGTAAAGCTTGTTTACGGAATAGCTACAAATGTGGGTACTACGATGGGTGCCATGGTGAGTAATATAGCGGACGCTACACGGTAGCTCTACAAAGTTACTGGCACATACCGTCTTCTGGCTTCCAGTAATGTATAGTGATAATGTCTCATCTTTACAATCGCTGGCTTATCCTAAAAGGGAATGGGCCTCAAGGTTAGTATGAGGCGCAGCCACGGTAAGACGTTATGCGTTCTATAATTAGACGTGCGCGCCGCTTTGCCGTTATACCGCAAAGTATAATATCGTCGCATGTGCATGTCCAAGGAGTATCCTTTCGTTGTCCCTTCAACCCTGGCCTTTGATTCGGATCTACAATCGACTGAGCTTAAAATTTTGGTACGACTGTAGCAAAAGTGAGAGAAAGTAATTTTGAGCGGAAATGGCCTAGACAACGTTTCTTTCTGTTTCACGTTAGATCGTATCACCGATGGAGGATAAATCTCTGGCATTGAAATCTTTTCGGATACGACGTGCGTGTATTAAAGATTTACTTAGCCCTGCAGGCGTCATTAACAGATACCCCTTTTATATCTAATCGGTCGATATTCTATACTACCGATTACCGGTCATTTCGGTATCCAACCTTCAAGAAGATTCTACGACATATCGTGAGCTATCCATGATAATATCACTCCTGGCCCCCCGAATACCCTCTCTGTATATATCTCATCTATGAAAAAATTCTCTTTGCTAGCCAATGACGCTCACCAGCACCTACCGTAGTTCACATTCATAACTGCAGGTACGTGCCCAACCAGCGAGATATAAAAACCGCTACTCTACCGAACCTATAATCGAGGGAGATAAACTGGATAGTCGAAGGGTGTTTTTGACCCATCCGACCTGCACTGTTTAGGCATACTTCCGTTCTGGAACATTGGAAAGCGTGAATAAAATCGTGTCCTTTTACGCGCTTCTAATGCAAAAGGGGCTGAGCCCATCGCGCAGGGCCGTATGACCAGCGTGGAAATTGAATTTGATATAGTTTCTAAAACTCTAAAATTGGTTTCTTATCACAAAATGGTGAGGCGCATAGCCTTAGAAGCTTCGGTAAGCCCTTATCAAATAACTCAGGTCAGTTACATTTCTATCAGAAGTCCTGGCCGTTCCAAACTCAGGAGGCCGATTGTCATATATCCTATGCAGTTACCAGGGGAACAGAGCCGAAGCCGCTTAACAAATCGGGAGTCTGAGCTGTAACACAATATTTATCGTTCACATGTGTCTCATATCTGTACGGCGTTTTTACACAAGTATTGCGCTTAATGGAAACACCTGCGTTTTCTTGATACCCAGCCACGCCCGTCAACACGATGTAAATCCAAGAAATGTGAAAATCTTTAAAGCCTCGTAAATTATTATGGCTCAGTCCCCCGGCCCGATTTCTGCCTTTGCCTTTTCTTCATAATTTTCCGCCCTGCTTTCCGACGGATTACGCCATCCGTATATTTCCTCCTGCTGTCCTATGAAATGGGCAAACGGATACGTCGGCAATGTCCGTACCTCTGCGTCCGCTTCAATGAGCCCAAGCTCAACCTGTCTTGCGACTAAACCATCCAAGTAGTGGGAAATGTGGTCCCGCAACTTGTAAAACGATTTGTACCGAATGATCGACTCGGGTGCCTCATAGATAATCTTCCGAAGCAAAGACGGCACCATCGGCTCGTCCTTCATCTCCTCTATCGAGTAGAATAACGGATGGGCAGTGAAGACAATGGCCCGTGTTCTGGGTAACCTCCGAAGCGTCTGTCTATCCACCCGGACGTTGAACTCCGTAGGCGGGATGCCAGAGTGGACCTTCTTGCCCTCTTTCAACGCGTATATATTGTTCCTGAACAACTTGTGGTCCCAGGTAATGTACCAGGACCCCCGCTCTACCAAGTCTGCCGGCTCCATTTTCCCAAACCACCGTTCCATCGATGGCTTGAGCTTGGTTTCGTAAAACGGCACTAGTTCGTGGATATGGTCCAAGTGCGTTCCCAATATACCCTTAATTCCGAAAGACCCCCCTGGAAACGCCACGCACGCTGCCACGAGATAGTGCTTGCCGTCATCCCTCTGTTGCACTATATAGAAGTCTTCCTTGGCCATCTTGGACACATACACCAACGGATGGTGTTGTAACGGCTCTGACATGTCTATATGCTCCCCCGTGAGTTTATTCAACATTGTGACCCCACCATCGGATGATTCAAAGAGCAAGGGGTACCGTTTGAGCATGTGCGTGCGCACCGTTTCCATCAATTCTACGCACGCATCATGCGACTCTGGCAACCAGGAAATGTTTTCATCCCCGTACTGATGGAGGATCCGCTTTTTCTCCTCAATATAATGCCAGTAGTACTTGTCCATGTCAAGCCAATGATTGATGGGTAACTTGTAGATGCTCATGGTCTGATGGTACGGCCAGCGGAACGGCCTCCAGGGCCTGTCGTCGTACTCCCTGACGTCATCTGGGGTGATTCTGAGGGGGGTTGGCTCAGGAATTGGTTCGTTAGCATCGTGGGCAAAAAGTTTCTTCTTGGGAGTGGCTTTTGATGGAGATGGTTTCAGGTGCGTCCTGTAATATGCAACCCAGAGAAGCATTGCAAGGACGAGGAGGTAGATCATTTTAAGGTATAAGTTTTGCTTCAGGTATGGTTTTGGGTTACCTGAACTGGGAGATAAATAGGCGTATGGATCTGCTTGTAATAAACTGGGTACCTTTGGTGTAACTGATCACTCCCCGGATTAAGGCAGGGATCTACAAGAGATGCATGAGATCACGTGCGCCGGAAACAGTTACCGAATGAGGCGCGGCTATCTCTACTAAATTTCACCAACATGCATTTCAGAATCACCACAAACAATTAAAGACCCATCCGTCACAGAAATATATCGAACGGGAATCTGATTTATAAAGCGAAATACAAGCTGCAGAATCAACCCACACAGCTTTTAAACTAGACAGTAGATGTAAATAGCAACCTGACTGCAAAAACACGTGAAACTCCCGCGGAATGCCCATTATACATGTCCAAACCACATGCCAGACTCCTATTCTACGTTCGTATACCAAATTAAATATAAATGCAAACTCTACCACGGATTGGCCTCAATCTCATCGTTCCACTTTCTCGGTGAAAACATCTCCCCTTCTTCTTCCGGCTCCCAGTCGCGCTGCGCGGCGCTGACAGGTTTTGTGACCGCCATGCGCGCGGGCTCCGGTGCCTCTGGTTCCTCGGACACATCCCAATCCTCGTTGCGATTGCCCTGGATGATCTCATCAATGGTGTCAATCACATCTACAGGCAAGACCGGCTCGAACGCGCGCGCCTGTGCTTCGTTGACGCCGCCAATCCCCGCGCCGTACGCATTGATCAACTCGCGTGTGTTCGGCAACGCACACGCAAACACGCACTCGGGGTTGAGGAAAAGATGCATCTCCTTCGCGCTGTAGACAAAGTTTAACCCTTCGTGCAACGGAAGATTATCGCCGTAGTCGGCAACCGTACGCCGGAGCTGGTCTTTTAGGGCTCTCGAAAACTTGGGCTCGTCGATCTCGTAGTGGTAGTTCTTGACTGCACGCGCCACCTGCACCGCGTTAAGATAGTCAAAACTACCGAGTGTCTGCGCTAGGTCAGCTGCAGATGAGACACGCGTCATGCACTGCAACCACTGGAGGAGCTCGACCACGGGGCTGAAGTGCGAGCGCGCAATATGGTACAACGATTGGTAGTAGAACGAGAGGTTTGTCGGACTGCCCACACCCTTTGCTTCACCCATCCTTAGAACGTTCAACTTGACCTGCTTCTTTACCAAGTCGTCAAAGAACTCATCGCAGTACTTTGCATCCTGCTGGTGCGGCACGCGGTCGTGCGCACGCACCCAGTCCTCGACCACCGAGAGGTTAAGCCGGATCTGTACCGCGTGCGCGCGCGAACAGAGCTTTTTGCTCGCAATCACACGGTTGAACACCGTTGCGCCGAGCCAATACAAGACCAACGAGAGCGTCTGCTGCGCGAGCATTTCGTGCACCTGGTGGAGTTCCAAGACGTACACCAACGCGCCCAACGTTTGGTTGACTCTAATCGGCGATGGCTTCATCTGCTCCTTTGGTGGTGGGGGGTACAACATGTCAAGAATCACGTCGTAGGATGTCTTGGTATCCTTCCGCCGAAAGAGGTTCCAATCGCCGCGGTACAAAACCCCCAGCCCCAAGCTTGCGTAGTCGAGCAAACACGTGTCCACAAGCGGGTCCAAGCGGTTGCAGATAGAGAACGCGATCTCAGCGATGAGCGACTGGGTCGTGGAGATGAGCTCCTGGAGGAACTGCGGATGCGCTGCAAACATCGCGCCGTCTTTGAGCATGTAGAAGTAGAGAAAGTCGACGGCGGAAAGCCAATAGCTGAGTCGTACAATGTCGCCGTGTGCGGTAGACACCGAAAACATGCCGGACTTGGTGCCGGTGCTGGAGCGCACCTTGGTGATGAAAAGGTCAAACAGCGTTGCGAGGAGCTCAGGTGCACGTACACGCGCGTAGCGGAGCATCTGGTACGCGATCGCGGCGGGCACTGTTGGCCGGTGGTTGTGCGTCTCGTAGCAGCCCACGATCATGTCCAAGAGCTGTGCAAGATCCGCTTCGGTGTAAGCAAGGAACTGGTCCGGGAGCATTCTTTCGTAGTCAAACCGCACCAGATCCAACGCCGACCCGATGCTGGTGTCGAAATTTGTGGAATAGTTGGGGTCCACCACTGGCTCCTGGTACATTCCGGCGTCGGAGGCCGAGACGCCCGCCGTGGCCATCCGGATCTGAGTGTCCATGTCATCCATCTCGGCAATGTGTGTTTCTTTATAAAAATCGGTGGTGGGGGTGGTCCTGCGGTTGAGTAGTCCGTGAAGCTGGAAGAATTCGTAGACTTGGGAGCCTGGGACGACGAGGTCCAAGCACGTTTTGCCGGATACGGTTGTACACTGCGCATCCGCGCCGTGCTGTACAAGCGCGCGTGCGGCGTCTACGAAGTCGATGTGTGTCGCCCACATGAGCGGCGTCCAACCCACCGTGGACTTGTCCGCGAGGTTTGCGTCACAGCCACGCTCGAGCATAAACTCTACGCATTCGAGCTGGTTGTAGACGATGCAGTAGTGGATTGGGTTAAAACCGTGCGCGTCGAGGCTGTCGATGAGTTTGGTGTCGCTCGCGAGGAGCAGCCGGAGCAGCGCGACAGAGCCAAAGTCGAGACTCAGGAGGGAATCTGATACCACCCCGACATTACTGGGATCTGTAAGGTTTGCTGTGTTGAGGCTCGCAAGCTTTGCTACCGCACCACTCTGCACTGCGGTCAGTGCGCCCTGCGCCGCCTGCGCTTGCAACGCCTGGTGCGCGGCGTAGATCGTCGCAAGTTGCGGATCGCGATTGAACTGCGACTTGACCGCCGCCGCGGCATACTTTCCAACAGACTGTGTAGCAGTGGCCTTCCACGCGTCTAAATCCATGATTGGGGAAGGAGGGGGGGAAGATCGCAGTGAGAGGCGTCTGGTGTCTTTTCGGTTCAGGTGTACGTAGGCCAAAACGTGCGCGTACCGTGGGTAAGTGCAGGAGGCAGGTGATGACGTAGGGCTAATCTGACAGACAGCTTGGTGGGGATATTAGGCGTAGCGAATTTTTCTGCGAATTTTTTTTTTGAACCATTTGAATGATAAAATTATTGCACTATGGCAGCCAAAACGTTCGGCAATGATAACTGAATGAAGTCTGCTTCAAATCGTACTTTCAGATGTAGCGCATATGCATAGACTAGCAAGACCGATATGCATATATTGTTATCTACCCAATGACCGATTTAGAATAGAAGTGACTGCCATGCATACGGCCGTCACCGTATACCTTCCACCTTATGGAAGCTTTCTCGGAAAAGGCTGCCAAGTGAAATTCATATACTTTGGCGCTAGGAATTTTGCTTAAATATTTATGGCCAGCCTTAGAGGTAACAAGTACAAGCATCCTAGACCATTTCGGGCCACTGTGGCTGTGGTTCGCAATTCTCGGACATAATTGCTGCAGAGTTGACAGATCACACATGACACTGCGAGACAATCCTACACGAAATCGTGTAAATAGCCTCCATTCGCCGAAAAGACAGAGACGTGCCTTCAAGTAAACTCCTTCCTTAATGAGCCAGATTTCTCCTACTTTGAAAGCCAATGAAGGCAACCAAATCTTCACCGTCGCCGCTGGGTATGCATTAATGTTTTATTCTTTTTTTTGTGATACTAACTCCCACAGTTGCTTTTGGGGTACCGAAAACATCTACCGTAAACACTTTGGGAATAGGGGTTTGGTAGACGGAAAGGTTGGCTATGCCAACGGCGTTGTCGCTAATCCGTCCTACGTGGAGGTTTGCAAGGGAACTACAAACCACGCTGAGGCATTGCAGATCTCGTACGACCCAGAACTTGTTTCCTTGAAGGAGTTGGTCAAATTCTTCTACTTAATGCATGATCCAACTACTTTGAACGCTCAGGGACCTAAGAATAGAGGCACTCAGTACCGTTCAGCAATCTTCTACAGCTCTGCCAAAGATGCCGTCCAGATTAATGAGGTGGAGGCGGAGGTACAAGCAGAGTACTATCCAAACCACTCGATTGTTACCGTTAAGGAGCCATTGGAACAGTTCTGGGACGCTGAAGATTATCATCAGTTGTATTTGTTGAAAAATCCGGAAGGGTACGCCTGTCCTTCGCATTACCTTAGAACCTCACCAAAGGTTGAGGGAAGCCCAACCACATCTGCCTAATTGATCCAAGCCAAGTGCACAATTCTGTCGGGATGTATATGGGCGGAGCATTGAATTTCTCCACGTTGTACGATAAAGCTCATTGTCTGAACCGGGTTGAAGTAATTAAAGCGAACAGGAATGGTTTATAAGGTGCCTGCTTTGTAAGTTAGACAGCCTGTAAATGTAATAAGGATCATATAAAGGGGCTATGAAAAAAATTCTGGTTAGTGTATGGCTGATCTAGATCGTCGAATTCGTAAGTCGTAAACTATAAACAGGAGGGGGAGGTCAAGAAAGTGCCGTTGAAAATGCCGTCGAGGGTGTCGTTGAGAGTGCCATCGAGATATTTCAAGGCGAAAGGAATGGGGTGAACCCATACAACGTTTACTCCCCGCAGGAAAAATCCTTAATACCATTGATAATTCCGTGCTTGTAGCAATTGTCACAATGACATGCATTATCGGGACACGTACACTCCAGATCTAGCGCATGGAGCTCGGCAAGAGCACCTTTCTGAGACGTGCAACACGAGTTTTTCTGCTCCGCCTCTCTATTAAATACGTTGTATAGCTTCTTTTTGTTGGTATCTTCCAACTCCAGGACATGAATCACGGGCCTAATGCACTGGTCACCAGTGGAGGACACCCGCACCCCGTCTCGCTGGCGAATCCCGTTGACAATGTCATGCGAGACGCAGTTGTAGCACCAACAACCCTCGGCCGAGCAGATACAGTCGTCAAGGACCCATTCATACTCGGCGATGGAGATGGCATTGGCGGAGGCCACATCCTGTGGCTCAGCACTGTCCAAGTACCCAAGTAACGACGGTATTGGTGTCTCCACCGGTTCGCGCGAGAGCTGGTAGAACTTTTCGTTCAGATGCGAAAAGTTAAGAGAGTGGGAAGAAATACCAAAGGGAGGCATTTGCGAGGGGGATACGAGGGATGTATGGGGCTGTGGAGTAAGCTGGTACCCAGGGATCTCCGGAGTGGCACTGTTATTGTGTGCGATACAGCCCTCACACTCGCAGTTGTCGTCGCACGCGCACGAGCCTGGGATGGAGCACGACGGCGCGTAAAAGTACTCGACAGGCAGGTCGTTGGACCTACCGGGGGTTTCCGAAGGACTCGCCTTTTCCTCTTTCGGCTTTTCCAACTTGAACACGCTCACCTTGTTGGTGCTGTTGCAACACGCGCACATGCTGCCATGGCGGGGCTTGGTGACATTGTCAGGCAGTCCGAAGTGCGAGCGAAACGTGGACTGCATCTTTTTCTGCGGCTCGGACCCGGAGAGTTCCACAGGCGAGAGCGCCACAGCCGACAAGTCGTTTTGCACGATTCGGCGCTTGGACGCGCGGAGCACAATGACGTTACCCTTACCACACAGAGAGGCGCCTTTGCTGGGCTCTTCCTTCGGACTTTGGCAGGGCTCCTCACTCGGTCTTTTGCAGCAGGAACTTTCGCTGGGGGTTTCCGTCTTCACTTCCTTCGGCCCTTCACTGGCGGCCTCCGGTTTGGGCCGGGAGTGGCAACAGCCCTTGGGCTTTGGCGGAGGCTCTAGTGCGGCCTCCTTGTTGATATCCTCAGCAAGAACGGCGAAGCGGTAGTTGATGCTTTGCATTGGGCGCCCGCGCGAGCGCACCTGGACCAACGGCCGCTTGGTGTGTTTGCATGTGGACGAGCGGTGTCCGCGGATGCACTGGACGCAGGCGTACTTTTCGCCCTCAATGAGAATCATGGGCGGATATGAAATGTTGCCACTAGAAGTGTATAAAATAGTTGTGAATATTCAGCCACCAGGTTAGGCCATCAGGGGCTTTCAGAAGAAACTGCAGATTGGTTGAAATATTTTTCGGTTCACGTTAAAAATTCGCAGGTTTCGCGAAAGGCTCGGAGGTTTCGGGATGAGTTTGTGTGGCGCAAAATATAGGGTAGATCAGAGTTAAAACGCTTAGGAATAGCTGATAAAGACGGAAACCATACTTTACAAACTTGAGAGGCCATGGATAGTGCCGAAGGCCTAAGGAGTCATACAGCTCGTTAGGGAAGGTCTAGCCGAAACTGTAGGGACGCGTCGCCGTTTTTTTTTCATGCGGCGGTGAGTTTACCCGGAGATACTTTTAGGTGGAACTCTGCGCCGGGGCTGTGGGGATACACCCTGGAGAATATCTGACCTTGGATTGAAGCAACAGTAGGGTAATTAAATGTTGAAAGGATATATTGCATTGTGATACTTTCAAACAATTGAACATAAGGATAGAGTTGACATGTTCAGTCGGTCAAGCCCTTAATTGGGATGTTAAATCCAGATATGGGAGTGAATATCACTGTGAATCTATACTTTACGTTATGGGGGCGAGAGAATACACACAAATGATTATCTGCATGCGACATACTGACGTATTAATTTAATACTGATTAGGAATGTATATCATAAATACCGTGGGTTAAACAGGAAATTCCACCCAATTGAAAAATTATACGGTTTGTGGTTTAAGAGATGTGCATTTCTGATATCCACCAAGCGGGCTCGGACATTCGTTTTTGTAATATCAATTCTGAACTACTCAATGAAAAACTGTAACCATAAAAAAAAAAAAAAAAAAAAAAAAAAGCTGTAGCTGAAACATTCTGTTTGAAATCATTCCTACAAGGTTAATCCATAAAGCCCATTCTCCATTTTGACGTTAAGCGTACGTGAGGCTGAATAAACCCACACCCAAATAAGGTCATTAAAACTCTTATTAATCGTCATCTGATACCTCCACTAATCCCTCTCTGACCAAAATATGCCGCGCCTCTCTTTGTCCACTAACCCACGCCCCGTGAACGCAGCCAGCCCCTTCCCCAATGGTGTGCTCTCCCGCAAACCTCACCCTGTTTAAACCTTCACTGAGCTGGACAATAATATCGGTGGGATCATTTCCGGGTTCTGCAGCAGAGTATGAGCCACGGGAAAAGGGATTCACGCTCCAGTCGCTCACGAGCACCTTTGTGGGTGGTGTAGCCGTAGACCCTGACGCCTGGGCAATTTGCTCCACCATCGGTTGGAGTAACGCCCACGCCTTTGTAGGATGCTGCTCAACATAGTTTGTCACAGGCGATTGAAGCAATGCAACCAACGTAGGAACCCCGTAGATGAGAGTCATGTTGAAGAAATTCACCGGCCATTCCCACGGCACGGGAATCTTGCCTTCGCTGACTAGGGCCGCAACACTCTTTTCCGCAGTTTTCACTAGCTCCCCCTGTACCAACTTCTGCACTGTAGCTTTGTCTGGATCAGCAAGGCAGAGAAACTTGTCTTCGCTCGGCCAGAAAGCCTCAGAAAACTCCAACACCACCTTTCCCAAAGACCCAAAGCTCATCTGCGAAAGGGCATCGGTGATGGCTTTAGGAAGCGAAGGAAACCACTTAATCCCGCCAGTTTCGGTTTCGGCCAATGAAAGCACACTCTGGGGGACGGTGACCACCACGTAATCTGCCTGCACCACTCCAGAGGAGGTATGCACCCTGACACCAGCGTGCGACCGCTCGATGCCAGTCACAATCTCCTGTAATTTTACGGATCTCTTGGGGATGGTATCCTCCAAGTCAGCGATAATCGTATCGTAGCCACTACCCATGTAGCTGTCCCGCCCCTGGTGGTCAATGATGGCGTACTTTGCGGACATCGACTGCCAGGCAATGCCGTGCCAGAGTTCGAGGTCTCGCACCAACTCCGGCACCAAGCGTACCTGGGTATCGGTGAGCAAGTCCCTTTGCTGGTGGATATATTCATACGCCATATTCTGCAACGAACGGTCGGGGGCATCAAGCGACTCAAAGAACCTGCTCTCGTTGAAACGGAGCATTTCCTTAAGCACCTGGGGAAGTTTATCGTTTCTGGAGACGGGCCCTGAGGAGGTTAAAATCATCGGTTCGTCATCGTTGTAGTGCAAGTAGTGGCTCTTCCTCCGGGACAGGTTGAACAAAGGATTTTCGAGCGTGTCGTGGAACCAGGAAGCACCCATATCGTATGGAGCGAGGCCCGACCGGTCGGTGAAGATGCGGCCACCCAAGCGGTCCCGCGCTTCAAGGAGAACTACCTCAATTCCATAGGAGGTGAGATCGGAGGCAGCCTTGAGCCCCGCAATCCCCCCGCCGATGATACAGACCTTGGTACGTATTTCAGACATGGTGAGGAAAGAAGGGAGAAGGGAGAAGGGAGAGGAAGGAGAAATATCTTGTATGTAGGGCTTAGATCACGTGAAAGTTGTATGCAGCAGAGGTCGGTCCCCTGGTTGAATACAAGGGCGATTTATGGAATGCTTATACGACCAAGAGGATTTAAACTGCAGCGTGATAGTATACTATTTGAGTAGTGAAATGTTTGTGGTTTAAGTGTGACTATGGTGTCGCAACTGGCCAGATTTTCTCAGGCTTGGAATATTATCACGGCCCTTTTTGAAATGCTAAGTTGATACAGAGAATGTCAGTATCTGGCTTACAATGGCTACCCAAAAGATCTTATAACAGAGAGAACCCATACTTAGGTGAGCCAAGGTTTATCACAATACATGTTTAATTCTCATTTACCGTATTAGCAAATACCAACAGTATAATCACGTGATTGACCAAATAGACGGGTTAAATGCCACGACGGCTGAAAATTCCATATAGAATTTAATTACAATAAAGATAAAAAAGGATTAAAAAGGATCAAAAGAGATTAAAAAGGATTTAAAAGGATTAAGAATGATTGTAAAATATGTAGCCAAACATTAGGTATAACAGTCCTTTATCATCCTACACGCTCTCACATGCTCGCTTACACCTGCACCTGATACGCATGCAATTAGCCCAAAAATCCCTGAAGCCTGAGATGCCAATGTTAGACAGTTTTACCAATGCAATAAAATGTATTTACTAAAATGTCAACACAAAGTTACAAAATACCTGGAAGCAGCCCGGGATATCTAAACAGGACCTGCCCCAACATTCATCCTAATTTACATACTCTTAGCTCGAACGCTCAGGCACGCGGCCATTCCAAAATTTACGCGTGCCAAAATTTTCATGCTTATCTTTCCGCCGGAAGAGTCATCAAAACGGCACAAAGCAACACGGGCCCTTTTCACGCCCCTTTTATGCTCCGCACCTTATTCAAACGAAACATGTCCATTAACCCGCTCCAGCAAAAGTGGCCGGCCCAGAAGGTCCGTCAGACCTTTTTGGAATACTTCCAGAACAAACAGCACACCTTTGTGCCGTCCTCCTCCGTCGTGCCGTTCGACGATCCAACCCTTCTCTTTGCCAACGCCGGGATGAACCAATATAAACCAATCTTCCTCGGGACCGTGGACCCGTCGTCCGACTTTTCTACTCTCAAGCGCGCGGTCAACTCGCAAAAGTGTATCCGCGCCGGTGGTAAGCACAACGATTTGGAAGACGTTGGCCGCGACTCGTACCACCACACCTTCTTTGAGATGTTGGGTAACTGGTCGTTCGGCGACTACTTCAAGCAAGAGACGATTGTCTGGTCCTGGGAGTTACTCACCGCCGTGTACGGCCTTCCAGCCGACCGCTTGTACGTGACCTACTTCGGCGGCGACGAGAAGCTTGGCTTGCCAGCGGACTTGGAGGCCAAGCAGATGTGGTTGGATGCCGGCGTGGCCGAGGACCACATTCTCCCGGGCAGTGCTGAGGACAACTTTTGGGAAATGGGCGACCAGGGTCCGTGTGGGCCATGCTCCGAGATCCACTTCGACAGAATCGGCGGCAGAAACGCGGCACACCTCGTCAACCAGGACGATCCAGACGTGTTGGAGATCTGGAACAACGTCTTCATGCAGTTCAACCGCGAGGCCGACGGCTCTTTGAGACCCTTGCCAGCCAAGCACATTGACACCGGGATGGGGTTCGAGAGATTGGTCTCCATCTTGCAGGACGTCAGATCCAACTACGACACCGACTGCTTCCAGCCGTTGTTTGCCCGGATCCAAGAGATCACCGGTGCCAGAGCCTACACCGGCCACTTCGGTGCCGAGGACGTCGACGGTATTGACACCGCCTACAGAGTGTTGGCCGACCACGTGAGAACCCTCACCTTTGCCATCGCCGACGGTGGTGTGCCAAACAACGAAGGTAGGGGCTATGTCTTGAGACGTATCCTTAGACGTGGTGCCCGTTACGCCAGAAAGTACATGGGCTACCCGATCGGCAAGTTCTTCTCGCAGTTAGTGCCAACCTTGGTCGAGCAGGTCCAAGACATTTTCCCCGAGGTTGCCAAGAACACTGCGGAAATCTTTGAGATTCTCGATGACGAGGAAGCCTCCTTCGCCAAGGCCCTCGACCGCGGTGAAAAGTTGTTCGAGCAGTACGCCGCCACCGCCGTGGCCTCCGCGTCCAAGACCCTTGCCGGGAAGGATGTGTGGAGATTGTACGACACCTACGGTTTCCCTGTTGATTTGACCAGATTGATGGCCGAGGAGGCGGGCTTGGAGATTGACGAAGCGGCCTTCGAAAAGGCGCGTTTGGAATCTTTGGAAGCCTCCAAGAAGGGTGGCAAGAACTCCAAGGGTGGTGAGTTGGTCAAGCTCGACGTTCACGCCTTGGCCGAGTTGGAATCCAACACTGCCGTGCCAAAGACCGACGACTCCTCCAAGTACGTCGCCACTTCCACTGACGCCACTATCGTTGCGCTTTACAACGGGAAGGAGTTTGTCAGTGAAATCTCGGGTGACGCGCAGTTTGGTGTTTTGTTGAACAAGACTCCGTTCTACGCCGAACAGGGTGGTCAGGAGTATGACACCGGGAAGATTGTCATCGACGGTGCCTCTCAGTTCGAGGTCGCCAACGTCCAGGTCTATGCCGGGTATGTGTTGCACACCGGTTCCTTGACCGAGGGGTCCTTGAAGGTTGGCGATGCCGTCATTGCCGAGTTTGACCTCGAGAGAAGATTATCCATCAAGAATAACCACACCGGCACCCACGTCCTCAACTACGCGTTGAGAGCCGTTCTCGGCAACGCTGTCGATCAGAGAGGGTCGCTCGTCTCCCAGGAGAAGTTGCGTTTCGATTTCACCCACAAGGCCGGGTTAGCCGTGTCAGAGGTTGAGAAGATCGAGGCCATCTCCAACGAGTACATTACCAAGAACTTGGGAGTCTTTTCCAAGGATGTTGCCTTGGAGGTTGCCAAGGGTATCACTGGGTTGAGAGCTGTCTTCGGTGAGACCTACCCTGACCCGGTCAGAGTCGTGTCCGTCGGTGTCCCAGTCGAGGATTTGTTGGCCAACCCGGCCAACGCCGAGTGGAATAACTACTCCATCGAGTTCTGCGGTGGTACTCACGTTGGTAAGACAGGCGAAATCAAGCACATGGTTCTTATCGAAGAGAACGGTATTGCCAAGGGTATCCGTCGTATCGTGGCGGTTTCCGGTAAGGAGGCTGCCGAGGTTCAGAGAATTGCCGCTGCGTTCGATGCTAGCTTGGATGCCGTGTCCAAGATGGTGTTTGGCGAAGCCAAGCAGACTGCGGTCAAGGAGTTGGGTGTCCAGTTGAACCAGTTGTCCATCTCCATTTTGGACAAGAATCAGTTGAAAACCAAGTTCGCGGCCGTTGACAAATCCATCAAGGATGAGGTCAAGGCTATCCAGAAGGCTGAATCCAAGTTGACTTTGGACACGGTCAAGAACCACTTTACCGTTGAGGGCACCGTCCCAGAGTACTTGGTGGCTCACATTCCAATTTCTGCCAACGCGAAGGCGCTCACCGAGGCGATCAACTTGATGAAGAAGGACAATAAGGAGAAGTCCATCTACTTGTTTGCAGGTGACAAAGCTACCGGTGGAAAGGTTGCCCATGGTTGTTACATCTCCGATGCGGCGATTGCCAAGGGTGTCGATGCTTCCAAGGTTGCCCAGTTTGCTGCTGGTTTTATCGGTGGCAGGGCTGGTGGTAAGGGCAACGTTGTCCAGGGTATGGGTGAAAACGTAGCGGGAATCGATGAGGCGGTGGCTGAGGTTGAAAAGTTGTTGAGCCAGAAGTTGACCATCTAAGTAACTTAATTTATGATTGTATATATTGGTTGTGTAGAGTGCAAAAGTATACGGTCACCGGGTTTGAGAGATTAACAGTAAGTTGAATGGGAAAGCGGGAAGATTGCAAAAACGATGTGTATTGGATAAGGATTATAGAATACGAGTAATTATAGGTGAAAGAATAAGAACCATTAACCCTGCAGCCGAGTGGAGAAGCTCAACTAGGTGAATAAAATCTATTTTAGGTCAAAAGAATGCCATACTCAATGGTTGAAGATAAACAAAGAGATGTCCTTAAATTGGTAACCCAATGGAAATTAGGCTCAAAAATGCTAGGGAAATAACGCAGGAGGAGACATTGAACAGTGGAAGATTTGAATTAATCCTGAAGGAAAGGCAAATAATAGCATCCATGTTCCCTTAAACCACAAGAACCAGGTTTATGAAGTTTTCACCTTGGTACTAACCATTTTGTCTTTAGGGTTAGTCATAGCTATCCGATTTAAGTCAGTATTGTTGTGCCGACTTAAGATTGAAGATTCCTCTTAATGGCGTAACTGGTACGGTATCACTATGAGAGAGTTTTATCGATCTCACAATGTGTCTTTTTTACAAATACAAGGATAAATCTCTCAGAAATGGCATCCACTCTTCTATAAATCCCGTCCTTGGCTTCAATTAATTGCTAGACTATCACATTTAAAAGCCTTCCTTTCCAAACCGTGTATCAACTTGAAATCGACTTTATCTACTCTCCATAATCCAAACGTTCTCCACCTTTCCTTTATTTTTCATTCTACGACATTTTATTGAACTATGACTAAGCTAAAACGCCGACAAAGAATACTTTTACAAACCCATGGCCTTTCTAACGTATCCTCTAATCTGTTGGTCGTACCCCTCCCTGTCGTCTCGCCACAACTTGCAGGCATCAATATTAGCCCCACTCTCACAGTTTGGCTCAGCAAGCATACTCACCACACTCAACAAGATCTTTTCGATGCTCTGGACCGGCGACCAACGCTCCTCGGGACGCTCGTACTGGTTCGGATCGTCGCCTGGAGAGTGCAAAATGCTGATACAGACGGTGCCGTCCTTGTAGATGTTTGGGTGGAGGAGTGCGGGGGTAAACTTGAGCGTAGGCGGGGCGAGCGGATAGTCCTTGGGGAACGTCATCGTTGCCGGGAACACGCCGTTTTCGTATGGCGTGTCTGTCGGGCCCTCGAGGTAGCACTCCCAGACAAAGAGGTTATCTTCGTCGAGCGGTCCGGCCACGATTCCTGGCGGCGGATCGCGCGCAAGCTGCTGGTATTCCTTAAGTAAGCGGCGCTGGGCGGTTGAACGGGGTGGCATCTGATGAGTGGGTATGGAAGGGTAGGGTACAGCTGTGAGGTGTTAAAAGTTCAAGATAAGGTGTCGCCTGATCGGAAAGATGTGTGCAGGATGTAGACCAGGCTGCCCTGATCGGAAGGCTTCGATGTAAACTGGGAGACAATGATGATACAAAGAGTCGGCAAGTAAAAAAACAAGAAATAACTATTCTTTGTTTTACAGAAGGGTACACCTAAGATGGAAAAATATTTGATACTACGAAGTGAGGGTGAGCCGTGCCATTGATTAATTTGTAGCCAGCGGTACCATCAGTACTTGGCTCCGGAGTATGTCCACAGACGTATCCCATCTAACCGCTTCTATGGCTGGTGTAATCCACAGTGACAAATGAATAAACCACTTATAGATTATTACACTAGCAATATCACCTAAACAGTAAATTCTCAACTCTTACGAACATGCCACGTTGAATCAAACCTAACTATACCATATTCATTTCTAACCCTCTTTTGGTTCTTGTAATTTAAAAGAAAACTACCCAGTACTTATTAAATCAGCTCACTCATCATTCATTTCGTCGTCGGTGATGCCCATGACATCGTCGCGGAACCGGTTGTCGTCTGCCTCACCGCCCCGCAACAACCGGGTCATCTCATTATTGCGTTTGATCGCGTAGTTCTCGCATTTTTTTATGGTCCCACTGACCCGAGCCACCCTCATTACCACATCGTTGTCGTGAAGCCGATTGATCATCATGAGCGCGGCGCACACAATGCGATAGGCGCTGCGTCCCACACGGATGATTCCGGTGGATGTTTTGTTGGAAAAATATTTCAATGTGAGCGATATTCCGGACGTTCCGGCCCCAAAGTCTCCAAAAAACTCCTGGATAATCCCCCGCAACGTGTTTATTAGAATTTTCTGGTTGATATTCTGCGGGCTTGGCTGGTGGAGCACAAGCATCGCGTCTCTCTGCGAGGCATACCCGGGTGACATGCTGTCCGGGTAGAGGATGTCGAACAAAATGTATCTCGTCTTGAGTCTGACCATGATGTGGGGTTTGATCGAATGTAGAGTTTGATCAAATATGGTTAACTGGAGTCTACATGAATGGTTTATGCGATGAGGAAGTGCGGTAACCACAAAAACTTTCAGGCATTTTTATATACAGGCTACATATACCCTCTGAATGCTTTATGGCGCTAACGCAAATCCGTCTGTACTTGACATAGATATTTTATCAGACCTACGATAAACAATCCAGATTATCTCTATCTGTCATATTCCTGAGCTTACATACAACTTGACGTTCCACGTGCCAAAGATACACTGTTCTCCCGAAAGCATTAAGGCCATCCGTACTCCGAGAGCCTTCAACGTCAATTTCAAACCAACAGGCTGCTATATCGCTGCGTAGACGAAGAGAGCTTCATTTCACGCCTGACCATCTTCTGTCTCAATTTTTAACCACACTTTGCTTTATCCAACTTCTTTGCTTAGCCAATATATCATCTTACTATGAGATCCCACGAGCCGTACCAACGACCACCGCGTGATGTCATTGCTGCCACAACGCTCGCCACCCGGGCGGGGCTTCAAAAAATCATCGATGCCAAGATGGGAAACACCCCTATGGCTGAAAATGCCAGCACATATGTGAAGTACTCCTCCAATAGCCTCGCCAGCTCAACCACCAACGAACGGATCATCAAGATCCAGGATATCCAGGAAGACCCGATGCTTCCGCCCAAGCACCAGCTTCGAAAAAACCGCCACCGCGACCCCTCACCACCAGCGCCGGTTTTGCGAGAAGCGATCAAGCCTGCAACGGCCGAGGAGCAGAAACAGTGGCGGATTCCGTCGGCTGTGTCGCACTGGAAGAACCCGTTGGGCTTCACTGTCAGCATCGAACAGCGCCTCGCAGCGAACAACGGTGGGACGTTGGAGAGGTCCCAGGCAGAGCTCAACAATACCAACTTTGCGAACCTTGCGGAAGCATTGTCCGATGCCGACAGGGAGGCCAGAGAGGGGATCAAGATCCGGTCGCAGTTGCAGCACCAGAGGCTCGAGCTAGAACAGCGTGAAAAGGAGCAGCGGTTGCGGGAGTTGGCTGACCGTGCCAGACAGGAGAAGCGGGTCAGAACGAAGGAAGATGACGATAAACAGGACCAGGCGCAGAGGAGAGAGCAGATCCATATTGAGAGACGTAAGCAGGCCGAAAAGGAACTCCGGTTGTCACGGATGGGGAGTGAGCAGCGGGTTCGCCAGCTAGCGCGGGACACCAACAGAGATATCTCCGATAAGGTCGCGCTTGGGGTAGCCAAGGCCACAGGTGAGACAAAGACGATGGAGCTGGCGTTTGATCTGCGCTTGTTTTCCAAGGCTGCGGGAAGTAACGCGGTGCACAGTGAGGACCAGGTATACGACGCTCCGTTGTTTGCGGGCCAGGAAGCCGTTAGTCACATCTACCGGCCGAAGGCTAGCGAGGACGACGCCGGTGGATTTGCCGATGAGAGCCGCTTTGAGGGCTTGGGGAAGGCCAAGAAGCTGTTTCTGGGAGTCGAAGAAAAAAAGGGGCCTGTGGAGTTTGAACGAGATGTATAACGTGACTGAGGGGTTATTAAACGGTTTAATGATGTAAGGTAGTTTTAATATCATAATTGACATGTCGTTAATATCAAAATTATCATGTCATTTTTAATATCAAAATTAACATCCCATACATCTACTAACGGTTATAGATACCATTTGGGCTGTATTTTGATACTGTTTAGACCGCAGGATTTGAGATATCAAGTGGTATGTAGCGGACAAAAAAGGCCACCAATAGTACATACACCCACCTAAAATGGCCTCGCCATCTAACTCACCCAATAAACGTATAGTAAATCGTAAATTCTAAATACAGACATAAATACCCGCCAAGCCAGCTTAGGCCTGGTTCTTCAAGGCTCTTCTGGTTCTGACGGCCTGGGCCAACTCTTGCAACATGACAACGGTATCTTCCCAGGAGACACAGGCATCGGTGATGGAGACACCGTACTTCAAACCTTTTTTGCCCTCGGCTGGCACTTTCTGGTTACCCTCGTTGATGTTGGACTCGATCATGAGACCGATGACTTTATCTTCACCAGCGGCGATCTGCTGTGCGACGGCAGAACAGACCTTTGGCTGGTTGCGGTAGTCCTTGTTGGAGTTACCGTGGGAACAGTCCACCATCAAGACCCCATTTTCTGGCAACTTGGCCTTGGCGGCAGCGACAGACTCAGCGTCGTAGTTGGTGCCCTTCTTGCCACCTCTCAAGATGACGAAACAGGAGTCGTTCCCCTTGGTCGTAGTGATGGCAGCGACACCGTGCTTGGTGACACCCATGAAGTGGTGGCCGGACGAGGCAGCCTGGACCGCGTCCAAGGCAACGTCAAGCGAGCCGTCGGTACCGTTCTTGAACCCGATCGGGAAAGAAAGACCGGAGGCCAACTCACGGTGCAACTGCGACTCGGTGGTTCTGGCACCAATGGCGCCGAAGGACAACAAGTCCGCGAGGTACTGCGGAGAAATGGTGTCCAACATCTCAGAGGCGATAGGCACCCCGGCGTCGGTCAACTCGACAAACAATCTTCTGGACAACTTCAACCCCTTGTTAATGTTGAAGGAGTCATCCACATCCGGATCGTTGATCAACCCCTTCCAGCCAACGGTGGTTCTTGGCTTCTCGAGGTACGCTCTCATCACGATGACAAGGTCCTGTTCCAACTCAACTGCCAACTTCTTTAATCTGCCGGCGTATTCAAGCGCAAGGTCCAAGTCATGGATGGAGCATGGGCCCACCACGACCAAACAACGGTCGTCTTTCAAGGAGACAATGTTGCAAGCCTCCTTTCTGCCCTTTACCACGGTTCTCAAGCTCTGCGCCGTGGCTGGGACCTCCTGCTGCAAAAGCGCCGGTGAGACCAACGGGTCGTAGCCCAAGATGCGGACATCGTCGTAGTCGTCTAAGCTAGGGGTCTTGGTGCCATCATGGCGGAACATAGGAGCGGACATTGTAATCGGTGGGGATTAATCGGATAAGTATATAACCGCAGAAGACAGGTGGTTTATATAAGTGAAAGTTTTTCAGGCTAGCCTCCAGAGGCGCTTATGCAGGAGGTCTTGGCCGAGGATTTTTTTTTCTGACTCATATGTCTCTGAAAATACCGCGGCGTCCTGCAGAAAGATGTGTCATCGGTCATATATGTTTAGAGGCCACGTGCGTAGCACCGTCTCGGTCTGGAGCCCGGCACGATTTCGGCCTCTATGAGCCGGTCGTACATCACGTGATTGAAGAAATGACTTTGCGGAGTCGTAAATTGTTGTGGTGAACGAGCCAGACACGGGAACTTACTGTGGCATCTGCCAAGACCTACAGCTGTCAGGTAAAATCCACCGGGGAAGTTTGCATCTCGGATTGGTCCTAGATGGTGGTCACTTGTGCGGAGATAGAAATATGGGTATAAAGATGGAAGGCTCAGATTTTAGTGGATCGAAGCCTAGGCGGATAAATTAAAAGCAGAAAAAAGCAGAGCCTTAACAGTGACGAAGAGCAGACGGAATTCCAACACGGTTAACTCCGCACATCGTTGGATGTTTCTCTGTACTGTACTTTTCACTCAGTAGCGGGGAAACTAGCTGTGTGTTATATACACTACTCAGGAGTCACATGTGCTTCTAGGAATATGCCACGGCTATGCACGTCGCCGACACTTGGACGCCATTAGCGACTCACAGCAATGGGTTAGACTGGAAGAAAGTGAGTGAAAAAAAAAACTCCAGACAAATACATCTACCAGGGGAGGTAGTAGGTTATCGAAAATGAAAGAATTGTGAATATCCTTTAGCACTGACCAGTGAGTATAGCTGTGGGTTTGTTGAGAAAAAGTCATAATTCAATCCGTGTGCATTTGCATACAAATTAGCTGATAGAAATTTGTATCCTATTCAAAGGCAACTACGCTTGTAGCCCATCAATAATACGTGAATTAAACAATAACAGTAAGCAATATATATATAACCACCAATCTAACCGGATACTGACGTTTATCCGTCTAGAACTCGGTGTGGGACGGTGGAGGAACACTTGGCCGGCTGTATTGCACGCCAGTGTCGGTGACACTAGTGATGCCATTCACATTGTTTGTTTCACCTGGGAAGCCATAACTATTCCCAGCATTGTTATTGGCATTAATCGCCGACTTGTTGTCGTAAGTGCCGGCCTTACCATAGTAGTCAGAGTTATCACCATCTGTCCTGTGCTGAGCAGTGGCCGGGTATTCTGGGGACCCATTGTTCATGTTACCGGCACCATACTCAGTGTTGGAATATTGATTGTAGGTACCCTGGGGGCCATTATTCATGTTACTAGCACCATATTCGGTGTTGGGATATTGGTTGTAGGCGCCCTGGGGGCCGTAGGCTTGTGAGGGATCGGTTTGGTACATCTCGGGGGCGTTTGGTGGGTAGAAAGAGGCACCAGTGCCGTTGTTCTGCTGGGCAGCCAACCTTCTTTTTCTCATCATCCACACTGCGAAGAAGCTGATGGGGACGAGAAGCAACAATAATAGTAACCAACGCCATGTGTACCACAGCGAGTTGTAGTTAGCTGAAACCTGTTAGTGACTATACCTTGGGGCTCATTGGTAATACTTACTGTAGTAAATGAATCTCTTTACCAATCCCTCAGAGGTTCTAAAAATCTCTTCTCTTTTGATATTTTGGATAAACATGTTAGGTATGAGCCAAGTTAGAAAAACCCTTACTATTGAAGATACGAGTGCTGGGGTAGTCTTATATAGTTTCCGGTGAAATGGCAGAAATGCATGCCAAGAGTTTTCTGTGCAAGAAACCCTTGGCATGCATCACCATAGAGTGATCGGCTGTGCTGCCTGGACAGAAAATTCATGCTTGGGAAGCAGAATCATGCATAGAGTGGGTGACAGTCTACGAAGACGCCGTGCATGGCATAGGCGGTGGTGCAGTCTATAGCAGAGAATGTGGCTCTGAGCTCGGCTTGTATGCTACGAGGATGAATTCGGGTAGTATGGTGGGTGAGATACGCCATTTGTATAATCTGTTGACTGAAACCAAGTTGGCCTTTATCAACAAAAATTCAAGCTTTGCCGATGCTAGAAATAGTAAATGGGGCGAGATACGTCAGTACGTCGTTCTTGCAGGTTTGTGCGTTAAAGGGTATCACACCGTGCGTCAGACACTCCTCGGCTCGCCGGACCTTCCCCCTCATCTAGAATGGCGTAATACAATAGTCCTTATGATCAAAGGTTATGACACTCTCGATCTTTTGATCATCTAGCGCATATAGTAGCCAAAAGTCCACCTATGAATAATATCTACTAACACCAAACGCTCAGTATTTGTCTAGGGTTAACAATAACGTGACAAGTCAGGATCCAGCTTTACGGATTAAGCCAGGATAGAGCATTCTTCCTTACGTACGTGTTAGGGCACCAATAATGTTGAAATTATGGCCAGGCTGAATTTCCTCACCTGTAAGACACATGACTCAAAACTTTATACGTCGTTTACCCAACCAGATCTACGTTGCAAAACCTACATCTGGCTTTTAGTAAACTTCTATCATGCAATGACAGGAAAAGGGAAATGCTTTCTTTAAAGTACCCTGGATGGTTTCAACATCTCAGTCGATGCACCTCTACTGATACCATCGACCTGGCTCAACCTCGCACCTACTGCTGAACCAACCTCAATCTCCGATCCAACTCGTCCACCAAATTCAGCTTCTCATGGCCCATCAATGCCGAGTCCATCGGCCGCCCCTGGAACAAGCTGGCGGCCCTATCCGGCGACGTACCTCTGGACTTGATAAAATCATCGCCTACATCAAAGTAGCCGTACCCACCGAGCAACAAGTTCAAATACGTCTGGCTCTGCACACCGGGGGTAGCCAGGCCTTCACGAACGTCCTTCTGGGTCGGCGGAGGCGCCGTCTTACGGCCACGGGATCGGTCATTCTGCTCGCGGATACGCTCGGCTAAATCAGCCTTGATGGCAGCAATTTCCTCGGCCTCCGCGCGCTCGCGATCCTCTTCTGAAACTGACGGCTTCATCGCAGCAGCCTTGATAACGACAGGAACGGCGGTCGGAACAGCAGCCTCGGACGCGACCTGCGCGAATACGTTCTCGATCTCCATCAAGTAGTTATACAAGGTGTCCACAAACCGAGCGGTCTGACGGTGCTTGGAGGACACACACACAGTGAGTGACTCGTCCTTCAAGATGTAAGCGATCCCGAATCCGTTAGCCGACACGGGGCCAAACCCGAAGTTCTTCAAGGCCGGGTTACCGCAATTAGAGGTGGAAATGATTGTATTGTTCAACCTCTCCCATCCCTTGTCCGCAAAGATCAGCGGCATACGTGACAAGAGGTCGGCGGAGTCGTAGATTGTCGCGGTAGATGATCCAGACATGGGGGTTTCCGACTCCTTGATACCCAAATCGAGCTCCTCTCTCTCTCCAGAGGGCGACGCAAGGGGGTCGTAGTACTTCTTCCAGATGCAGTACAACGCGTACAAGTGGCGGTCCGCGCCCAAACCCTTTGCGCACGCGCTGGTGGTCTTGGAGTGCTTCGCAGCAGCTGCCTGCAAAAGCGTTGTCTTGTCCTTGTTCGAGACATTTCCAGAAAAGAACTTTCGGACAAACAAGTTGGATTCCTCGGAAACCGTTCGGATGGCCTCGGTTCTCCCGTGGTGGAACAACTTGGTCATGGCTGGCTCGTAGGTGCACTCAACCTTTCCGTACAACGCATAGTACGTTGCCTGGTAGGCCATCTGGATGAACGCATCTGGGGAACAGGCAAACCTCTTTTTAATCGTGTTTGATCCGTAGTTCTTGAATTCTAGCACCTGGAACTCGTTTTGCTGGATCAAATCGGACAATCTGGTCTCTCCGAATCTGAGCGCGAGCGAGATCTCACCCGCGCTCTGGCTACCCAACTGCCACTCCAATTTTCGCGGAATGGTGATGACATTTTCGCCAAACGACTCCGGCGTTCTGGTGGCTGGATCTGGCGATTCGGTCTTCCACAACGACGGCGAATTCCCGTTAATCTGCCTCGCAAACGTCAAAATCGAGTCTGTGTAGATATCGCCGACAAACCTGAGAACCGTGTGGCCGTCCACAGCCGTGTGCTCAAAGTTAACCCCGACCTTGGCGTTTTTTGTCACGATCAACTGCAATTTGTCGTACCACCTGTTGGTACAGGTCCCCACCTGCACGCCCTTTTCCAACACCGACAACCCGCACAACATGTTGGTGGAGATTTCATCCAACTCCGTGAGCTCCACGTCGTCCAAGCACACCACAAACAACGCACGGTCGATCTTGTCCAAGATCACGCGATTCGCCTCGGACTCCCGTAACGATCCACGCAACTTGGCCCACACGGAGCGCGTTTCGGTGGTCAAGACACCCAACGCACGCTGCGCAACCTGGTCGATCGGCGTACGCGCAGCATCTTCCACGATCGACCGGTAGTTCAAAACTAAATCGTTTTCCGTCATGATGAGGTCGTTGTTGTGGTCCAACACGTCGAACCAGTACATCTGCGACTTTGCCATCACCACTACGTGACGCGACTGCTCGTCGATCGTAATGTGGCAGCCCTCGTTCGCGCGCGCGGTTGGAATGCGCGCCGCGCCAAACAACTTCGTATACTGATACATGCACATCGGAATCTTGCCACGCACCATGTCCGGCGCCAACTCCTCGCGGCGCAAGCTGCGGATAAAGTTGAGCGAGGAAATCGTAAGCGACGCCGCACGCTTTACCTGCGACGTGTTGTAGAGCGGGCGCGGGTCGTCCTCCAAGAGAAAAAACGGGTTTAAATTCAAAACCACCGGGGAGTCATAGTTGAGATAGGATTCGTACCAGAACTTTTCAATATACGACTCCTGGGTCTTGTCGTATTGCACCAAGTTGTCGTTCAACGTCGGTCCCACCGGGCCGTTCACAAAGTCCGCAACTGCCTGCTTTGTCGCCTCGTGCTCCTGCTGCCCCTGGAGAGGCTTCAAGTACAGCAAGTAGCTGTTGCACGTATCCTTGAGCGACGGGATGGGCAATTTCGGGACGTCCTTCTGAAATGCAAATGTCGATGCCATGGAGTTGTAGTTGTAGTAGATGGAGCGGGAAGGAAAAATGGGGGTATGACGAATTCTGGGGGTCTTTCTAAGGCGAAACAACGTGGGAGGTTGACTCGTCTGGGTATTTATGCAAGATGAAGAAGAGGGCGAAGACATTTGTCAGGGTAGAGCCGAGCTTTAATATAACCCACGAGCTCGATAAGGTCTGCGTCACACACCCGGATGGGCGGGCGTGGTGCGCCACACATTAGCCGCATGTCTAGGCATAATCTCCCAGGGTAGGCATGGTGTGTGGCGCTGGTCACCCCTCCGCTTGTCCCGCTTGTCCACACATCGTGACCCCTCCCTCGCACAGAGGGAAACTCGAGCATGCCTTATTAACTCACATAAACAGGCTAAAGAAATTATGGCAATATGATTGGATAGTCGCCCAACAGTCTCTGGGACATGAGTTTATAATGGTCACCAGCTGGTTTGTTTCCGGATCTCTGGAGGGCATCCGGTTGTCCACTTTTTGCACCTTTGGGTCATGCTTTCATAATACATGCGCATGTATCAGACAGTTAGATCTGAAGCGGTTGGAACAATACACCCATATCCCCTGTATGCTCTCCGGCTCATCACGTATTTTATTGGTAGTGAGCCTGAAAAAATAAAAATGGCACATTGACAAAGGCAATCCTATTGATTCAGAGAGACTGCCTATATTATCAATACCGCTGGTCCGCAGCAATATTTCCCCCATGTTTGCTACTCCGTTTCTGAGGCATTTTTATGTCCGTGCAAGGTCGTAAATCCACAACCGGGGTTGGAGGTTTGGTCTCCTTTGGTTCTTTATTCCTGTATGATCCAAACTTAAAGTAAGCTGAAGACCCCTCGAGAGGCTTATTCTCTTGTTGACCTCGAGGTTTTCTCTACCTGTGGTTGAAAGATTAGAAGCTATTGCCAATAAAAACAAACATTAGAATGGTTTTGGGGGTCTATTCTAAGCATACTGAGTCTGGCTTGATTACCACTGGAACTGGCCTACCAGTGTCAGCGCCCTTCGCTAGTCGACTGGCGGCATTCTACCTAATTTACAATTCCTGATAGTGGTATAGAACTGGTTCTGGACACCTGCATCATTGTTAACGGCACTCCCATCGTTCCAGATCTGTGTTGTTATTTTCTGCCTTAGCCATCCATGCAATTGGTCCACAAGGCACGCGTGAAGGCGTCATTGAGGTTGGTCAACCACAGTAGAGGCAAGCATTCACACATTGGGATGTGTATATCGACATGACTTTCGGCTATTTTCGAAATGAGGAAAATTGATGACCACGTTTCACGGAAAGGGTAGTTCCGAATTAAAGTATCGTCGCGTGGGTTGTTCGCAGTTGTCACTATCCCGGCTATTTTCAAAAGTGGTAACATCTCACCGCAGATCAATATGGGGCATCCGGTTTGGAGTGCTTTCACGTGGGCTATTTACCCTATATTCTCGGGCACATTTGGAAAGTGCATGACTCACACTGTTTGGCTGGGGTGTATTTCCAATACATTATTTTGAAAATCTGGCCTGCAACCCTCTGAAACGGTTCAAACTGAAGGTTTAGTATTGATTTTCTAATCATGATTGTTAGCTTATCTCACCGTGCCAGTCAATATGGCCTACAGCATGGAAATTCCCCGTCCCAGAACCAAGATTGTATGTTATACAGGTTAGCCATTGAACCTTCGATTGCACATTTCTACTCCGAAGTGAAGAAAGGAGTTTGGAAATTGTTGGAGGGCTTGGCAAGGTCTGACATGCTTCTAGTGCTGGCCATGAGATGGAGACCCCAAAAAGGGATCTGGGAGAGGTTATACACCGTAGAGCTCACTCATAATCTTACCAATTCAATACAGCTAAAGCATCTCTGAGCGCAGGATTAGGTGTCCAGGTTCCAGATAGGACCTGCACGAGTATAGCATCGATTTCCAAAATCAAGACTAGAGATTCATGATTTCATCAAGGTTTCGAAGTGGTTCGAACAATGAAGTTGAAACAAACAGAATAGCGGTAACAAACTTAGATGAGGACACCATTAGGTTAAATGTCTGCTGCCATTTCTTGCGTGGAATTGGCTTGTAGGACGCCTGAGGCGAGCCGCGGCATTGGGCGAGCCAAGGCGTGACACGGTGTTTCAGCCTCCAAGAAAAGCTTACCCGGGGTCAGATGAAGGATGCTAGCAAATCAATCTTACCGCATAAACCTCCCAAATTGACACCTTTCTCATTTATTAGCGACTAATTTATTGCCCAGTCTATACCTCGGTTGTACTTTAGTGCATGCACGTGTCACCGGATAAACTGAGGCAGATGCGCGTCACTGACATGTTTGTTTGTGGAGCGGACCCGGTGCGGCCCTTGCCGGGATGCACCCAATCTCTTATCGATAGAGGCGCGCGCACGTTCTTATCAATTCGAGTATGCCAAACCGATTAGGCATGCATTGTTTTGCGGAGACGCCAGTCCGAGGCTTCCACAAGGAGCAACTAGAGACGCGTTTGTTGTTGTTTTCGTGAGTCCTTAAATATCCCCCGATTCCCACCAAAAAAGTTGGTGTAACATTGAAAGTAAAATCAACTTACAAACCAACTTACAAATCAACTTACAAATCAACTTACAAATCTAACGCGTCTCATTCACACCTCTGAGGTTACGCACGAACAAACAACTATAAAGCCCACCCTTCCATACCTCTAATACTCCCCGTACAAACAAATAATACACGTACCCAATCCATCATGTTCTTATTCAAATCTAATGCCACCAAGCCCGCTGAACGTAGCGCCAACACGCCCAACTCGATCAGGTCCACCCCAGACATCAAGGTCGTTGATATCAGCAATAAGGGTACCGCTACCCAAGCATTGACCACTGGCCCGGCCCAGGCGCTGGTCCCATCTCCGCCACGCTCGAGCTGGTGGCGCACTAAGCTCTTTGTGCCACACCAGCCATCGGTTGCTGATAATAACCTTGCCCTCCAAACGCCCGCGGACTGTGTCTTGACCATGGCCGGCGACGTGGATGACGACTTTGTGGATATCCAATACCGGAAGTTGTCCTATGCCGAAATGGCGTCTATGGACTTGTTGCAAAAGGGAAGAAGTACCAGAGGTAGGAAAAGTGCCGGTCTGGTAGTATGTGACCCTGCCGCCGATTTAAACAAGATGGTGACCGACATTGAGTTTTCGGAAACGTACTCCAAAAACAAGCAGAGTCGCTCTGCGGCGTCAAAGTCGGAGGTGGACGAGGAACAGAGCCACAGCGTGTATTACGACGACGGCGATGACGATATTTTCCCAGTGGAAAAGTTCAAGACCTTCTCCAAAAAGATGAGCAAGGAAAAGAGAAAGAGCTCGAGGTAGGTTCTATATTTTGAGAGGGTTACCATTTTCTCCCTATGCGTGTTTAATGAAGGTTTTTAATTCGGATCGATTGCATAGGGCCGAATCAGAGCGGTATTACCACCAGTTGAAAATTGATGAAAGGCTGAGTAACAATCACCGAGGTGACTCTTAAATACGGCACCTGTTACCCCTTTTATATCGTGCTCGTTTCAATACAACCCCATTGGTTCTGTGTAGCTCTCAGAGACGGTACTTTCGAGGAAACAAGGCCCAGATACATTGGGGTATATCCAGTAATAGATACGGTTCGCTAGCGATATTTTTTATAGGTAAGACTGAGGGGGCAACTATCGGTGACTGCGGCATTAAATGGTATCTAATACGCCCATTGCATGTTGTGCAAGTTATTCGGACTGTTTGTTGCACACAGGTTGTGTGTAAATGGCAATTAGGTCGATGTAGCCTTGTTCTGATTGCAGGTTAGAGATGCCTCTGAGTCGGTTTAAGGTTGAGAGTATCGAGTCTGAACAGATCGGGGAATCTAAATTTTTGGTTTTAATTCGCATTTTAGAGGGTGTTCATCCGACTAATAAATTTCAGCGGAATTTTACCCGATATAAATTCCTTCTGCATGCTTCGTAGGACATCCAGCCAACCTCTATTCACGCCTTTGCTTGTCAGATAAAGCATCATGACATACAAGAGTTGAGGAGCATTGAGAAGCCTACACATTACCAAGGAGCTAAGGACTCTAAGCTGGAGCGATAAACGCAGACTGGAAATTTTTAGTCAACTAGGAGACTGAATGTGCTGGGCCTCTTTCGGATTTTTAACGGGTTGGCGGCCCGACCGAAACAGCGCTATTACACCAGCTGGGCACAAGGCAGATACTTAATTCATCTGTTTAGTATTTCGATAGCCCGAATGCCGTATATCTACGCATATTTACCGTTCCTAACGCTGCTTTCGTCTACAGTAATCTAGTATAGCACTCCCGATAGTCGTTCTCCGCCAGACGCACGTGCGATTCACTAATTTAGACCTCTAACGGTCCCTCTAAGCTCCCGGCGGCGCTGGTTCTTGTTAGAAATGTGGTTTTGCTCTTTGCACGCACATGATGCAGTGGGTTTGGGTTTACAAATCCTATGCCAAGACACACAATTAGCCTTCGTAGATCCCACGGTGAGGAACCCATACCGGCCCTTTGAGTCGCAGTGCAAACCCTGGACGGTAGCCCTGTGAGAGACTACTGAGTGGCCGCATGCAAACAAGGGGCTTCCGAGCGATACGTGCCGGGCATAAAAAATCTGGACGTGGCTGGTGCTGCGCCATAGCTATCTTTGCCACTTGACCTCTGTCGTAAATTATACGACGTTAGGCTTCCGGCAGTCATCCAAAAGACACTATTAAAAAGAATAAGCCTCTTATAATCTCACAATATTCTTGTGGCACCAATTCATAGCTTTTTATATTTATCATGGATCTATATTTATCATGGCATTTCTCGTGGGATAACATGGTCCAGCGTCAGGACGACTGTGGCTGCGTCGTATCTCCCCTGGAATGTCGTGCGGGGGCAGACGTAGAATGCAATGCCCTGGCCTGGGAAAATCCAAGCTCGCGATCGCGCTGACTCTACTTAACTATGGGGCTAATGTACACGACCTTTAGACGCCTTAAAAAAACTAAAATACTTCTGCCCAGCACTATCAGCACACAGTTGCATCCTTACCGTCCCATCAAGCCAGAAAGTTGCCATTTCGTTTCTACTGGCTTCTATTGACTTACGCTAGCTCACCGGTTCTAGTTCCTTACACTGACTTCGATTGTCATACCTGCAAATCAAAGTTCTTTGCCTTGCCCTACATCTAATCCCAACTCACATTTCACTCCGCCATGGAACACCGAACGTTCGGGTTGAGCTATCAGGCACAGCAGAAGGTCCAGAAACTTCAGGAGGAGAAGCAGAAGCGCAAGGAGGAGCGCCGCGCGCGTCGCGCTCATGCCGCAAGCGAAACCGACTATGATGACGCCGTCTCTACCAGCTCTTCTACGCTTTCTGGTACTCCCCAGGCCAGCATATCTACCCGTGAAGCGCAGAAACTTGCCAACCCCGACAGTTCGCTCCATACCGCTTCTAAAAGCCGCCTGATGACACAAAAGAAGGAGGGCATGTTCCGCCTGGCAGCCGCGGAGAAACCTGAGACAAAATCGCGCTTCAAGTTTGGTAGAAAAACCACCCCCGGTTCCAGTTCGACAAACCTTGCCGAAACCACACAAACTCCGGCCCTGAGACCAGCCTTGGCCAAGGTGCCCACCGGCAGCTCTGTCTCGTCCCTGTCGATCACAACACGCTCGTCTTCGCTGCCTAACCTAGACGACGTCACTCTGGCCCGAACCAGTGGCCGGCTCTCCACAAGCCAACTGGAGCATTCGGGCGCGTCGCTGGTTATTGGGGTGTCCGTATTGGGCCGCGCAGCTACCAATAGCTCGGACTGGCCTGCGCGCGGCTCCCACTCGCTGTCGCGCGAAGTTTCGCGTGTGAACTCCGTTGCAGGCTTGACCCCACCTAGCTCCGGGCCCACCTCGCGCCAGACATCGGTCTGCCTTACGTCCAAGAAGTATGAACCCTCCGCGACGCTCTTCACCGAGAAAAGCGAAATGGCTGGGAAGAAACAAGATGTGGAACAGAGCATAACAGAAGAGCTCGATACGTCTGACAGGCTGCCACCCACGCGGAAGTACGCCGCTTCGGTGGCCTCCGTTGACCCTCTAACCACGTCTGTGGATGCGATTTCCGAACACAGAGCCGGTTCGGTGGGAACCCCCAGAGGTCCTACAGACAAGATTCCCATTGCTGCCCGCCTATCCCCAGAAGCCATTGCGACGCAGCTCAAACTCGCGCAGATCCTTCCGGTGGCCATAAACGAGCCGGCGCCCGCGCTCCGTGACAAGTGGAAGAAGATGCTCAAGTTCCTCGTCAAGCAGCACCCCCAGGACCCCGTTATTTTCGCGAGTACCCGCATGTACGCGTTGCAGCAGTTCCGCCAGGGCTTCATGTCACTGAAGTTTGCGTTGTTGTTGACACGTAACGTGTTTGTCGGGTGCGAGCTTCTCCCCGAGGAGATGATCCAGCGCATTGTTTTGGGCTATCTTCAGGAGATGAAGGAAGACATGATGGAAAGACTGCGGCGGATCCTCGAGGAGGGTGGTACAGACCAAACGAAGCACTCAGCGACGTTGTCAAGCCTGCCGCACCCATCTACGGTCGACTGGTTGAGTGTCTTCCTGGACGAAAGAGCAGCGGATGTCGATCCGAACTTTGTCCTCCGCGAGATCCACATCTTCGAGAAGCGCACCGAGGACTTGAACCTAGCCGAACTCTACTTCATCCAGATCATGAAAAAAATGAATAGTAATAGCTTGTTGAATCTTACGGTGGAGAAGCATTTGCTTGAAAAGTTATCTGAGCGGGAGACCGGCAAGTCGACCTCACACGACCCGGGAAGGCCCTTTGCCTCGTACGCCAACTTGGCCTCAACCACGAGTTCCGGGTTCTCCACGCCGCTCGTCAAGCCAAAGGCCGCGCCCAAAGGCGAAATTCGCGTCATGAACTACAACAAAGTGTTTTGCCATCTGCTCACGTGGCAGTTATGCTTCGATCAGATCTACTTCAAGGTATATGAATCCGGATACCATAACGAGTTGTCGCTTGACACGTTGATACCGCTGCTGATGTACCTGCTCAAGGACACGCCGCGCGAAGGATTGTACGATGTTTATCTCCAACCGACGGACTGGGAAGCTGAGGTGCAGCCAGAGGAACGCTCGGAGGAACGCCCGGTAAAGTCCGTGGGGTTTGACGCGACACTGCTTCATCTGGAGATGCTCCGCCGCGTGGGTGACGGGAACTCCACTCACCGCAGCCAGGCCAGACAGGGGCTTGTTTTCCACCATGCAACGCAGCGCGAGAAGGTCAAATACCATCAGCTGCTGCCATCCTCGGGTGAGTGCAGTAATTCGCGCCACATCCGCGCTAGCGTGGTGCGCGGCGACACGACGTGTACCGCGCTGACCAAGCCCTGGGGTCCGCGCAACGCGCGCTATCTTGTGCACCCGTTGGCGACCATTCCACTGGGCCTGTTCGACTGCATCATGAGTCTCGACTTTTGGTACCAGGTACCGCTGGCGCGATACGAGGAAATCTTGAGCCACTTCTACCGCATCTTGGATCTGGACCGCGGTTTCTTGCAGTTGTCGCTCTTCGACGTGAAGTTGATGAATGCCACACAAGAAGATGATCCGAACTTGCTTGAGGAGTTTTACCACACCATCGCGGACAGCATGGAGCGCTTGGGCTACGACCCGCATAGTCCGCGCACCGTCATCCCCATGTTGAGGAAAATCGGCTTCCGCACCGTCAAGTATAGCGTTGTTGCGTTTGACAAAAGCAACGAGATGATTGAGAGCTTGTTGAAGTTCTGGGAAATGCGCTTGGATCACCGCTTTCTCAATGCGAGCGGTCTGGAAGGCGGCGCGCAGGATGCCGAGGTCCGTGCCACCAGTAATTTGGAGAAGATCGAGGCGAACTGGAATGAAAGGGGATCGAATTACTTGGTGAATGTGATTGCTGAGAAGTAATGGAAAGCAGGGGAGGGGTTAATAGGCTTTAGGGATATAATTGAGGATAACAAAAGTTGGTGCGGTAGTCCCGTAGGTGAATAAAGAGCAGGTCCCAAGTGACCAAGGGATATTATGTTGCGTGGAATGAATTGTTTGTATTGTCGTTATGGATCCCAACTTGTTCTGTAATGCTAACTCAGTCTGGATACTTTTGATCTAGAGTTTGAGTATTAAGGCAATTAAAACGAAAAAGCAGGGTCAGTTTTTACAACTGCGATTCATTTTAGGCATATACAATTGATTATAAATAACAAAAAAAAAAAAAAAAAACTAACAAGCGTGGATACAAAACTGGAATTTTCTCATCAGAATCCCTTAGTGCAGCATCGCAATCTAGCCTTCAGTCCAATGGGAGAATACACCTCTGGAAACGTTCTCTCTCATGCCGGGGATATGGTTACCATGTAAAATCTGGATTGGAAAACTTCCGATACTTCTCTGCGGTATTGCGTCTGAACTGTTTACCCCATTTGGTGAAAACCAAGAAGCTGAGATTGAAAGTTATTGAGATCATAAACATCAACCATGTGGTAAGCTTTAGGCCACAGGTATCCAACCACGGCTGAATCGCGAAGGTGAAACCACAACCCACTAAGTTGCGAAGAAATAACATAAACACCAAGCTCTCGCTGGCCATATCGGGGTAGCAGTCAATGGCATAGGTCAATGTGATCGCCCCGCCGGAACCAATTCCAAACCCAATGAGGGCCATCCCTAGGCCAGCGGAAACAAACCAATGTGCTTTGTAGGCAGCCCCCAACCCATAGAGAAGCAAACCAGCCGAGTTGATCAATGCCGGCCCGAGCATACACCAGAGCCGCATTTCTGGCTCCATGATTCCCTTGTTCCGCCGCGCCAAATACACCGTCGACCAGTCACAGAATGGACCACCAAAAAACATTCCCAAGATCGCACCAACCAAGGAGCTAAAGTTAGTGTTACCCACATTGGAAGTGGAGAAGTTGAAAGGAGGGGCAGAGAAGATAAGCGATTGGGTGGTTGCCTGAAGTGAGAGCCACATAATTTGTACGCCATACACAAACCCGCCCCAGACGATAGCGGGGAAGCAAACTGTGAGGATTGGTCTGTAGAAGATGACAAACCAGGCGCGAGGATCGGTGTATTTCGTCTCGATAAGGCGCATACGCTGCCAGTAGGTTCGTTTCGGCGGAACCAACGCGCTTGAGCTATTCCGGCTTTCCTGAGCGTGAATGTTTCCGAACTTGATCTCGGAAACTTCTGCATCGCCTGAATGCTCGCGAATGCTGCTCACCACCTGATTCAAAACTAGCTCTTCGTTCTCAAGTGTGGCGAATGGACGGTTAAAGGTGGTGTCCTCCATGGCAAAGGTCTGGATAGCCAAGATTATGCCAAAGAAAATGATTTGGTAGTAATAGCACCATCTCCAGCTTTGGGTCTGGATGATATATCCACACGCCACTGGCCCCAAATATGAACCGGAATAAAGAGCGAATGTGAGGAGAGAGAGTCTGGTGGCTCTTTCATGCTGAAAGAAAACGTCAGTGGTGGAGATTTGCACCAAGGAGTCGACTGGTGCGGCCGCGATCCCCGAAATAATATTCACCGCGTACAACACCTGAACCGTATTTCCCTGAGACCCAATAATGTTGGCAACAATAATCAAGATGGTTCCACAGAGGTAGACAAACCGACGACCCAACTTCATGGCGGTAGGCTGGAGGAACACACAGCCCAAGCCCAAGAACAAAAAGCAGAGCGCCGACGAGATATTGAGCTGGAAGTAGGTGCAATTGAACTGAATCGTCCAAATTTCCCAAACGGGCCCTACCCAGTTTACCGAGGCAGCCTCCAAAAAGGCCCATATCCAAAGAAGGGTGAACTGCCACTCCTTTTTTCTCTTGGACCACGATAACGGATCGTTTGGATCGGAGGAAGGCTGCGGGATGAGCACTACATCGCCCTTTCCACCAGTTTTTCCTTGATGTGTGACACCCAAGAGGCCAGCCACATCCACAAGGTAGACAGTACCAGGAACAAGCTCCTCCTCGACGATCTCGGCCATGCTTCGCGGCGAAGCCACCGTGTGTAGGTTTGACATCTCGGGTTTTGTGCTGATGTTTGGCGTTGCCATTCGCATTGTTCTGGAAGAGAAGGATTCTAGAGGACGTTGTCTTGGTAGATAGAGCCCGACCTAAACATGGAAGCGGGAGGACATTTATACTGCTGGCGAGTCTAGGTGGTTTTCTTGATATCTTATCAAGGCACGGGCTTGAAAGTTGTGACTATGATAAGCCTCCGAGCGATCTTTCCGATAAACTCTGTCCCCGCAATCCGAACCCCCGGAAATATATTATGGGTAAGGCCTTAAACCTATCCTTATTAGCTTTTGATGGATGACGCTAAGCAGCCAACATGCATGGTACCCCACAAGTCTAAGCGGCTGCGCATACACTTTCCCCTTTTGAGCTCAGCCGCAACCACAGGAGAGATTTGGTGTTTAAAGTCAGAAACAGTTAGCATTAAGCCGTGAAAATCATCTGGGTCCATTAAGATTAGGCATAAGTGTTTTTTTCCCTGTATCCTATCGTCCCGCTATCTTTATGTTTCCGTTCTGGCGAGCGTTTATCCCCATTTGTATTGTACGGGGTAGACTGTGCTAAGGGTTTTAGCCCCGTTTAGCCATGCACGGAAGATGAGCTAGGGCCGACCCCTGCGGAACATAAAGGGATACGACCCTTACTCCATTCATGTCTTTGCGGTGATTAGTGGCTTATCTTGGTTAATTAATAAAAGTATTATCTCTAGAAATACCATATACGTCTCCAAGGGAAGATGACTAGAGGGTGTGACTGCTGCAGGGATATCCCAAAGCGGATTTTAGCGCTAAGCACCAAAATGCAATCCCCGCGTAATCATGTAGTGACACGCAAAGTACGTCTCAGATATGGTGGAGGCGGGGAGGATTTCACGTCTCATTTTCCGAAAGCTCGGCCCAAGGAGTACCGTAGGCTTATCCAGGTCACCACGCATCAGAGGTCAATGCCAGATGTGGCATTCTGCACTGTCACACCGGTGATCATCCTTAGATTTCGCTTGATACATGAGTGTGGCATTGAACATTCCGTTCATCCGTCAAAGAAGGATGACCTAAACAGGGAATACATACCTACGCTTCACTTAGACTGTCGGTATGTAGGTAACTGAGCCTAAATATTGTGGCGTGGACAACCCCGACTTTTGACATTTCCAGACTTCCTGGATGAGGCCGGGCCATTGTGAGTTAAACGCGAGGGTGTTACATACCAAACCGAATAAAGAATTAAAAAAAGAAACCCAGGCCGGACAGGGAATTGAATCCTGGATTACTCATACCCAAAGCGAGTATCATACTGGACTACGCGGCCGAATTATCGAATTCTGGATCATCCCGATTTCCACAACATATTCTGTGTTACATCAAAGCCATAACTCTTTTACGCTAGCCATAAGCACTCTGATTTAAGCACTATGCTAAGGATTAATGACGGCACTCACCGATGAAACAATCCCCTATACTGTTACTTGATCGATTCACCAAGTCACTGGCGTCCAGTAAATTGTATTGCTTAACACATTTACTATATACTTTCAGAGGAAAACCCCTACGCTTTTGCTTTAAAGCTCATCATGCTCGAGATCGTCCCAATCATAATCCTGCCCAGCGTCAATCTGCTCTTCCTCCTCTTCCTCCTCTTCTTCAACCGGCGCTGGAACCGCTTCATCCAACCTCAAACCCTTGATCATATCGGTGATTTCATCATCATAGGTTGTCCATTCGGGAATCTGGCGACGTGCACGGTCCAACTTTGGCTCCTTCGTCAACGGGTTGTTACACAAATCAATGGTCTTGGCGGTCTTCAACGACTCATCGGAACACCAGGTCTCACACCACAACCAATCCTGGGGCAACGAGAAAATCCTCAACTCTTTTTGCAAGTTGTTTGGTAAGTCCTGGTCCAAGTTACTTAACGAGTTTGGATCAGCGGACAATTGCTGGTAATGTGCTCTCAACTTGTCACCCGCGCCGATTGCTCTAAACTTTTTCAAGTCAATCACGTACAAGGCACTAATGTGGTACAGATACTCATCACCCAAGAGCTTCGCCCAGTAGCCCTGCTTCCAGAAGCGGAACCCCTCCATCTCCTCCCTGGAGTCACCCATCGGGGTGTACCCGTACGGAGCGCCTTCCAAGTCCATATCCACCAACTCTTTCATGTCTGTGCGCACAATCTGGTCCGAATCCACAAAGATCACTTTTTCCAAGTCTTGCGGAAACAAAACGTCCAAGAAGAGAATCTTGTATCCCCAGATGGTCCTTTGCTTCTCCCGCTGGTTTCTGAGCCACGACGGCCACTTGTAGTTAACCAACTCGTACTTAAACCCGTACTTCTCCGCAAGGGCGGGCAACACCTTCTTGAAGTGCGGCGACATGTAGTTCTCGATCAACCAAAACTTCACCGTGTGCTTGGTGTGCTTCATCACCGACGCAGTCATGATCCCCAAAAATCGTTCATAGAGGTGACCACTGGCAACGGTGAAAATGTTTATCTCTGGCTGCTTCGACTCAACCGACTTCTTGAACAACTTGCCCATAAACCCCTTCTTGGCGGCTGGCACCGGCTCATCCAAGGATTTGTCTTCAAACCCGGGCTTCTTGGCCACCTTAGGAAACACCATTAACCCCTTCAAGTTTAAAATACGGAGCTGGATGCTGTCCACGGGGATCTTTCCTTCCTCTTCAAAACCCTCGCTAGCCGAAACCAAGTCGTAAATCTCTGCTGACCTGGTGCCCTTTTTGATGGTGAGGTCATAAAATCCTGGGTTCGCCTTCAACTGCATGTAGCCGGCTGTGGCCATGACGTTCGTATCGGAAACGGCCGAAGTAACCCCGACAGGGGAAAGATCCACGGCCAAACCGGCGGGTGGGATATGCACCGGGCCAGACAAGTCCTGGGTGTAGTACCCCTCGACGAGGATGTTCTTCAATTCGTAGGTACCACTGACAGTGCCACCAGCAAGGGAGAGCTTCACGTTATCCAAGTCGGTGTTGGCCTCCTGGATGACCACAATCCACGGCGACGGGGTGATCAAGTTCAAAGTGAAGAGGGTTTCTTCTGGAACGAGGTCAAATACAGCCTTCGCAGCATCCACCGCCTTACCCGTCTCGTCAAAGGTGGCACCAGACGGAAACACCCCTCTGTACAATCGCTTTATCGCGAGCTCCTCCACCTTCGGCTTCGGCTGCAAGAGTATTTGCAAGTTGACAAACGGAAGCTTGGTGACAGCATTGACCATGGCAATCACTTCCTGGGCCTTTTCACTAAGGGGGTCAATAAGAAGGGTCACGGTAATTGGCGATTCTTCGTCGCCAATTACCGTAAACTGGTTGTACAGGTCGATCTTGGAGAAGTCAAACCGCTCAAAGAGCTCGTCCTTGAACAAGGAGCGCGTTACAAGGGCAAAGAGTCGCTCAAACCACGAGGACTGGCTAGTCACCTTTTCAAGATCAAAGTCCAAGTCCAAGGTGACCAATGCGCTCTGGATGAGCTCGAGACGGTTTTCCGAATCATGGCTCACCCAGGCTTCCAAATCGGACACAGAGAGCGGTTCCGCTCCCACCGAGATGAATCTCCCACTAAGTAACAAGAAGGGTTTATCACTTGGGAGCTTGTTTCTCACAAGAAGCTCAGACACGTTCCCGGTGGCATAACCAGACTCGGCGCTTTCCACCGTTTCCACCAAAATTTCAACATCCTCCACTGTTAAGCTAAACTTCTTGGACTGAAGATACGTTTCAACCAAGCCGAACAACTTGGAGTCGCCGGTTTGCAACACACGCAACTGCAAGTTTTCGTTTCCGGCGGTTATCCAGAAACGCAAAACATTAGCCAACTGCACACGGACACTTTCATCGTCAAAATCTCCCACCACCCAGAGAGAGGCCATTGGAAGCCCGTCAGCGTCACTTCGGACGGCTGAAACAGCAGCCTCTACCAATTCTTTGTCAATGTCCTTGAACTGGACCACGTTCATGTTTTCTGGGGCAACACGCAAATTGCGGCTCTGGAGCAGCCCCCTGAGCAAAAACTGCTTCAACTGCCCATGTTTCACCGCAGACAAGTCGCCCGGACCGCCCGCCTTCTGAGCCTCGTTGATAAGAAAGTGCTGCAACTCGATAGTATCCTGGTAGATCTGTGCCGCAATATTCTGTTGGAACCTCCCGTCCAAGGCGTAGAACACACCGTTGATGATAACTGACGGATTGGTGATGGAAAACTGTTTCCGCACCTGGGTGTACTTGGTGATATCCAGCTCTGTTTCGTCAAAGTTTGCCTCACCGCTGCTAATATCCTTCAAAAATTGAAGCAATTTCGCCTTGGATCCGGCTTCGTACAAACGGTAGAATTGCTGGGTGAGCTGGGCATCCAATTCGGAATCCACCAACGGAAGAACCCCGATCTGCTGGCAAATCTTTCTGCCCACCATCAACTCGTACACCTTCATCACCACCGCAACGGTTTGCTGGTCCGATAAATTAACCGCAAAGATGGTTTCGTGGACGTTTTCCCGCAATGGCGGGATCTGGCCCATTTGGAAGCGCTGCATATAGACCTCTAAGTTGGTAGAAACCGGCTTGTACGCCTTGTCCTTCTCAATGTTGTTCAAAAAAACCACTCCGGGGGTTTTACCGATGTTGTAACGGGCTCTATCGCGCTGTGCTTGCATGACTGTTGACATGTGGGCAAATTTCTTGATCAATTCCTTGGCCTGGGAGGGCTTCAACCCAAAGTCAGAGAACTGTGAAACGAGATTGTGCTCATCTTCGATAACCTTAAAGAGGCGAAAGACGTCAAGCTGAGCCGCAAGGATCGGTGCACCGTTCACATAGAGCCCAGTGGCGGTATCGTCCAAACCGAACTCATCATTGGTTGCAGCATGTTTCTTGACCTCAGGATTGACCGGGTAGGAGGCGAAAAACGAGACAAACTTTGGAAAGTCCTGCACCACTGTCTGAAGCATTTCAAACTGGGAAAGGGTGTAATTTCCGTCCAAAATGTACGACGCAAGGCGCAAGTCCACAGAGTCAATATCCGTCTGCTTCAACGGCGCAATGTCTTTGTGATAAGACTCCCAGAAAACGTCTGACTCAACCTCAGGGGTGTCCACCTCTAAGATTTTCTGGCCAAAGTCTCTATCGTCGAGCACGATGTAGTCGGTGCGCTTCAACGTCAAGTCCACGCCGTAACCGGTCAAACTTTCCTTTTCAACCGTCTTCTCATCGGGTATATATCTCCAGACGACTCTGAGCTTGCCCTGTTGGACGAACGAATAAATCGTCCGGAACATCCGGCGGAACTTGGTTGAGGCAATGTCACCGTAGACAATGGCGATTGGGCCGGCTTTGCCCATAATGCGGTCTGTGGCAATAAGCCCCTCCTGGGATGATTCGTCAAATCTGAGCGCAAAAATCTCGTCCGAAGAGCAGTAAATCTTGTTGTTGAGCACCATCCAGGCAGCCGGCAACCCGGACTTGGTCCCGACCTTGTTCCCAAACGAGTCCACAGCACATTGGGAAACCAATTGAGCCGAATGCTTTGGAAGCACCACGTTGGAATAGTACTGGTAGTGCGCCTGGACGCGTGGCGAGTGGTACTTATTGGCTAGCTGGAACTCGAACATTGCCGCTGGCATCTCCGCTAGCAACGCGGAAGCGGACTCAAACAACTCCTGATGGGTGAATTGTGCTTCCTCATCATCTAGGCCGATAATTTGGGCAAGAAGAGGTTCGTACAACGATTCGTTTTGTGCGGCAGCAGACTCGAGGAGGTTGAGCTCAAACGGCGTCCGGCGCCACGTCGCCCGGAGGTTCACATCCACCAGGTTGGCAGACGCCTGAAGCACGATGCTGGCAATCGCTAGCCAATGGAGTTTCATGATGTTGGTAGTAGTAGCTGGGTGCAGATAGTGAGAAGGATAAATTGGCGTGATGAAGCACAGATATATGAGGGCGATTTGAAAGACGTATACGAAAGCAGGTTTGAATTGGCACGTGACATGCAGGACCATGGGTGTTGTTTGGAGGATAATGGATGGGGGGGCTTGCTGCTGTGGCTTGCATAGATGTGTAGTTATTATTGGTTTCTGTCATCAACCAATTCTGTCGATGGATATTTTACATGCGTTATATTGAACGTTACAATCCAAGTGTATAGCTGTTTCCTTTGTGCATGTCCATGCCATTTCCATAAGCGGTGTGCCCTCGCTGTTTTCCAGTTTTGCTATCTAAAAGTAGCCCGGTCAATTGGTTCATAAAAAATCTGTAATATTTTGAATCACCAACTTTGAAGAAAACACACCACCGTTTTGTAAGTTCTTCCTCCAATCGTTGAATTGCACTGGTGCTCCCAACGTGAGAACATGGATCAAGTGCCGGAAAAAATATTCGAAACCTGGGGAATTATCACGTGACCCAGCAGCCAACGGCCTTGGGAAATCAATCTCAGGGGTAATGGCAATCATTTAGCGATCCTAGGCTGTGTTCTACGGGGAAGAAGGACCAAGCTTTTATATTGACATCTTTAACTCAGAGTGTCAGAACTCGATTAATCATTCACCTACAGCTATCTATAACCCATCCAGTAACCAGGGCTTCCTCACTGGCCCAGATCTTGCATTTAGCCATCAATTCGACCAAGAAATACCGTCATGTCCCATTTTATCCACAAGTACACGAGAGGCCTCATTGCGATGGAGCACCTCACAAAATCCTCCACTCCACATCCAAACCTCCTCATTTTCATCGGTGGGCTAGGCGACAATATCACCACGGTTCTGTACGTGGCACATCTCGCGCGTGCACTCGACCCTATCGGCTGGTCAGTGGCGGAGCTCCAACTCTCCGCCTCAGGAATCGGCTGGGGGACTGGCTCTGTCGCCCGAGATGTCTTGGAAATCACCGCCGCTGTCAAGTACTTCAGCAACCGAAAAGTGGTTTTGATGGGCCATTCCACGGGGTGCCAAGATGTGCTCTACTACCTCACCCAGCAGTATCTCGACGATCCCAATGAGCTTTCCAGCAGGCCCTACGTTGCTGGTGGTATCTTGCAGGCTAGTGTGAGCGACCGCGAATGCTACGTTATGCTCAACGGTCAGGAGATCTGGGAAGACAAGCTCGCCAGGGCAAGGAAGTTGGTGGAGGCAGGAAAGGGAGAGGAGGTACTTCCTCGGGAGTTTCCCCTCAGCTTCTTTGATTCGCCCATCTCGGCTCAAAGATGGGTCGACCTCATGGATGTCAGAGGCGCCGACGACTACTTCAGCTCAGACCTTACGCCCGAGGACCATCAAAAGACCTTTGGTAAAGTGCGGAGCAAGCTCCTTGTGGCGTACTCTGGGAACGATGAGTGTGTCCCCGCCGAGGTGGACAAGCAGCTGGTGGTGGACGGGTTCCGCAAAGCGACACCGGCCGAATGGTGGAGCGATTTCTCCGGCTTGGTTCCCGGTGCTACCCATAATGCGGGCAGAGGGTCCGAGCCAGGAGCCAGGGAAGCGTTGATTGAGAAGGTAAAGACTTTTTTGCAGATGGATGTGAGCGAGGGGGCCAAGTTGTGATACGGTACATGATATAAACTGGGGGAATAAACTGAGATGTGGTTATGGGTATTGTCTTGACGAAACTGAGCTGTGGTGCTCTTAGACGGATCTCTCAATTCTACTTTAGTTGCCTATCTTGCCCATCCAGCAGTTACAATAAATTTTTGATAAAGGGTGTTGTCTTATGAATATGACTGTAGGAAACGATGAACGTTGGGGCACACACCCAACTGGTGAAGAGCAAACCGCTTGGATGCTATTGTTTATCTTACCCCCGTATATTTAGAGATCAGCGGGCATATGGCGATCCAGTTGGTTGGCCCTCGGAGATATGAAATTGCCCTCTAGCAGAACATAGCATTGCAGTGCCACACCAAGATAAATCAGCATTAGCGGCTCAGTAGCTTTTGCTGCAACATCTCCGATGTGGCAGACCGCGCCATGTCGGAAATCCCACCATAGCACAAGGACATTTGCTAATGCATTCCCCAGAGCGTATTTTTCCTATTCTGGCCACCCTCAGTTGGGCAAATTTTATTTGTACGATCAAATGTCTAGAATCTCTTTTGGCAACAAGTTACTGATGTCTTTTCCTTTCTTTGGATAGCTGCTTATATGTAGACGAAACGGCGAAAGCTCAAAGTTAGCTGCTAAAGAGGCTTCGGCAGTTTTATCTATTTATCGGTGCTCATTGTCCAGTTTTCGGAGATGGAGAATTTATCGGAAATGACCTGAGAACGCGCCAAGGACTTGATCCAGCGCTTCGATGGCCCATACATTATAGGGGCCAGACCGCGAATCCTCCGCCGTTGGACATTAATCCTGGGGTGGCGATCAATACAGGATAAACTCCTTCATGGGGCATAATTACTGTTTTAGTAAAAATTAACCAAGCAATATCCTTACCTTAATCTTATTACCGTTGTCCCTTCGTGATCACTTCTCGTAATTGGCATAAACACGGCCTGGTAGCCTGTCCCCCCGGGCCCTAAACTCTCATTAAATTTCCCTTAAAGAGTTTATTTTGGGAACTTCACCCGGGCTTCCGTGTATTTTCAGACAGATCCCCATGCAAGATTCAGCTCGCAGCACGGCCCTGTTTTATCTATCAAAACGGGGATAGCACCAGTCACACAGAGTAGCACAACGGTGAAACATTCCAGCTGCAACTAACATCGGGGAAAATGGTACCAGCCACTAATTCCTAAAGCAAAAGGGTGGTCCGTTCCCGGGTAACTCCACCAAAGAAGCCTTTCTTAGTATTGTGAATAAGGCCCGACGCGTTATAACGCGGCAACTGCACCCACCCGCACGGACTCTACTAACCCTAATTTTCGCGTCCCGTTTTGACGCGACAGAAGCCCAAGCGCGGTCTGTATGTATTCACACGTGACTAAATTTTTTTTTTACCCAGATCAGTCGCTCGACAGGGCAAACCTGCGTCAATATCGAAAACAGGCACTGCTCCTGCGAAGCTGTTGGCTACATGAAAGCACGACATCTGCATGAAGAAGTTCTGCAAGAGATAGCTCTGCAAGTTCTATCCCGGGATATAAAAGCATCACATTTCCACCGTTGGTTCACTCTCTAATCCCTATTATCTAATTATAATCGAATCGAATCCAAAATGTCCTCTCCATTCAAGATCGCTCTCCAGGAACAAGACGCCAATATCAGACAATTGAACATCAAGTCGCCGTTCTCTAGGTCAGGCTCCGTCTCTCCGACCAAGTTCACTCCTTCCAAATCCTCTCCCATCAAGCGCGCTCCGCTCAAGGCGTTCCAGATCTTCCAAGACGACACCTACTACCGCACCACGATCACTCCAAAGGGCGCCGTCGACCGCGTTGACAACAAGGAAAACGTATTGCAGCCAACCAAGACCACCGCGTCGCCAATTCGTAAGGCCGGAAAGCGCGTTCCCTTGAGTGTGCTCGACATCAAACAGTTCCCGTGCTTCATCAGCCTCGCGTCTGGCGGTAGGTTGGGCGCGGTGTTGTCATTAACCAACACCAACTTCAGCAACGTGGAGCAGCTTCCAGCGTTCGTGACGCCGCCAAGAGACCGGGCCAGGCAGTTTGTGTTCAAGACCACTCAGGACGCCCCATTGGTCACCTTTAAGAAGGCTAAGAGAACATTGTCATTCTCGGAAAGCAAGGAAGACAGGGAAAAGATCCAGCAAGCTGGCTTCAGGATTTTTAACGACGCTACCGTTGTTGTCTAACGTGTGTGTTTTTGTTTTGGGTTTCGTTTTGGGTCTGGGTTTGTTTTCATGTAATCAAGGATATGTTTTTACTTCAATGTAGATACCTCGTTGTCTAAGCTGTTAAGTGTGACGCCAGCAGATGCAACACCGTAGGCTTGCACTTACCAATCCTCCCGTATGGAGGCCAAACGGCTCCTCGAATTGACTCGACGATAATAATGAAAAAACCCTGAATGGAATTTGCTGCACCGGTCACAGAAGGATTGTCAGAACTCGACGAGATCCTTTGAGTTATATTGTGGATGAATATCTCAAAGTGAGATCATTATGCCCATGTCTTTAATGCTATATGAGTCTCTGATTCTCCAATAACATTTATTTCAAAGGATTTCTTCGTGATTGCATATATCGTTTGTACAAAGGTTAAGGGTCCACGATAGGCATTGACTACCCTCTATTTGTTATTCCAGACAGAACCCTTGTAAGGCCTCCGATTGTTTCGTAAGTTAGGGATGCATACTGCCAGGCTTATAATTACAACGTAGTCAAACAGCCTAATGTTCTACGCCTGGTCAAAGAAGCCCCTTCATTTTGTCTCTATCAACCTTCATCGCAATCATGATTTCAGCCAAAACCCCTTCAACTACACCTACTTCATAAATCATACTATTCAATATAAACTGGCGAACTATGTACAGACATACCAGACAACTACTTAAACAAAAATCCGTACCATGCCTCCTTTTTCTGCTGACGCTGATCGGCCGGCAAGTAACTCGCAACGTGCTCCTTAATCTTGGCAACGGCACCGTCTGCCTCGTACTGTCTGCCCAAGGCATCGATGAAGTTTCCTTCCGGGTCCATCAAGTAGAAGAAAATGGAGTGGTCGACCAAGTAATCCTGACCCGGTTTCAAATCCGGAGGAGTGGAGAAGTAAACTCTATACCGCTTGCACACGCTCTTGATTTCGTTGTACTCGCCGGTCAAGCCAATCAAGTCCTCGTGGAACTCGGAAAGGTATTCCTTGATGATCTCTGGGGAGTCACGGGCCGGGTCACAGGTGATGAAAATCGGTTGCAAGTTAATGTTGTCCTTTTTCAATTCGTCCAACATCAACCCCATCTTGTCAAGCTCATCTGGACAGATGTCTGGACAGTGAGTGAACCCGAAGTAGACGAGCGAAAACTTGCCCTTCAACTTCTCCTCGGTAAAGGTGTTACCGTTGTGGTCCACAAGGTTGAACGGGCCTCCAATTAATGGCTTTCCAACCCCACGGTTGGCTTCGGCCTCCTTCTGAATGGCCAAGCGGCGCTTCTCTCTGGAAAAGAACCACGTGAACCCCCCACCAGTGACGAGCAAAAGCACGATCGCCTTCCAGGAGGCAAACTCAAGGGATCCAGACGGCGTGGCTGTAGCCTTGGGTGGCGTGTTCACCCCCACGGCGATTCTGCTGAGCGGTTTTTTAGATGACAGTTCTGGGGTTTCTGGGGCCGCCGACTTCTGTTGGAGTCTGGAGGAAAGAGTAAAGGATCTGAGAGGCGCAGCTCTGAAGACTCGGGAGACTGAAAGCGCAGCGCTGAGTCTCTGGTTCAACATATTGATTGGGCTGGATGGCTAATCGTCTATGGGGTGATAAATATAAACTGGCTTTATCTAGGCTTCCCGAGAATGATTTTTCAGTCTCCTGCCGGATATTTGCTCGCTTACTAAAAGTGGCGTGGTCACGTGGCATGAGTGATATTTAGAAGTGACGATAAAAGTACCATGGCATGGCTAATATCGTAAGCTCCCTGGGTTAAGATTGAAAGTGTAGTATAAATCGTTAAAACTTCTGGTTTTCCAATTTAGCTATGTGATTGTTACATACCTATAATCTCTAATTGTCTGAGACAGAAACTTAACCTGGAATCCCTGTAGCAAGACCCGTAAGGAAGCTCATAAACCCCATAGCTGGCTTTGCGTAAGCATTATCTGTAGTTTGAGGCATTCTGTAGAATCAGAATTGGTATAATCACTTTTCTCAACGAGATAAACCTTGCTAGCATGCATATCCCATTCAACCAACTTCAGCCTCGTGGTCCTCTTCAACACCTAAATCGATTTCTAGTTTGCATGGGTAAAGGGAAAAATGCATAGAGCCGAAGCTGGAAGCTGTACCCATTCGGAACCGTGTTCCGCGGCAGAGATTCTCTATCTGTTGTACGAATTCGGTAACTCTATACCCATTTACGGACTACGCTTCCGTTCTCCCGGACAATACCCACCGTACGGCAAAATATGCATTCCTGCAGGTGACAGCCGCAAGGCGTTTCGGAAGTTTTCATGGACCCTAGTTCCGTCGAGATGGAAGTCAGAGAATCCCAGAGCAAGTATATTGCATCCGTGCCAAGTAACAGAAATTACGCCAGCGCGGAATGCAAGTCAGGCAGAAGGAATTAACACCTTGCTTGTAATCCCAGGTCTGACATACTCTGCAGCCTCTGTCTCATCGCACCGGTACCAATCGCTTCGACTAACTCCTGGTATTTCATGGACTGCGTTGCCATTGGTCTCCTGTGAATTACATAACTAAGGTTCGTCGAAACTAGTTTGACAAGATTGTAACATAAGCATTAATTGTATACGTAAAGATGGCTGTTTGGTGGCAGCACATTAGATAATAAAGCAAAGGAGCGTCTAAAGGTCGTCAGAGCTTGTACCGTGGGTGGTAGCCAACTTGGTGTCTTGAACAAAGTCGGTTGGGTGACCAGCGTACGTGCTGTGTGGAACCCACTTGGCAGAGTTACGTGGGTTGGTCTCCTCCATCATTCTGTCAACCTGCTCCAAAGTCAACCCCTTGGTTTCTGGAATCAAGAAGTAGGCGTACACAAGACAGCAGCAGCACAAAGAACCCCACACAAAGAACACCTTGGCCCCTAAATTACCCTCGTCCTCGCCCACCATGTATGGAGTGATGACAGAAATGATACAGTTCCACAACCAGTTGGACGCGGTGGACAACGCAACACCACGCGATCTGATTGGCAATGGGAAAATCTCACCGATCACGACCCAGGCACCTGGACCCCAGGTGGACGCAAAGAAGAAAATGTAGATACAGATGAACGAAATGACAGCCTTAACAGCGGTGTCACCTTTAGGATCAATGGTACCGACGATGGCAGCAATGAACTCACAGACAAGCATACCGACAGCACCCCAGATCAACAATGGGCGACGGCCAAACTTCTCAATACTCCAGAATGAGATTGGCGTGGAGCAGACATTGACCAACGTGGTAATCAAACCAATCAAGAATGGGTTCTTGATAGTCTCCAAAGTCTGGAAGAAGGTTGTACCGAAGTAGAAGATGAAGTTGACACCGGTCCACTGTTGCATCATCTGCAACGAAGTACCCAAGATGGTTCTTCTCAAGTTCGACGCTGGGTTACGTAACCCACCCTTGAAACACGCCATCCACGACAGGAAGTAGCCACCCTGTGGAGAAATCTTCATCTCGTAATCATTGTTAGCAATAATCTCCGCAAGTTCGTCTCTGATGTAGTCAGAGTCAACTGGCTGCCCACGCAATCTGGAAAGAACGGCCGCTGCCTTCTCGTGGTCACCCTTCTTGACATAGAAACGTGGGGACTCTGGGAGGAAAAACAAACCGGTGGCCAAGATCAACGCCCAGAGCATCTGGAGAGCGATTGGGATACGGTAAGAACTGGTGTTTTCGCGGTCCTGAGTACCGTAGCCCACACAAGAGGCTAAAAGTAGCCCAATGGTGATACAGAACTGGTACCCAGAAACCAAAGCACCACGAACCTTTCTTGGGGAGATTTCAGACATGTAGAGAATAATAATTGCCGAAACGAAACCAACACCGAACCCGGCAATCAAACGACCGGCAACCAACAATCCAAGAGAGGTAGAGGCAGTTTGCAAAATAACACCGACGATAAAGATACCACAACCACCGATGATGGTGATACGACGACCGAACCAGTCGGCCAAGTCACCGGCAATAATAGAGCCGAAGAAGGTACCAGCAGACAAGATGGAGGTGATCAAAGACTTTTTCCAGGCAGGCAATTCGGTATGGCCTGGGGCGAAACGGCTAATGAAGTAGTTCATACCCATGACACCGGAAATGTAACCGGAATCGTAACCGAAAAAGATACCACCAAAGGCAGCAAAGGC